CTTCGTCGATGAAATCTGACTCTGCAGGTTCAAATACCTGCTCTGCTGCAAGCGTGGCTCGCTCCCCCTGCTGCAAAGACGCATAGTATCCAGGAGGAGGTCTTGCACGTGTCTCGCGAGGTGCTGATGGTTCTGGAGTTGGGATGAGTGGTGTTGGCATTGGCGACGGAGACGGTTGGGTAAGTGGTGTTGGCATTGGCGACGGAGAGGGTTGGGCATGTGGTGTTGGCATTGGCGACGGCTGGGCGCTATTAGTAGTGGACTCCCCCTCGCCCAGCGTTACATCAACAACGGCTGGCGTAGGGACGAAGGTGAGGTTTCTTTCCACTGACACACGCCTCTTCGCTGACCAAAACACCCTGTACCCTTTACTTTCAGCATCTATCCCCACGAACACTGCCTCCTCAGCACGCGCTTCAAGCTTACCGGCATGCTCAACATGCACCAGCACCTGGCATCCGAACTCCCGTGCCCTCGAAAGATCTGGGGGCGTACCATGGACCAAAGCATAGGGCGTCTGGCCTGGTATCGACCTGGATGGAAGACGGTTCTTCAACCACACGGCATAACTGATTGCCTCCGCCCACAGGAACTTTGGTAAGTCCTTCGCGATAAGCATAGCACGAGCGTGCTCTACTAACGTCCGGTTTAGCCTCTCTGCGACCCCATTCTGCTGTGGGGAGTCGTGGACCGTCAGCTCACGACTAGTCCCACGGCTTTTGAGGTGGGCTTCGAACTCTGTGGAGAGGTACTCTCCCCCTCGATCAGATCGAAGGGTCTTGACGTTGCGACCGTGCTTGTTGGTGAGTCGTGCCTCATATGCCTTGTACGCTTCTAACGCCTCGCTTTTGTGCTTCAGGAACGTCACTTGCGTCTCGCGGGAGAAGTCGTCCGTGAACGATATGTAGTAGGAGGACCCTCCAATGCTCGTGGTCTGCGCTGGACCCCAAAGGTCACTGTGCACGACCTCACCGTAAGTACTCGCCTTCCTCGTTGCCTCCTTTGGGAAAGGGTGATGTGCTGACTTTGCTTTTACACAGGCATCGCAGAATTCGTCCTTCGAGGACAGGTCAAGCTGAAGGCCTGTGACAAGTCCGCTGGCAATGGCGTGCTTAACGGCGGGCTGGGCTATGTGCCCCAGGACTTTGTGCAGCGCATGGACGGTGAGTTTGGAGTTCGCCACGTTGGCGTATTGGTGCTGACGCTTCGCATCCACCACGTATAGACCTTCGACTTGTGGGATTTGGGCGATGAGGGTGGAGTTGGGGGCAGGTGAGTATATTTTGCAAAACTTCCCTTCGAAGTGCACTGCTAACCCTGCCGCAGTTATGCGATTCGTGGCGATCAGTGTGAACGCCATACGTGGGGCGTGCAGTGCGTTCTTCAAGGTCACGGTACTGCGCTTGTCTCCCAGTGGTAAGTCGATCGTGACGTCTCCCCTTCCCACTGCGCTGATCTTGGAGCCGTCTGCAGTGTGAACGTCTTGGGGCGGGATGGGGACGTAGTTCGTAAACTTCGCCCGATCGGGGCAGAAGTGCGATGTCGCTCCCGAGTCCATTATCGCACCACGACGATCTGGAGGTACGTTTAGTCCTTCCGCTATCCCAGCTAAGTCTGACGTTGCCGCGAAGGCATAGTTATCAGCTGCTGGCTTGTCCGTTGCCGCATTAGCACCTTGCTTTTGTGGCCGTCCTCCCCTCCTTCTATGGTGAGGGGGGCGCTGTCCCTCTTTACCACCCCCTGGCCTCCAACACTCACTCTTGTAATGTCCCTTTCGCTCACAATTATAGCACGTGGCGTCAGGGTTGGATGAACTGGTAGTGCGGCCTTTGTTCTGGGTGGTATTGGCGGATAGGGCAGAGTTAGTGCCCTTCTTCGCGGGGCGTCTTTCGGTGAGGAGCCTATGCTCATACTCTTCGCTAACGACATTCATTAATTCGTAGGGCGATAAGGGCTTCTGCGCGATCTTCGCGGCAGCGTTTATGGAGGATAGCAAGGGTCGATACGATTCTGGGAGCGAGCCGAGCGTGATCGCGTAGAAGTCGCGGTCTTCTATATCGGCCCCCATGCCCGCTAGGGACTCTCGTAGACGGAGTAGCTCGCTAAAGTGAGCTTTAACGTCTCCGTTCTCGTCGCATCTGACCTCTTGTAGGCGTCTACGAAGGTCAATCTGAACCAGCTCAGTTTTGCCTTCGTGGATATCGCGTATCTCCTTCCAGATTCTCGCAGAGCCCTCGAGCTTCTGCACGCGCAGTAACAGTCGATCAGTGATCGTACTGAACATCTGCTGCTTGACGAGTGAGTCTTTCTGGAAGTACTCATCCGTTTTCTTATCTAATTCGTCCACCTCCGCTTCCGTAGCTGGCGAACCGTCTGGCTTCGACAGGGCGCTCGTCTTCGGATCGATTTTGAACGGAGTCGGTTGTACTGCTCGACCGTCGACATAACGCATCAAACCTCGGGCAGCAATCGCAGTCAACATTCTCTCCTTATAGGTAATCCAATTGCTGCCATCCTCGGCTAGCTTGGGGACGTTGAATAGTGCGGAATTGGTGCTGGGGAGCGCGGAGTCCATGGTCGAGGCAGGGCTCATAACCTCTGGTGATCAGAGGCGAGCGGGGACGCGAGAGAGCGGGAAAACTAGATAGATTATCTCAGTCTGTGTAGAATGACTCAATACAATGTATAGTACCTAGATAGATTCTATGGAACGAGTTAGCCGCTTGGTATAATGTAGGGGGGAACATAAGCTTACATCTCAGTCTGTGTAGAATGACTGAGATGCTCGGACGGATAGACTCGTGAATTTAAGTAATGTAGCATAGTGATGAAAAATATATGGTAGCATACGACCTTGACACTTTGCATCGTCGGCGCGATGCCCGACGTCAAACGTCGTCATCCAACTGCGCTCGCAATGTCTCAGCGTGACGTCTACGACGTCACCTGTCCGGTATTCGATCCGGAGTCCAATACCGTGCTCATCTGCTAGCTGCGAAAACTGATTTTGCAGATCACCACCATGGTATCCTGCAGGTTCGTGGAACAGCGGAGGTCGACTGAAACCGTGCGTGGATGCTTGCTGCTGCTGTCTAGGATATGAGAACTGATTGTATTCCATTCTGGCAGGGCCACGAGACTGCGCACGGGATGATGGTTCGCTATTCGAGAACGGTGTCGATTCACTATTCGAGAACGGTGTCCGCGAATCATGGCCGAGGTAGGGTGACCTGCCCTGAGAAGACGGAGTGAAGCTTGGCACACTAGGGGCTCGCATAGAATGGGAGGGTGTTTGATGTTCGTGAGGCAGCCCATATGGATGGGAAAACTCTGGTGAGCTCGTTTGTCCAGCACGTCCTGTGCCCGACTGGTTGCGCTGATTCTGCATGAGCTCGTTTGTAGCGTCACCAGACTAATAAACAGGTAAGTTTTCCCTGATACTTCAAGATTAGTGTCTTATTGATTCATTACCGTGTCAGTCCGTTCACGAGGCCCTCCGAACACATCATCCAGTTGAGGCAGAGCGGGAGTCAAGGGGGTCAATGGGGACAGGTGGGATTGATCACCACCGAAGTTGTATTCTTGGCTAACATGATTTGGAACAGAGAAACCGGGTGCACCACTTGGACGGCGCTGTGTGCTCTGAGAGCTATACATCGAGGGGGCAAGAGGGGGCAAGGAACAAGAGAAAGCAACGAACGGGAGGCATCGAGCAGCGGGGTGAATCCCCAGGGGAAGCAAATGGTCATATGGCGCCTTTCTATTCAGATGCTAATCAGACTTCTATATACCGTGTTCAGACATAAATCAGACATGCAATCCTCATTAATCATATAAAATTCAATGTTAGGTTAGATTGTGATTCCTGTATTCTTAATCTGGAACGGCTGGTTTTCCCGTGTCGGTTTTGGATACGAAGCGGGTCCTTCCCACTACCCTATCACCAGGTGATTTACATTTTTGACCACCTCTGATTATGTACTGTTTATATGGCCTTTTCGCACACTGTCCAGGTCTGCACAAAAACTCGTTTCCGCAGTGACAGTAAAGATAAATTAGCGCCTTTGAAGTTTGCTGTGGGTGGAAAATTGTTGGCCATTGGCTGCGACCAGGCTATATATATATACCTGTGATATCTCTTTCGTCAGAAGGACCTTCTATCAAAAAATATCGTGAGCTCGAACACATTTATTCCTCAGTCAAACTAGCGACAAGTGCTGCCAACAAGTCAATATTCTTAGATGCAAGTGATATCTTTTGGGCACCCACGGATTCCACACCCTAGGCTGATGAACCAGCACAGGGGTCGGACCCACAAATTGACCTGCGAAAAGTCCCACAACTTTTTTCGACGATACACGACACGGTCTCGATGTACAATGGAACCGTCATCTATACTTGAAGAGCTCCTCTATAACACGAGATTCCCAGGCGATTGTTTTCTGACAGGCGGCTTTAACCGTTTGTAGTGGACCCGTCCCTAGTAGGTGCCTTGTCCTATTGTGGATGTCATCATTGTTGATGCTTTAGAATTTTAGATAGCGGCAACCTTTTCTTGTGTACGCCGTTTCGACGACATCTTTCAGATGACTTTCAACCCACAATGTCCGCACAACATCGCATTGCTTTGCCTATTTCCAAGAAGCAACCCCTCAGGATGCACTACCTAAGCCGAGTCAAAGACGCTCTATGTCCGACCTCAGTCGCACACGACAGCAACACTATGCTTCGATCACCGGTCGATCGGTTGCGTAGACTGTGCTAACTCCTTACAGATCAGTCATGCAGCGGAGAGCTTTTTGTCGAGGTGTGACTTGAAGGCGCTCCGCCACCTTGCCTTTGCGTCACTTCAATTAGTAGAATATGTACTTCGATAGCTGTGATTTAAAGCCTCCATACAACTCTCACCGCAAAGACCATGAGCTGCGAGAGCGAGTTGAAGGATGCATTCCCTGCGTCTGCCCTATTGCTGCCAAACCCGGTTGCGGGATTGTTTACCGGATCTCTGGCTTGAAGTACTTGCCTTACGAACGCTGTGTTCCTCAAGGTGCAGAACACAATTTTTTTGGATGCAATATAGATTGTATAGATAAGCAAGACAATATGGATGATACAGCTCAGAAATACACCTAATGTCCCAAAAGTCCTATGCGTGGCAACCAAGCCAAAAGTCTACTACAAAGCGTCTGTTGCACAACCGAGATAATCGCGTACCTCATCCAGGCTGTGCAGCTGAGGCAGGAAACGAGAGCTTAGTGCCGAGACCAATAACTCGTGGTGTTCGTCATGGAAAGGTGTTTTGTTGTGGGCTATTTCGTGCAAGACGATATAGTACCTGTGGGGGCAAGGTTGGATGAACATATCGTGGCCGGTGATGCTCTACATCTACATACCAGTGAATATATGCCTCACCGAGCGACATGCCATATTCCAGGTCTGTGCACCATAACATGTAAGGGCTTTGATAGGTAGCATGAAGGTTGACCTACTTTTCGTGTAGTGCGCAAGGTTCAAGAAAATGAGCCGGTTGCGATTGAATCCCATCAAGTCATGATCATCTGGATGCCAGAAGATATTGAATATGGGGTTTTCAGTATTACTCAGGTCCAGAACTCTGTTGAGTCCATGAACAATGTTTGCAAAGTCCGATAATTCGCCTGTAGGAATGGGTAGATGTGTAGTAACTGCGACTGTTTATTTCATGCTGACGCCAAAAACGAGGGAACTTACTTTGTCGCCAAACTATCATAAGACCGGCGGCACCGTACACATCTGGAGTTCGTTCATTACCAAGACATGTTTATTAATAAAAACCCACGTACCAACGGCTTCCAAAGCGGTACTCTTGAGCTTAGTACAGTATTTGACGTCTTTCATCTTCCAAACAGCGGCTCCATGAGCTTGCGCAATGCTGTCCACTGCCACAAGTGAGATAAAGGCATTGCAAAAAGTCATGAGCAATTACCATCGTAGCCTCGTTTTCTCAAGACTTCCTTGTCCGTCTCCAATATTGCACCGTGACCACCGTATTTCCTATTTCGGAATCTGGACCTTATGATATTCCTACCACCATGCTGCCACCTATCAGACTCTTCTGAGTGCTTCTTCGCTAGCCTTTCGCGCTCTGGGGACTATTTAGCTCACAGTTTTAGTACATGACTCAAATATTTATTGTATTACCTTCTTCCTTAGCATGATCTTCAAAAACAGCGGCTCCATGAGCTTGCGCAATGTTGTCCACTGCCACAAGTGAGATAAAGGCATTGCAAAAAGTCATGAGCAATTACCATCGTAGCCTCGTTTTCTCAAGACTTCCTTGTCCGTCTCCAATATGGTCATCAGACTCAGAACATCGTGCTTCTTGTGAGTCTTGAAAAGAAGACGACAAAGTGCGACGGCAACACTAAAGAAATCCAGTCAGTGATATATGGGTGCAGAGGAACATGAATTCACTTACTCATACATGTCAAGGTTTTCCGTTTTTTTGAGCCATAGAACAACACGACCGCTTTCTTCTGTGGTGAGCTCGGCGGATACGTGAAATTCGGTGCTTTCTTTCTGACGCTCAGCCGAGATTCGGTAATTAGAGTCAAGTGTCTTGTCCACTGTGAGTCCTTTGCAACCTTTCACGAGAAAGAGTGATGGATCGTCCCACTTCCGGTGCACTGCACCCTTCTTGAGACGTTGCTCGTCAAACTCATGCATAAAGATGGGCAACTTCTCCAAAATCGCCTTTCGAACTTCCTCGCAGCGAGGCCACTTAGGTTGCTCGCCGTCTGGTTTCACGTTGTATTTGATGTGGGCACTCAAATATCCAGATCCCACTGATTCGTAGAGCTCTTTGACTCAGTTAGCGAAGTCCATATTCAAAGCACGGGAGGCTTAGCTGACTTTCGAGCAGCTCATCCTGGGGAGCCAACCAGACAAACTCTCCAAAGATCCGGCGGTTCTCCATGTCGTCAGCGAGCAGGATCTTAGATGCTGGAACGAGCTGGAATTCGTTGACGACGGGGTTATCTGGATGGGAGGACTTGAAGGTGCGATAGCCGACGAATATTGGAGCATTCTTCATCTTTTTCTTGTCCTCTTCGGCAAGCCCCTCATACCCAACCGCAATTCCACGAAGCTCGACAAGATACCTGCATTGATTATGAGCACAGCTGAGAGATGATTCTGCAGGGTATTCACGTACTTCTCAGGGCCCATTTTTTTGAGGAACTCCTTGGGGTCCTTCACCAGAATATTTACAATATCAGAACAATCAGGCTCGGCCTTGACACCGCAAGCTTTCAGAAAGCGATTTGCACGTTCTTCAAAGTCCACGAAGGTAAATAGTCGCCGGTAAAGGTGCTCTTCTCCGTATTGGCTACCACCGACGAAGCACTCCCGAGGTCGCATCAGGCGAGGTAGAACGAAATTTGAATATTGAGATGCGGGTTGTTCAACGGGGACGATAGGAATATCGGCAATTTGCTGAAGATCTCGAGGAGAGAGAACTGTTTGAATGGTGCACCGTTGAGAAAATGAGAGATAACCAAGTAGCATGTCTAACCTTGCTTTGTCGCGAGAAAGCCGAACCATCTCTTAGCTGTATTGGCATCCCTGGGCGGACTGGCCTTGAGAACCTCGATCACTTGTTTTGCCGATGGTGCTTCCCGCATCCTCAGTCGGCCGATGATCTTCCTATCGACAGAAGGATGGACTTTCAAGAACCACATCGTTGCCCATGATGGATCGGAATAAACCTTGATATGCGTTTCCGCTTCAGTTCCACGAATCCATGTGAAATACCAACAAGATCTCACCTCCTCGTAAGCGCCTACACATTCACGACTTTCTCGCATAGCTGGTATGAACGGCATGTTGTCGTATTTCGAAGGATCATACTCTGTATCATAGAGCTCATCAAACTTGCTCGCAAGGTACCCGAAGGCAGCACGTTGAACTTTAGGGTCAGGGTTCCCAGCAATCTCAATGAGCTTCTCCAAAGGTGGGTGTCGAAGGAATCCCATCTCGGTCAAAAGTAGCTCTGAAGCAGAGTCAGCTGAAAGCTAGAGAAGACATGCGGAAAGAAAAAAAATGTACCATCCTCGGAATCTTTGTCAATCCTGCGAGACCAAGCGAGAATCGGCAGGCCCAGCGGGCGAATCTCCGGGTGTGGAAGGTACAGTTCAGTGATGCAGTATTTCCCGCCTTTATCGCAAGGGAAGACAGGGTGCGTCCGGATGTCCTCCATCCTCTCCATGGCGTTTGGGTCAGTGGTCATGTATCTGATCATCTCAATTGCCGACCACGTGTTCTGTTGGTCTGCCCTGGAAAGTTATCAACGACGCTAAATCAAGCCCTTGAAATTTAACGCACTTGGCAAACAGCACTTCAATGTCAAGATGCCGCTTGACCCCGAACTCGCTGAGTACAGTGAGAACTTGTGGATCGAACAGGCTGACGGAGACGACTGGCAAATCACGAAAGACGTCCGCTTCCGGAAAATACGCTCCACCGGGTGGCTGGAATCCCATATTTGTTGCAATCCATGGGACGTTCTGCATGAGATCCTGTGCCTGAGATTTCATGTCACTGGACAACATGGACCAAATATTGCCCAGAACCGACAGGACACGGTTGGAGTACGTAGTGCTTTTGCGGATGTCATGAGCCGCATCGATCTGAGGGCTTATCAAGTGACTCAGCCAGTCCACAACGGACATTGGCTGCCACAGAAGCGATGAGGAAATGTGTTGTCGATCGAGAGGCCTGGTAAACGAAAACGGGATGGTGTCTGGAGGAAGAGCATCGTCCGACTGGAGCCAAGGGAGCCAAACGTTGGAATCAACAAACTTGGTGATGTTGCGAAGTTCCATAACACGCATGGAATTCCCAATTCGCGACTTGGCCTGCCCTGTCAGATGGGGCAGGAATGTGAGAGTACTTTCCTTCTTTTCTTCGTCTTCAAGCCCACTTATGAAGTTGACCCACCACCGCAGAAAACCGACCATCTCTTCCTCTTGCAAGGTCCTTCTGCTCAGTTCGCCCAGCACGTCTTCGAACGTACAGATCCGGACCTTATATTTCTCAGGAAGGGACCCACATAAACTACGCGGGTCGCCAGGTAACGGCGTCACGGTTGTAGGCAGGAGGTTCGGAAATTTGGTGTCAGATTCTCGAATGTCCTTAGTATACCGAATGCCGAAACTTGACAAGATGGGGAAGCAATCGTTGAGGGAATAGTCGACACAGTCGAAAAATGCATCTTTCAAGATTTTCGAGACTTTGCCCTCCGGAGTGGATGGTTGGAACGTGAAGTAGCGCATGACATATGAGGCCTTGGCTCTCGAAAGTGACGCCGAAGCATTGGCAGTCGGGACAACATCACCATTGACTGCAGGCCAAGTATCACGGACCTTGCAAATCTCCTGTTCATACACGAGTCTCGCAAGGAACCCACCAACGTACAGGAGTTCTTCATTCCACTCTGTGTGTATTATCAGCACGCCCCAAAGGAAAACGACGGAGAAGTTGGAACGAACTTGCGATATGACCATTTCTAAGCAATTGTGAGATAACTTTAAGTGCGAAAAATAAACACTCACGTTAGATCAATGGATCCTCGTTCTGCAGTGGAAATGAATTGGCAAGACATGTGCCCACCAATGCCAGTCGTCTGCGCTGTACTTCTACCCTGCGACTCATCAGCATATTTCTCATCAAACACGATGTAGACTTACGATAAAGATCCGGGCCATGTATTCCCTAAAAATAATGAAAAAATGACAATTTGCAAAGAAAAAAACAAGCAGCATACCCATCTAGCTGAGGAAATAGACCTTGCGGTCCCCTGAATACGCTTCCCATGTCAGGATCGCTCTTCTCCTCTGCTGCTCTTGCATCCTGTTCCCCTTTGGAGAACTGTAGTCACAGTGAGCACCAAGTAAACAACAAGATCGCTGAGGCTCACGTAAACCATGTGAAAAACCATGTTGGAAGGAGGATCCTTCCTCGTCATTGCCCTTAAGCCCTTATGGAGGTCCTTACTAGGAATAGTCGTCACTTGAGCCGAATATACCGCATATCTGGCACTACGAGTCCACCAGGGCCGGTGGTCATGAGTTGATGCTTGAGATACAACTTTGGTGACTTTGGGGGCTTCGCTCTTGAAGCCATCCCAAAAACCCTTGCGTTTCATAGGATTCTTTGAGCGATGTGCAGGAGATATATTTGTCCCCGCGGCGCGTGCCCAGTCCGTGAGTTCAACAGTAATTTCTTGGGCTGTAAAGACGAATCAATATGCTTCATGTGCCAAAATCGCAGCGTGCCACCCACTGGCTACTGAGAGTCCCTTGATGTTCATCGTGCCCTCCTTACTCCTCATCAACATACATTTGGGAACACGAATCGGGTTGGGTGCCTGTCTTGACTTGGCGATCGTTATGAGGACTTTGTTGTCGAAGAAAACAAGGGCATTTTCCACACTCGACATGAATGTCATGGTAGCTGCTAGGAACCGGGCCAGGTCGAATGGCTTCGGGATGGAATTTTCCATATCTTTTTTCAGCACCATTTCGATGGAAGTCCACTCACTCGGGGCACAGATATCCTCCAATGTATATAGCTGGAGGAAGATGTGAATAATGTACAACCTGTACTGAGCATCATAGCAAACCTGATCGCCTTCAAAGAATATCGACAGACTTTTGCCTGTCAGATAGACCGATTGATACTGTGTATCTAGTCAAGGAACAGGCTTGGCGCTCACATCCAGACAAGACCACAGGGCTGTCGGTAACACCGAAAACGCTGTAGAACCCTACAAAGAAAAATGCTATTAGGAGGCTAATTGAATGCGATACATGATTCTACGGACCACCGCCAAAGGCTTCGATCTCCTGTTCGTCCGGGTTGCAATCCGCTAGTAAAAACATGAGTGTCAGATTATTTGACGAAATATATGTAGAAACATCATACCAATCTTCATCAGCTGTCCCCAGTCCTTCTCTTCAAAGTAATCACCATTGTTGCGAACAATACATTTGAACAACTTTCAAGATCCTAAGCGATAATTTCGAGGACAACATCCCAAGCTCACCTCCGTAGTGTTCAAGTCTGGGACCGTACTATTGATGATTCCATTTAGTGCGTTACCATTTGCTCCCGCAGAATGTGTAGCATAGTCTCTCGTCTGAAATTCTATGAGGACCTTCGTGGCTCTTGCATCGTCAGCGTTCTGTAATAGCTCTCGAAATACTGGGCACTCCTCAGTCGACCGCGCTACGCAACATAGTGGAGCTCAGCGAACCTGTAAACTCTTCGGGATATCGAGCGAGCACTTTATCGACCAGTGCACGCTGGTTTACTGCTACTTTCTTCGGCGTCCTAGTCGCAGTCTGCGCACCTATTATCAGCCTATTGCGAGCGTGTAAGCGACTAGTACTACCCACCTCACTTGCCATGACGCCCGTGACTTATGCCGGTGTGCTGTTACTGTGGTTGTGAGGGGCTTATAGATTCGAAAGTATGAGGTGGTATTTACAGGCGCTGTACTGACTGTGAATGTGGAAACAAGCAGGCGCCATTTTCTTGCCTGTCGAACCTGAAGATAACGCTTCAGCTTTCAACCGCCACGGCGCTAACTCACCAAACCTTCAAGCTTTTTCATATGGCTTCAAGCAATGATTCTGCGTGAGTCCTTATTGTGACGTGATTGTGAGAGTAAGAGTTGAATGCGTTGGTTCAAGTAGCCTTCTCCAGCAGATTGTCGACATCCTACAGACCTCAACAATCGCTGAAGAAAGAGGAAAGGACGAAAGTTCTAAATTTTGGGCTGCATACAAAAAAGTGTCCAGTGAATATGACAACGACATGTTAGAGAGGTGTAATGGCAATATGGATATAGTCCTGATCTTCGTATGTGTGTTCTTATGTCAACACTAGTACTCCATGACAATTTACAAACGAACTAGGCTGGTCTGTTCTCAGCCGCCAATACTGCGTTCATCATTGCAATGCAACCGAATCCTGTCGACACTACCAATGCTCTTGTATTTCAACTCATCCAGATTACATTGTACGGCTCTTCTGCCGCCCAGCCAAACCTTTCGCCATCCACTAGTTACTCTCCTTCAAATGTCTGGACACAGGCGCTTGCATATGCAAGCCTTGCGTTCAGTCTTGTAGCCGCCTTTGGTGCTATGCTGGGCAAGCAATGGCTGGGTTATTACAAGACTGAACGTTATGGCCGTGGATCACTTAAAGCCCGATGCAAGCAAAGGCATCGCAAGTTTCTGGGGCTAAAAGCATGGCGGTTCGAAGATGTATTGCAGTTATTCCCAGTCCTTCTCCAGATCTCTTTGTTCCTCTTTGGACTGTCCCTCGGAGCTGCAATGTGGACGCAACAGCAAATCATTTCCATCCTCATCATTGCAACAACTGCTTGTGGCGCCCTCTGCCATGCCTGCACCATCTTGGTAGCTCTGAATTCTCCCGACTGTCCATTCCAGACGCCCGTCTCCTTAGCTATCCGAGCGGTCTTTCGTCATTTTTGCCCAAGTGCCGGTCGCCGGGAGGATGACGAACTTGATGAAGGTTCGAATGCGTCCGCCATGCAGTGGATTTTGGAGACTTCGACCAACCCTGATGTCATCGTGTCAGTGGTTGATTTGATGCTTACCATGCCCCGTTGGCCAACCGTAGATCTTACATTAGCATGTGAGCTTGTAGGGGACATGTTCGAAGCATGTTTCGGTGGCCAGGTGGTGGACAAAGACCGTGCACTGGTATTAGGAAGGGCGATGATCAACATCTTCTGGGATCGTCCAGGAGTAAATGATTTACTTCGTCGCAAAATCCCAGGAGAATGGATTCACTGGAGATCGTGGCGCAACATATATCTTCCTTGGGCACTGGAACAGTGTCATATCTCATTCCGTCGAATGACAGAAGCTGATGATACACATCCACGGCACCAAGCAGACACGCGCACTGCTCTGTATAGAGCCGTGGCTGCTGGCAGGGACGGATTTTCTAGTCCAGATCCTGAAACATACGTAGACCTGGTTTGGAATGGTCAATTTGGATTGGAACTCGATCTCCCGGGCATTGACTGGCTTGTGGACTGCGCACGTCAGTTCAACATCACCAACGATTTTGATGAGGCGGGGTATGCTCTCCTCTTACTTGGTGGTGTTCAGAAGGAATCGTCGTTCCTCAGTCAAACATCCCTCGCTCCATTGTTGAATAGCAGCCATCAATCCAACCATCAATCGCATAAATTGCGCCATAGCGCACTTCGTGCCGCTTGCCGGGCTCATGACTACAAAAACAACTCACCCTGCGATCCAACTTTCTCAAAGGCTGTCCTGATGGCCATATGTCCCCCCATCCCGAGCGGACACAACATAGACGATTTTTTGATCGCTAATGCAATTCAGCTGCTCAACTTCACTGAGTGGCCCAAAGATGACGATCTAGCAGGTTCCCCTCTGCTCGACATTCAGCGTCTGGTGCTCCTTGCATTGCCGGTACCGAAACTTGACGATCCCGCGAAGTATACTAGTTACTGCCACGCACTCATTCGTTTCATGCGTACGGATAGACGCGATGACTCCAAACGTACCGCCTTGCGTATAGCTTGTGGTCTGAGACAAGACCTGACTGCAGGTTACGGGTGGTTAAAAGCCCAGGTCATCTCCGAACTTTCCTCAGCTCTCCTCACCATAGTTCCATACGGTTTCGATGTTGACGATGATTTCCACTATCTCCGTCTCATCTTCGTTCTGTCAACCAGTGTCGATTGGCTCCCTCATTTGCTCGAGGATGGCCACATTGACAGGTGCATCAGAATTCTTCTTGATTTTTGTGACCAACCTCCTTGCCTCTTTTACCTCTTCGGAATCTTCATTCGCGCTCCTCAACTCGCCGCCCAGTCAATCACCACGAGGAAACAGTGGTGGGACCTGATGAGGAAGGCATGGCATGCTGCCGGCGGCCTCTCTGACGTACATCACAATTCTGATGTTCTGGATGATGGTATCGAGATCCTTAAAGTTCTTGTCAGGGGCACAGAGATGCACATGCCACAGGATGCTACTATAAACGAGCTTGAAATCCTTCGTAGGGGGCTAAGCGGCACTCTTGACAAGTTGGCATTGCGAGAAACACCGGAGAACGAGAGTATTGAATCTGCAGTGAGAGGTTTGAAGGATATGGTAGATCGTAAACTTAATGCGGAGTGAGTCGCAGTACATATCATGAGTTTATAGTCGCATCATCTTGCATGTACTCCCAAGTAGTTTTAAGAATCTGTCACTGTACTAGATATTTGACATTATCTTCGTCGCAACGGGGACCTCAACTGCCTCTGCGTTCTTGGTGAACAATCGGAGCTCAGCAAAAAACTCATTCTCAAATTTGAAAAGTTGGCTCATCTAAAGTCAAAGAGATCACCTCAATGGCCTGGAAGCTTCTCAAGAGATCAAAATCTGGACTCGAGGACTTCCTTTGAAATTCCAATGACGACTCTCATTAAGCATGCTTCAGTTTAGTGAGTCGTCGGTATTTCGGATCCTGATGTTTATTCACGTTCAATAGTTTCCACCGTGCTTCCTCCTTACAGATCAGTCATGCTGCGAAGAACTTTTTGTCAAAGTGTCGACGGTACTCTGCGACCTTGCATTTGCGTCGCTTTGATTAGTGGAGCACGAACTTCGATAGCTGTGATTTAAACCCTTCGTACATCTCTCACCGCAAAGACCACGAGCTGCGAGAACGGGTTGAAGGAATGCATTCCCTACATATATCCTATTGCCGCCAAACCTGGTTGCGTCAGTGCATGCCCGCACGAGTGGTGGATTATTTGTTCGATCTCTGGCTTGAAGCACTTGGGACGCCTTATCCACGCAGCATTCCTCTAACGTGCAGAACACAAAACTTGCGTGCAATATAGGTTGATTGGGTATAGATAAGCAAGACGACATGGATGATATAACTCAGAAATACACCTAATGTCCCAAGAGTCCTATGTATGGCAACCAAGCCAAATATCACTACAAAGCGTCTGTTGCACAACCGAGATAATCGCGGACGTCTTCCAAGTTGTGCAGGTGCGGTAGGAAACGAGAGCTTAGTGCCGAGACCAATAACTCGTGGTGTTCGTCATGGAAAGGTGTTTTGTTGTGGGCTATTTCGTGCAAGACGATGTAGTACCTGTGGGGGCAAGGTTGAATGAATATATCGTGGCCGGTGATGCTCTACATCTACATACCAGTGAATATATGCCTCACCGAGCGACATGCCGTATTCCAGGTCTGTGCAACATAACATGTAAGGGCTTTGATAGGTAGCATGAAGGTTGACCTACTTCTCGTGTAGTGCGCAAGGTTCAAGAAAATGAGCCGGTTGCGATTGAACCCCATCAAGTCATGATCATCTGGATGCCAGAAGATATTGAATATGGGGTGTTCATTATTACTCAGGTCCAGAACTCCGTTGAGTCCATGAACTATGTTTGCAAATTCCGACAATTCGCCTGTAGGAATGGGTAGATTTGTAGTAACTGCGACTGTGTTATTTCATGCTGACGCTAAAACGAGGGAACTTACTTTGTCGCCAAACTGTCAGGAGACCGGCGGCACCGTGCACATCTGGAGTTCGTTCATTACCAAGACATGTTTATTAATAAAGACCCACGTACCAACGACTTCGAGAGCGGTACTCTTGAGCTCAGTACAGTATTTGACGTCTTTCATCTTCCTGCTTGCACCACTGTATTCCCTATTTCGGATCTGCTGTTCTTCTGGGCTGGCCTGTCCTTTGGCACACTGGTCCATTATTTCATCGATCGCATGGCCTTGATGAAATGAGCTCGCTGAGGGACTTGAGGTATAATATGAGACATACTAATTCCCCCGGGGTCGACTTTACCGGCATTCTTGGATCCTCTCGACTGCCACCTGAAGAAGTCAAGGAATCTGGACCGTACGCGGGTAGTCCCATACTGCCCTGCGCCGGACTCCTCTGCACGCTTCTTCGCTAGCCTTTCGCGCTCTGTGGGGTGATTGGTTAATAAGGCTAGGCAGCTGGCTCAAAGACGCATTGCATACCTTCCTCCTTTTTCTTGTCTTCAAGAATAGCGGCTTCGTGAGCTTTCGCAATCCTGTCCACTGCCACAAGTGAGATATAGGTATTGCAAAAGTCATGAGCAATTACCATCATAGCCTCGGTTCCTCAAGACTTCTTTGTCCGTCTCCAATATAGTCATCAGACTCAGAACATCATGCTTCTTGTGAGTCTTGAAAAGAAGACGACAAAGTGCGACGGCAACACTAAAGAAATCCCGTCAGTGATATATGGGTGCAGAGGAACATGAATTCACTTACTCATACATGTCAAGGTTTTCCGTTTTTTTGAGCCATAGAACAACACGACCGCTTTCTTCTGTGGTGATCTCAGCGGATACGTGAAATTCGGTGCTTTCTTTCTGACGCTCAGCCGAGATTCGGTAACCAGATTCAAGTCTCTTGTCCACTGTGAGTTCTTTGCAACCTTTTACGAGAAAGAGTGATGTATCGTTCCACTTCCGGTGCACTGCACCCTTCTTGAGACGTTGCTCGTCAAACTCATGCATAAAGATGGGCAACTTCTCCAAAATCGCCTTTCGAACTTCCTCGCAGCGAGGCCACTTAGGTTGCTCGCTCACCGGTTTCACGTTGTATTTGATGTGGGCACTTAAATATCCAGATCCCACTGATTCGTAGAGCTCTTTGACTCAGTTAGCGAAGTCCATATTCAAAGCACGGGAGGCTTAGCTGACTTTCGAGCAGCTCATCCTGGGGAGCCAACCAGACAAACTCTCCAAAGATCCGGCGGTTCTCCATGTCGTCAGCGAGCAGGATCTTAGATGCTGGAACGAGCTGGAATTCGTTGACGACGGGGTTATCTGGATGGGAGGACTTGAAGGTGCGATAGCCGACGAATATTGGAGCATTCTTCATCTTTTTCTTGTCCTCTTCGGCAAGCCCCTCATACCCAACCGCAATTCCACGAAGCTCGACAAGATACCTGCATTGATGATGAGCACAGAGATGATTCTGCAGGGTATTCACGTACTTCTCAGAGTCCGTTTTTTTGAGGAACTCCTTAGGGTCCTTTATCAGAATATTTACAATGTCAGAACAATCAGGCTTCGCTTTGACACCGCAAGCTTTCAAAAACCGATTTGCACGTTCTTCAAAGTTGACGAAGGTAAATAGTCGCCGGTAAAGGTGATCTTCTCCGTATTGGCTACCACCGATGAAGCACTCCCAAGGTGGCACCATACGAATGGTGTACTCAGCGCAGTCCGGATCTTGAGATGCACGTTCCTTGACGGGGACGATAGGAATCTTAGCAATTTCTTGAAGATCCCCAGGAGAGAGCACTGTACGAACATTCAGAAAACGAGAGATGGGCAAAAAAACGTTTCTAACCTTGCTTTGTTGCAAGAAAGGTGAACCATTTTATCGCCATGTCGGTGTCCTTGGGCGGACTGGCCTTGAAAACCTCGATCACTTGTTTTGCCGATGGTGCTTCCCGCATCCTCAGTCGGCCGATGATCTTCCTATCGACTGAAGGATGGACTCTCTGGAACCCCATCAATGCCCATGATGGATCGGAATAAACCTTGATGTGCGTTTTCCACTTCAGTTCCACGAATCCACGTGAGATACCAACAAAATCTTACCTCTTCGTAAGCGCCTACACATTCACGATTGTCTCGCATAGCTGGTATGAACGGCATGTCGTCGTATCTCGAAGGATCATACTCTGTATCATAGAGCTCATCAAACTTGCTCGTAAGGTACCCGAAGGCAGCACGTTGAACTTTAGGGTCAGGGTTCCCAGCAATCTCAATGAGCTTCTCCAAAGGCGGGTGTCGAAGGAATCCCATATCGGTCAAGAGTTGCTCTGCAATTGAGTCAGCTGAAAGCTAGAGAAGACATGCGGAAGGAAAACAATGTACCATCCTCGGAATCTTTGTCGATCTTGCGCGACCAGGCGAGAATTGGTAGGCCCAGCGGGCGAATATCCTCATGTGGAAGGTACAAGTCAGTGATGCAATATTTCCCGCCTTTATCGCAAGGGAAGACAGCGTGCGTCCGGATGTCCTCCATCCTCTCCATGGCGTTTGGGTCGGTGCTGATGTATCTGATCATCTCAATTGCCGACCACGTGCTTAATTTGTCTGCCCTGGAAAGTTGTCAACAATGTTAAATCATGGCCTTAAAATTTAACGCACTTGGCAAACAACTCTTCAAAGTCAAGATGCCGCTTGACCCCGAACTCGCTGAGTACAGTGAGAACTTGTGGATCGAACAGGCTGACGGAGACGACTGGCAAATCACGAAAGACGTCCGCTTCCGGAAAATACGCTCCACCGGGTGGCTGGAACCCCATATTTGTTGCAATCCATGGGACGTTCTGCATGAGATCCTTTGCCTGAGATTTCATGTCACTAGACAACATGGACCAAATATTGCCCAGAACCCCCAGGACACGGTTGGAGTACGTAGCGCTTTTGCGGATGTCATGAGCCGCGTCGATCTGAGGGCTTATCAAGTGACTCAGCCAGTCCACAACGGACATTGGCTGCCACAGAAGCGATGAGGAAATGTGTTGTCGATCCAGAGGCCTGGTAAACGAAAACGGGATGGTGTCTGGAGGAAGAGCATCGTCCGACTGGAGCCAAGGGAGCCAAACGTTGGAATCAACAAACTTGGTGATATTGCGAAGTTCCATAACACGCATGGGATTGGAATTCCCAATTCGCGACTTGGCCTGCCCTGTCAGATGGGGCAGGAATGTGAGAGTCCTTTCCTTCTCTTCTTCGTCTTCAAGCCCACTTATGAAGTTGACCCACCACCGCAGACAACCGACCATCTCTTCCTCTTGCAAGGTCCTTGTGCCCAGTTCGCCCAGCACATCTTGAAACGTGTACTCCCGGACCTGATATTTCTCAGGGAGTGAGTCCACTAAACTAGGCGGGTCGCCAGGTGACGTCGGAAGACGTGTAGGCACCAATTTCATGAAGGGGGCGAAATCGACGTGAGAGTTCCGAACTTCCTTAGTGTAACGAATACCGGAATTTGTCAAGACGGGAAAATGATCGTTGAAAGAATAGTCGAAGCAGTCGAAAAACGCTTCTTGCAAGATTTTCGAGACTTTGGCGTCCGGAGTGGATGGTAGGAACGTGAAGTAGCGCATGGCATATGTGGCCTTTTCTCTTGAAGATAATGCCGAAGCGTTAGCTGTCGGGACAACAGTATCGTTGACTCTAGGCCAAACATCCCGGACCTTGCGAATCTCCTGTTCATACACGAGCCTCGCAAGGAACCCACCAACATACAGGAGTTCTTCATTCCACTCTGGGTGAATTATCAGTACGCCTTAAAGGAAACCGATGAAGAGGTTGGCACGAACTTGCGACATGACCGTTTCTAAGCAATCGTGAGATAACTTTAAGTGCGAAAAATAAGTACTCACGTTAGATCAATGGATCCTCGTTCCACAGTGGGAATAAATCGGCCAGACATGTGTCCACCAATACCAGTCGTCTGCGCTGTACTTTGACCCTGCGACTCATCAGCATGTTTCTCATCGAACGCAATGTAGAACCTACGATGAAGATCCGGGACATGTATTCCCTAAAAATAAAAATAATGATAACATGACAACGTGCACAGATAAAAACAAGCAGCATACCCATCTAACTGGGGAAATAGACCTTGCGGTCCTCTGAACACGCTTCCCATTTCAGGGTCGCTATTCTCCTCTGCTGTTCTTGCATCCTGCTCCTCTTTGGAGAACTGTATTTATGATGAGCACAAAGTTAACAACGAGATCACTGCAAGACTCACGTAGACCATCTCAAAATCGAAGTGGGAAGGAGGATCTTTCTTGGTCATTGCTCTTAAGCCCTTGTGAAGGTCCTTGCTAGGAGTAGTCGTCACTTGAGCCGAATATACCGCATATTTGGCACTATGGGTCCACCAGGGCCGGTTGTCATAAGTTGATGCTCGAGATACGACTTTGGAGACTTTGGCGACTTTGGCGATTTCGCGCTTGGAGATATCCCAGAAACCTTTGCGTTTCACAGGATTCTTTGGTTGATTTTCGGTGCCAGAGTGATGTGAGGATGTTAGCTTCGTTCCTACGGCGCGTGCCCAGTCCGTGAGTTCAACGGTAATTTCTTGGGCTGTAAGGTCGATTCAGTATCTTCACGTGTCAAAAATGCAACGTGTCACCCACTAACTACTGAGAGTTCCTTGATATTCATCGTGCCCTCCTTGCTCCTCGGCACCATATCTTTGGGAACACGAATCAGGCTGGGTACGTGCCTAGACTTATTGATCTTCATGAAGACTTTGTTGTCGAAAAAAACATGGGCGTTTTCCACAGTCGACATGAATGTCATGGTAGCTGCCAGGAAACGGGCCAAGTCGAATGGTTTCGGGAAGGAAACTTGCAAATCTTCCTTCAACTCCATCTCGATGGAAGTCCACTCGCTCGGGGCACAATCATCGTCCAGCGTATATAGCTGGAGGAACATTTGAGCAATGCGGAGCAAGCTTACTGAGCTTCATAGCATACCTGATCGCCCCGAAAAAATATCGACAGACTTTTGCCTGTCAGATGTAACGATCTAAATGGTAGATCTGGTTAAGGAAAGGGTTTGGCGCTTACCTCCAGACAAGACCAGCGGGCTGTCGGTGATACTGAAGACACTGTAGAACCCTACACAAAACAACATCATGAGGAGGCTAATTGAAGGCGATCACGAATCTACGAACCGACGCCAAATGCTCCAATCTTCTGTTCGTCCGGGTTGCCATCCGCTGGTAACACTTAGTGCAAATTATTCGACGAAAGAGTCATCATACCAATCTTCGTCAGTCGTCCCCAGTCCTTCTCTTCGAAAAAATCACCGTTGTTGCGAACAACCCATTTGAACAACTGTTGGGATGCTAAGCACCAATTCCGAAGGCAGCACTACCCCAAGCTCACCTTCGAATTGCTCAAGTCCGGGATATCGGTCGTGCCATTGATTCCATTTGTCTTGCCATTTGCTTCCACAGAATGTGAAGCGTAGGCCTTCGTCTGAAACTCTATTACGACTTTCGTGGCTCTGGCGTCGTCAGCATTCTGTAATAGCTCTCGAAACACTGGGCGCTCTTCAGTCCATCGCGCTACGTAATAGTGTGGACCAACGAACCTGTAAACTCTTCGGGATATCGAGCAAGCACTTTATCGACCAGCGCACGCTGGTTCACTTCTACTCTCTTGGCTCTCCCATTACTGGTCGCAGTCTGTACACTTAGTCTAGTGCGAGCGCCTAATATGGAAACTACCCACCTTGCTCGCCATTCATGCGCTAATGGTCTTCAGGTATTGAAAATTTTGCTTTTGCTGGTGTCCAGCGTTGAAACGTTGAAAGGGTATAGAGAAACGAAAGATGCTGTGGTATTTAAAGCTGTGGTGTTGGCTGTGAATGTGAAAGTAAGTAGGCGTCTGCTGGCATGTCGAGAATAACGTTTGATGTAAAGAAATCCACAGCCATTGACCATGCGGCAGTAGTCACACATACTTAGACGCCCAACAATGTTTCATTCAGAACTATAATGTAGCAACCGCGTAAATGGAAGAATCTCGTCGGGGCCACTCCGATCATTGTATCCAGCAAAAACGGGATGTAGTCTGATGCAGTGTTGTCGTAGACTCGTAGCCCTGTGTCCTGGCGCATTGAAAGCTGACCATCATATGGAAAGAAGACAGTCGTTCCTTCTTTATCCCATCATGCGTTCAATGGTCTTGCTGCAGAAGACCGCTCCGATTACTAGCCACTGGCGTAAGACATTACCTTTTATCATTTGATAGGACGTTTTTGGTGCCTCAAGGCCTTATGCATATGATTCGACGCTGGAATGGGTCAAGGGATCAAAGGGAAACGTTGGCAGGTTGGCACTATATCGTCAAGAAATGGAACCCATCCTCCCCAGTCTCCAGCCTTCAAAACTGCAGGTACCTCAAAGCGTTGCCTCCAGTCCATCCCCTCATCATCCTAGAGATTCCGACTCGAATCACTCCCTTGCTTTTCAGAATGGGATCGCGCATTATGACCAACCCCGGGCGTTGGTACACGAAACATCTTCAGAGTCTCTCGAAGCTACTTCAACGGAGCCTCGACCAGAAGGGCTTGGCCCCCTAGCCCGCTATATGATTGCAAGCCAGGCTTCATTGCCATTGCACTCACACCCGATGTATAGGCCGTATGATACTGACATCGAGAGCACCCTGCCTATTCAAACGCCCCGGGTGAGAATCGAATCTCGTGAGCGGCCTCTGGAAAGGATACCCCGCGACCTCATCCCTATTCCTGCCTCTTCAGTCATGAGATACAACCGGAAAATTCGGATGTAGGTCTAAACAGCCCTTCAATCAACCACATCGTTCATATTAGCGAATTCACAGACGAAGCTCTCGTTCTCGGTACACGATTCAGCCTGGAACAAAGGAGTTCTCCGAGTGAGTGTCTTGTTCTTGCATGCTCATCCCAAGCCAAACTTCAGGCGCTAGTGCAACACTCTGCCCTCATGGCTGGGAGGCCTTTACCCATCCGGAAGGCGCTCTATACTTCTATAATGCTGAGCGGGTGAGTACATTTTTACATTGATAAACATATCATTCAGCATCTTGCAGAGAATCTTCACAGATGCCAATCTGTACAAACACAAAAATGTTGACGTCATCACGACGTGCGCGGACCGTATCTTCGAAATCGCAATGGCGCAAGACATCGACTTGCCTGAAAACGTGGAACTCACTCTGGAGATCATGGACGAACGAAGGTCAGGGTTGTGGCGCTGCGGCTACTACTTTGCAGATCCCTCGAATCGCAGCATATTTTGGGTACACCCTTTTCAAGCTGAACCAATGTTCGGCAACGTCAAAGGGGTCAAATCTCCAGGGCATATTAGTCGGTCGATCCCGCAAGTCACTCCAGAGGTTGACTTACTGTTGTGCAGAATATGCCATTGAGTCTCAGTACTGGTAAATCTCTCCCGCGCAAGGTGAATATCCGTTGAAGCCTGGAAGATGCCATTTCGACTCACCGTCTCCTAGGTTCCTCTCCCAAGTTAAGTTGAGTGATTGCATGTGCAGGATGCACTGCGAGTTCTTTCCCAACAATCGAAGTATCGACGAGCCTCTCTTTCTTGAAGTCAAGGAAATTATCGTGCATGCGATATCAGGTGACAACAATGTTGAATTTTCAGTCGCGAATACTTAGTCAAGCTGCAGAGACTATTACGTCTGATACCTCGCTTGTACCCTTTGGTCGGGACGACTTGAGCAAGATGTTGGAGATTACCAGCTGTCTTGAAGGTTCTATCATGCTTTCATCAGTCACCCTCCAAAGCTAATCAACCCTCACAGGAAGTGTCAATCAAATTCGCCCTCATTCAATGTGTGTCCTGGGTGCGCGTCCTCTCGTTTCATTCTCGAAACATTACCGATCAATAATACGATTGCCCTTAGCCCGATTCATGCGCACGATTTGTACGTCTATCATTCCTTTGCCTAATCGTATGTTAGACGAGATCCAGCGCGCTCCAGGTTTTTCAACTTCTGTGGGCAAGTCGGGGCTCGTTTGGATGCTGACCAAACTGTCTACCTCAAAGGCCGGCGCCGGAGATCCATCCTCCTCAACATAGCGTCTCCCCTTCTTTTCGGCGCACCATACATCCACGCTCAAGGCTTGAACGCCATATGTGTTGACCAGCTCGTAAATCACATCTCGTGGAAGCGGTTCATTGACAAGCTCAACTCGGAGTGGGAGGCATTCACCCTATACGTATGTCGGCTCTTTTCATCTACCACACGTTTGTTGACCACATATTTCTGTTACAGTCCACAATTATCTTGAATGCTAATATCGCCTTCCTCGCTGTCCCTAACGTCAACCATGCCGCCCGAATATCCAGCTATGTATCCACTGTCAGCAGCGTCGGCGCGATCATCCTAGGCTTGCTTCTCATGCGTCTAAATCGCACGCATAAACGAGACTCTGCAGAGGATGCCGTAGGTTGACTTATGCCGGTAAAGCATCGATCTCACACTGGTTTAGGTTATTTTTATGACAAGAATAACACATTCCTTGTCTGGAAAAGAGATGCTGGCCATCGTCTACAGCATGCCTTACGCGTTCCTCTTGTGGGGGTATGTCCACTCAACCCGACTCTTACTTGCTCACCTATCTAATACCGTCGCCGTATCAGCATTATCTTCTTCGTCCTTGCATTCGCCTCCCTGGTTTTCCAGTACTCAGATGATATAACACGTGTCCTGGTTGGCTGTGCAGTTGGCTTGGTGACGCTCTTCGTGATATGGGCGGTGTGGGATTCACACACCGCCCTATGGTGGCTGTATCCAATCAGGCAACGAATCAAGAGGAACTTTCAGTATTGGGCTATGCGCAACCGCATCTTTGGCAAAGTCACGCATCAGCCGTCTGCGCGCCCTTCTCGGGAGGAAGGTGCATTGATGCCGCCAGACAACGACTCTGAATCGGTAGCGACAGACTCAGATTCGGAAGACTAGCCGAATCGTGAGATGGCCCTGGATCCAGGATGTTTTGAAATTGTTTGACCTATATTCTTCTGCGCCAGCGTCGTAGCTTCCATGCACCAGCCAATCCCAAATACTTGACTTTCTCTTGGTACTCTTTTTCGCTTTGGTGTTGTATGCGTCCCGGAATCTCATAAAGTTTCGCAGTTCTGGGTGTATTCATGTATTACACAGCTCCGTGACTGGCTGTCAATCCTTCGTGTCATAAATCACTGAACCCCCCGGAAAAGTCATCACCTCATAGGCGACCATAGGGATCGAGTGGTGGCCTGCCAAAGGTAGGCTGAGGGTGGAGTGATGATCAGCATCCTCATCAATCAAGAATCCATCGCCATCACTCACAATTGGTGCAGGTTTGTTTTGAAGGATTGCCTCAACTTTCTCTAGGATCTCAGGTGTCAGCTTGGGAATAACGTCCAACGCTTTCAAGTTATCGACCACCTGCTCGGGCTTGGAGGCACCGAGGATGACAGTGCTCGTGTTCGGATTCTTTGCAATCCATGCCAATGCCAAGTGCGTGACGCTACAGCCCAACTCCGTCTCGGCGAGCTTGGTGAGCGCTTGTACTTTGGCAATCTTGGCGAGGCCCTCCTCCTCGTTGAGGCTCTTAAGGGTATCCTTGAAGAAGTCGAAGTGAGCGGCGAATCGCGAATCTGCCGGAATACCGTTGTTGTACTAAAGATCACGGATCATCAGCAGTCGGATCTGCAATCTTTATTGAGAGTATTGATTACCTTTCCGGTGAGGAGGCCGCTAGCCAATGCAGACCAAACAGTGGTCCCGATGGAATATTTCTTGTACACAGGTGCGTACTCCTTTTCGGGGCGTTCACGGTGAAACATGCTAGATACTAATCAGGTTACTGGATCTCGTATAGTGTCTTTGCCAACTCACTGGTGCTGGCACTGCTCAGCAATAGGAGGGATCAGGTTAAGTTTCTCGGCGACGTCTAAACGGGCTCGTTAAAGTTAGGTCATTCGAGAGACGGGTGAAACGCACGGTAAGCCTCCTCAATGTCCCTGGCAGACCATTCTGATGTGGCCCAGTAGAATGCCTGCAAAGACCTTAGCATGACTGATAAACACGAGACCTGGGACTCACCCAGCCCTTCTCAATGACAAAGTTGAAAGCGCGGACGACCTCCTCCATCGGCGCTACAAACGATGTCTTTAATATCTCATGTTTGTGTTCACAACTTGAAAACATACTGGTGTAATCAGGACGGTGTGCGAAAATGACATCAACATAGTCGAGGCCAAGACGGTCCAGTGACTCTTGGGTACCTTCGATAATGCTGGGACGATGATGAGTTCATATGTCCTGAACCAAGTTCATCTGCACGCACTGTTTTCTCGAGAGACCAGTGTCATTGGGACCAGTACGGGTACCAAAGAACAATTTTGTGGTGATGACCAAATCAGAGCGACGATAGTTGAGTTCTTTGATAACACGACCCCTGTTCAGAGACCAGGTCAGAATAATTCGATGAGGCTGCCTTGGGCACGCACATTTCAATTTCCGATTGACCCTTTGCGTAGCCCTCGGCGGTGTCGAACATGTTGACGCCATGCTCAAAGGCAACTTTGATGATTTCCTGAGTGGAGTGAGGCTCCCCGTTCATATGCATCTAGGTTCACTCACCTTGACAGGGTCACCAACAACAGTTCCTCCCAGCGTCAGCCCTGCGAAGTATTCTCAGCACTTATACTTTCACGACTAACAAGCTGCTCACATCCACCAAGCGAGAATACGGGGACCCGTAGGCCGCTGGGGCCTAAACGGCGGAAATGCATGTTCTTGGGTTCGAACTCGGTGAAGTTGGTAGTCATGGCTGGTACAGTGGTGGTGTGCGGTAAGGTGATTGTTGAAAATAAGCACGATGGGACTTTACAATGTCTTCAACTCAAGTTATATATGCATGTGAAAGCTCGTCCATATCTAAGCGACTTTGTCTCGTTCATGTCAAAACCAATGATAGGGGTGTTATTTACAGATGCGGCAGCCATTTTTCCGACGAACGCCCGCAATTCGCCTTCTTTCAGCACCATCGAGTCATCGACTCGCTTCATCTCTCTCCACACTTCACTTCGAGCACAAAGCCGAAGGTTCCCGACCATTCAACAAATCAAAAGCTGACCCTTCTTGACAGACCTTTTAGGTGATACGTGTGAGTTCTCACTCAGTCAATACCTTCCTCGCGACGTCATGAGTACTTTCGGAAGACGATAAGACATCTGTCGAACAACGGAGCTCCATATCCCCCCACCTCATGGCAAGGCGAACTCAAATTTTTCATGTTCACATGGGCCATCGAATCACGGGCACTCCTGTAACACATCGACACTATTGATACTGGGAATTTATCTTCCGAACATGAGGTGGATCAACCTTCTCTTCTCACAGACGGCCGTTGGGATCCAGTGCCGGGCGACCAAACGTTGGCTGAAAGCACAAAGTTTCAGTTTGGTGAGTTTACTCATTAAAGGCAAGCACTTACCGAGGCAGCTGGTTGATTCTCCAGAATTGCCTCAATTTTATCCATTATCTCAGGGGTGAGTTTGGGAATGACATCGAGAGCCTTCAAGTTATCAAGGACCTGCTCAGGTTTTGAGGCTCCGAGGATAACAGTGCTGGTGTTCGGGTTCTTTGCGACCCACGCGAGTGCCAGGTGCGTGATGGTGCATCCAAGCTCTATAAGGTGCGTGTCAGCTTGACCAATCGTGTGAGACAAGAACGCAGGTAATTACCTTTTTCTGCGAGTGCGCTTAACTCATCGACCTTGCGAATCTTCGTGAGACCCTCCTCCTTCTGCAAACTTTCAACTGTGCCCTTGAAAAAGTTGGAGTGTGTCGAGAAACGGGTTCCCTCGGGGATACCGGCGTTGTACTGCATCCGCGATGAGAAAATGACTGTTGGCTTTTTGGAAGTAGCACACCTTTCCAGTAAGAAGACCGCTAGCAAGAGCGGAGAATACAGTGGTGCCCAGCTGGTATTTCTTGTACAAAGGTCTGTGGTAAGTTTTTGCTCAGCCACTGATCATAACTAAGATGATAGTGAGACTCACCGGTACTCCTTCTCGGGGCGCTCGCGATGGAACATGCTGATCAAAAACTCAGAAACATGCAATCGCAAAAATGTGGGACACCTACTTGTGTTGACATTGCTCGGCAATAGGCCCAATAAGTCCAAGCTTCGTAGCAATGTCTACAACAATTACTCATCAGAAGTATCCATGACTCTGACACAAAAGGAAACTCACGCTGCGCCTCCTCAATCTCGTATGCAGACCATTCTGACGTTGCCCAGTAGAATGCCTGGAATTCTGTTAGTATTTCGATGTCATTTGTCTACTCAGGCGACATACCCAGCCCTTCTCAATCACCCAGTTGAATGCGCGAACTGTCTCTTCCATGGGGACTAAACAATCGAGTTGAGCCAATTTTGTCCCGTCAGCATATATGATTAATCATACCCGAGACATCTGGGCGGTGCGCAAAGATAACATCAACATAGTCAAGACCAAGGCGCTCGAGACACTCCTTAGTTCCCTCGATAATACTGCAACTAAGTCAGCACTTCAAAGCGCAAGCGTGAATAAGACTCACTGTTTCCTCGAAAGACCACCATCATTGGGACCAGAGCGCAAACCCCAGAATAGTTTGGTAGTGACAATAAGATCTGTCCGGCGGAGGCCGAGCTCCTTAATCACACGACCCCTACCCTCGCAGTCAGCTTCGGTGCCCCTTAGAACGTCGAAGAATCTCACATTTCCACCTCGGACCTGCCTTTTGCGTAAGCCTCTGCGGTATCGAACATGTTGATACCATTGTCGAAGGCGATTTTTATTATGTCCTTTTGGTAAAGGTTGGATGCACTGATAATTGTAAGACAGAGGAGCTGATGCTAACCTTCACTGGGTCACCAATCACAGTTCCACCAAGAGTAAGCCCTAGGACAGTTCGCATTTAGCACAAACTGTCAAATACGGAACCTTGCACGAAACATACATCCACCAAGCGAGAAAACAGGGACTCGGAGACCACTAGGACCGAGTCTGCGGAAAAGCATGTTCTTGGGGTCGAATTCGACTTTGACATCAGATCCAGAAGCCATTATTGCGCGAGTTGAGCAAGAGGAATAAGCCTTCAGTGCAGTGCAGCGATAGTATTTAAAGGATTCAATCACTGCCACTGCGGCCCGCTGTTACCAAGACCGGCCAATCATCTTTGTCCATAATCGAGGGGCCTGAGAGACGAACGCCAGTTTTGTGTCGAGACACGTTCAAGTGTCAGATGACCTGCAAGTATTTGAGCGTGGCATAAATCTCAGGCTCAGAAGAGAGAGCACTTAGTGAGCACACGCACCTAGCTGAGGACACTTCGTAAGAATATCGGAGAAATAGCAGTTTTTGGTGGGCGACTGACTGAGCGGCTCGTCCATATCATAATCTAGCTTTTCCTTCGCGTTTCTGGACCGTGGATGCGCGCACTTTGCACGTGAGTCGACAAGAGCTGGTTATGACCGTGGTGGTATAAGTGATGACAAGCTTGTGTGATATGGTTTGGCATGGCTTGCATGGTTTGAACTAAGTATAGCTATACTTCAGCGCTTCCTGGGCATAATCGCCGCTTAGCACTAGCGCCCGACTAACAACGATTTAAAACAAACACGGATTCAAAAGCAATATCAGAGGCGCTCCATGCTCTTTACGATGCACCAACAAGTGACTACATACGAGATCTACAAAATGCAGTGCAACTCTAACAAGCCTGACAGCACGACACGTGGTCCAGTATCATTAGCAATTCACCTGTAAAAATCCTGTTCCACAGAACGCTCTTCACTTCCACTTCCGAGGACATTGGAGGGACCAGTTGAACTATAGCATGCAAGTGTATCTAAAGAATAGTCCGATTTATAATTGATAGATACCCCCTGAGACGGGTTGGCTATTCTTTCCACTTATCATGTCAGACTGAATGATCTCTGTCTCCTCCGTGATGTGCACAGCCATCGGTTGCATGGAGAAGTTCCGGTCCCGTGTACTTCGTCCTCGAAAGATGCTGGTCATGATACCACTTGGGTCAGAGGATTGTTCGGTCGCGGAGTTGCCGCCAACGCGGAAGTGGACTTGAAGAATGATCAGACAGAAAGTTACACCCTAAAAAAAATTCATTTGAATAGCCCATGCATGTCCAAGTGAATTGAACTCACCACAATCGGAGGGATAATGTTTAGCATGATGTATTCGCCATTAGATGAGACCAAGAATGATATGAGGAGCGCAAGGACACTCGTGGCGTATAAAGCGCCGCTCTCAATGACGACGATGAATACGGGTAAAAGAGTGGCAAGGCCTCCTGGCATGAGACGGCGAGTATGATAGATCCGCCAGGCAATCGAAACTGAGTTGTTCTAGTCATCGGGAGCCAGCGGAGCATGTGCAATAGACGTACTGGTGCAGGTAAGGCTGACAAGCATGGTCAATGTATAGAATGTCGTGATACACCCAGAAGCAGCGGTGGAAACACTGGTCAGCCCAGGAGTCCGAGAGAGGGACCAGACAACATAGTACCCAATGGCTGCAAAATGTGACGGGATAAGATGATGGTCGAATAGAACCTTTCAAAACACTGACCCGCATTGACTAATAGCACGATACAGCCAGGAATGGCAACAAGGAGACTTCTGTTGTTAAGTACGTGGCATCGCCAGACCTGTTCTACTCAGAGGGGAAAGAAAACAAGTCAAGGGGAGAAACTTACAACTACACCATCAGCAAGCGTGGTTTGCGTGATGTAAAGTGCCTTCGATGCGAGGTCCAACGGTGAAGCAAGGTTCGAATAGTAGGTATCTGCACCAATCGTATCCACCTTGAATACGAAGGCCTCTAATGCTCGAACAAAATCGATAATTAAATGCTGAAGGTGATCATGTTGAGCAATTCCCTCGTCAAATTTGATTATTACACTCACAGCTGTTGCAACACAGAGTAGCAAGGTCGCCACTGGGATTAGAAGTTGTCGTTGAATGTCAGTTTTCTTGAATAAGACGAATAGCGTCAACCAGTATAAAGTAAGGAATACACCTATGTGAGACAATGAAATTCAACACCATAATTTCGACTATTCCACCAGTCGGTAACGCACCGTAAAATAAAGTCTCGAGAAACACAGCTAAGAACGAAGCTTTGTCTAGAGGTATGCCCATTATAGATACAGTTTTTACTGGATCAGCTGAGCAGATCCAAACGGGAGAGACAGCCAATGAAAGTTTTTGGGAGGATCGAGCGCAGCAGGCAGTCGCCTTGTGAACAAAATAATTCGCAGTGTGGAGTTTTGTTAGGTGTGCAGAGAAAAGAACTCATAATAGGCGTCCGATGCATCCAAAGAACCCTATCAGTATATACCGTAAGGCTAGAATAAAGCCGAGTAGAGTCGCTTCGGTTGTCTAACCATTCCCAGCATGGTCTAGTGCAGCCCTTTTTGAATATCGTAACTGCCTTGTCCAGGACAGCCCTAGCTGGACAATGGGATGTCGTCGATGAGGGACTCCCGAGCACTGTCACCTACTGCCGATCTATGGGTGTATGTGTAAAATGCCTACTAGTAGGAGCTGTTGCGTTTGTGATTGAATTAGAGGTGATTTGATCGATGACCATGAGATTACGTACGTTGGTGACAACGGTGAAGGGACAAGGTAGTACGCCGCTGCCTAGGCTTTCCATGCAGCCGTAAGTCATGCTGTAACGTCGTACGATATTTGAAGCCTCGACGGGGGCTACCCTGACTTACAACCACTTGCTGTCCCACGACGTCCTCTCATAGCCAAATTCAAGTCATTTCTCGACGCAACTATTGTACTCCGGGTGACAATCCCTCGTAATCTGGTGGGAGACTGATCATTCTATTCAGAAACACGATTCTTATCATTGATCAGAAAAGAAGAGGATCGAATCAATCTATCAAGGGTTATGCACAACGAAGAAGGCATGCACAAAGCAACAACCAAATCAGCGAGTTTAGACTTGAACGTTAACTATAGCTAGCTAAGAGCCAGCATATATTGATTGAACTCTGCAGATTCATGGCATCACATTTCCTAATGGATGTATGAACAGGTTCGTCCAACCTCCGGTACTGCGGCATCAAGGACCTCCGAGTCGTCAACTCGTCGATAGTAGGCCCGCGCATTGATGATCGGTGTCCTAGCTTGCTGCTCTAGAAGTTTTACTTCTGTTGTGTCTTCAAATCTGTCGAGGTATGTGTCCCACAAGGTCTTCATCACGTTTCCTCATAGCGATCTAATTCTAATATGTCCACCTGTCTTGCAGGACACCAATGCCCCCAGCATAGAGTAGGATCACCATCACCTACTAGCACCACCCCTCGCTTCGCATCTGTCATTCCGATCTCTCGATATCAACCCTCGTCAACTTCACAATGCTTCCTGGGTTCGATTCAGCACTCGCGGGACTTGGTGCCCGACTTCCTCGAGTGTTGTATCCCACCACTCGCCATGGTCGACTCCTGGACGATTTTGAACGGACTTTGCTTGACGGATCGAAGTCTACTTTTCACGGAATTTGCCGTGTTGGGTACTTACCTATTGGCACGAAGCGTGCCGCTGCGTCTCGCAAACAAGCATACAGATAGAAGAAGGTCATATTCAATCACATACAAACAAAGTGTCACAAGTTTAGGTTCGGTCCGTCGGGTTAGCGACGCTGTGGTGAACCGAAGGTCGAAACGTAACAGCACGTACCATCAGAAAGGTCATCTACTTACGACTCACGATCAGTGACAATTTGATATGGATGCGACAGGAGGAATCGAAGTGACTCAAGATGTTGGGAGCAGGCACGAGATAAGGATAAATCGGATGAGTTCATGATATCCTTTTATCACTCGGATCTTACTCGGTTCCTTCAAACAATTTCAAACAACGAAGTCCGAACATTTCGCGGCATTCACAATGAAAAGACCCCTGAGGGCAGTCTGTCTAGTTGGTGCATGGGACAACGAATCTCTTGCCAAGGGCGAGGATGGCCCAGGGGTACGAATCTGGGCGAGCTAATAGATGTGTTATGAACTGGGCGCACAGCTGCGAAGCCTGCATGTGACCATTGTCAGAGGTTGAGTGTTGAGATTTTGGTGGCTCGTCGTCGAACTCGAGTGCAGTGCTATAGCAGGCTACAGACACGGCTCGGAGTCAGTACTCCCCTGATGTCTGGTTGAAGGGCAACATCAATGTTAGTGTGGATTTCGAGTGACGTGGTGGCGCTGCGATAGGCCAAGTTGGCGCTGTTAAAATTTTGAATGGTGAGTGAATCGGATGCCACACGCCTTGGCGAGTGATACTTCCCGACGCGCGGTAGGCATGAATGGAATCACGATGGCGAGTGCCAATGCCCTGACGCGTGAACATAAATGCTCTGGGCCGCTCGGTTCAAGTTGGCAAAGGCTCGTCCTCTCACGATGTCACGGTCGCCTTGAAGCGTCAAATTCACGTGACTCACGGTTGACATTATTGCAGTGAGCCTACTCGTTGTCGTCGTTCGTGGTGGCTAGATATGCGCGCCATATATCTTCGGGTATACATGTTGAGAATATTTCTACGTAAATTCGAGGCACGACTCGGAGAGCGCGCGTAGAATGAGGTCCACGTGGCGACACAACGGCTTTTCGTGACTTCATTTTTCTTGCTTCGTGCCACCACGTTCTCTACTGCTCGACTCGTCGCACCCGCACACTTGGGCCACTCCTCTCTTTAGCAGCATGCGTCTCGTTAGATCTCTCTGTGTGTTTTAAATTTTCTTTTCTCTTAAAATTTGCTCAACGTATCACTTTTGACGGCAGAATTTTCTCCAGATTCTAATCCATGGGCTGCTAAGGCCCACCTGCCCTCACGGCCTACCCTGGACTCCTTTCGAAACGATGTTTCGGGTTGGGAAACCCTTCATGTCCCACGTGTATCAATCCTTCTCTCGAGGACGGCGGTGATACCTATCTTGCATGTCCTTCAATCTTGCTTTGGAAGTACTACATCCTCATCTGTACTGATATCAACTATTTGTATAATTCAGACACCATTGACCGGCAATTGATCTGATTTCTTTCCCGACACGAACACTAACAGCTCCACATTCATGGATAGATTGGGGTCTTTGCATCGTAAATGCCGTGAGGATGTTCGAACCTTGTTTCCCCAGGGGTTTATGAAGGAACCGAGTAAGATCCGATGGATAACAGGAACTCGGCGGGACAGGAGGAAGCGAAATAGAGATCAAGTTGGCAGCGGACACGAGATAAGGATGGATCGGGCGGGCCACGAAAGGTGCTCTCTTCGCACAATGACGTGGAGATCAGCTGGGTCAAGCTGGGTGCTACCTGTGCACGAAATGGTATAAGTTCAACTTGAAGTTTGAAGGTTGCATTTCCATACCCCACTTCAATCGACATCTTCCCCCTTGCTGTCCAGTTCTCGTGGTAGGTTTACCCACTTTGTCGCATTGTACGGGTTGACATGATTGAGGCCCTTTCATTAGATCAGTATGCCTGGAACTACTCTCCCCCCATTCCCGGACAATGTTCGAACCCATCCGCTATTGATCATTGATCACGAGCTCATCAAGGCTGGCGACAAGGAGGAAATTGATCGATTGTGGGAGGCCGCGACAACGCTTGGATTCTGGTAGTATGTCATAAGGCTTGGATCTTTTGCTGAACATGGTTTGACCTACTAGATTTTCTGATAGTTTAAAGAATCATGGCTCAGATCAAGAAGTCAGCGACATGTTTGATATGGGTGCCGAGACGCTGTCATTACCCCTCGAAGAACGTATGAAGTTCGAGCAAGGAGACGATGGTCAATCTTTTGGGTCCGTCATTGATATGGATCACAAGTGTATGTCGTCTTATGTGGGTCTTTCATCAGGTACAAGAAAGCGGGGGCTCAGGCGATCGATGCAACGGGCACGTACTTCCAGACCAGATCGCTGACGCTATAGACTGACACAAATCTAGGCAAATTTGTGGACAACATTGAATTCATCAATGTTTCTAAAAACGATGCACTCGCGTATCCAGAGGTCGTTCACCTCACCTATCCTTCGACCATAAACGCTCGCATGAAAAACACGGTTGTGCCATTTGTCCGCAAGTCTCTTGATGTGACATTTGTCATGTTGAGTGTATTTAACGATAAGCTTGGACTGCCGGAAGGGACTTTGGAGAGCCTGCATACCGTGGATGGCATCAGTACTTGTGAGGCTAGATGCACTCGCACCCCTGCTCTGCAGGCCAAGTCAGCAATGGAAAGGCCTGTGCTAGCTGCTCATTCTGATTTCGGCAGTCTGGTAGGTCGCTCGAGATATGGAGCTGATGTTGGAATGATGGAATTAACTATATCGCCAGACCTTCTTGCACAATCGGCTTGGTGGACTCCAAGTGATGCCCCCTGGTCATGACGAGTGGTTCTACATTCGAGTAAGCACAATTCTCTTACCCGCGGCAAGCACTCACCGATGCACAGCCCATCCCTGGACATGCTATTTGCAATGTTGCGGATGCGCTGGCTCTTTTCAGCGGAGGCATCTTGCAATCCAACATCCATCGCGTTGTGTACGTACACAAGGACTTGCATGTGCAAACTTGCTAATATAATCATGGCAGTCCACCTCCCGGTATACAGGCTGAACATGAACGGTGGTCCCTGGGTTACTTTACCCGTCCGACCAGCTCGATAATTCTTCGGGCTCTTGTTGAATCCAGTCCCATTATCGCGGACGCTGTGAAGAGGCAACCTGAAAGAAACTTTGAGAGCGGTTCCACTGCTGCCCAGTGGCTCACGAGAAGAGTCAAGAATCAGAGAATTAATAACAGAAAGGTGAACATTCCTCCAGTATGCCAGTTGTAGGGGATACGATCATTGATGGAAAAATGTTACAGGGACCAGATACGTGGGCTGCGAGCCGTGGCACCGAGCACACTCCAACAGCGGCCTAGGTTGTGAATTGTCTGTACCATTCGACAACCAGGTTTGAATCAGCGCGGATATGTATTCTATGCAGTTGATTTCTTGATTCGGCCGGAGGTTCTTTCTATGTTGGTTGTTGTCACATTTGGCGCAATCAATCCGCCAAGTAAAGTGTGCTTGTACGATGAATACATTGTATACATATTGTATTTGCTAGTTCAGTTGTACCCGATTTGAAATTGGATTTGTATGTGTTTCATGCCATAGACTCGACAAAGACATAATGCGGTCATACACGCGGGATTTTCACCCAGTGACGTACCGTCGTCGAGACGTAACAGGATGATTTTGGGATTAGCGTGACCCGTTTTGGTAACACCGCGCGACGTCACAACGCTCGAGCTCGTTGTCGAGGACAGCGAGCTCAAATACTCGCCCAGTTCTTCACCCTGTTCCCTAGCTCTTTTTAGGGACATGAATCTATGATAAATCAACTAGTTACAAGGGAAAACAAAACATTTTCCCAAAAAAAAGAGCTAGGGAACAAGGTGAAGGATTGGGCTAGTATTTGAGCTCGCTGTCCTCGACAGCGAGCTCAAGCATTGTGTCGTCGCGCCGCGGTGCTACCAAACAGGGTCACGCTAGTCCCAAAACATCCTGATACGTCTCGGCAACCCTCGTAAACGCTGGCAGCTGTGTCTCCTCCAAATTAAGCCGACTCCGTTTACGTAGATTTTCCGAGTATTGGTGTTATATTTCTACAGTGACGGTATACTTATTCTACAATCTTGATCTACGTTGCATCGTCGTCTACTCGATCTTCTCTTTCTTCAGTAACGAGCGCCCGGTCATTTCTAATGGAAGACATCAATAAAGCCATCACCCCAAATTGTATAAAATCTTACCTTCAGGCTGCGGTAAGCCCATGATCGCCAAAATAGTGGGTGCAACATCAGCAAGTGCACCCCCCTCTTCTCCTTTGCCATCTTCCTCATCATCCGCAAACTCAAGACCCTCGGCTGTCATGATGAAAGGCACCTGGTTCGTAGTGTGTGCGGTATGAGGGGCGCCAGTCTCCAAGTTGATCATTTGCTCCGCATTTCCGTGGTCTGCAGTAATAAGTAAAACATATCCGGCCTCAACGCATGCGTCGTAGACCGTTCCGACCGCCTTATCAGTAGCAGTGATAGCCTCCACCGCGGCCTCATATATACCCGTATGGCCGACCATGTCGGGCGGGGCAAAGTTGCACATGACGAACTCATGTTTCTTGCTCTTGACCACCTCGGCGACCTTGTCTGCTACACCTTGGGCGCTCATCTCTGGCTGCTTGTCGTATGTAGCGACCTTGGGGGATGGGATCATAAAGCGCTCCTCTGCAGCGAACTGCTGCTCGAGCCCGCCGTTGAAGAAGAACGTAACGTGGGCATATTTCTCTGTCTCCGCGATATGCGCTTGGGACACGCCTTCTTTGGAAAGCCACTCAGCTAGGACGTTGGTCATAGCTTGCGGCGGGAAGGCCACCGCGAATGGGAACTCAGCATTGTACCGGGACATGGTGGTGATGTGCTACACCATGCGATCAGTTCAAAATTAGGATGTCCTGTTGAAGCACGAACTTACCAGGTCTTTAGGGATATCTATTTCAATGGGCTTGTCCGGGAGACCGATGACGGTAGCAAGTTCACGCATCCGATCCGAGCGGTAGTTGAAGAAAAAGAGGGTGTCTTCATCCTTAATGCGTCCCTCGTCCCCATTTACGATAATGGGCTTCAGGAACTCATCGGTCTCATCCTTGTTATACCTCTCCTCAATTTTTTCGAGGACGTCTTTGCCTTCTTCTCCCTCACCGCGGACGAGACCATCAACAGCAATCTTGATGCGCTCCCAACGCTTGTCGCGGTCCATGGCGTAGTATCTGCCGACAACCGTGGCAATCGTACCATATTTTATCTCTTTCATAAAGTCCAGCAGGTCTTGTGCGTAACCCTTAGCCGAGCGAGGTGCAGTGTCACGGCCGTCGCCGAAAAAGTGGACATAAGTGTGGGGAACGCCAAATTCCTTCGCAGTCTCTAAGAGCGCCTTGAGATGTCTGATGTGAGAATGCACACCACCATCCGAAACCTATGAGATGAAGTTAAAGAAATGTGGTGCACTGCCATATTCGCAACATACTGACCAGACCAAGCAGGTGAAGACGGCCATTTCCATCCTTCGCACGTTTCATGCTTGCAAGGATCGTCTCATTTTTGTGGAACTGCCTTTTTGCAATGGATACGTCAATCTTGACGATATCTTGCCACACGATGCGGCCTGCACCGATGTTGAGGTGTCTGAAATATTAATGTCGGTCAGTCGTAATTGAGCAAAATATGGTACATAGGACACGCATGCCGTACGCACCCGACTTCAGAGTTGCCCATGAGCCCATCGTTCAAACCGACCGCATTTCCGTGCGCAAAGAGGGTGCGATAGGAATGCTTTTTGGCGATGGTGTCCATGTTGGTGGTATCTGCTGCATCGATGGCATCACCTTTCATGCCTTTCTCTGGAGCGATTCCCCACCCATCGTGAACGCTGTAGTGATTATAGTCAATGAAGTAAAGTCTGTACATTCAGACATAAATGCGCTACCCACATCAGACAGACCTTGTTCTTGACCTCGGGCATAAAGGGTCACGGTATAGAGTTATTGAGGATGGGAAGTCTTGGGTGTTGGCTGCTAGCGACGCCTTTAATGGACAAAGTGTTGTGTTTGCAGTGCACAGAGCAGAGACTAATCCGAAGAGGCTAGGTACCGACAAGCAGAGCCTTGGCGATAAAGCGATCTTTGTGCTGAGTGTTCGAAACGATGAGACGGTCGATTATCTTATCCCCGTATGAAAGTAGCATAGTCATTATATTTCGAACTCAGCGGCACCCAAGTGGTCCCATTTATTTCTAATCACCAAACTCCAACAAAAAAGGTTGATTATTAATTAATAAAATATTCCTACGACTTCGTTTTATGTCTACAATACTTTTTTTTAAACACATCTAGATTCAAATATTGCTCAGATTGCGTTGGACCTATATGTATCAGTGAGGGACCTGCCCCTTGCTGCTACTCTACCACCCTCGCCTGGGGGTCACCCACTCCATTCTCCAGGCTGACAGTTGCCACACCTTGCATAATAACCACTTCCACTATGTGGTCGTCTGGCGAAATCCCCGCTTTCAAGTTGCTGCTGTGCCCACGGATCTGAGTCAAACAGACTACTGTCTTGCGCCGCGGTCGCATCGTACAACTGGGTAAACCATTTAAGGTCTTGTGCTGTGGGCATGGTCGCGTTGGGCGACATTGCAGCATCCAGCACACGGTGGCGCGCCGCGTCTGACCGCGTCGCGATCTGTGCCGTATTGGTCCTATCATGTGCCCAACACTCCACAGGATCCTCGTATATCACACTGCCTAGACGAAGTTGTCAATTTAGTTGGTCTCTATAACTTTGGCAAGTTTTCCCTCACTTGATGGTGATTGAGGATGTTCACATCTATAATTCGCTCTGGAAGCGTTACAAGCCTCGATCAGTGCCTTCTGTTGCAGCAGCAGATTATTTTCATCCGCCAGGCGTCTAAGCTCACAGGAAGCTTAAACATGCCATCAGATCAAGAAACATGGTACAAAGATGCGGACAGACCTCTCCTCAAGATGTCTTGCCTTGTTCGCGGATCATCTTTGGCCACCTCCTTAAGGGCATCACGAAGCTGCAAAAACCCTTCCTCCTCCTTCTTCCTGTAACGTCGCTGAGCAGCAGATCTGTTATCCCTCGCGGGCTGCGGACTCTGCGAAAATGGCGTGCTGTCCATGTGGAAGAAGAGGTTGGTTTGATGCGGATGATGAGGTCTCGATGTGGAAATCGACTGGGGTTGTCATTCGAGAAGTGCACATCTTATAAGTACCTTCATACCACGTTGGTTGATCGAGCACCTCAGTCATGCAGGGTGAATAGAACAACAACTTTTATTTTGGTCAAGTTCGTTCTGCCAACGAGAGTTTCGGCCCGAAACCAAAACTCTTCCTCATGACCTTGGCTGCCCTACAATCCACAAAGTGTATCGGAAGGCTTGGAGCCAATTTCTTGGGTCGCTGGGATTTCCATGCGACTGGTTTTGGTTACTCCGCCTTGGACGGAGCAGCTCCAGGCGCTTGCGATAACTTCCTACTTGGAGGGGTCGTAACGAAATATTCTGCATACACGTCACCGGCAAACATATCACCGGCTTTGCGTGTCTGCGAGGCAGACGGCCTAGGACTCAAATTGCGCCCTAACTTTGCAGACTTGACAGGCTCGCGCCCGAGATAGCCTTATCAGACGATGCATAGCCATTGCTTGTCTCCATCTCCCCGGACACGTGCGTACCGCACACTTCTGGCGCCAGAATTGCCGCTGATATTAAAAGTTACCCGCGGACGAGGAACTTCGACTTCCTCTGACAGGCCCGAGAGAGCCGATCGTTGCAAGAGACGATGGCTAAAGTTTGACGATGATGGGGAGAAGTATAAATTGTCGGCATCTCTAAAAACAACCTACTCAATTTCAGCTATAGAATTGCGCCCGGGTCTGCACATTACTTGAGATGACTCTGATCGCATCTTCAGGAGGCGCTACGTCCACATCCGAAGCCGCGCTTTGCGGTGGGCGCCCCACTCGGTTAGCATTCAATATTTAGTCTGTTTAGCGATGATAAGTTCACATCTTCAATATGTTGTGGAGCATATCATATTCTAGTACATCGTATATCTTCGGCTTTGACATGAACCACGCCATGATGCGTGTGACCTTGACACAGGAGTACTTCCGCATCAACGTCGGCTAGCAATTTTTTTTCGTGAGAACGATTAATTAACGAATCGCTAGTCCTCAGTCATGCTGCCCCGCATTAGACGATGCGCGTTCTCCTTACTCATATCTCACTGACCCAGGCCCACAGTTCGAACTCAAACCTTTTTTCCAATGCAGGTCTGTGCAGGAATAGCTACAATCGTGGAACGCCATGGAGACAAATCAAAGAAACAGCCTTTTCGTTGCTAGCAGGTGCCTGGTTTATTCAACAGATCTATAGTTCGATGAATGACGCATCGCTACCACGCAAGACAATAGATCATTCCGAAGGGCTTGCTACTCTGGGTACAGCTTATCTATGAAGCTTTGGGTTACGTTCGTAACACCCCTCGATCATCTTCCCCCTATAGCACGAAAAGTATTGGGTGACTTCCCGTAAGGTTTCACAGGTTATTCAGACGCGGTGCTGTTAATGCCCATGTCTTCGCAGAATCCCGGAGCTGGATCTAGAAGTAGCTGTAAATGCCAGTCAAACGTTCGCTTTCGTACTTGTTTGTGGACCCTATACAAATTTCTGTACATCGTCGTAGCGCTGATCCGGGCAATTTTCTTACTCATTTTTAGGTGCGGCTCGCTTTGTCTGGATTGTCGTCCGGACCGTATGATTGTTCCCGCTGTCGCTGGACCTCCGATCGTCCGACGTTCTCAATATTTACAGATTTTGTCTGTAAAATCACCTGTCGATTGCGAACGTTGACAGACATGTACGTTCCTACGGGAAGCTGCTCATTTACCGTGGTTTTCATGTGGTTTTCTCTTCACAATGCCTAACTGCGGAATTTGCTTTACGAATCACTGGTGATATCTCTAATCCTCGGTACATATCTCTTCCGACGTTGCTACGGGAGCATTTATACCGCGATGGCCCCTCTCAAAAGTGCATGTGTACCCTCTCACCATGCTCCGCCTCCATATGGGCCTCCTGCGCCCGCAGGCTGTTCACCAGGATGTTCCACCTGAGCCAAATAAAACTGCAATAACTGGACGTCTTCATCGGACAACATTATGGCTACATGCATCCATTCAGTCCAGAGTACACGCGACTGCAAAGCATCTTACCGTTTGGCTGAGGCATCCCGGCTCCTGCAGTATTGTTGGGGAGCTCGCCGAGCTGCTGCTGTAAGTCAACTTGTTCTTGCCCCAGGCGTCGAAGACACTCGGCCGCTGTTTTCTTGTCAGCTTTCCCTCGATAAGCGGACCCCAAAATATTCACCTTGTGTCAAAATCTGGCGGCGGGATCGAGCATTAGTAGGCTCGACTTCGTTCATGGCCCCCAACAGATTGCGAAAGGCGAGCCGCTCCCTCTCGCGATAGTCTCTCTGCAAGTCGGCTTGGTTCTGCGGTTCACTGCGAGAACCTTGCGACGGTCTCTGGTTGTCCATTGCGTATCGAGTTCTGGTTATTGGAAGAGTTGGTTCTGAGGACGAAAGACTCACATTCTACGGCTTATATATTTTCACCGCAGTACCGGAAGCATAGAGAACGTGCAGAAAAGAAGCTCGCCGCGTCGACGAGTTCATGCTGGTAATTTGCTCGGATAGGGTCTACTCCACTCATAATTTCTCCCTATTCGCAAATGGGCGCTTGCGCACTCTTAATAGCCTTCCGCATGTCACACGCCATCCGATTTCAACCGATCATACTTTATATCCTTGCTCTTCGCTCTTAATAGTCTATAACATTTGTCTTGAAACCACTTCTTCAGCGGACCGAGGTCAACGGAGCTTCGGCTTACTCCGCTCTCCCCTATCAGTACCTGTTAATCAAGGTTCAGCTTGCCGAACGAGTGGTGACACCTGCACTGCATCGAGCCTATGGGAGATTCATGTCATTGAGTAAAGCAAACGTGGTGGTGACAAAGTAGCTATCCTACGATCTGTATAACCTACGTGCGCTGTATGACAAGCAGCCCTTTTCAAGATACGTGTTTTGCCACCATTGTAATTTCCGCCCGCCACTGATCCACGAGGCAAACCCATCGCGTACAACACAGTGGCAGCACCACTCATTTATGTCAGACTTCATGTTCTCAACTAGATTCGCTTTCAATTTGACTCATCAGAGAATAACACACAGGAAGGTCGAGATGAAACACAGCTAAAGTGGTGAATGGAATTATTTATTCTCCATTCCCCTGTAGCCTACACCAGATTCGGTAGCCGCATCTACATCCATTTCCTGTATGCGCTGCTCGATAATGGCGTTTAGAGAGGCCTAGAAAAGTCCACAATGAAGTCGTGAACGCCGCAACATGCAAAACATCTTACTATCCGCTGGCTTCCCATCACATGAGAAAACTCTGCCGTACGAGACTCAGAAGACATGTCGAGAAGTTCTTGCAGTGATCTCTGATACAGCATCACGAAGGCTGCGAAAGGGTTCATGCCATCCACACTCGCAAGATCCGCTTCATCCTAAAAGGTGAATAGGTGGCACAATGCACACCCTGTCGGACCAAATGAGAAGCACAGTGGACACACCTCATGCTCTTCATCCTGTAGCCACCCCCGATCTTCCCAAAGTGTTTTCCCACTTCCATTGAAAGCCCATGCCTGAGCTAAGTTCCCAAACATTCTTACAAAGAGGGCTGCCTCGCCCACATCACTGGCAAACGCCCATTGAATCTCACACCCTGCATTCTTCGTCCCACAACCCTCGGCGATGGTCAAAAGCCGGCGGAGCTTCTTAACAGCTTTGAGGATGGGTGGCGAGAATGAATAGGGCATGAGTTTGGCACTGTTCATATTGATTTCTGCCGTATACGCATTGACGCTCGGGAATGCCTCGAGAATGATAAGGATGTGTGAATACCGCCAGGACGCCTTCGAGATGCGATCGGAGAGTCCTTCTACCTGAGAGGGAAGCGCCAGCAGCGGCGCCACTAGCACAGCTGTGTCCGGATCCATTACAATGTCCGCCCCACCCAACACATATCTCTCTACAAGATGCACCCAGCACTCGGGGGCTTGCAAGGCCCGGACAAGTGCGCGTTTCTGAATGAAAGCCATACTTGCAAGATAATAATGGCTCGTAGCCGGTGGGTTCCAGACATCGGGGAGACGCATGGTGTGGGTGTCAATGATCTCTGGCGGAGCAGCACGGGGTGGCGGGGTGCCGCTGAGTTGCAAAGCCTGAATTTCTGACGAGACGATCGCGGAGGACGAAGGGGGTTCGTGCGTCATGTGCTTATTGCGCAGTGCCAGGTGGTCATCTAAAAATCCCCGCGTTGCGATCGTAGTAATCATGGGGTCGTCCAGTCGTCTGCGTTTGGATGCAGGGGAAGTTGTACTAGGTTCCTCCGGCACGAAATGCCGTAAGAATGATGATATGTTCGCCGGTTGTTCCTTGTCCGAGACACCTTGAGCTGTCTTCGGGCTGTCGGTATTCGGTAACACACTTCGTTCACCATAATCTAAGAGTACACCTGGCTCGATCGGATATCTTGACACCCGCTCGCCTTGAGAGCCAAACGAAAGCGGAACAAAAGCGGATTCCGGATAGATATTTTGGGAGTCATAATCTTGGTCATGTCTCCGCGCCGGACATAGACTTGGACCGTGCCGGTGGCGGGTCGGCAACGGGAAAGATGAAGACGGTCCTTGGTCGTGGTACTGAGCGCTATCTTGCTCCTCATCCTGAAGTTGGTACACATAGTGAAAGTTTGTCTCTCTGTCCTCGTCGGAGTAATCGGCATCCTCAGGTGAGTAGACAGCTTCCGAGTGAGTCGGATCATCTCGATCTCGATAATACGCTTCATCATCGTGGAGGATGGGGGATGCAACACAAGAATAATCGAACACAATGCCTGAATCGTCGAACGTAGCACCAGAGATATCCACAACATCAGAGTGGTCGAGAACACTAGCCAAAACGCCAGAATCGTGACGGATAAGGCGAGGAGGATCGGCGGGCCGATCGTCGTCGTCCGTTTCGAGGGAGGCTTCATTTCCGCCTTGTACTCCATCTCGTCGCTCATGACGATCCTCGCCATATTTAGCACGATGTTCATGCGGATCCTCGAATTCAGGAAGGCCAGCGTGAAGCCTTCGTTCTCCTTTTGTCAGCACCAGTTCAAAACCCTCTTCTTGCAGAAAGGGCTTGGGAAGTCGTGGAGGTGAGAGACCGAAACTCCCAGTACCGCGTCTGTCCTCTGATTTCTTCGTTTCAGGTAAGTTGGCCGAATGACACGAGGTAGTCTCGAGGCCTGCAAGCAGTCCCTGGATTTTCGCTTCGCTCGCTTTGTCAGGATAGCCCAGATTGATGAGATCATCTGGAGCAGGTTCGTCGACAAGAGAGACGCTTTCGTCGGTTGGGATCGGGGGCGTGAATTTGAAGGGTCTGCGTGCGCCGGTACGTATGAGAGCAGTTTCAAGATGACGACCAGAGGATGCTCGTATTCTAACTGGACTGGGATGGTAGATTGGGGCATATCACGCACCTCCAGGATAACTCGAGATTGAGCGGCTTGATGCCTTTTACGGATTCCAATGTCGTGTACCGCGAAACGTTTGAATTCATATTTGTGTTCCCTTTGCCTCCGCGTATGATGGCTCTCATGCTTGTGGGTCGGAGGGATGGGCCCGGGCGCACGGTTGGCGGAGGCAGGTGCGGCACTGCCAGATGAAGGTGGTGTAAGAAAGTTGCTGATCCGAAGGAAGCGAATCAAAAGTTACATAGAGTGAAATTGCAAAAACCATCACAGAAACGAAAAAAAAAATGACGCAACGCACCTGCCATCAATGCAACGTCCTTTTCATCCAGCCTCTCCTCCAACACACATCCCTCGACGTTGTCCTCCTGCACCTCTCGGTACACATGCCTAAGAGCCATGTCGAGACCCCGTTCCACATCAATTTCGATGTCTTCCAAGTCCTTATCCTGATCTGACTCTTTTCTTCTGTCTCTTCCTGGACGAATAGGAAGGGGTGAAGCGGTACAAGCAGAAGGGGGCTGCCCGAGCATAGAGTCCTCTACATCAAGGCTCTTCCCATCCTCTACGTTTGCGGAAGAGAGAAATAGCGCAATATTTGGATTCTTTTTCATCGGTGTTGTAGGGTTTCCTCCCTTTAACTTCGTGGGAGCTACTGGCTTCAGGTGCTCGAGAAGCGAGTTGAGACTGAAGAAAGCGGGTGAGTGAACGCTCGTATATGAACTGCAGCACGCACTTGTTAGAACCCCTTGGTTTGGGGGAGTACGGAAGTGTGTGTCCGGGTTTGTGAATACGCGGGATCTCCACTTCGTCTACCAGCCCATGATGAAGAACGAGATTAGGGAAATATATAGGATATGTGAATATATGCTCACCCATTCTAGCGCCGAAAATGCTTGTAGCAGGGGTGCCAGGCGGACTCGGAGAGGCCTCCCATAGCTCGTCAATTTCTGTGTCTTGTGAGGAGAGAGGCGAAGCGGAAGGCGGAGAAGAGATGGGGAGGATAGCTACGCAAGCAGGAGTCAGTTTCCCGTATGCTAAGAATGGAACAACGGAAACGACAACACGCACCCCATCCGTCGACAATCGTCATGTTGACCCTGTCTATGTCGTCCTCTAGCTCTTCCAGAACGGGAGCAGGAACAGCATTTAGCCTATCCACGATGTCCTTTGCATTCACAATACCGGTCCCTAACGAGCCCGAGTGTGATTTTGATCGGGGGAAGAGAGGGGGGGAGAGTGGACGTTGAATCTGAAGCGGTGGGGAATCGGCGCGCAGGAAAGAAATGACATGCGCGTTGGTCTCGGTCGATTGTGCAGGTGGATTTGCCGTCCTGAATAGCGAAAGGATGTAACTGCGAGTAGTGGTTTCGATCGTGGGGCGAACGTTCCTGTGCCACCTCTGTAAGTGGTAATCTAAGAGCAAGAAGAATAGCGCGCACAAAGCTTCCTCCAAGTTAGGTACATCTGATTCTACGATTTGTTCCACCACTACAGACTTAACGCCAGTATGCTTGAATAACGCAGGCTGTGTGCGGGGGAGAGATGCGCGGAGAGCGTTGGAACTTGCTTTCGGGGTCTGCTTTCGCGCACGGTTGGTAAGGATGGGCGTCATAGGTCTGTAGATCTCTGCGATGTGTGTATCTTAAATATGAATATGTTACCTCCAGGTAGTGTGAACGACGAAAGGGAACGCAACGGACACATGTGATCGTCCTCCCGCCAGCATGCCTCACTGCGGAGTTCCCTGCCTTCACCCGCAAGAGTCTTGAGTGATGATTTGAGTCTGCGTACGGTATCTCCATCCGTTGTCAAGCGCTCATCAAAGGAGAGATCGAGATCCCCCAGAGACCTGGCGAGGGTATCGAGTGGATCTGGGGGTAGCACAAGCGCGTGCGGGTCCGCCAACGGGACAAAATCTAGGGATTCTGTAAAGATCTTCGTCACATCTTAGGATCCACTATAAATTATTTGTCTCATAGAATTATGACGGACCTGCTCGAGCTTGAACTCGGTATATGCGACATGGTCTCTGGTAATGTGCTTCCTAACATAAGGAAGGAAGGTCTGGCGAATGTGGTTGCGGACTGTAATCTCGTACTCGGGTGATATTTCAGACGGATCCATGTAGGATGAAAATCCCGGTCAGTAGACCAGTCCTAATGATAAACGTCAGTTAGTAGCAAAACAAGGAACGAACGCCTTCAAGAATCAAGATGCCAAGCCTTGTCGTTGTGTCACGTCACAGCCACAAATCCATGTCACGCTAGTCACGCCCGCGACTCAAATTTCTTGCATGCACATTGCACATTGCAACGACCGATTGACAGTGTCTTTTTTCCCTAAAATTTTCACTGCCCTGGGCCTGAACTTTCCGAACAACGGTGCTGGTCTTATCGCTCTCGCTATGTGCCTAACACTCGTCATTTTGCGACTTTTCGGCATCCTTAGACGCGCCGGTGCCACCACATCATGAATGACCAAATTCCTAATTGCAGCCGCTTGGTTTCAAACACTCTAGATTATTACTATATGTCATTGACATGTACAGCGGGCTTGATACACACGGGATTTTAGTGATACGTGTCAATGTCAATTCACCCAAAACACATGGCAGAGATCCAGGATGCACCGCCCCTCAGGTCTCCCCCTGGTCTTCCCAACTGTATATGACGCTCGGCACCAAAGTTTCTTTTACAACCGCTCCGAGGACAAACAAGACCTGCCACGTGTCTTTTCTTGGAAATACCGAGACCGGGCATGGCGCAAGGCGGACTTGTTTCGGTGTTCTGTCGCCAGTACTGTTCAGGCGGATTCATTCCTTGGACCACAGCCCGTCCAGTTCATGCAGCCTTCAGTCACACATGTATTAACAGCTGTCCCTTAAAATCTGAACTGCTCGAAGCAGGTGATTGCTAGTTTTGGCACTTGGGTCGTTTTACTCTACGCAAAGACTCAGATAATAAGTTTTCGATTTCTGAAGCGCGGGGAGCTCCCTCGTCCTGATGGACTGGGTCGTTGATCAAAATCTCCAGCCCGTCACGGATGCTAGAGTCATGCATGACAGTCGGACTTCGTGAGTGACGCACTTCAGTCTTCCCTAGGGTCCTTCATTGTTTGTTACTTTTGGGATGTACCCATTATCTTTGCAATCATTGCGTCATGATTCACCGAAGGTGGCAACAACAAAGCAAGCTGAAAGCTGCTGAAAGTAATCAAAACAGGACCACAGAAATTATTCGCATAGAATCAGCATCATAAAAAGAACTGCTGTGCCGGATCAAACCTGGTTGTCGAATGGCACAGATAATTAACAACCTAGGCTGCCGTTGGAGTGTGCTCAGTGCCACGGCTCGCAGCCCACGTAGCTGGTCCCTGTAACATTTAACCATCAATCAGAACGACAATAACTGGCACACAGGAGGAATGCTCACCCTTCTGTTATTGATTCTCTGATTCCTGACTCTTCGCGCGAGCCACTCGGCAGCAGTAGAACCGCTCTCAAAGCTTCTGTCAGGTTGCTTCTTCACAGCGTCTGCAATAATGGGACTGGATTCAACAAGAGCCCGAAGGACTTTCGAACTGGTCGGGCGGGTAAAGAAAACCAGGGACCAACGCTCATGTTCAGCCTGTGCGCCGGGAGGTGGACTATCCATGATCATTAGCAAGTTTGCACATGCAAGTCCTCGTGTACGTACACAACGCGGTGAATGTTGGATTGCAGGATACCTCCGCTGAAAAGAGCCAGCGCATCCGCAATGTTGCAAATAGCATGTCCAGGGATGGGCTGTGCATCGGTGAGTGCTTGCCGCGGGTAAGAGACTTGTGCTTACTCGAATGTAGAACCACTCGTCATGACCAGGGGGCATCACTTGGAGTCCACCAAGCCGATTGTGCAAGAAGGTCTGACGATATGGATAATTCAGTCATTACAACACCAGCCGCATATATCAAGCAACCTACCAGACTGCCGAAATCAGTGTGGGCAGCTAGTACAGCCCTATCCGTTGCTGCCTTGGCTTGCAGAGGAGGGCTGCGAGTGCATCTAGTCTCACAAGCACTGTGATCATCCATGGCGTGCAGACTCTCCAAAGTCCCTTCCGGCAGTCCAAGCTTATCGTCAAATATAGCCAATATGACATATGTCATATCAAGAGACTTGCGGACAAATGGCGCAATCGTGTTTTCCATGCGAGCGTTTACGGTCGAAGGATAGGTGAGGTGAACGACCTCTGGATACGCGAGTGCGTCGTCTTTAGAGACATTTATGAATTCAATATTGTCCACAAATTTGCCTAGATCTATGTCAGTCTATCGCTAGTGATCCGGTCTGGAAGTACGTGCCCGTTGCATCGATCGCCTGAGCCCCCGCTTTCTTGTACCTAATGAAAAGACCCAGATAAGATGACATACACTTGTGAGCCATATCAATGACGGACCCAAAAGATTGACCATCGTCTCCTTGCTCGAACTTCATACGTTCTTCGAGGGGCAAGGCCAGTGTCTCGGCACCCATATCAAACATGTCGTCGACTTCTTGATCTGCGCCATGGTTCTTTAAACTGCCAGAGACTCTAGTAGGTCCAACCCATGTCAGCAAAAGATCCAAGCCTTATGACGTACTACCAGAATCCAAGGGTTGTCGCGGCCTCCCACAATCGATCAATTTCCTCCCTGTCTCCAGCCTTAATGAGCTCATAATCTATAATCAAGAGTGGATGTGTTCGAACATCGTCCGGAAAAGGGGGAAGAGTAGTTCCAGGCATGCTGCTCTAATGAAAGAGCATCAATCATGTCAAACCGTATAATATAGTAGGTAAATATAGTAGGTAAACTCACTACGAGAATTGGACAGCGAAGGAGAGGACGCTGATTAGAGTAGGTGCGTGGAAATGGGACCTTTAAACTTATACTACTTCATACAGCACCCAGCTTAGCCCAGCTGACCTGAAGACGACCACTTCATCGTGTGAAGAGAGCACCTGACCTCAAGGGTACAAAAGTGTTCATGGTGTTCCATGTCAACATTCTGGCTGCGGCGCGCAGATGCCGGGCCTCATAGTATGATACATCCCGACTTGCAATAGTCCACACCACGAGAACAATACAACCCTCGCGCTCGCTTTTTCATGTCAAAGAAAGACAGGGCGCGAGGGTTGCAACTTGTCGTTATTCAGTGTTCACACGAAAAGCCAGAATCACATCAATTGAACTCACGTCTTAAAAGCCCAAACATACGTATCACCAGAGGTGCCAAGACTCCGACTACTTCGACTGGCGCTGCAGTGCTGAGGTAGTAGGTAATCTTCTTCCGGAAAACTGCGTATTATTACGGACAGAGTCAAAAACACATAAGGCCCATCAGGGGTGATTCAAGGGGCCAAGGCCCAGGCGTCTAGGTAGAGCATCTACTTACGACTCACCGACGACAATTTCCGACTTGATATATGGGCGCGAAAGGAAGCGAAATACACATGTTAGAATACCCCGAGGATGAACCAGACGGGCCAGATAAGTATCGTTTGTTCTTCCAGTCATTTGAAATTCAATGTTGATCAAGTTGGTCGTTTTGGATTTTCTGGAGTACTGATCTCTGCTACTGGCTGCTGCACTGATTATACATAGCCGGGTAGGTCCTCGAGTCCAGGAAGAAGTCGTTAACAAAAGAAACACCCGGCAAAAAGGATAAGTCTTATGGTAGTAACAACATATGTCACGTAGGGTAACTGCAGATACAAGACGTTTGTACATTGATGGTGTGCACCGCTCAATATTTAATTTACTGTAAAAAAAAAGGGGGGTATGTGTAGTCACAATGGGTCACAATCCGGCTTTATTGTCTCAAATCAGAAAATTGATCGGCGATGCGGAGCTCCGGGGGATGGGATATCGGCACCGGACAGGCACGAGTTTAATTTTGAGGTTTATCGACAATTTCAAGTCAGTGAGGTCCGTGATAATAAATTTTATTAGATTGCTTGCCAATGATGACAACTTGCCTGCTACTCCTCCAATATTTGCTTTGTCTCAACACCAGATAAGTTCTAGGCACACAGAAAAAAGTTGAACAAGCGCCCGGCTCGCGCGCTACAGTTTTCTCCGAATCGATGCCTAAATCGTCTAGTTCGAGACTCTATCATTTGGCGATGTAATGAAGACTTATCCCGTAGTACTACACATGCAATGCCGTACACCACTGGCAGGACCTTGAGGTAAGCAAATTTCTGTGGATATGATGGTAGTATTCAGCAGACCAGCAAGAAACTTATCAGCATGCCAATTTCCTTAGATTTGTGAAGCCTTATCGATATCGCGCTGATATGAAGTTTCCAAGGAGTCCTTTCGAATTCGATCATTTCGGAGTGCTGGAGAGCCTTGATAAGACCCGAGGTTCAATTGTCAGCCTATCGTTGCTCGGACCGAATGATATCAGAAGGTACATAATTTTCTGTCAAAGGCCCATCTGGAACAAACTCAGACACCGAAAACTCTGAGTTCATTTCTTAAGAATCGAAGTTCCTTCCCCGTCCGCCAAGTCATTCCTTATGACGGGGACAGAACCCGCTCTGAGAACCCACATGTTATCAGGTTCAGCTTTCCTTCAAGTTTGCATGCTTCTGATTGGCACGCTGTTAGGCTGGACTTTGGATTTGAAATCGCTTCGCGGGTGTCTCACTGCGGCCAGCTGCGGCCACGTGTATACTGCTATTAAGTAGACCTTAGTAAACCTCAGCGGGCCACAAGCGTGACTAGTCGACCGATAGAGACTTGTCGGTGCCGCCTGTTGAAGTTTCGGATTTCGCTGTTTGCCCTAGAGTCCGAAGGAGACGGCGAGAATGAACTTACGGCATGGATTTATTACGCTCGACTCAGCGGCGTTATCTTTTCTAGCCGTCAACGAGGCGCTAGACGGCGGCAAAGAAACATGTCCCCGTTTACATTGTGAAACGGTTCACCTCTCCATGGTCTTATTCCGCACAATCCACACTGCACAACATTTTTTGGAGGTGCCAAGACTTTGGGAGTGTCGAGGAAGCAAGACTTGGCGCACTGAGGCTTTTCGAGAATCAGATTCAGAGTCATGATGAAGGTGGGAATTCATTTAAACATTGGAGGGCGCTGGATGACTTTCCTCAGCGCAAACCCCCAACTCTGTATCCCCGATCAAATTGTCCAAGGTTGATAAGCGCCTAGAAAAGACGTCGGTACTAGTCGGTACTGCGCATTGTCTTCAATCTCATTGTACTCCAAGTCCGCTGTAGAATGGTTTGAAGGCAAATCTGAAACATCAGATTTTTGGTATTGGTAACCGAGGGAAGGGTGACCCTGTTAAGTGGCTGTGACCCTACTTACTGAATTCTTTAAACTAGAAGTATCGGTGACGAGATCAGTGAAATCCGATCAAACATGTTATGGATCCCGACCACCTGTCCGACATTAATTTAAATTATCACGTACCTACATAAAGTCTTGGTGCATCCAAACATTTTTGTTGTGGTTGTTTTTTTTTGCTTCCACTTCCTGTCCTTACCGTTCTCCTAACCTCCCCACCTCTCCACCTCGAATCAAGATGTCGGGTGATGTAGCTACCGTCGCGACGGTATATGGCGCGATCCTTCTGGGCACTTGCATTGGCTGCGGGTGAATAGTGCTTTGTCTGTCATTTGAACGCGTCTAACGTTGCATCAAGCCTCACTGGAATCGTATTTGTCCAAACCGTCTTGTATTTCAAGTTTTATCCATCCGACAGCATCTACAACAAAATTTTGGTGAGCTATAATATTGTTGCTCTCTATGATTGTTTCTTACTCGATACTCGAGGTCTTGGTCGTCTGGTTGGTGTACAAGCACAACATGATTCGTAATGTTTCTTATTTTCTTGCAGGGCACTGGACATGATGCACACCATTCTGATTATCGTCGCCGTCTGGGAATCTGTCATCGTGAATTTCGACAAGCCAGAATTGATGGATCTCATTCCAAAGTGAGTCGACTGAAGTGCTCTTGTGCTCATCCTTATTTATCACACAACTGCGCTTTAGGGCTTTAGGCGTTCGTAGTCACCGTTCTTGTCGATTGACCCGTCTGAGACTGTTTTATATAGCTATCTGTAGCCATAACCGCGGCGGTCACCTTCCTCGTCCACTGGTTTGTCGCTTCTACACTGTCTTGTCATGACGGCGACTTATTCTTTTGCAGTTTCTTTGCTAACAGAGTCCGTAAACGTCAGTAATTGAAATTGGTTTCCGTGAGCCCAGCTAAGTTTCTTCCAGTGACAAAGAAGTGGTATTTCGCTGCACCTCTTGTACGTGATTTAGCCGTACCAATTTATCATTTCTAATATTTGACGGTCAGGTCTTCTTGGCATTTTTGCGTCTTCGTGAGTACATCCCTCACATCTTGACTCGTGTATGCTCATCACAATACTGCAGTATCTGCATGTGGTATGTTGCGCTTGACATATTTTTTTTGACTTAATAATAACGATGAGTCCTGGCAAGTTTCGACGACCGAAATGTGAGTGTCACAAAATGTTTATCGCATAATTTTTTCCTGACGAAAGTCTCGGTAGCATGCGACTCCGCCACTACTCGCTATTCATCAAGCCATTCCCATCTGTAAGTGGACGGAAGTTCCAAAAGGACATCGCTCGTGAGCTCACTCCGTAATGTAGTGGGTATTCACCCTCGGTGTCACCTTATCCGCGTCTGTGGAATTTATCATCACCACGGTCATGGTTATCTTCCTTGGACGGAGTCGCACTGGTTTCGCAACGTATGATTTCTCTCAGCTCCATGTCCATCTGATCTGACGAGTCATTAGTATGAACCACATCATCAACTCACTGATCTTGTACACGCTCGAGACCGGAAGTTTCACTTGGCAAGTGCATAAGACTATGATTTGGGGTGTCATTGACATGTTCTTTTTAGCGCCGTGACAATCGCTTCTCTCATTTGCGTAAGAAGCAATTAATTTACGAGAAATGTCTTCTGATGTACAAAACAGTGGATGGTTATGCGCCATAACTTGATCTTCCTCGGAATGCACTTCGCGATAGCCAAACGTACGTTTGATTCCACGACTTTACCCTATTTGTTGGCTAACACGTATGCCCAGTGTATGCCAACTCCCTTCTCGCCACGTGAGCCGGATTCTGTATTTTTTTCTATCTACTCACCAACTGACAATTTATTAGACTGAACACACGGAAGCGCTTGCGTGCAGACCGTTCCTTCTCAAGTCAGCGCGAGGCCGATGTGTACCCAGGATCGCTGAACATCCAGAAATCATCGGTTCGTATTTCATATTCATTCATCATCTATTTGTACTCACTTGTCTCCTTGATTCGCGGGTTACAGCAACGCATCCTGGGCCCTCCCTCACCTATCAGAGCCGTACGTATATGATACTGTTCGCCTTGTAAAACCTGCTGACGACGACATTTAGGCACACTTAAATGTCAATGTGGAGACCACCGTCGTATCTATCATTGACGACCCATGCGAGGACTACGATATGGCTGACATCGAGTCCAAAGGCTGTGATACCGCATGCGGAACAGAGAAGGACAGCAAGGAGTTCTTACCCTAATTGCCCCTTCCTACCGTACTAGCATCAATCCATGAGCCCCAATCCTCAGGCTCTTCACTCGGCGGACCCAGCCACAAGGGAATTTGACTGACATCGCATGGCGCGATAATTGTTACACTGCGCTGCTTTCAGTTTTGGCTTTCTGTAATATAATATAGCTAATAGCTCTACCACACTCCTTGCACATCACACTCACTCTTTCTGGCCCCTTCCCGTCCCCATATTCGACGTGTCCCGCACATCTCACGTCTACAGTCTATCCACTTACCCGTATACACATCTATTGTACATTCGAGCCCACTGCTTGCATTTCCTACATACCGGACTCCACCAGCACTTGTATCTTTGGCTTGAATTTGGATTCTTGCTTTCGAAGCGTTTTTCGATGGTGTTTACTTCGGTCAGTGTCGGTCAGTGTTCATCGTAGTTGATTGAAATTATATTTGCTTTGGATTCTACGAGTGCCTTGTGCAATGTGCACTGCAAGGTTAACTTGATGAAGTAAAACTGCAGGGAACCTAACACAAGATGAGATAGACACAACTACGAAGTAAGCCGTCACGTCTTAGACTGGTGACCAGCCGATCTAGGAGACAGACGAGCTGCTCACCAGTCTATTAGGAGACATCTCAGACAAACTCGGAGAAAAAACATGACGCGAATTTTATTTCATGAGAAACGAAGAAGATCGTGCGCTTTAACATATGGGCTACATAGCAACACCTTGCGCACTATCAGATAAATTCCGCCAGGCAAGCATGGTCGCTCACGACAACACGACAACACAAATAAATCCCTCCGCCACACGATCCGACGCAATGCAGTGTACCTACGACTCCATTGCCTCTCCCATGATTGCATCCTCCTGACCAGCCTCCTCAAACACCAAGCTGCCTTGTTGCTCCTTCAACCACTGCACGCTCCGTTTTTCATCCATGAAATATGTATATGCTCGACGGAGGTCCTCGACGTCCACTGCGTCCGCCTTCCGCTTCCGTGCTATTACTTGTGCACAGGATATCAGGTTGAGAGCATACCGCAGAGTCGTGGATGTTGCCATCGAGGTGAGAACACTTTGTGCTTCTTGCGTTAGGGTCACATCTTCTTCCTCGCAGCTGTGTTCATAGTTTTAGTAAGGCTAAAAGTGTATAGTGGAAAATAGAGCTCGCCGTATTTGAATGATTTGCTGAATGTCTTCCTCAGCATAAGGCTTCGTACTGACAATGAGGACACGATCAAGCAGGTCAACTGGAAGCCCGTGCGGGCTTCGGAATTTCGTTCCCCGTATACGTGACATTCCTCGATTTGAAGCCATGATCACCAAAGGCGATAGCTCGTTCTCAAGCGCACGGTTTAAGAAGGAAAAGCACTCGATATCAAGCATGTGTACTTCATCGATGAAAAGGACCTATATCGACGTTAGTCGCGAAGGTCTGTCATCAAAAGTTGACTCACGTACACCAGGTACGATTTCGGCTTTGCCTTCTTCCCTCCATTCAGCAACCTTGGAGTTGATTTGGTCACGAAGCTCGGGTTTGATCTCACCCGTATCTCCTGCGAAGAGAGCAAGGAAGCCTTGGGTCCGACTGTTGATCACATCAATCTCATGTAATGACACCGTATGCACGACTTCTTTTCGTTTTTGAATTTCGCCCTCTGGACATTGCACGAATTTCGTCTTCAATTTCGATTAGCGCCGACTGTATTTGAATGAAAAAAATCGCGGACGTACGTCTGCACCCATGGCATCGTAATCTCTTGAACGCGCATACGAGCGGCCGAGTTTTGAGACTCTCCCTGACGTCTTGTCAATCACCACCACGTCTCCTGCAAGAACCTTTTCTTTAGAGAGCGCATCTATCATCTTGGTACCCAAGTCATAAATAGTCTCCATATCTGTCGTCTTTATCGTGAGTTTACCAGTTTTAGTGGCCTGCGGGAGGTAATTCAGCATCTGCAAAATGAATGACTGAGATATGTTATACATACACCAGTTAAACTGCGGTCGATCTGAATTTCGACAACCTCTCCTTCAATTATCTCAGATTCTTCTTTGATGCGCACGCCGATACTCCGCCGTATGGCTTGCGTCAGTGCTTCAGTCTTGGACATCGATAGTGAAAACACCTCGCTGGCAGCGATCATTGTGAACGGTACATCCGAGCCCAGGGTCTGTGCCATGCCTGCAAAATGTCATTCAGCATTTTGAAAGGCGGGTATGGATCTGTACCTGCCTAGTGCGATAGCTGTCTTCCCCGTCGAAGGTGGCCCCGCGAACAATATAGCGCGTCCTGCTATCCGTCCCTCTTGCACCATCTTGATGACCATGCCCGCGGCTTTTCGTGCTTTGGCTTGTCCAACCATACCCTGCGAATTTGCTCGTGGTTCGAGACGATCGTCGAGCCCCAGACCCCGGATATGTGAGTGTGCGCCTAGTGGTCATTTAGTGACTACTGTCAAGACATATGGGCCTTTCGCGCACCTATGCGCTCCATTTTAGTTATCTCCCGTAGCTCGGACATTCCTGTGGTTATTTGAGCGGCCTGTGCATTAGCATCAGCATGTTTGATAGGGCAGAAGAGCTTGAATCTATGAGTTCTCCTACCATTGTTGAGTGATGTCGATGAACGAGCAGAGAGCGCGTCTGTTTGTTCCGAGCAAACAACCTCTTCCTCGACCTGCTAAAAATAATTCTGCAATTTCCGTTCCAGCACACTTGAATTGTACTGTCCCGTCGACCGACTGTGGCATGTTGTGCGTTCGTGCACTACGCACTTTTTCATCACTAGGTGCTCCATCAAGTTCTCGGGCACTGACTCATGTGTTCCGAACAACCACTGCAACCAACTCCGTAGCTCGCACTTATGCTACACATTTCGCACCAACTTCAAAAGAGGAGCCTAAAGCTACATCCCTAGACGTCGACACCAACGTCTTCAAGACCTACAAACCCGTTTCTCCCGGTATTCGCCACCTTCGCCGACCCATAAATGACCACATCTACCAAGGGAAGCCCGTTCGTTTACTAACGGCTTGCCTCCGCAAACACGGTGGTCGTAACTCTCACGGCCGCATCACCGTCCGCTTCCGCGGTGGTGGTCACAAGCGCCGTGTGCGTCTCATCGACTTTGTGCGCTCCGAGCCTGGAGAGTACGATGTCATCCGCATTGAATACGATCCTGGACGCTCAGCGCATATTGCGCTTATTAAAGCGCGAGACGCCAATGCAGAGGGGAAGACGAAGTGGAAATATATCCTTGCTACTGATGGAATGAGGCCGGGGGATGTGGTACAGAGCTATAGGATGGGTATGCCTGAAACTACTGGTATGCTCCGCACAAGAACGGTTAGGCCTGGCAATGTCCTTCCTGTTCGGTTCATTCCTACTGGCACGGTCATTCACTGTGTCTCGCTCTCGCCTACGGGCAAGGCATTGCTTGTGCGCTCTGCTGGCTCTTTTGCTCAGGTCGTGCACCACGATGAGGCTGGCCGATACAGTCACGTGCGCCTCCAGAGCGGCGAAATCCGTAAAGTCCTCCAAGATTGTTACGCTACCATCGGACGCGTGAGCAACCTTAATTGGAAGGGGCGGAAGATAGGAAAAGCAGGGAGAAATCGGTGGCTGGGGTGGAGGCCACGAGTCCGAGGTGTTGCCATGAATGCGTCAGTGTTTTTCTATCAATCAATTGTACGCATTATGCTTAGTCGCGCTTTATTCTTTTTAGCAATGATCACCCTCATGGTGGTGGACGTGGTAAATCCAAGTCCAACAAGCATCCTGTCTCTGTTTGGGGTTGGGCCACGAAAGGCAAACGTACGCGTAAACCTGGACCCAAGGGCCCCAAGAACAGTAATAAGATGGTCATTCGGGAACGCCCTAGGGGCAAGGAGAAGCGCGCGGGAGGTTCATAAGTTAGAAGCTTCACCATATTCATCCTGACCTTGTTCTGAAAACTGCTTTGTTACCAAATGCACGCGTTCATTAAGGCAAACTAATTCACACCCGGAATTGTAATACCTTCTCATATTCACCCGACCCTCCCTGCAAAGCGGTGTCCGCCCACGCACGGTCCTCGTGATATGATAATTACTAGTCTAGGGTTACTGTGAGAAGTTACTGCTGATCTCAAGTTAAAAATGCAACGTGTCGGTCATGGAGAAGGAACTGCCGATTATGAATTAATTGGAGCGTGAAAGGACTTTCGACACCGTAGAAAGGCATTGACTTGACAAGTTAACAGTCAGTCTGTTGACTGGCGTTGGTTCGATGGGGATAGATCATACACTGAACGCGGTCACGTGGCAGGCGCGTATTTGATCTCCGCTACCGCGTTTCTTGTTTGCTGGAGGCGGCGTGTTGGCATGTAGTCACCTTAAATACGCGTGCACCCGACTTCCCGTCCTTCTTCCCAAACATCTCTCGTCAACTTCAGGCATGCAATCAGCTACTCTCTCCAGGACGTCCTCCACGGCTAGCATATCTTCCACGGACGATACTGCGCGTCGTACGCGCAAACGCTTTTCTACTGTTCAGCTCATGATGCTGGAACAGCTTTTCCACCGGACATCTCACCCGACGCGAGAGGAACGCGAAGCCCTTGCGAGTACTGCAGGAATGTGTGTCATTTCCGAGCTCAACGTGATGCGCTCCATATCTGACGCGTTTTCCACAGGGAAATCAAGTCAGTTACTATATGGTTCCAAAATAAGCGTCAGACGGAGCGCAAAGTTGCACTCCACAATGCGACAAACGTCTCCAATGAAGACGCCTCTTCTTCACCACTCACACATGGACATGCCTCTTCGTCACGTCATGTCCACTCCCGATCAGTTTCTATCTCGGGCTTGCACACTCCTCGGAGACGGATAACACCTCCTCGCCCCCGTCCCTCCCTGGACCGCGTCGCGGCACGTTCCGAATCACGACTCCAACCACCCCGCACGCCTACAAAGCCTCATAACCCACACGCATCACTCTGGGACAATATGCCCTCCTCTCCACTGGCACCTGCTAGCCCTCCCACGCGCGACCTGGTAGACTTCGTGGGCAGCGGGCGCACCCTTGAATGGGCATGTGCTGCGGCACGACTATCTGAAAAGCGCAAAGTAGACGAAAAGGATGTTGAAACGGAAGAGGAAGAAATGGAAGCCATTACACCGGAAGGGAGCTTAGGAGCTGGAGATGATGCCTGGAATAGGAGAACTGCGTTTCCTGTCCAGAAGCGCGGGCACGTGGCCCGGAACTTGAAGTTCGCGCCTATGGCAGTGAACGGAAGAAAAGGTGCGATTCAGGACGACGATATGATGCGAGCTGCGCTGGTCCTATGTGGACTTGGAAAGCGCAGCTGCCAGTGAGGAATCATTAATGAGGCCTCAGGACGTGCATGATCACATCAGAGGACTTTTGGCACGCACAACACTACCCTTATTATTTGCACATACCCTGCATTTCCAAAATTGCATCTCCACATCTGTTATAATGCTGTATATATCATATTTTGTACGTCTTCGAGCATTCTTCGGGAGGACTCCGTGATCTGTGTGAAATGAATGGCCAGGAAGCAAACGAGACCTGCGATTATTGTTCAGAGCTAATGATCTGCCGACGAAAAGGCATTAGAAATCGTATACTTGATCAGTAACTGTAGGTGATTCGAAAGGGTCGCGAAGATCTGGTCATCAATCAATCAGGGGGGGACATGTAGAGAGTTGCTGAGCAGATCATCTGAAGGGCGATTGCAGTCATCCCAGGGAAGCCTGATAACCACAGAGACAAAGCTTGAAATGAACTTAACACGCTTCCGAGTCGCTGCAGCTGGACGCAGAAGTGAACAAGGCAGACTTAACACTGGACTCTGGAGGAACGATAGCGATGTTTGTGTTCGTTATGTCGGCATCGCCCGAACCGAACAGCATATCGGAGCTATAAACAGATCAGGATAAGGTATCGAAAATACCTTCAAGTTGGTTCAGGAATCAGGTGTGCATGGGAGCCCGAGGCGGCTCTCCTTGAGCGTCAATATCTGTTAGGCTGTCCTCACAGACACAGTTAGGCCTCTTGTCTTCTCTCCGTCATGCCAAATCCTGTCATCATTATCACAGGCGCATCCAGGTTAATCCTAGTCCCTATTTCTGAGAAACATATGCTAACCATGTAATATTCAGAGGCATCGGCCTTGCAGTTACTCGTTCCTTACTCAAGGAACACAACGCTCATGTCGTTACCATATCACGAACTCGAACACCAGAGCTCAGCCAACTGATTCAGGAACACAAACAATCACTGCTGGCTCTCGAATGTAACGTGTGAGTACCAGACCTCCACCTCATACCAGAACTCACGGTCATACAACCACAGCACAGACGAACCCGCCATCCAAAGCGCCATAACTCGCGCCAAAGACCACTTTGGGCAGATAGACGGGCTAATTCTCAACGCTGCGACTCTAGACTACATAGGACGCATCGACAATGCCGAACTCAGCCTAGACGACTGGAGAAGCCACTTTGACATCAATTTTTTCTCGCTCGTTACTGCTATCAGGGCTTCTTTGCCTAGCTTGCGAGAATCGAAGGGTAGGATTGTTTTTGTAAGTTCTGGAGCGGCTACTGGGGGCATACATGGATGGGGCATGTATAATGCTAGTAAAGCTGCTATGAACAGCTTGAGCAGGTGATTGGAATTGAACGGTGTGAGGCGGCTTTGGAACTAATATCATGGTATTGGATAGGACTCTGGCAAACGAAGAACCTTCAATCGTGTCATTAGCACTGGCGCCTGGAAGAGTCGACACTCAGGTATGTCTGGACTGTATCACATCGAACATAGACCTAAAATATCGTACAGATGCAGACCATATTGCGGGATGCAGGAGCGCAGCATATGAAGGCGGCAGACCATCAGAGTTTTGTCGACGCTTACAACGAAGGAGCCCTAGTCAATCCATACGACGTTGGATATGTCATCGCTGCGCTCTCGGTGCGCGCTCCTCTTTCGCTTAGCGGGCAGTTTGTGCGGTGGGATAATGAGGAGTGTAGAGAATTCCAGAGGAAATGAACTGGTGTAGATCGGGTATGATTATCCCGAGATGTTTTTTCCCCCGCTGTCCACATCTTAATCGAAGTAGGCAGCAATGAAAAGAAGGCAGCTTCTGACATACCGTGATTTTTCTGCTTGGAGACAGTCGATTATCATCACAGTCGTTATCAGTAAGGTTTGGGGCTTGCTCCAGCATGGGGGCCTCGAGGACAAATTTGTTATGAAAAGTATGGCAATAACGGATATATCGCAAACACTACAGCAACACCCTAAACTGCTGGAAATGGTGCGCAATGCCTGCCAGACGGGCGCGTTCTCCCACATCGCCGACCTCGGTGAGTATTTGTGACAGTCAGATAGATACCCCCCTATGCTGACAGTTACTGGTAACGCAGAAATATTTCAGATACCCCAAGCACTCTCACTGGTGGTCTAGGTGTCTCGATATATGTCGAACCTGGGCTCAAGCATATTCCATATCTTAGCGCTCGCTGACAGATTTGGTGCAAGTGATTATCAAACGGAACAAACCGAAGTGTATCGAAATTCGAAGCACTGCCGCTAACAAGTCTTCTCACCAAGGTTGCCTCCAATCACAGCAAGCAAATCTGAGCACCTAGCAGTTCCGCTCATCATCACCATCTTTCCTTGCCCTCAACTATTGATTTACGCATTCCCGTGCCTGCCCTCATCGTCTCTTCTTGGCATGCCCCGCAAAGAGGCCGAGGCAAGTACGTCAGCCAGACGGAGAGAAGCGCTGTTCGACTCGCCAGCACGTGTTGCACCTCTTCGAGCAGGAGCGAAGTATCCACCTCCATATGGTGCACAGCGCCGCCAGGATGCTCTTTGGGAAGGTGAGCAACAGTATTATGATACATATTGAGTTACCCATCAAGAAGCAGGCGGGAATGAGGCGCTCCCCCCTCGATGGGATCAGTTTCAGGTGTTGAGTGGTGCAACAGGATATCAAGACGACACGCTTTCTATGTCTTCATGGAACCGACCTTTACCAGGAGTGCGACTAGGTGAGCGAAGAACGTGCCACTAGGAGCAAGGAACTCATGGCTGAGCATAGATGAACCTGGACAACTCGTTATTGATGGATGCGAATGGCACATCTCGCCACTCGGGCGGTCCTACTTCGTCAACCACAACAGTCGGACCACATCCTGGAAGAAACCAAAGCCAGTGCGTCCGGCAGAGAGCTTGGTGCCGGAGTGCATCATCGAGGGTCACTCCGAATGCATATGGAGCCTTGCGTGCTTGGGCACCAGTTGCGATATACTGAGTGCGTCGGATGACTGTTCGATTCGCCACTGGAAAAGAGACGGAGAGCCAGTAGGAAAGCCTTTGGATAGCGATGGTGGGGGGATAGGCTCAATGACATTATCTCCGGATGAAACAATGGTCGTGAGCGGAAGTATAGACGGTAGACTACGACTGTGGAACATAAGGAAGGGCATCATGGTCGGTGACCCGTGGGAGGGGCACAATGATGCAGTGAAGTGCCTCGATTGGTCCCCCAATGCCTCGGAGATAGCAAGTGGATCGCAAGATGGCACCATACGACGCTGGAATCCGAATACTGGCCGGCAAATAGCGACACCAATACTAGAGACTGGTCAAGGCTGGGTGGAAGCTGTCAAATACTCTCCACAATGCGACAAATTCATGAGCGGCGGCGAGGACGGTATAATCCGTGTGTGGTCCAAGGACGGGCAGTTGCTCATCGAGATCAAGGGACATGAAAACATGGTGACGTCATTGTGTTGGTCCAAGGAAGGCGCATATATATTCTCTGGATCAAGCGATGACACCATCCGAAAATGGCGGTCAATTGATGGGGAGGAGCTCGTCGTTCTTCAGGGTCATACCAACATTGTCAAATCCCTCTGTCTGTCACCTGATGAAGGCCATATCGTTAGCGCATCACAAGACTGCTCAGTTCGCATCTGGGACCTCAAGACCAATCAGCCAGTTGGATATCCACTCTTGCATGACGACGAACTCTTAACTCTTGCTGTATCCCGTGATGGACAATACATTGCTAGTGGTGGATTAGACGCAAAAGTCTATGTTTGGAGCATGGAGGCAGCGCTCAATCAGCGGGGTGGGCGTGCGTATGTGCATTGGCGCCTTAATACATCTTTAACGGTTCTGGTTTAGAGCGTGGATGATGCCAATGCAAACCCTGACGCGAAGTCCAAGGCAAGTCAGCCTCTTCTCTTTCCTACTCGATCTTACCTTTTCCTAGGGGCATCCAGTGCGACCGAGAGATGTGCGCCGATCAGTTGTGATTAACCTTGTCCTTCGCTCATTTATTGTTCAGCACTTCTCCTCACACCCAATTTTCGCCAAACAGCACGCGAGTAACAAAGGCTCGGCGAAATATGTTGGTGTTGCTTTTCGTTCCTGAACTCTTTCTCGCCTGACACTGATATAGGGCAAAGACTTCTTCGCCAACGATACAAATCGCGCCCCAGCTCCGCCTGCGAGCCCACCAACTGTCCTTCATAGTTTGTTCGGTTCACTACGTTTCCGTCCTCGACCTCCAAATTCACCTCGACAAACAACGCGCGAGCCCCGACATTGGAATTTCAACTTAATTCCTGTAGGAATTTCCAGACGCACCGTTGATGTACCCGCTGCTCGTGATGAAGACGTGAGTTTTCTCGCCGTCACCTCTATTTCATTCCATTGAAACACAATACAGAGGTACGGTATTGTCCCTGAATCTGACGCGGAAGCTGCAGCAGCTATGCAACGTACGAATGTCAACAACGAGGCCGACGGTTCACCTACGCCGGTGGTACAAGGGTCTCAGGGACAACCAACAGAAACACAAGGCCCAAGTGGTGGGACGGAAAACGTGTCTTATGAAGTTAACTGCTGCGGATTTTTCTTTGGTCGCCGTCATCCCACCTCGCATCGGTCCTGAGTTCATTTGCTGGAAGTCATTCGATGTTTTCCCCTTCTCTCTCGTGTGCGTTTAGGCGTTGTATCTCACTCCTAGCTCGTAACTTATCATAGATACCACGACGAGATTTGAACTTTCGAACTCCTGCTCCCACCCGACAAGCATTCACAGCGTTACACACTACTACCAGTTGATACATGTACGCCCTCTTGGAAAGCAATTGAACTCATGCCAGTTCCTGTGTCGGAGTCGACCACGAGCTTTGTGTAATATCAATAAACACGAACACAAAGGATGAGACGTGGACCCAGCACAGCATCTGTACGAATCTGAAGGACACCACCATATAGCTGAGCTCTGGAAATGATGAGCAGTGGATGCCGATGTCAGTAATAGATCAGCGTACCACAGCTCGGGAGAGGATACCAATCTGGAGGCAAGCAACAGCATGTCCGGTAATTCGGCAGAAAGGTGTTATGGCGTTCAATTTGCGGGCTCGCCTCGCAAGGTAGGCTACATAGATTTTGAATTGACACCATGGGACTGTCCCGGATGACGGTCCTTCCTGGTGCCGATGATCGTGGCAGTTCACGGAAGTGTTTCACAGCAATCCGGATAGCAAGATACAGTGTGAGGACCTCCAAGACAGTGTCGAGTGTCCAAACCATTGCGATCAGAACCTTGATGCCTCTCGTCATGACAATCATGCAATTATGATACTAGGTTCCGGGGAGTATGGACTCCTCTGGTATTCGGCAGATGTAGGTCGAACGCATCTCTTTAGCTTGACAGCGGTTCCAAACTCGGCTGGTATACACTCCAGCGTCTAACGGAAACACAGTAGTATGACGATCACACCAGAGGGGACCCATATACAAGTGACAATATGTCGAGGGGTGGATTTCCATCTGCGGGTGTCCAGGATCGGCGTGGACTCCTTCGAGTCGACCATTGAAAAAAAACTTGCAGTAGTAGGTGATGCTAACATCGTTCCTGTGTGTAACTTGCCTCGACGGGTTATGTTATAGTGCCGGATCTTGTCAGTGCTATCTGAAATGGAGCGTTAGGTGAAGTATGACACAAGCCGGGGACGCGAACTTTTACATAAGGTTGACCATTCAACTCATTGAGTGTTGCGTCCCGTAGGGAAGCGAATAACATGGATAATGCAGGAAATGTACAAAGGGAAAGCATAAACACCGAGGCACAACCCGGAATGCATGTACAGGTAGCGATATGTAGAGTCAAGGGGATTCGAAATGAACTTGGAGTCAACCAATGCTTGCGTGATACTGAAATTCTTTGGAGGAGCTTACCTCAACAAGTTAAGTGCCGGAGTCTGCCAGTCTCTGGAATGGAGCCTTAGGCGAATGACATGACACTTACCGGACGCGAAAAGAGGCTGACCATTCAACCTGTTGGCTCGTTCTGTCATGTAGAAGCGAAGCGAATATCACGGATAGTGCAGCAAACGCATCATGTAGAAAAGCATAAATACCAAGACTGCGATTCTGAACAACCCAACTCGAGACCTTCACAACTCTCATATTCATCATGCGTTTTTTGACACTGATCGCTATTTTCGTTGCGCTTGCTGTATCTGTTAGCGCTGATGGTACAAACGAGTGCAACGAGGGCTTTGACGAATGTGGACCTGATGCCAGGTGTCAAGTGAATATCCCTTTCTTTTTGCCACGGCGAACCTAGTGGACACGACTGACTGGCTTGTCGCAGAACGGGAAATGCAAGCCACGGAATCAGTGACGGTGCAACCACAAGATGCGTTAAAGCTGTCAGTAGAACACAGGTCAGACATCACCCACCGACTCGAGCTATAAATTGACCCTCGCCTGTAGTTCATCTGAAAGATCCGTCACGGTTGAGATCGGCGAGGTAGACAAATGAATTTGTTTGCATTACGCACTGGTCGATTCATACTTCTTGGGAAATACATCTATTGCAGTCAGAAACTACTAAAACCCATGAGTGTGCGAGTATAAGAGCAATTAAAGTATGAGGCCTAGTTGGTCCAGAAGAGAGAACAATATGCTTTGAATTGGTCGTAGACATCTGAGTGCGGCATCGACATATCAGTGATCAGGGTGTCACTGTCAACGACGCGCTTCTCGCCGAATTTTTCAAGAAGACCTGTGGTGATCTATACATGTCAAATTTAAGTCGAAAACATGACGAGCATGAGGATTGAATGACCTTGCAAGCATGACAGGACTTTGTTTGAAAATGACAATGTTGAAGCAATTGAAGTAGTGTAGTGCGAGGCCGCTGATGGATGAGCCTGCGATGATGACTTCTATGCGATTTCTTTGAAGATCGGGTGATAGTAGACCTAGAGGAGGAGAAAATATCCTTTCGAGTTGTTGTTCCTCGCCGTAGAGTCAACTTGATGATGATTCAATAATTGATAGTGCAAGCGGGGGTCAATCGACCCCTCGTTATGTCCCATTCAAGCGACTGTTGGAGTCACTGAATGTATGTACTATGCTACGTAGTAGCCCTTGTATAACCAACTCTAGATCTGTCTAGACTTGTCTGTGGTTTTCCAGATCTGCTATAGATCTATCATCGACGTTGCATACAGAGAAGGGGTTATTAGCACTGTGCGATAATCATCGTGGTCAGTGGTCACCCTTAGTCACGACACCACGCTACGTGCAACTCCGAGTCCCAACGACCCAGATATGCCTTCTCATAGAGATCACGAGCGCCGTCCACGTCGAGACCACTCGCGTTCCAGAGACAGAAGAGACCGCTCGCCCACCCCGGAAAGTGGCAACGACCTCCCACAAGGCATCGCACCCATATCGGAGTCCGACTACTTTTTGAAAAACACAGAGTTTAGAATATGGCTAAAGGAGGAGAAAAACAAGGTCTGTCCTATGCTAGGATTTGATGAATCAAGAAAAATGCTAAGGTGTCTACCTGGTAGTACTTTGACGAGCTCTCGAGTGAGAAAGCTAGGAGGTGAGTGTCGTTATCAAGGTATTTCTTTGCGAGGTTGCTCAAGAGGAATGGCAGCTACTTTCGAAAGTTTGTCAAGGTAAGAAAATGCATGAACTACACGAATGTGAACTGAATGCGCAATTCAAGGCATGGAACAGAGCGAAATTACCGAGTGAGCCTTCTTCTATATCTCACAGTGACCAATCCTGACCGATGTCTAGAGTCCCTATACTCCGAGGCCTCATCCCACATATCATCGGCAGCCAACCAAACAGCTTACAAATGGTCGTTCGCATCCAAGGGCTCAAGTGTGGATGCAGGAACCCTGAAAGCCGTTCGAGAAGAAGTTGATTCTGCGACCTACCGACGTGCTACTAGTTCATCCAATACCGGTGGAAGTCGGAGCCGCGTTCATGGCCCAACTCTCCCTTCTGCGTCAGATCGGGTCCTCGCCCGGGAAGCTGCATCAGAATATCAAGCAGCGGAACATAACGTGAAGCGCAAACGAGATCGCGCGGAGGCGAAGGAGCGCATCGAGGACATGGTGGGGCCGAAAGAGGTCGGCAAGGAGGGTATGCTGGAAAAGAAACGCGCCAAGAGAGAGGATGACCGTGCATTTAGGGAGAAAGGTGATGACGGCTTTGAAGCCGACGAGTCGACCCTCCTTGGTGGTGGGGATAGTTTCAAGGACCAGTATGTTTTGGGTTTATTATTTTCTTTTTCACGCTGACATCATAATAGCATTGCTCGGCGAGATGCAGCACGGAAACGATTCGAGGAGAAGCGTGGTGCAGGGAGAGAAGACAAAACTGCTGTTGTTCGCGAACGTGCTGCGGCCTTGCGAGAGAAGGACAAGGCTACAATGGACATGTTCCAACAGCTGGCAAAGCAGAGATTTGGTTAGCCACGACGCTCGTACGTTGCTTCATGAATTGGTGAGTATTTTACAATGTGTTGCGTACGCGGTTATACGAATCGCAAATCGGGAATATGATTAACAAGCTGCTCATCTACGTCGCGCCGCTCTTCTTAAAGAAAATAAAGCTAGCACTATTGCCTTAAGGCGCTCAAAATCTTGCGTGAGCGAAGGGCTGTCCCACGCCCTATCATCTGCATCCAACATTTGAGCCTCTGCTGTATCAATCTCAGATGTAGACGTGTCGCGCTCGTCGTTATATGTCTCCTACGGGAATTGTCAAAGGTTTGCCTCTTCGAAAGGTATGCAAGGCTTCTCCCTTACCAGCGAATCACGGTTCTGAACATCCTTGCCGAAATCAACCTAACAAGACAACATATCACCATCAGCATCGTTAGTCACCTCAACGCGAAAATACACAAACCAAAGTGCTCGTCTCAGAGTCACATATATGGGCTTCTTCGAAGCTCTGAATTTAATATTTTAGCGTGACGCGCACCCCACCTCCACACAGGATGCCTAACATACCACTTCAATCGTCTGTCCCATTTCCTCATCCTCTGGGGCACTGTACATTTCCTCGTCCTGGTTTTCCAAGTTGCTTGTAAAAACTTCTCTAGTGCGAGTCATGGAGACACTAGCACTGCATGAGGGATTGTTCAATGGGCCTACCATAGCAGCTGGTAATCGAGGAGTTGAGGGTAAGCAGGACAAAGGAAGACAGCTGCATCATATAGGATTTTCACTCGGACACACTCTGCTGATAAACCGCTTTCGACGTGTCACGAAGACACGATAGGGACAAACGAAAGCACAACGGGGTCGTAAAAGGCCGGAAGAGATCGCTAAGCCTGCTATATTTGAAGAAAGGGATTTACTACTGTACGAGGGAGTTAGATAGCAGCATTGAACATCCATGCCATGCCACGTGGTACATGCAACCAAGGTTGTGTTTTCATGGGTAAATGCGGACAGCCTTGGATTGGATGGCAACTAACCTGTGTGTAACGCAATGAATTTGCATATTGGTCTAGCACAGCCCATTCATGGTGAATCCCTAAAGGACTTGCAGCAACAAGCAGTTGGTGACAAGTGAGTAAGTCTCCCTGGTCACAAGAACCAATTACAGGTTTGTTATATGCAAATCTGAGCCGCCATTGGCGGGTGGTCAAGGTGACCACTGTGACGGTGCACGACGAGCAAATTGATTGTAAATGTTAGCTGGCATGAGCTCACCCTCGCACGACCTCTCGGGGAGTCCGATTGTTGCCTTGGATTCGGGGCGGCTTAAGCTAACAGCCGATGGTAAACATTGTTACCGACGGTCGGTAGACGATGATCTACGAGTTGCAGTAGTACTTCAAGAAAGTGCATACTTGTTATCGATAACGTGTAGCACCATGCGCGCATTTTTTCCAACAGAACGGCGACCTATGAAGGCGGCGGGGCACCATGGGGCGCTCGGCATGCGCCGCAGCCTCTTGCTCCAAATGACAATTGTTAATCGTCATGTCCTCAGCTGTGGACGACACGCGCACCTATTTAAAGCTTGTCATCGGATTCTTTGTCCCAACATTCTCCGAGAAAATAAAAATGATCGGGGATCAGAGCCTGATGAGCCTGGGCCACCGTCTTGTACCCCTCATCTAAGTATATCGTTTTGGCCGCGAGTAGATGTAGTACTGGGTGACAGCACGACGGGAAGATTGAACACTTGTGTACTCACAGGCACAGATGTCATATCTAAGATGTGATGCACTTGGCGTCAGGAATGTCCTCCCATTCTGTCGTCAACCATCGTGGAGCGCCGTCAAAAAGATCCTTTCAAATTTTGGATGAGTTCAAGTACTTTCTGCGGTTCATCTTTATCAGGAGGTGCCAGTGATTATCGGATACACTTCCATTTGGCATGAAGCTGAGAACATGGCGGTCGAGAGCGAAAGTGCGGCAGATGCCGAGCGCCAACACCGCTTTTAGGCCCGGCTGCGGCACGACACCAAACTTCGAATTGAAAATTCGTATGCAACTGTTTAGGTTGGGATTGTTCAACAAGGTTCGTACAATCCTTTGAGATAAGAGATGCCTGCTGGCACCCGGACATGCGTTCCATTATCATGTCATGGCTGCAAGCTACGTACATCATTTCTCAGCCATCGTGTGCGCACGCAATCTAGTGAGTCAGTCTATCGATACATTCCACATGCACCGCCAACTTTACCATCAAGTATTGCATATCGAAGTTTTCAATTCTACTCAGGATCTGTATCTCCGCAAGGCTCATAAGCTCGATTTTTTCCTGATGGTTGAACGCAACTTTTTGTGTAGGACCGCAGAAGTATGCCGTGATCATTACTACAAGGGCATCAACTTCCTACAAACTTCGGATCGGAATAAGTATAAAGGATGCTTGCTGCCAGCGGTACTTGCGTTCATCACCCTCTCATTATGATTGGAATCTACATCATTGTCGCAATCGTCTGTGCAATCGTTACAGAAGGATGGCGTACAACACGAAAGAAGGCCAATGGTATGGCACTCCCACCCGGACCGCGCTTGCTACCTTTCGTGGGCAATGTCCTCGATATTGATCTAGATCGTCCATGGCTAACTTATGTTAAGTGGGGAAAGCAATATGGTTTGTTGGTCCCACTTGGTCATACAAAGTTCGCAGCTTAGCTTCGAATTCCAGGCGATATTGTATACGCACGCCTTTTTAGCCAGCACTTCATCATTATTAACTCCGAGAAAATTGCCAGGGCCATTGTAGACAAACGCTCGGCAATATATTCTGATCGCCCTGTCGTCCCTACAAACGAGTAGTAAGCCTGAGTTGTGTCTTCATGAAGGAGCTATCGAGTGACTGACTGAGAACAGTTTTGGATTGTCATTTAACACTGGGTTCATGCCATATGGTGATACATTCCGCATCCACCGCAAACTTTATCATCAGGTACTGCGTATCGAAGCATCCAATTCGTACCAGGATCTGTATCTCCGCAAGGCTCACGAGCTCGTTGTTAATCTTTTGGATGCCCCCAAGGATATGGAACAACACCTCACTACGTTGGTCCCCAGCTGCGATTTTCCATGTCTACTCTGTCTGATATAAAACAGATTTGCGGCGTCTCTCATTTTGGCAGTCACGTATGGATACGAGACCAAGCCAAGGGATGATCCCTTCGTAACTTCCGCTCAGAGGGTCATCGAGATCGCTAATCAAGTTCTATCTCCTGAAAGAGCAGCCATGCAAATGTTTTTCCCTTTTCGTGAGTATTTTGTATTTTTGGGGATTGCGTTATGAACATGTAGGTTTCTTCAGTGATTTGGCTCCCGTCTTTTGTGCCAGGGGGGGAGTACAAGAAACGGGCCCCGGAATGTCGTAGATTGATCAAGGATATCATGGATACACCCTTCAAATATGTGAAAAAGCAATTGGTGAGTACATCCGAGATTCTTGGACTCTGGAGAGAATTGTTTGATGGTTTCTCTGCCAGGCAGAAAATGTAGCTCGTCCGTCTATGGTTTCAGACTTCCTGAGCCAGGGGGACACAAGTCAAGTTCGTGCACATGAACAGTTGATGAAGGAGGTTGCCGTGACTGCATACTCTGGTGAGACATCATATTGGCCCTAAGTCTTCATAGTAGTAAACTCTTTGCTCTTCAGCCGGGTCTGAGACAGTAGCACAAACCATTTCTCTTTATGAAGAAACGCTTACAGATGCCAATTGCAGACCTCGTCAACCATACACTCATTCATACTGGCAATGCTTCTTTACCCGGATGTCCAGACTCGCGCTAGAGCAGCAATCGACGCAGTGTGCGGACGCAACAAAATTCCAACTTTCCAGGACAAGAAGTCATTGCCTTACATTGAAGCGATCTGTCGTGAAATTCTTAGATGGGAGCCTATTGTACCTCTCGGTAAGCCCCGGGGGAGGAATTAAAGCAATCTGACACGTTCCGTTAGGCGTTCCGCATAAAACTTTACGCGATGATATTTATGATGGGTTCTTCATTCCCAAAGGTGCTCTACTACCAGTGTCACGAGCTTCTGATCATGTTTCTCAACGAGGTTAACAGGTTCCGTCGTGATATTGAATGCATGGTGGGTACCGGGGGATCATTGTCGTCTCTACCTCGTGAGTCTTTGTTGTGGCTAATTACTTCCATAGGGCCATGGGTCACGATGAAGAAATATACCCCAATCCATCGCATTTTGATCCTGATCGTCATTTTACTGCAGACGGAACGTTGAAAGATGAACCAGCGTACACGCATTTCAGCTTTGGTTTCGGAAGGTTCACGATGTCTTCTTGGTTTTGAGAAGTGCGACTGACGATACGCTTGAAGAAGGATTTGCCCAGGCCGTTTCTTCGCAGAAAACTCCATATGGGCGTCTGTCGTGTCGATTCTATCAACTATCGAGATCACAAAAGCACAAGACAAGGATGGCAAGGACATTGACGTTAAGCCCCAATTCATAACTGGCCTTTCAATGTTGGTCCTCCATCTATCTGTGACTCAGGAATCTGACGGTGTTGAATGGCTCGCAACAGCCATCCCGAACACTTCCCATGCTCCATACGGAGTGTATCTTCAGCTAGGGAAGAGCAGGTGCGAACGATGTGGAAGGCTGACACAACTGGCCAGTGAGTGAATGCTGTCTTGAAAAGGCTGAGCTGTGAAATTACGGAGGGTGTGCAGCCGTTTCCTGTAGTTGGCTTGTTTACAAGAATTCATGTCCGCATTGCACAACTGGGTCATATCATTTTTCTTATCGAAAAGAGATGAGTAAATTACAGCTATCGGATCGACAAACTAGAGGGACATTATCGTCGTCATGAGTACATTGCAGCTCGAGACATGCAATCGAGTTCATCCTGCATACCATGTGCCAAGACTTTGTGGTTTGAGCGATTGAGAAGACGGGGTTAGTCTAGTAGTATGTGCCTATATAGCATGTTTCGCCCTTTAATCTAATCTTCAACAGCAGTAGTACTAGCGACAAGGAACCCAACGTATCTCAAACAACATGTACCCAACTTCATCCGCACGACCAATTCCCTCGCGACGCCCCACATCCTCCTTTTGCACCACCGCCAGCTTCATCTCCCCACCACATCCTTCAATTCTCAAAAATCCACATCCCCCGTCTGGAAATACGTCATCCACAGTTTCCCACAAGCCTTCATGCCTCCCTGTCGAACGCATCGCGATAATCAACCAAAACACTCCTCCCTTCTGTAGCGCTTTCTCCACGCAATCTTTGATCCACTTCGCATGCTCGGGGTGATACACCACATCTGCAGCAAGGATAACATCGTACGGCTCGAGAGGAGGCGGTCTGGACCAGTCCAGTGACTCGATTTGGACGGAGACATTATTGGTCTGCACATTTTGCAGTAAGTTATGGAGGACCGCGGAGTGATAGTCTGTTGCAACAATTGTGGCATTGACTCCCATGCGATCGAGAAGTCGGGCGGCAGCGATGCTGAGAAGGCCTGTGCCTGCACCTAGCTCAAGAATGCGCAAGGGGGCAGCTCCTTGTGGGGCGCTCATGTATCGAGTTGGATCCGCACAAATACGTTCAGCGAAAATGATAGCGCTTGCCCAACTTTGTAGACCAACGGAAGTGTGATCCGTTGGCGTGAGTGGAGCATCGTTTAGCTCGATCGTGATGACCTTGCCTCCGGTACCAAAAGGAAACCTGAATTGTCGCGTGAGAGTATCATCCTCTTGCTGCTCGTCGTCACCGGAAAACCGTGCAAGAAGGTTGCTTGCTTCCTCTATAACGGATAGACGTATGTGCTCTTCTTGTTCTGCGGCGCTGTCGAGTGCGTGCATCCACATATCAGATCGCTTTATGAGGCCTGTGAGCCATTTGATGGCAAAATTTCGCTCAAGCTCGTCTGAGCGCAGGACGTCGACGTCTAAGCCTTCAACTTCGCTTTCTAGATCTCCATCCAGTTCTGCCTCGTCTTCTTCGGAGGCATAACCGGAGTCCGGGACGCCATCGATGTGTTTCAAGCGTCCCGTCCGCTTTGGGCGAGGCACGTGTACCGTGTCAGATATGTCCTGCTTCAGCGCAGGTACAGCATTTATTGACCACGTCCTCTTCGGAGAGAGCGGTGCGGCGGGGAAGTAAAGATCCTTCAAGTCTTGCAAAGCATCTTGCACAGATGCGGTGGTGTGGGTGGAAAGTACAGAGAGTGGTGGAAGAAAGGAAGTTGGAGCACGGAAGTTGGCCATGATTCGTCCGGATGGGATATACGGTATGCGTTGAATACGATGTCGATTATAATGATGTGGGCCGATAAACGAAACTTCGATAGACAGTCTAGCAGGGGTATTGGTGCACCAAGTCTATGTGCACAATGAGATCTATATCGTTCAATGTATCCCAGAGAAAATGGTCTCGATAGCGAATGACTTCTATATGTCTATGTTCGTTGAAAAAAAGAGTTAGTCTCTACAAAACAACGCAGGCTCTTTACAAAAAGTAAGCTAGAGCCTGCGTTGCTATTGAATAAGGAGAAGCATCGGGAACAGCATGGTGAGAGACGTAGAGTTGGGAGAAAGAGACAGGCACGTTGTTTGCAAAGATTTTTCGGATCGGAGTGTAACAGTGATTGATCAGAGATAAGATAAGATAACGGTAGGGTTGTTAGCATCCGGGTCGTCGATTAATCGACGCATCAGCAAGCCATATAACATGAGTGTTCAGTCCAGAGAGCTCACGGTGACCTACAAAATTGTCCCGCCGCCATCTACGGTGGCTCCTCCATCCCTCTCGCATGAAACGACCCATAGGTTTCCTGTCGCATCTCTGCCCGCAGAGTCGAAGGAAGACGTCGACTCGGAGCTGAAGAGATATTACGCATCGCTGCGAACATCGATTGCAGAAGCTCGCACAAAACTCGGAGAAGAGTTGACTGCTTGGAGGGATGCAGTAGGAAATGCAGAACTTGGAAAAGAAAAGTCTGTAAAAGCTGAAGTCGATGATGAAGTAGAGGAAGAGGAGAACGCAGAGGAATGACACTAGACAGTAATCGTGGATGGGTATGCATGTGATCCTTGAACCAAGGTAACTTCAATCATCGTTTGCAACAATTTGCGGTTTCTCAAATGCCCGTTCAGACGGCAGATTCTAGTCCTGACTATAGCGTACAAATGCAGTACAACACGCCCAGCAAAATTAGCTCTGGATATGCTCGGCTCATACACAATCATGCCTTCCCCTTCCGCCTCAATAATTCCTCTTCCTCGGCTTTGAGTTCTGCATCCACCTTGGCTCCTTTTGATGGCTCGTTTCCATGAGAAATGGCTGGTCCAAGAGGATTGACGTTAGGATCCGCGAAGGGGTTCATTGATTCTTCGCTACGTGAGTGCTTGAGGGCAGCGGCGAGTCTGTTGCCTATGCTCCGTTCGTCTCTGAGACAGTTGTAAATTTTGAAGCAGTGTCAGAAGACTGGGATCATACTTGGAGTCAAGATCCTGGTGTGCGTGTTCCTGTCCCTCATCATACTTCTTTTTCGGGTTCTTGTCTGTTTGTTTTGACGTTCTGCTGAATCTATCAGAGATCAAGATGAATGTGCTTAGTTCGGGACTCGCCTTTGCTCATTCGCTTCGTATACCTGAGGATTCCCAACGTTGGACATCATAGCTCCTGAACGTGCTGACATTTTGATTGTGTGATAGAAGGGACGAAGTATTGTTAAGTTGGCAAAAGAACTTTCCCCTCCTTTATACTCCCGCAAGGATGGTTCAAACGGATGACATCATAACGTCAAGGACTTGTGTAACGCGACAAGTCTTGGACCAGCCAACTCCAGTCTGAAGACGAATGATAAGTATTGATCAAGACAAAAAAGCCATGCTCGCACTCGCCAACGAGTTCTGATGCAGACCTGATTATCCGAGGAAATCGCTTGCGTGCTACAAGTAAATGTTGGTGACCTGAGTGGTATTGGAATGGAAAATTGCCTTCATCATACTCCAAAGTCCGTCAAAGTGATCCACCGATTGCGTGTTAAATTACAGGAAAATCGGCGAGTGTAGCAGTTCCACAGCCATTTTGTGACAACGGGGTCATCATTATCCAGTTAAATACATACACTGCTAGCAATATCATGTGTGTGGTTACGAGGATGAGATGTCTGTATGAACCACCGGCCTGCTTTCAACTCCTAGACAAGGCGGGAGAAAAAGCAAAAGCACTGAGACGTGCAAGCGTTCGTGTCCGCCCTACTTTGGCGCAAACCAGCGTGATCGCAAGCCTGGTCTGCAATTTGACTTGAGTGCGTTTGAGAAGAAGAAAAAAAAGCATCAACAAGGTATTAGGGCACATATCACGTGATGTTTACCGATTTGGAACATAGGCTCTAACCTATTAATAGGCCGCCTAGGCTAGCAAAGCTTAGCAAAGTCGCGGGAGGTTTTACTTATCCCCATGCCAAGTGTTTTTGCTATAATAAGTGATGCACACAGCCAGCTCCGAGTCAGGAGCGGATCATCTCTTCATCTGATACTAACCGTCGATGATCTGCAAGTGTAACACCATAAGTATGAGGGCTCCGAGGAGTTCTTTACGTCGCTGGTCGCCGTATCACACGAGGACGAGCGTTAAAAGGTAATATAGTAGCGTTAACGAAATATTTGTCATCTAAGTGCGTTCTTTTTCGCCTCCCCGCTGATATTTACAGGTTGCTTCACCACTAGCACGTTGTCAAGCATTTTCGCTCTTTTCTTTTTACATTCGTTGACCCCCACCGCTCCTGGTCTATCAATTTTTTTTCTTAGATAGATGCGGATTTTCGCGCTGCTGTCAGTGCTTGGTATAGCACTACAGGTGCCAGTGGTGACCGCTCAAGACGGCTCCATATCTGGTCCAACCAGCAGCTCATCTGCTGCTGGGTACTCATGCGATCCCAGCCAATGCCAGTTGCCCAACTGCAATTGTGCTAGCACGAGTCCCCCAGGTGGTCTTTCTCCTGTAAGTGTTTGAATTATGCTTTTGCCATGCACCGTTTCTGACGGGCAACTTTCCAGTCGGACGTACCACAATTCGTTGTCTTCACTGCCGACGATGCTATTCAGTCCTATACTATCGACTCCGTTAATCAGTTCCTCGCTCAACGGAAGAACCCGAACGGCTGCCCTATCAAGATGACGTACTTCACGTCTCTTAACTATACCAACTACACGCTCGTCACCGATTGGTACGTTGCAGGGAACGAAATCGCTGATCATACGTATGTACATCATTTTAACCATCGGTGCATTTGATCATTGGTTTTAGGATGACACATGTCGGTTCACCTCCGGCGGATGAGATTAACGGCAACATCATTGCTCTCAATGCACTGGCTGGCATCCCGATGAACGCCATCCAAGGTTTCCGTGCTCCTTACTTAAACTATACCGCTCAGACTTTGCAGCTCCTTGCGAATGTTGATTTCACATATGATTCTTCCTCCGCCTCATCAATTCCTGTCACCGACCCAGGTACCGATGCGTACTGGCCTTATACGCTGGACTATGGTCTTGCCAATGATTGTCTGACTGTCGATGGTATATGCAAGGGCCTACCTAAGATCCCTGGCCTTTGGGAAATTCCTATGTATGCATTCTTTGACGACCTCGGGGTCGACGGTCCGCACCTCATGGACCCCTGGCTGGATACTGCCAATGGGGCCAGTGCCGTAAACGACAGTGCCACATTTGAGTACATGAAAAATACATTTACAGATCATTACGCTGGTAATAGGCAACCAGTTGGTCTCTACACCCATCCCATTCATCTTTCGGTCAGTTATTTCCGTTCATCGATATCCAGATATTAGCTGATTCCATTCTATTTATATATAGACCACTTATCCCGGTGTTGACCCCCCAAACAGCACGATCAAGATGATAAATGAATACCTCGATTGGGTTCAAATGCAGCAGGATGTCTGGATCGTTTCGAACGAGCAGCTTCTTGCTTGGGTCCGAAACCCTGTGCCTGTATCGGAGCTAGACTCCTTTGAGCCTTTGAAGTGCCCGACTCCGCAGGTTGACCCGTCTACCAAGATTTGCAATGGTATTCCTCAGAACGAAGCTGGTCTCCTGGAGGAATGTGACTTTTCTGACTTCCCTTTCTTCACTTGCGTAAGTTATGCATGACTAGCGTGGTGCTCGTCTAGACTTAATTGGCGAACTAGTATGGCTGCCCGCAAGTAGAGGTATCCCCTTCAAATCCGAACCCACCGCAGCAAGTCCCAACGGGCGAACAGATGAGATACAGACGTAACTAATTTTACTCTTATCTATATTGCTCCGCTGACAATGTTCTGCAGTACCTTCCAACTGCTCCACACCTTTCTGGGATCCTATTGCCGGGTCGTGCCTGTGCCAGTCCTCCGAATGCGCATTCACGGATAACTCGCGACCTATCGGGGTAAGTCAGCCTCGAGCTATTCGGTTTACTTTGACCATCTTTTTGTCTTTTTAGCCCAACGGAGCAAACTTAACTGGTGGTGGAACCGGCGGTGACGGAGATAGCGATTCTTTCGGTACACCGACGCCCACGTATATCAACTTCAATGGCGCCAATCCCATTAAGCTGTGGAGTGGCAGTCTCATTGGCATGACGTGCGCTTTAGCTGTGGGCGCCTTTGGCGCTGCCACAGGATGGGCTCTCGTTAACGTTTAAGAGATGAAAGAGCATAGAACTCTTCGAACACTGACACTGTATGATATTCACTGGACATAGGTTTACGATCATTACTTTTCATGATGCCTTATCGACTTTCTCACCTACTTACTCGCAACACTTGGGCCGCATTAATGAACCACTGACTCATGTTGATAGCCAGGACTAGTACTACTGTATACATATTCGCCCGGCTTTATTGTTGCTCGTGTTATCTTAGAGCATATGTCGGTAGCCGCATCTGTCGATAAATAAAATGACAAGTCCTTCTCTAGTTTAGGCTGCAGGAGGATTAAGTGCGATTAGGTTGAATTACGAAAGACGCACCGCGCGTGATCGTTTGAACTCTACCTTACAATTTCATAGGCTAGCCGCGCCAAGTTATAGGAGCTTGCAGTTACACTTACACGCAATATTGCCTGTTGACATCCATTTCAACTATGTTTGCAAAATATGGATCAGCTGGACGAGGTCGACAACTTGAAAGTAGACGGAGCGATTCTGGGATCATGCGTGTCAGTTCAAGTTGAACCGCACTGATTCTGACACTTCCGAGTCCACCTCCGCAATACCTACCGTCAGTTGTTCGGTTAACATTGCGTGTTCCGAGTTGGGGCATGGGTTCGCGGCGTGCGCCATTACCGGGTTCCGTTCCAACATCCACCCTACTAGTGGCGTGAATTCTGCCGAGGGTGCCTGGCATCCACACGCTGTAGGACTACTAGGGCCGCCCCATTCATAACAAGCAGGTCGATGGCCTCAATAAGCCGGTGGGTCGTAAGTGAGTCGCACTAGTGGTAGTGGTGGGTAGGCACCCACGTTGTACATCTAGCGTGATGCGACTTCGTGTACCTTTCGTGGAGGAGTACATATGCATGGGGCGAGTAGTTGGCGAATAGCAGCCGCCAGCCAAATGGTGTTATCTTTCAAGATAACAACACAGACCAATGACAATAAATGCAAGGGTAATGAGTCATCTAAACTGTACACCGGCCGTGTCAGGTTAACGTTCACCGTGTGCAGAATCGCAGCGGGCTTGTATACACACGTCAAGCTCTGCTGCCCGCTTGCTTCCCATCATCGTAGATCTGAGACCTGCACGGTGTTGTCATTGGAGCGCGACTCGGGCATACAACGTTCTTCAAGTAACGACCGTCGAGTATTGGGCGGTCGAGCATGATCGATTCCTACTAAAAAGTAGGTTGGGATGAATGACGGCGAACCCAAGTTGAGTAATACGCCGTGTGCACTGGCAGGAATTCGAAGTCCACAGACTGAGGTCAATGTTCAATCAACATTCGGTGATTACCGTGACTATGATGATGATCCGAAGGTCCCAGTCGAACGCTCCCAACTTCTGCTAGCTTCTGCTCCACAGAATGATGGGGTTGTGGAAGTCCGATGAAACGCCTTAAAGTGTAACTTGAAACATCTAGAATCCTAGCTAGAGAATCCCCCTCGAGCAGAGTGAATTCTGCGAAACGCATCCATCATGATGCATATTGGTACTCGCTAGTACTCGCTCTTACTGCCATCTCCAGCCACGAGCTACATCCTAATAGATAAGTTTCCCTTCCGCTCTCTTGCATATCGCTCCGACCGTAATTAATGACTTCAGGAACATGCTCGTATCCAGAGACAGTGAAGTGCACATTAGAATGACGGAATGTCTGTTCGCGTTCCATGTCCAATGGACATGTGAAGTTCTTCCCTTTCCAACGGAGATCAAAGCTATCTATTTTACGACGATTGTTTCCACTAGGTTATTAGTCCACGCAATCGATATATTCTTGAACCTTGGATGAACGATGTCGCAAACTCCCGGAGTCCATGTGGCACTCCTCCAGAATTATCGTTCTACTGACTTCGGGAGTCATCCCTGTTTTCGTATTCTTTTCCAAGAGACACAGGACCCTAAATGCAGGCAGTTCTATATTTTGCTGGAGTCGTCACGCTGATGTTCATATAGTTAGATGCTTTCCCGACTGTTGGCTGCTCCTTCGGCCCGTCTCGTTGTTTCAGCAGCTTTTACTTGGGCGCATTCAGATTTCTTATAGACGCACCAGGTGTCCTCAAGGAGGGCTACGAAAAGGTATATACGTTGTTCATCCGTGTCGGCTTGGAAATGACATGCTTTGCTAGTATGGCAATAAACTATTTAAAGTTGCAACTATGCTGCACTGGACGGTAATTTTCAATGATCCCCAGCATATGGTGGAAATTGCGAATGCTGCGGAAGAAGACCTTTCATTTCGTGAGGCGATGAAAGATGTAAGACCTTTATCGTCTCTTCAACTGATAAACATTGACACAGCTTTTTGAGATTATGGGCGTTGTCGATTCATTGGGTATTAACGTTGGCAGTCCGGATCATGATCTCCCTGCTGAACTACTCAAAAGCCATATCGCTAGAAATGCAGCCAAAATCTGTAGCGAAGTTCAAGATGAGTTCCTCACGTCTCTCGAGAACATTTTAGGAAATGGTAGCGATGGTGAGAATGCAAGTCGATAGTTGACTGACGAAGCAATGATAATATCAAGCAGATTAGACCTGTGTCCCCGCTTTGGGCACCGTGAACCGAATAATGGTGCAGACATGGCAATGGTTCTTTGCACACATGGTACCTGCCTACGACATTAGAACCGGCGATGAATGGACATCGCGTCCGCCAAACTTCATATTTGGGGAGGCAATTGTACCGAATCTATCTGCGCATGTCTCGTATAGAAGACGGCACACTACGAATGATGCGCACTAATTATTGGGTGTGGTTCATGTCATTGGTCTTTGAAACCCCAAGGGTTTGCATGTCATGAAAATTAGGTTGATGCCTCGCAAGTCCTTAGGGATGAGAGGATACGTACGTGGTACCTTCCGCATTAGTTTCCCCTAGTCAAACCGTATAGAATAAGGGTATTCGTTCTTCCACATTAGCATTGGTAGTACACAGTGAAGGACATATGTCAGGCAACGTAAGGTAGCATGTTAATACCAAATACATGTCGTGAATGATCGTGAGGACGTCATCAAGAAGGCGGTCAAACTACAGGACATCAGACTGGGCTACATGCAGCGCTGTCTGTCATATCCATCTCCATACTATCGTCACCCTTGGATTCCACGATATGTTCGACATTGACTTGGATCTGCGATAGCTAATAAGGTCATATTTAGATTACATGGCAAAGCTACGCACCAATTTCGACCGTGGGTGAGCTTCTTTCATTTGGGGAGTACCAAGCCGCAGCTGTGGTTGTATAGGGTGTAAGATATCATTCGACCCGTGATGTCAATGGTACTTACCGATCCCTGTTGCGTGATCGAAGTTTCAGGATAGTCCTCCATGAAGACGATCGGCATAGGCTGATTGTTTGTAGGAGAGTATTGCTTTCCAGTCCATATTTGCTTTCTGGCATTGAGACTGCAACACCAGGTTAATATGCAGCCACAAACACCGCATCAAATATGTGACTCACGTAGCTAAAAGGGAGTTTGCATATACTGCTCCAACAATCCAGATGAGATGCGTTCATGAGAATTTGAAATGGCTTACATTTTGCTACAACGAAGTGAAGACCTAGGAATATGCGGTTTTCAGGCATTGTTTTCCACTGTGACACTTGAGTGATCGAAACAGAACAGAACATTGGGGATGCTCACGCAAATCAATGTTGCGATGGTAGCAGCACTATAAGGTGGCCTTAGGACATGGTTTATAGCCTGCGTTTAGATAACATACCTTGTCATCGAGCCATTCTGAATTGTCCAGAACGTCAGGGTGTCGATGATACGCATAGTGCTAAAAGACGAATAAACGCCAGCTACGCAGTGGTCAAGGCCATATACTTACTCTGTGAACTTTGGTCGATTTTTGCGAAGGAAGTAGCAAAGGGAAAGTGTGATCATGCCATCCACAAGTGCTGAAAGTAAAAGGCCCATAGTGAAGATCCAATTAAAATCTATCGGAATGTCAACACTGAAGCTGCCAATCACATAAAGATGAGAAATTACGTTGAAAGTATGTGCTGTATGATTTCAATTTGAGCCTATGGAAAATATGTTTCAGTCGCTATCAATCGTGTTTTAAACACTGACATCTCGGTCATTGTGACTGGCAAAGTTTAGAGAACATGCGTGATTGGGAGAACCATACGTGCAGTACTTGACAACTTACTGCTAGCCATGACTGAAGTGAGATGTCAGAAAAAGTTTGCATTATTGCACTTCCAACGTGTACCCACCTAAACGAGCGCAAGCGATCGCAACCTACAAGCGGGAATTTCATCATTCAAGTCAAGTAGCCAACTCTCAAACACGAAACTCACAATCGGAATCGCTATAGTGAATATCTTCATCTTTTGCACTTCAAAGCGAAATCAGTGTTTGTAAAACAAAAATAAAGCAATTACGAAACGTTTATAGATTCGGTGCGCAAAGAAGCTAAAGCTGTCGGGTCAGAACCATATTTTCCTTGTATGGGATAGCTAACCATTGGACGATGAAGGTAATGATAGCCTGGCAAATATTCCAGCAGTGAGCATTGCACAGCTTCATACGTGTGAGAACGCACAGTAAGCTCGATCGCGGGCTATTTGGGGCTGCGTCAATTCGGTCCAAAACGTCCAAAACGTGATTGCTCACACCAATACACCTGATTGGTGTATCAATTTTACAGTTGATCGCAATTGATGACATCACACGTACCAGGGGATCGTGTCAAGTTTACTCAGATCGCCATAAGTCGCAATGATGGAATCCCAAAGGGCGACTATCACAAGTGCAGAATGGGACAGATCGAGTAGCCTGAGTTCCGTTAACATTCGTCTCGTATGTAACAAGGCGCTTGAACGTACCAGATTACAATGACCTGTGTAAGATGATTAAAAAACTGCAGACTTGAAAGGCAAAGTTCCGTACCATTGACTTAGTGCGCCAACTCTCACGAAAATATACCCGGCAGTATACAATGAATTGCATATTAACGCAACCCGACAAGCTATGAAGAGTTTTGTCAGATAGATCATATTTTTGCATCAAGTTTGATCACGCGCCCCAAGGCAAGCAAGCCACCGACGAGCATGGCTCCGTAAGTCAGACCAACAGACATCGCAAAGATAACCAGCGGGGCAGAGGGAGAACCGGAAGAAGACGCCGGGAAGGCCCAAACCCGCGACATAGCTTATAAGTAGATCCATTCTTGAGCAATAATCCCTAGTATAGGATTTACTTCGATTGTCAATTGCTTGCATAGCCTAGGCACAATAGGTGACGGGGGAATTAACTTCCCCGTGCAGTGTCAGTTTTGAAACAGCACCTGACAGGTAAGTAAGAGCCGCCGGATATATTTGCACACCGTAGGTCCACCATCGCATCTTTCTGGACAGACGAGAAGATCGCATCACGACATCTTAAATATGACCGCGAGTCCAACTTGTACTGGGGTCTGATCAAGTTCTTGGAGAACTAATGTCGTTTCCCGAATAAAACGACAACTTTTGTACATGAGTCCCTTCTCGAGACTATGAGACCGGGTGAGAACTCGGGGCTGGGGAAAACTGGAGAACCTCAGAAGCGTCAAGACTGAACGAGCCAAAAACGCCTAGTCACGGTATGTTCCGAGAATAGCGGCAAGTCCATAACTTACCGTCTGATTGAGTTCCACACCTACTAGCGCGCACGTGCACTCCACTCGCCGTAATTCGCGATAACGAGTTACAAGGCACTTACATGAGGGTTACAGCTTGCGCCTTGCGGGCAGCGGGGTAGAGCATCAAAGTCAGTGCCGTTGACTATGACAGTCAATCACGGGTCATTGAAACACAATCCTTGTTCACTCAACGACCACACAAAATACATGTCTCAATATATGCATGCGGCCTTGTCTGTGGGCCTTTGCGGCACAGCGCCAAATTCGGTAGTTTCAAAATTTCACCGTCCAGTCTCGTTGAACTCAGAACACCCAAACTATATTGCTCTAATATTATTGTGGCTACACGGAGAGGATACTCCTGTTGAAATTTGAATGATATAGCTACACATGGTACTGCAGTCTAAGGAAGGGTCCACAGGAACATTGGAAACAGGTAGATAGCTTACATAATGTCGGATAAGGAAACTTTCAATGGGAAATCCCGAAAACAAGGTCTCCACTAAATTTGTCACAGTACTCGACTTTACCCACAAAAATTATATAGGTCTACTTGTGAGATGTCGGTGTATATGGGAAACATACGGTAAAGCCTCAGAGTTGTGCGCATTGCGGCGGGGTAGCACGCTAAATATCATTTCAGCGTTTCAGTGACCCGTGGTGATTAACTGCCATAGTTCTACGCCACTATCAGCACGTCAATGTCATATACACCATACTCAGGTAGGCTCGTGACCAGCCTGGCGTTATAATACCACGGATACTCGAGGTGACTACGTCAAATAAATCTCAGCATCTCAAATTGACGCATAGTCAGACTGGTTACGAGTCTAATACACCAGTGTATCGCAAAAGCTGTCGTCCAACGTTTAACAGACCAAAGAATTTGAAACCTCCTGTCCAGCCCGTTATGTTGTGTTCGTACCCTGGATATTGAGCGGGATTCTCGTCGCTTGCTCTTACACCCGTGATCACTGATAATGCCATGCACCCGGCACCGAGAAGAAGACTCGGAATTATTACTGCACCTTGATCTACCGGCTACCATAGTGGAAGACTATGGGTTCCAACTCAACTGTGTCGCCCAGAGATCAACCGTGAGCTTTCTGAACATGCGTAAGTGCCAGTGTATCTGACGAGCGCAGCTGCCAACTCCATCACGAGAAGACGCTGAAACCATTAGATCCCGATCTGCTCCAACAAGCTATGTCAAACTTTGAGTGACGCGCGACACACGACACAGATGTCCGAGAGTTTTTTCGCCCGTCGTGGCCAGCAAGGGGGAGATAATCGCCTACGAGCGGCGGCAGCTCATCAAGACACCGCCACTAAATGGAAATGCACTGCGGCGCCCTGTCGCGGGTTAATGATGCGCGACAATCGTAGCGAAATTTAAGTTGGTGGCACACAAGGGTTTCCCCCTGTTATGTACTAAAAATATATGTTCGTCAATATCAGCTATTTTCCAGAGCGATTGCACGTACCTAACCACGGAACGCTTAGTTGTAAGCAGAAGATGAGTCTCGTGTGGGCTAATGTCGTGAAGAAATTTAGAGGAGAGCCGAAATGCGGACGGAAATATCGATTTTGAATGTCTCAGCTTCGCCGAATCGCAGTAAATGCCCTTCGTTGTGCTTCGAGGGAATACTCGAAATCGCTCTGGGGGAAATCAAGACGTGTCAATTGTTGTTACGTAGTACAGTAGATAAGCTAATGCGTGCAAGATCGAGAGCAACTTGAACAAGAGATTGAAACAACTGGTAGAATCAAGATGTGCTATATGACCGACAAAATATGCAACATTCAATCATCTGCGTCATCCTGCGCCTGTGAAATGGCTCGCAGGATATTGTTAGGGATACACATCACGTCTGAAAATCTATGTGCGAAAAGTACAGCACCTTGAACTCGCGCCTTGATGGCGCAGAGTTCTGCAAAAGCAACCGAAAAGCCGAATGCACCACTCAGTTTGTATGCATAAGATGCCATGATGATCTTTAGTTCCTCGCCCGAAAAAAACAGTACCTCCGGCCGCCGTGCAAAGGATTGTACTGATTTTTGGATCTCTTGTGCCTTGGGATCCGGAGCCCCTTTCACTTTTGGGACATTCTTCTGGAGAGCAACAGCGAGCTGCCAGTCCTTATATGCCCTTTGGACATGGACCTCTATGACACGTAAGTTGTCTCGCAGAATCTGCAAACCGGCGTGCGAAGCTTGCGTTGCCCTGCGAGTCGCAGACATGTAAGGGGAAGTGAGGTCCTGGTCCTCCGTATTGGTAGAAGAATTGCGGAGGTCGGAGTATTGCTTGAGAAAGTTGTCGCGGAGGCGACGGCCCTCATCAACAAGGGCATCGAGAATGTACGGAGTTGAGCCCTTGCGCGTTGATACTTCTTGGCCCTCAGTGCTCTGTTCGAGAGCGACCATATAATAGGGCTTGCGGTTCCCACATGATTTGCGGTCTTGGTCAAAGACATGGGCTTTGACCCGCAGCCCCGTCTTGCTCGCATCGAGGCAGGTAGTAAACCTGCACCACATAACATAAGGCGAACATGATAGCAATAGATAGAAAACACTCACATGTATGCCAGACGAATGGCGGCAGCACTCGCATAGCCACGTTCATACACGGCGAGGTCATGGAACTTCGAATATAATCCGATCTTTGTCTCCGCGAGTCCAAGAAGGAGAACCTTCTGGAAGGCAGTTTGAGCTTCCTTTGCAGAGAGCTTGGATACTCGTCGGTCGAAGTCCACAACATGTTCGACTTCTCGCTCGAAGTCGTTACTCAAACCTGCAGGCGCCGTACACAGCGGAGTGGTGTGAAAGTTTTCGACAAGGCGTTTGGACCATACCAACGTGACCGTGTCTTTGAAAGCCATTATTAAACGATTAAAATGTAAGAGGTTAACTCACCTCCATCATAATCTATAGAACGGACGTGTCAGAAGGTGCAGGGAAAAAAGAATGGAAACAGGTACCCACCTCCACCACCCAAGTAGCTTGCCAGTGAGCGCTCCCCCTTCACAGGGAATATGATGACATCAAAGTAATTAGCCAATTTGGGATGGCTGACGGCGGTGACCTGATTCATGTTTGATGAGGCTGTTGGATGAAACATGATTTTCTTACCTTCTGGACATCTGAGGGTAGTCTCGTAGGATTCCTCCACACCTGTGCGTTAATGCATCAGGACAGTTCATTGCAATGAACCAAACGGCTCACCAAAACAGACCCGGTCACGATATCCATCTGGGTTCCGCTTTCGGGGTCGGTGATGAGGTCCGACGAGCGAAAATGGATTTGGCCCTCCTCGAGGACCCCATATGGATCTTCCGCCGGATTAGCTAAGGAACTTATGATCACGGGAGATGCTACTTACCCGGTATGATGTATGCCTCCAGAGACTCCTTGACCGGAATATGGAACTTTTCGATGTACTCGTCAAGGACGAGGGTCACGACGTACTCGAGTTTATAAAAAAGCCGGTCAAGCTTAAGGGGATGAAAACCGGCTTGGAGCAGTTCCAGGACAGATTCATGTAGAGTTAGTGGTTCACCGCTGTGAGGATTGCGACCCTGGTGAACCGGGGCACCCACAGCTTGGTTCACTGCGGCGTCATCGTTGTCATCAATTTCAGCTAGCTCATCGTTGGGCCGGAGTTGGCCAAGGCCGAGTGCTCGTGCCTGCCCAGCAATGCGCCGCCGCAGCCTCGACGTCACCACACGACCGGCTTGCTCCACAGCCCGCCAGACCATAAGCATGGAATCAGGGCCTGTCCATTCTGTCAGCTGCTGGACTTCCTCGTGAAGCCCATCCGCCATGAGCTCCTTCAGAACGGGCAAGGGAACACGGCCATGCGCCAAGTTGACAAGCGTCTGGCTGGACAGACGGCTTGGCCCGGTTACCCTGGATGGCGCGAGAAGGTCAAAAATCCTGTGCGCTTTGTCAACTTCGTGTAGGGAGCCAAGATTTATTTTGTTTTGAGAGTCGCGGATCCAAATCATGGGTGGTCCATCGGCGAGTTGATGCGCAGGATCTGGGTGGAGAACCCACATTCCCTTGGCGCCAGCAATGCGCCCCTGTACGGCGGTCGGTCGACTCGAATACTTCATCACTCGCATAATGGCCGTTAAGGCCGCCCCACTGATAAAACCACACCCATCAGTCATGATTTTTTCGGCTGGAGGCTTTCCCTCGCCCCATCCCACAGCATCTACAATACAGCAGTCAGCGCACCGCAGTTTACTAGGAGCTAGAGGAAACGTTACGTTGGTCACAAATGAAGATAATGTTTTCTGGAGAAAATTCGATTGTTGGTACCGACGTTGATAGGCCGAGCGCCCATCGTGTAGACCACTTGCTGATGGGCTACACGGGGAGCGCATCAGAGCCGTACAATATAGACGAAACTGTAGTCACCTGCGTCGAATTCAACCTCAGAGGGTTGTGCCACTTCACGAAGTTGTAAAGTGTCAATCGGTGACTGTCCCCGTCGTTAAAGGTTGACTGACGATCAATATTCTCGCTCGTTTCTAGAAGGTACATACTCCCTTCTTTTGCATGGAAGGGCACAAAGACGCGGCCGCACAGCACGAATTTACTGGAAATTAGGAATTCTCGAAGTGCCGAGCCGACTTTATCGTATGTAAGGTTGTCTGGTACGCGGACTTGGAGGATGCGCCGAGACCCCAAGAACCGAGCGAATCGATGGGATCTCCGGATCTCTGGTTTCTCGAGTTCGAAGCGAAACGATGCTCCAGCTTTCACGACGCGGGCAACTTGTTGAATCTTCCCTCCGTACCAATTGTCCTTTCCTTCCCACTGTCCCATAGTTCCCAAACCGCGACCTTTGTTTTCGACAATCGCGAGCTGCTCCCGATCGTATTCGACCCTTTCGATCAAGTTTAGCTCGCGATTTGGAGGCGAAATAAAATTAATACCAAAGTTCTGATGGCGCTCCTATCGCAGACGGTACTTTGTCTTTCATGACGGCGGCAACTTTCCAGGCAGATTGAGCATTTGAACCCTTGAGCTTTTGCAGACGATGCTCCGTCATATCCTCGAACGTCCACATGTTGCGAGTGACGCCTCGTGCCAGTTCAAAAATCGTTCCCCAAGCGAGTTCATGTCGATCGAGGACTACCTGAGCCTTTTCGCAATGGGCGATGTGCTTGATATTCAACTCGACACCGAACTCAGGAGAACAGTGTTTTCGGTTTTTTCCGACTTGCGGCAGATTCACCTGCAGCACTATGAAAACACATTAGATGAAAGATTACTATGTTTACTTACAGTTGGTGTGGTTGGTGCAAATTTGCGTTTGACAGCTGGTGGGGGAGGCAGCGACCAGTCTGGCGCGCGCTTAAGGCCCGTGGATTCGACGGATGACATCGAGGTCGTGCGACTCGAGAACAAAGACTGCTCGGTCGACGGTTGCGACCCGGAATCGCTGTCCGACTCGATCGCTGGCTCGGATAATACAAATCAATAAAAGTGAGAACTATGGAGATGTAACGTACGTCTTCGAGCTACTGTGAGAGCAGTAAATAACATATTCACTTGAGCAAACTGGACACTATACCTTCGTCAATCTCACGCAACTCCTTATCATGCAACACCCGCCTTCGTGAATGCATATCCACCTTAGGCGCTCGAGGCGTTATCTCCTGCGAAATAGCAAGTTTTTCTTTGAGGGCTTTTGTCAATGGTCGAGTTGGAGACTCGAAGTGGTCTGCAGAGCCAAAATATCAATTGAATTCCTCAATGCAAGCTGCCAACGCGTACCCAACGATGCTACTTGGATCTTGAAATCGTCCCAGCCGTATGAGTATTCCTCGTCGTCTGACGATTCATACACCTAGGGAAGGCATGATGACCCAGTGCGACACAGTAAGCGAACAAACTCACCACAGTCTTCGGATCCATCTTTGATTGATGATTGATAACTTTGAAGGAGTATCAGAACAGATTATCGATGAACCAGCGTCTTTATGAACCCTTTCCAATCGCGAGGCTGAAACTAGTACAACCGCCAACCCCAAGGTACACAATCAGGGGTGAGTAACTTTAGAAGTGCCGTAAAGTGGTTTGTATTGGTTCATCAAGAACAACGAGCTTCTATGCTACTCCGCGAGCGCATCGCGAACGTCTTCTAGGCCTTGCTACGGTGTTCCTTCAAGTTCGTAGGTAGTCTGATTTGCAGTCCGGGACTCGGTTGCACATCACCATGCGCGCGGACCGGAGTATAATTTTTAAATCACGCTCAGTCATTTGCTGATCTTTGAACCTTGGTCTTGAAATCATTTGGCGAGTAGGGTTGAGGCAGTCATGGCGAAAAAGGTGGACTACTCCAGAGCTCTGACTCGAGTACCGTCGATTAAAATATGATACAGTATCCCAAAGCACCACAATACAAGAAGCGAAATCACTTCCGGGCGAATGTAATCTGAAACGAAGTGAGAGCAATTCTTGAAGAAAATGTGTCCACAAACCTTGATCTTGTTCTCTCCATCGAGTTTGTAGTTGTGAAGAGCATCTTTGGCAACCCCGGCGCTGCCTTCGTCCATGTATTCGACGAACGCGATGTCTTTTTTTGTTGGGATAAGCCGAACCTCGTGGAGGTTTGGGTACCTGAGGAAGTCAGAAAGGGCTTCCAAATGCGGAGCGGATTCACATACTGGGAAAAAAGGGCCATAAGCTGGTCCTTGGTAACGCTTTCGGGCAGATTTTGAAGGAAAAGAATCTTGTTGGGAGGCAAGTATTCGTCTGGCATCTGGACATTGGGACGCCTGGCTGCAGGAGCTGCAGCAGCTCCGTCGACTACAAGGAATATCATTCAGCGTGCAGCTGGTGAATATGAAGTTGTAACACAAACTTTCTGCGGCCATCCGCTTGGCCTTGAACTTCTGCTTCAAAGGGTTCGAATATCGCGTACGTCCTGCACAAATTAACTTTTCTTAGCTTGTCGTAACCCTTGTCAAGAAAAACCCACTTTTTTGCTCAGCTCTCTTTGCTGTGTGCTGTTCAAGGTTGGTAGCATCCAATCGTTTGACAACAGCATCAGATCGCGACCGCGCAAACGAAATTTGCTGAGACAATCATGTGAGGGCGGAATAAGTTTAGAATTAAGGAAGACATACCATAGGTTTGGAGTAGAGAGGGAAGCCACGGACTTCCTTCATAGCTTTCTGCGCGATCTCTGGGGACTCAAACGAGACGAATGCCTGACCCCTCATTCTCAGGTTGCTATGCGCCACAACATCCAGCACCTCCCCATATGACTTGAACAGGCCCTTTAGTGAAGCCTTGAGCACTATGGAATGAAGCAAAATCAGTGTTGGCCAAGCTTTGGCATGTTTCGATGCTCACCGTCGATCTTCACTTTCTCATTGAGATTTTGGATGTAAAGAGTCTCGGAAAGAGATTCTTCCCCCTCTGGTGGAGGCGTCCCATTTTCTGCTAGCGTTGGTGTGACATCTTGCATGGAGTTTGGGTCCACTGGGGCTGCCTGTGATGTGGCCATGACTTGATAAGTGCGAGCTTCATCGAACACGGACTTACAGGGAGTGCTTAGTAATCATTTCGTAACGCAGACAGAGAATTTAATCGTGATGACAGTTACTAAAGCTTGCGTCCGACCATTGCTACGGGTAAGTCAACTGATGGGCCCAATGATTCAAGCTTTTGTCAAGGTTCAAGTAATATATGCTACGAATTTGTACGATTATCGTACACGGATGGGTAGCCAAGCTCGTGAACCCAACTCTCTGAGGATTCGCAATAGCGACTTCATGTACTCAAAAATCTATCCCAGAAGCTTGATTTTGAGCTGGTCAAAACGCCATATTCAAAGGGCGGGGGGTCGACGGCTTTCGGATTCAGCTTCACGGAAGGAATGGCTATAGGAGGTACGTCCACAGCTTGAACGTAGTTTTTTCCTACAACTTGGTCGACTGGATTCATCGAATGGCTTTGCGGAATCGATATCAGATGCGCATACATGGTGACCCTACTTACTGATCCTATAAATGATCCATCATTTCTTACGCAGTTCGGCTTTCTCCGCGGTGTTATATTGCACTTGTGCAGGCGCCAAAACATCTCCAGTCTCCATTTCAATCCTAATCGTGAAGGAGTTCTTATTTCGTGAATACACCACTTCTCCACTGGTTGGCCTTTTGTGCGCGACGAACATCATGGGGCGCTGGACGCAGTACGACGAAGTACGACCTTACCTTTAATCTTGCGCTCAACACTGATCCGGAGCTTTATAGGATGATCACAGGCTTCCAGAAGGCATGAAGCGAACTGGCTACGACGCCGACAGTGGACGGTATTATTTCCATGACCGTGAAGGATTGGTGTACAAAGGGCCAGAGGGCTCTAAATTCGGAGGACTCACGCTAGGTATTAAGCTTTGGATGCTGTTTTATTGTCGCTCACAGCTCACACCTGCATTCAGTGTCTGAAATGCTTTCTTCCATCCCTCAAGAAGTAGACGAAGACAGTGACCTGGAAGCCACTCCTATCCGCACTGACAGTTATCGCCTCTTGGCCCTGGATGAGGTAAGTCCCCTGGTCACAGCCTGCGCTTTATTTCAATCCGGCTGTAGCACGGTACCCGCTACAATCCGCGCACCTGGATAGCACCTTTGGGAAGCCCTATCAGGCCTAGCAAGAAAACAGTAATATCCCAACGCGATAATTATCGCCCCAAATATTCTCTAAGTACTTCAGACCTCGAAGGCTTTACTGTTATACAAGGACAGGAATCTAGTGGAAGGTATTTCACTTCCCTTCGTAGCGATCAAGAGGATATTGACTCGCATCTGTAGCAATGATGTTTCCGGCTATCCTGTCGTCTTTGCAGATATATCTGCGTCTCAAGGGCTTCCTGCGGCGACCCCAGCCCCTGAGGTGACAGTACCTCCATGCCTCGCTCCAACAGCCGTGCCCGTGCCCTCTCAGCTTGCTACGCCCGCTGCACCTCAGGTCCGTATTGTAAGCAATGCTAGGGGCGTGTGCCCCCAACTCGAGATGTTCAGCGTCCCTAGGCGCAGCCACACCATTGGACATCCTCCACGACGCGGCCCCAAACATCACGAGGACCGTTCTGTGGATCGCATCATGAGGAAATTGTCTAAGGTACACTCCTTATTCTTGTTTGTCTCTTTGATATCTCACGATGAGATTTTGTAGATGGGTTTTACTGAAGGCACGTATCCCGAATTGAACGCCAAAGTGACGGAGCAAATGGCTGCCCATCCTCCCACCACCAAAGACGGCGAGGATGACATTGTCACCAACTTGATCGAGGAGCTTATTCCTTCCACTTCCAGCGCTTGGGCCTAATTGAAAGATGTGGTGATGTATGACGTATAAGGCAGACTGTTAACTGGATTCTGGATTTTTTTATCTGACTTTCTGACTGTTGTATGGCTAGAATTGAATTGAATCTAATCTTTCCGACCATTTTTACAGGTAAGTCAACTGATAGGCCTGATGATCCAAGCTTTCGTTGAGGTTCGAAAATCCAGGCTACGAATGTGTACGATTATCATACACGAATGGGTAGTCAAGCCCGTGAACCCAACCGCAATATCTGCGTACTTTCTGAGGGTTCGCAATAGCGACTTCATGGACTCAGAAATCTATCCCAGAAGCTTGGTCTTGAGCTGGTCGAAACACCATATTTAAAGGGCGGAGGGTCGACGGCTTTTGGCTTCAGCTTCACAGAAGGAATGGCTATAGGAGGCACGTCCAAAGCTTGAACGTAGTCTTTTCCTGCAACTTGGTCGACTGGATCCATCGAATGACTTTGCAGAATCGATTTCAGTCAAGAGATGTGCGCATACATGGTGACCCTACTTACTGATCCTCTAAATGATCCGTCATTTCCTGCGCAGTCATTTTTTCCGGTTCTCTAGGCTTGTTATGGCAATGAGTGCAGCGCCAAATTTTGCGCAGAGGTGGCGTAGTGCTCGCGGCCGCTTGCTCCTGGTCTTGGCGAAGACTTTTAGTCTCCTCATCCGAAATTTTCTGCCACTTTACGCTCGAGTCACTCCAATGCTTCTTAGCGCAATGTTTGACCTGTAATTTCTCGTCAACACAGTCCCGCCTCAGCTCACAGGTCAACATACAGATTCTCGCCATGATCGGACTATCATAGGCCTTTCTCCGTCACAGAGGTTGCCGTAGCTGCACTTTAGGCAGACCAGCCTAGGATCCAAGTTGTCGAGCTGCAGCACTGTTGTCTCTCTCCAGTTTAAGTTGCATGCATCGAGGATATTCCTCACGGTTCGGGAAGCCTTCTTATCGATTTCGAGACCATCCATGGACCACTCTCGTTGCACCGTACTTCCCGGATACCCTTGTCCCATTGCGAGCGTGTTAGCAGGGTCAAGTTCGTCCCACTTTCGCCGCCGGATCCGGTTGCACCTATGGTGAAGATACTCCGGGAAGTACATGTACCGAGGCGAGTCATTAGGCTCAGAAATGTCTTCGCAAAGCCACTCTGTGCACGTAAAGACAGCAATAGCAAGTCCCTCGCAATCGACAGAGAGGTCCACCCAGTACGGGATGTCAAGCTGCCATGGCAAGTCTGACCGCAAATCATCCCTAGTGCGACGCTTCCAAGCGTCGACCATATCAAAGAGTTCCTCGCGAATGGGCTGAAAATCTTCCGCGGTGACGGTCATATGAGCAGGCAACTCCGCGATATTGCGAACCCGCGGCATCCTGAAAAGGTCAGCGGCAGTAGGCATGAGAAATCGGTGATATCCTTTCTCCCGTTGCCAGTCGCTATATATCGTAGCGACGAGGCTCTGCCGCTCCCTAATCTGCTGCTTTCTTTCTTGTTGAATGCGGAATTCACGCATTTGACCCATGAATTCAACCATTTTGGGTTGAATGTTTTGCCAAACTGGATACAAAATGTCGAAGGAACATGAACGATCATAAGCAGATGGAGAGGCTTACTGCGATCAGTCAAGGGCTTTGGTTGCTTGACAAGTGGATGATCATCAATATGGGTCAACTTGTAGATTCGCGCAGTATGCCGATCTGGAAGCTTGGCGATATCTTCCCCCCAGCCAACTTCTGTCAACTTCTCCACGATACTGTAATTGGTGAGCAGCGAGCGCCCTGAATCGAACGAAAGACTTACGCGTCATAGCGCAAGCTTCTCAGCTGGTCGAGCTCCTTCCATCGGTTCTGTTGTTCACCGTCCGTCCATTTGTTGCACAGAATTGCGTGCTGCAAACGCTCAACAAACAAAATGAGACTACTAAATATGAGAGACATACCTCCTTTCGAATAAGCGTCTCATCTCTCCTCTTCCCTCGGAGGACAGATCTTTCTTCTGGCCCGAGGCTTAACAACTCATTAACCAATGCTTCCCTGTCTGATTTCAGACAACGGATGTCATTTCCTGGAAGGTGAAATCAAGTAAGGACACGCGCCAGTAGACAAACTCGGAAAAACCAACGATTATGCGTCATGCTCAATGACAAGCACTGATGCAACTTCAATCCATATCCTTTTTTGAACTTATCATCGATAATCTCTGTGCTAAAGCGCCAATCAGTAAGTCTATCATCATTACCAAACGAGATCAACCCACCACTCTTTGAAGCATTTTTGGCAGTACCTGACACGCAGATTCCAGTCGACATTGCGCACATTTGGTTTGAGACAATTCTATGCATGGCGGGTGAAATGTGTCCGGATGCTATGATTAGAACACTTACGTGACAGTGTGTATCGAACGCGAGACTCGCATGCGCCGGTTCTGACATATCATCAGCACAAAGAGGCATCCCCTTCACATTGGAGCGCGCAGCCATCCACACGGTGGTAGAGGAGCGATGCATAAGTACACCGCGCAGAGCCTTGCTAGTGCGTGCGAGATGAAGTAAGTCGAGCGGAAGCAGCCTTCCAAAGATCTGGACGCGATTATAATTATCTCGAATGATCATATGACAAAGGACCTGGTTTACCTCGAATAGGATATCCAAAGGTAACGATATAAGTATTTCAAGATTTTGTCTCTGTGCTCGAGGACGATAGTTCTTGAGGTGTTCAGTCGCCTGTGTAGTAGTAATTTTTGTAAAGCGCGATTTGATTCCGCCTCTTGCCAAGACATGCTCCCATCCATTATTGGCGGTGATTTTGATCTTCTTGGTGACATGCTCCTCTTGCTGTTTCTCGTCGCCGTCCATATCGACAGCGAGGGACCCAAAAAGATTAGAAAAGGACATTTCGGTTGGGGACAAAAATCTCGAGCTTGATCTTGGACCAAGACGCGTCCAGTCACACTTGTGACCGACGCGAAATCGTGACAGGTCTTCAAGCAAGTTGGAGGTTCTTCCTCGAACAGATTCACGGAAGCATTACAACCTTCTGGCTTTATATCGAAGAAGACCGTGCATAAAAGCACCGCGATGGGCCGCGCAAGTATCCAAGATCGAAGGATCTGGGACTGTCCTTCTTTGCAGCCGAATTTCAATTAGACATCTTGCTTCAAGTTCTCAAAGCTGCGAAACGGACCAAGACTACTTCGCACCGTGCTCATCATACTCGTACTTGCCATACACCGGCTTCCACTGCTTGCCCTCTGCCTTGATTCTCACCTCTTCTCTGCTCCAGCTGACTCCTTGGATGCCTTCATCGAATGCTTGTTCCGCTACTGCTATCGCAACCTCAAGATTCGCTGCTGGAGCATCTTGAAAGTCAGGTAACAGACCGCTGTTCGGGTCTTTGAGTGCAGGAGAGAGAGCAGCAAGACGTTGTGCGCCTGCGATAATCATCCCGTCGGTCATCTGCCTGGATTGCGACAGCATGGAACCAAATCCAAGTCCAGGGTAAATGAGGGCATCTGAAAGTAGCATGTCAGTATGCACAAACAGGTAATATTGCATGAGCTTACTGTTGCACTCAGCGATGCTGCAAGTTGCAAATCAGCACGTGCATGATGTCCACGATATGACAGGCTTACACATAGTCCTTGCCGTTCGGCATTTTAGCTGGTGGGAATGGGCTGCCCGTGGCTAACAGAGCCATCCCTTCTGTCCAGTCATTCGCATCCTTCGGATCAACTTCCACCAAGTTGCTAGGGTTGCTGAGGGGCAAAATGATAGGTCTCTCGCAGCCTTCCTTCATTGTCCTCACGACGCGCTCAGTGAAAGCACCACCTTTCGTCGAACATCCTATCAGAACCGTTGGTTGTGCTTTCTTGACAACTTCCAGAAGTTCAACCTCTCCCGCATCATTAGTCGGAACATTGCTCCATTCTTCATCAGGCCGCACAAACTCTTGCAGTGCAGGGCGTATCTTATCAGAGCCAAGAGACCGCTTGATGAGACCAAAGCGATCAACGAGGTAGAACTTCTTGTTCGCTTCCTCACGGGACACGCCGTCTGCAAGCATGATGGCGTCTCTGACTTGTTTTGCAATACCAAGCCCCGCAGAACCTGCTCCAAAAATGACGTAGCGTTGATCCGCCAGCTTCGACTTTGTCACCCCGACGGCGGCCATCAAAGCGGCCAGTGTAACCGCGCCAGTTCCTTGGCTACACTACGTTAGTGTTAATTGGAGCACGGACGACATGTGACCATACATATCGTCATTGAACACAGAATGCTCATTCCGGTACAGCTCAAGGAGTCGCTGAGCATTGGTAACCCCAAAATCTTCGAAATGCAGCAGGCAATGTGGCTGATATTTGCGGACCAACTGGACAAACCTATGAAGGCGCGGCAGGCCTATAAGGCAAGACCGACTAAGTGGTATGTCAAACTTACTTGTCGATGAATTTATCGTACTCAACACCCCGGACCCTTCTGGACGGCCATCCCTGATTGCCTGATAAGCGAACGGCAGCCGTGATGAAAAAGTCACGCACAACATAGAGATGGTCATTCAAAAGTGTTTCATTGTCAGTGCCAACATCAAGCGTCACACTGAGCGCTTTCGCCGGGTCAATCCCAGCCAATAACCTGTCACCGTGTGAGTTCAATTAAAAAAATGGAGGGCAGAGCGAACGGACGTGTATATCGCAGATTTTGCAATCGATATCTAGAACAGCTGTTTAAGAATGCCCATTCATGACATATCAGTGGAGACTTGCCCCGATTCCCTATGACGCCAGACGTTGGTGAGAGTGGCAAGGCTGAGTAAGGGGAATGCGCCTACTCCAACGCCTTGATCCCCAATGCCAAGGATGGCCTCTGCATCTGTGCAGACTATCAGATCAATGTCTCTGCCACGGGTTTGCTCCAGGAAATCTTCCTCCATGGTGTCATGATCCGGGAAAGCGAGAAATAAGCCCTCGCTGCGACGAAAAAGATGGGAATAGTTTGCAATCGCTTCTGCCTGAAGTACACTCGATCACTTGAGCATTCGATACAAGGCAAGAACTCACTTCTGTAGGCGTGTATATGATAGAAGTCAACTCCTTGAGATGTCTAGATAACAGGGAATAGTAAAGAACCCAGTTTTGCTCTTTGAGGCTCTGTAAGAATGAGTTCTTCTGGATGGGAGATTCACGGGAGCACAGTTGATCATAGGCTCTCTCGCACTGTTCTTCGATGGTATTGACGCGGGAGGGAAGTCTACCTGTTAGACCCAAAGCTTTGCGCTCCTCGCTCGTGAAGGCTGTCCCCTTGTTCCAACGAGGAGAAGTGAGCAATGTGTCTCCGCGTAAGGCGACTTTGAATATGAGTTCGGAGTACATTGGAAACAAGGTCTTGGCCAACTTTTGCATAATGTTCAGTAACAAGGTTGGACTTCCACAGGTAACCCCTAGCGGGCGAGCTACGCCGTGCTGACAAGTGGCAGTGATGTTCGGCTTTCTCCGCATATATTGCTTGTGCAAGCGTCAAAACATCTTCAGTCTCCATTTCAATCCTAAACGTGAAGGAGTTCTTGTTTCGTGAATACAGCACTTATCCACTGGTTGGCCTTTTGTGCGCGACGAACATTATGGGGCGCTGGACGCAGTACGACGAAGTACGACCTTACCTTTGACCTTGTGCTCGACACGCTGACCCGGAGTTTTTTTAGGATGATTACAGGCTTCCAGAAGGCATGAAGCGAGCTGGTTACGACGCCGACAGTGGGCGGTATTATTTCCGTGACCGTGAAGGATTGGTGTACAAAGGGCCAGAGGGCTCTGAATTCGGAGAACTCACGCTAGGTATGAAGCTTTGGAGGCTGCTTCATTGTCGCTCGCAGCTCACACCTGCATTCAGTGTCTGAAATGCCTTCTTCCATCCCTCAAGAAGTAGACGAAGACAGTGACCTGGAGGCTGCCCCCACTGGCACTGACGGTTATCGCCTCTTGGCCCTGGATGAGGTAAGTCCCCTAGCTACAGCATGCGCTTTATCTCAATCTAGCTGTAGCACGGTACCCGCTACAATCCGCGGGGTGGAGCATATCGTACACTTTTCCCATTCTTTCTCATCATCGCCGTGGTCTTATTACTGGTCTGGCGTCTCGTCCTGCTGCCAACACGCATCGCTCCTGTTCCATGCCCTTCAACGACCCTCTCCTACATCGTGCAACCCGGAGACACTTGTTGGGATATCGCCAACAGCCACAATTCCTCTCTAGACAAACTCCTTATTGTCAATCCCAAAGTGGACTGCGACAAGCTCTTGCCCGGTGACCGTGTGTGCGTGCCAGACGAAGGGATGTCTATCAGCGTCCGTTTCTAGGGTTTTTATATTCAATAGATATTCCTCGCAGCATAGTCTCATTTGTATATTATTGCTCATCGCATATGGACAATTTGGATATCACGAGTTTGCCTTTGTGTCGCATTCGACTCCAGAGTACAATAGCAGTGTATGTGGTCGGTTACTCAATTATTCAGATGACGTCAGAACCGAATGTGGTAACGCAGTTGCACAGCCACTGTGGTTCTGTTCAACTTTCGCGCAGTCTCCACTGGTCTCCATCAAAACTTGTTTCTTTCTATCCAACTTTCCTCTTTCACGAACAGTCACGAACACCAGCCAAACAAGTCCTATATATCTACCTAGCGCAATGGCTTTTGATACCCACATGCGAAGGGGACACCCTAGTGAGTCTCGGTTCTCTGCTTCATTCAGTTCGACTGACTCCATGGATTTCAGTTGTCTTCTCGATGATTATCTTCTTCAGTATCATCGAAGTATGTGCTCATTTTATATCAACGGTGAAATAATAAACCCCTGTGGTAGCTTGCAATCTCAGCCTGGCTCACGTCACAATTTAATGCCCACCACAACTATTTCAGTCTAGCAGAGCGAGACCGCACTCGGTTTCTACTGTTCGCTTCAATATGGACGATCGTATTCTCTGCTGCCTACATGTTTTTCTTCTTTTCTATTCCGGACAATGTTTTGAGTAGTGTGGCTTCTCATGTCGTCTTGTAAGTTGACATCCTTTGATATGAACAGTGGAACTTTTCTGACATACTCTCCATAGCCTGTGCCTAACATGGATCTTCTGGACCGCTGGCGCTGCAAGTATAACCGCAGCTCTCGGTGGAGGGCTGAATTGCAAGTTGGTGCATTTTTCCTGCTATGCTCTCTCATTGCTTACCTCCGATCTTCCTAGTACCCAGAGCGTGTTCGTGTACTGCGGTCAACTTAACGCGCTGGAAGGTTTTGCCTGGGTCATTTGGTATGCCTCATTGAAATATGTCTATGGCTTTTTTGTTCATGTTCTTGCCAGGGTTCTTGTAACTTTCGCGATCTTTGTTGTGCTCATACGCGCCATTCGCTCCGCACGTCGAGGTGACGGAATGCGCGGGCCACTGATTGCATGAGCGGGCAGGCAATCCCCCGGTGGTTAGTTCGCCGCGCGTGCAAAACATCTTATTTAGCTTGTTCCAAATTCTAGGGATCATTTCTTTATAGTTCTTCATTCTCTAGACGATGTGCGACACCTGTTGTGTTACTTGTATTGCTCCATCTCCATCTCATTACCATGATTTTACGATTACTGACATATACATAGCTTATGTCCAGCGCCACCCTATCATCCTTCCCATGTTCCAGTATTACTTGGTACGCTGCGCTTCAGCCTATATATCGTTCCCATACACTGTTCGTCCAGCTTGAGTAACAGAAGTATTTTCCCAGTTCAACTTCCTGTCTCCGTTTTCACTTTCAGTGGTGGAACTGTGCCGCCGATGATGGCGTTTATTTCACCAATGCTCGCATGATTACCGCGATCGCAGGTGATGAGACCGTCGTTTGCAGGCGAGCGAATCGCTTGTAGGAATATAACGACGACGACGAGCTGTAGCAAAGCGTAATCATTAAATTTGGCCATGATACATCGTCCGAGACAGTAGCAACGTTGAGCGGCGATTAGGTTAGGATCAACACGGATGCAAAAATCAAACTTCGTTCATATATTTCTATCTGGCCTCTCTATACATCAACTGCCGCAATAAAATCATCGTGGAGTACAGCTAAATGTGTTAAATTTAGAAAATGCGAGGGATGGACAGGAAAGACTAAGAACTCACGCATCTAGGCAATTCGACCATTGTATCCCATGTGCCATGCAGCTCAAATCAAGCTCGACGCGACCTCTTGGGATTACCATTGCAGTTGCAGGAGAATAAAATGCGTATCGGGAAGCTGGAGGTACCCAGAAGAGGAGCCGACGATTGGGTCCCATCACCCATCCATCAGCTCCCAACAAGAAAGGTGTTGAATCGGAATCATGATAAGGGGTACCCTCGAGCAGGCCAGCGGGGTTGCGCAGCGCATGTTCCAAGGTGGATGAGAAGCGAATGAAATGATTGTTCCAAGTGTCAGATAGTATAGCAGGACACAGACTCTCCTGTGTGCGAGGTGTTATGTCTAGAGAGTGAGTGGAGGAAGGTGGCTTGGTGGAGTCATGGAATGGCTGCGCTGCGTCCCACAGCCGGACAGTGTTATCCTCCGAACCAGACACGATGCGAGTACCATCCGGTGAGAACGAGACTGACAAAACCGGAGAAGTGTGCCCCTCCAAAGGCTGACCCAATGGCTGTCCCGTTGCTGCATCCCACAGCCGGACAGTGCTATCCTTCGAAGCAGACGCGATGCGAGTACCATCTGGTGAGAACGAGACTGACAAAACCCAGTCAGTGTGCCCCTCCAAAAGCTGACCCAATGGCTGTCCCGTCGCTGCATCCCACAGCCGGACAGTGTTATCCAAAGAACCAGACGCGATGCGAGTACCATCCGGTGAGAACGAGACTGACAAAACCAAGCCAGTATGCCCCTCCAAGGGCTGACCGTCACCCACTGACTGTCCCGTCGCTGCATCCCACAGCCGGACAGTGTTATCCCAAGAACCAGACGCGATGCGAGCACCATCCGGTGAGAACGAGACTGACGAAACTGAAGAAGTGTGCCCCTCCAAGGGCTGACCCAATGGCTGTCCCGTTGCTGCATCCCACAGCCGGAGAGTGTTATCCTTCGAAGCAGACGCGATGCGAGTACCATCCGGTGAGAACGAGACTGACGAAACCGAAGAAGTGTGCCCCTCCAAGGGCTGACCCAATGGATGTCCCGTTGCTGCATCCCACAGCCGGACAGTGTTATCGTATGAACCGGACACGATGCGAGCACCATCCGGTGAGAATGAGACTGACAAAACCCAGTCAGCGTGTCCCTCCAAGGGCTGACCCAATGGCTGTCCCGTCGCTGCATCCCACAGCCGGACAGTGCTATCCCAAGAACCAGACGCGATGCGAGCGCCATCCGGTGAGAACGAGACTGACAAAACCAAAGAAGTGTGCCCCTCCAAGGGCTGTCCCAATGGCTGTCCCGTTGCTGCATCCCACAGCCGGACAGTGCTATCCTTCGAAGCAGACGCAATGCGAGCACCATCTGGTGAGAATGAGACTGACGAAACCGAACCAGTGTGCCCCTCCAAGGGCTGACCCAATGGCTGTCCCGTCGCTGCATCCCACAGCCGGACAGTGTTATCCAAAGAACCAGACGCGATGCGAGCACCATCCGGTGAGAACGAGACTGACGAAACCGAACCAGTGTGCCCCTCCAAGGGCTGACCCAAGGGCTGTCCCGTCGCTGCATCCCACAGCCGGACAGTATCCCAAGATCCAGACGCGATGCGAGTACCATCCGGTGAGAACGAGACTGACAAAACTGAATAAGTGTGCCCCTTGATCACAGTCTGAACAGCCGCCCAGTTCAAATCACGTCCAGAGGCCAGACGAAGGCTATTTGGAAACCTTGAAGTGAAATTGGTAGCTATGGTGGAGTTGATGGGGGAGAATGGTAGCGCCGATAAATACAGATGTGGCGTGCTGTGCAAAATCATGCCGCCAAAGACTTGAACGAACATTTGCACATCCATTGCGGTGGACCGCACATCTTCGTATCCAGAATGATCCTGTGGTTGTTTGTGAGCTTTTTGTCCGACATTGCCTAATGGGCATGTGCTCACCTTCAGCCACTGGGAAATCAGTGGACGTGTGGCAACTGCGAGGGCAAGTGCGTTCAAAAGGCCAAGTGCTTCAATCCAGAAAAGCAGCCGCTCGTGGACGAAGAATGATCGTATTTCATTTGCGAGCTCCGTGTCGAAGTCTGTTGCTTGTACGTGCGTAGCCCATAATCGGCAGGAATAGGACAAATGTGGGGGAATGGATGTTTCTATTCGTTGAGGAAGCCCCGTGTCTTCACGGTTAGGGATATATGAAGACTTCAGATCAGATATATTGAAACCAAGGCCATGTTTCATCACTCGAAGTGATGCAAATGCAAGGTCGCGCTGTACGTCAGTCACCTCGACGAAAAAGTCTCCGCTGGACGATTTGTCTGTCAGGAAGTCGCGGAAGGATGCATGAAGGGGTCGGATGGCGGAACATGAGTTCGTGGTGCCGCTGAGCAGGGATCCCATGTGTTTTATGATGTCCATGTTGTCATGCTTGCTTCGGTCTGGAAAGTGGCTTCGCATGGCATTGAGGGAGTCGAAAGGGAGTGGTTCAGCTGTGCCAAGTATCTGTCCCATCACGGAACGAAAACCTGCGAGTGCTTCTTCATATTCGTCACCATAATATTGATCCCTCTTCATAATTTCTTTCAAAATGACCTTATAGATATCGTCCAACAAGTTTGTCTGCTTTCCTGCCCTGCGCTTCACGAGATCATCGAAACGAGACATTTTGCGTACACCGGCAGGGGTATTTTTGATGTGTCCACACGCAAGACGCGCCCACTCGAAGAGTCCATCAGCTTTTGCAGCGAGGGGTGCAAGATCTATGTCCTGAAACTCTGGTAGCACTTTCAGCTCCTTAGACACGAAGGCGTGAATGTCGCGCTCCACGACTTCTGGTGGAATATTGTCCATGGACAACCGTAGAATATGATTAGCACCTTTAAACTCTTGTTCAATATCGTGAAGTGGGCGCGAGGTAACAAGAATGCGAAAGTTAGATGGGAGTTCGGTGATATTAGGAAATTCTTCGTCCTGAAGTTTATCGGCAAGTATGCGGAGAAGGTCCCGCCGCGTTTTCTCTTCGCCGCTCTCGTCCAGCGCTTCAATCACGATCAAGACAGGCCCTACACTCGACGCAGAGACTTTCTTTAGCGGGTCCATGACAAGCTTCTCCCACTGCTGAAAGATATCCGTCGAATTCTTGAGTGAAGTGTTATTTTTGACCGCATCCGCCAATGCTCGTCTTATTTCCGGATCACAATCAGCCAGGTCACGAGCGATGGTGGAGAAAACTTTTTTATGGCGCTTCTCTTCGGCCTTGTCAAAGCAGAAACATGAACCGAGCCTTCCCCTGTCTTTGAACCTCTTGGCAATCGTATGAGCGATGGCTGATTTGCCCTTGCCTGCAGGGCCAGATAGCCACAACATACGCTGAGCAGCATCGTCGCTGCTGTTGATCCATTCCGTAATCTGGGAGAGAATCTCGGTGCGTGTCTTTGGTAGGCACTGTTTCCTAGTATCCAGTCCTGCATCCTTTGCATAAGCAATATCGCTGAGATCCAACGTCTCACCTGCAGGAGTATGAGTAGGCGTACGAGTTGAAAGCACGTCCGAATGCTCACCCGCACATTGGACGAAGATGGCTACGTCCAGAAGAGCTCGATCCCGAAATTTCTGCATAAGCCCATCCAAAGTGTCCTTGTACTGTTGAATCATGGCATCAGTTTCAGGGACCAAGTGTTTCCCTAGTCTTTTCCCTATAATACAAGTAGAAGATTGAGAATGTGCAAAGCACGATAGATCACGACTCACAATAGCTCGTGATCTCTGCGTAATCCCTAATGAAATGGGCGCACTCTCGAGTCTGATGTGCGATCTGTCCAACGATGTCGCGCATCGAATCAATCTGGCCAACAGTGTCGTCCTGGGCCATGAAGGTGTATACTTCACTTAGTTTCTTCAGAAGGTCGAGTACGGAATTGTCGCGGTCCGCTTGAGCTAGAACAACCTACGTGAAACCATAACTTCTGAGCAGGACACAGAACTCCGACACAACGGAACGTACTTTGGATGCAGCAGAAAGTACGCCCAACGCCATCTTTGCATATGGATGTACCTATACCTCGGTAAGTTCGGTACCAACTAAGGAGGGCGGCCCATACATTTGCGAGCTTCTCAATAACAGTGTCGAAAATTTTGAGGGGTTGGAGGTATGTGTTCTGAAAGTCGTCTGCGGCAGCAAGACCTGCTGGGGCATTGTTGGCGGCGGACGCGGCGGATGGCGCAGGTCCGCCGAGTATTTTCATGCGTTCTGCAGCCCCTTCGGCATCCCGAAGTTCGGCGCTAACCGATTTGAGACCAGATGTTTCCTCCACACCAGGAGGGGTGACGAGAACCTGCACAACCACTGGAATATAGAGACGAAGACTAAATAATTTGACGCAAGTACCTTCGAAGTAAGTTCTCCGGATGGGCCTTGGTCGACGCGGCCACCGGGACCCCCAGTTGTGTTGGGATGCATGCCGTCGGTGGGAGGATTCAAATGCAACGTGTCCTGGGCGCCCCCGAGAAACACTGAAGGATAAAGAGTTCGAACACCTACCTCGATATTCTGATTCGGTGAACTTTGAAGGTCGATGTCCTGAACCGCAGGAATGGGCTTCCGGGAACGCTTCAAGCATTTCTGCACAATGTCAGCCATATTCAGAATCAGGACAACTCAGTGATCTGCTTACAGAAAATTTCTTAGCGATACGTTTGATAAATTTCCGCATGGTCTGTTGGACTCCTCGACGGGGTCAGTTCTGAACGTAGCACGCGTCAGAGCAGCGATGGATTTTATGAGCGCTCATTCAGAGTGAGTGAGCTCATGGGAACACTATGACATACCGAGCTTTTCACCAGCGGTTGCTTTGCAGGCTTCTAGAGGAAGATCTGGTTTATGGTCTTCACTTATCACGAGTGATCGATTAGTGTGAGCTCAGTGGGGGTGCAAGAAGTAGTGGGTGGGAGAAGGGAGTAGACCTCGGGCCATCAGTGAACCGGTGAACAGATGAGCAAGTTATTTAAAGCGATATATTGTAGAGCATCGCAACAATCTTCGTATATCTGCTGACTGCTTTCACATGGGAATATTTGGCATTGTCGAGCAAAAACGAACGAACAATCACGCCAGCCTGGTAATATTGTTTGCTTTGTGACCTTTTTCATTTGGATGTACCTAAGATAAAACAAACGAGCACAGATTCATGAAAGTCAATACGGACCGAGAATGAGAGGGTCACAGACTCACAATATGAATGTGCTCGCGGTTCGAATTCATCCCTGGCTTCCCGCGGCCGGCGAATTGACACCGTAACGCAGCTTGTGACGCTGCACTGTCACACTTCGAATAGATCCACCACGATAAGTTTTCCCCGAGTACTATAGTATGTCAACCCAGACTTTCCTATGCCGTGTCCCCATCACGCCCTGCGCGTCAGCCCTTCACATGGCTGTCTAGCTTAGGTATATATTCTCAATCTATTAGTTCGCTACATAACTTGACACTTTCCCGCCTCCAAGGAAAAATCATATCCTCCTAGTTGGCTCCGGCCCAGGACATCCCTCCCTTCTCACCACATTGCGACTCGTACTAATGCGCTTACGAAGCACGGAGACCATGTTCTCTCAGACAAGCTCATTCCCGCTGCTGTACTTGCTCTCATACCTCAAACTGTCGACGTGCGCATTGCACGCAGGTTCCCCGGCGATACCGAAGGCGCGCAATCAGAGATGATGGACGCAGCTGTTGGAGCTGCTCGACGTGGCCTCACCGTCGTCAGAGTACGTCCAATCCTTCATTCCCTTACACCACAATAATTATCTTGTCACACAGCTACAGCAAGGAAACCCAGTCGTCCACGTCCACGCAGGGATTCGAACCGCTCGTCGTCCCAGACATCTCGTCTGCACTCGCAGGGTCTTCTTTTGCAAGCATCCCAGTCACGCAGCGTGGCATTGCTGAATGCGTCGCTGTGTGTACCGGCGTTAGGAGAATGGGCAAGGAGGTCAAACTTCCTGGATACGAACTCGCGCAGACTGTACTCATTCTCATGGGCGTTGCTCGGATGGCGCAGGTTGTAAGTGCCATGATGCGTAACGGCGGTGGCAGTGGGGTAGGTCTGCATCGTGAAGGGAGAAGGGAGGGACGTCCATACCTGCGGAACACGCCTATTGCCATTATTGAGCGCGACTCGATGCCTGGTACGCTGCGCTTCAGCCTATATATCGTTTCCGTACACTGTTCGTCCAGCTTGAGTCACAGAAGTATTTTATTTGGCGTGCAGTATTTTGTATCGTTCCATTTGAAGTTTTACAGTCACAGAAGAAACTATTGGCGATTGATCAGCGCAAGATCGCCGGGTCGCCTTTGTTAGATAACGATTTGCATGTTGGCAATTATGACTGAAATTCAGCATGTGCTTAGTACAGCAACTGACGTTGGCATGGAAAATTATCTCAGTCATCACACGAGCGTCTTAGATATCGATCGTTTGGCTTCTTGTTCTCACTCAATTTCACATCGCCCATTGATCTCATACCACCATGGCCTCTCAGACGTACCAACTCTTTTGCATGGGTAACCCCCTCCTCGACGTGCAGGTCACTAACGGTGAGGAGCTGCTCAAGAAGTACGATCTGAAGGCCAACGATGCCATCCTTGCCGAAGAGAAGCACATGTCAATGTGAGTGCATGATAACCGTTTCTTTACATCAATCTTCATCTACGACGCCTGCAGCTACGAAGAGATCGTGAAGAACTACAAGGTCACATACGTTGCTGGCGGTGCTTCTCAAAATGCTGCTCGGGGAGCTGCAGTAAGTCTGTCATGCTATGTGCTCAGGTTTCAGATATCAGATACTAACACTCTCACAGTATGTTCTTCCCGCCAATTCTGTGGTTTACACTGGCTGCGTGGGAGATGATGACTTGGCAGAACAACTGCGCGCGGCAAACAAGCGTGAAGGTCTGCAGGAGGTCTATCTCGTCAAGCCAGGCCAAAAGACGGGTGCATGCGCCGTCGTCCTCACGGGACACGATCGGTGAGGATTACCATCGCAGATTTTGCAGTATCGAACTCAATCGGTAATATATTAGCTCCCTGGTCACGACCCTCCGGGCAGCTGAGATGTTCGAGCAATCGCATCTTGCTTCCCCCGCCGTGGCTCCTTTGGTGGACGCCGCAAAAGTCTTCTACGTAGAAGGCTTCTTCCTGACGCACGGCACGCCCATCGTGCTCGAGCTCAGCAAAAAGGCATCCGACGCCTCCAAAGTGTTCGCACTGAACTTCTCAGCGCCTTTCATCCCGCAGTTCTTCGGCACCCAGTTGCAGTCCATCCTCCCCTACTGCGACATCATCATCGGCAACGAGACAGAGGCTGAGGCATACGCAGCCGCAAATGGTCTGGCAGACACCAAGGATCTTGCAGCGATTGCCAAGGCTGTTGCGATTTCCCCCAAATCGAACAAATCTCGCCCGCGTGTTGTGATCTTCACGCACGGCGCCAAGTCCACTATTATGGTGTCCTCCGCTGCACCTGACAGCCCAAAGATCTTCAAGGTCAGCGCCATCGATGACAAGCTGATCGTTGATACCAATGGTGCTGGTGATGCGTTCGCGGGTGGTTTCCTCGGCGCGTTCGTCGCTGGCAAAAGCTTGGATGAGTGTATCGAGGTTGGACACAAGATGGGTGCCATGTGTGTCCAGCTTGTAAGTCCAAGTTTTTTATTTTTATCAGAACACTCGCTGAATCTGAATTCGTTAGGTTGGTCCTCAATTCCCGTGGCCCAAGGTCTCCGTTCTTTAAACATGTCTCTTATCATACACACATCCTGAATTCCGTACATATATCACGCTTTCAACAGCGAAATTTGTTGTATCCCTACACATACCGATGTTCTTCATCACTCGCTTTCCACAAGCATGTAGCAACTGATGTTTCGAATCTATGATTTCGATGATGATGATTAAGGCTAGTGTTACAAAAAGCTTCAATGTTATGCGCGAAAGGCGAGCTATGTATGCGTGAGTATAGTAAGGTAATGCATGTGAATAACAGCGAGGAATATCATCAATAATCTATAGTATGACTGTTATAATGAAGGAGGAGGGGATGCGAGGGATTCCTGGTTCAGTAGGTCCAGCATCAGATCATACACATTAGGTTCTGCAGCAGTCATCACATTACCCACCTGAGTCAACAGCTCGGCTTTGCAGATACAATATATAAGTTTTCGAATCACACAAAAGAATATAACGAACCTGGATTCAGCATAGGCTCTCCATCTTCAGTGAGCATGTGTTCCATTTCAGGTGGACGCTCGAAAGTATGAGTATGAGGTGGCGAATGGGTAGGATAAAATAGTTCAGGTGATTCTATATTGTGGCTGGACGTGAGTTCTCTTGACAATTCGTTTCGTTCATCGATGCTACCTCCAGTAGAAGCCGAACTAGACTGATGGGATACCGATCGAGGGTCCAGATGGCTGGGTGAGTGTATGCTATCCGGTGCACGCGATGGCTCTCTTTCTGTAGATTTCAAGGCGACTTCTACGGGGGATTGAGCGACCTTAAAAGATACCTTGTGGTTTGAAGTTGGTGACACTGGTGAGATATCTAGTGAAGGGTCGATGACGGGAGATCTTGATTCATTGCCCTGGAAATGTCCTGCTCCCGACGCTGAGGGGTCGCCGCCACTGTGCATACTCGCCCTGGTAGGACTACTAGTACTTGATGAATCGTCACAGGGTGAGGGAGAATGTGGCTGGACACCATTTTGGAGATGTGCCATGAGGTCAGAGGGTGGCGGTGGGTGAGGTATTCCGCGATAATATGAATAATAAGGATGCGGATAGCCCATAGGTGGCATGGGCGGTGGTTGCGACCCGTCAGAAATCCAAGCACCTGGGGGCCACGTTGCCTGGTGTAATCGAGCCGACGATGTCGGGGGTCCAACGCTGGGGGGATATTGACCTTCAACGATTACTCCAAGGGGAGGTGGCATATATGCTGTCACAATTGAGAGGGTGAAGTAGGTCGAAAACAAATGGACTTACCACCTGCAGGCATAGTGTGTTGACGATAATAACTGTGTGGTCCTTGAGGACCGCCAAGGGCACCGAGAGGGGGAGGAGCACCATCGGCTGGATTCTCGTTGCCTTTCGATGAGGGTGATGGACTTCGACTGTGAGATTGCGACCCTGATGCCCGAGGTTCGGTGCTATCTTTCTTCTTCTCGACATCCGTAGGTTCAATGATTACACCATTGTGTCTGTATGAATCCAATCAGATAAATTACCGACACTCAATATATGGCCATGCCTCGACTTCTGATGCCTCCGTAGTGCATCAGTCTGCAAGATTCATGTATTAATTGCATCATAGGAACAAAGGTGATTAAAGAATGACGTACTCGTGTAAATGTAGCGTCACATTGCGGACAAGCACTACAGGGGTAGAGCCACGTCAGAACCGTGTCCCGTATCATATATGCTTGATTAAGTACTCACAATCCTGGCACGGAGTGTAATTTGGTAGTCCGTTGGTGCCGTTTAAGATCGGCCTCCCGAGCAAACTGCTTGTTGCAACCATCGATTTTGCATGGCCATACCCCAGTCTCTGTCACCTTTTTCTTCTGAGTCGACTTTCTCTTCTGAGACTCTTTTTTCTCTTCCGGCTATAGTTCAGCCACAATGAATTCAGGTGGCTGATAAGCACAATTCAATCCGCGAGCACTACGCACTGTCTGTTTTGCTTGTCGGACCATCACGGATGATGCTTTGCACTAGATCAGCCGTTCAGACTTAGATGATCCTGATTTTTGTGTTCAGAATTTATTGGAGCTGGATTGCGCTCGTCAATATGTGGTTGTTTCGCTGTGGCTAAACCTGTGGCTGACGTCGTAGGCGGCAGGAAATTGGGTGGCGTCGATGGCAGATGTGGCAGAAGGTGTCCGCGACTCGTGGCTTTGGCACTAAGGCTTATGTCAGCTTGCCATTTTAGGCAGCTCTTCAAGTTCGTAAATTTGCTACTCGAGGAGGTTTGTGGAACAATTTGCGAAGTCTTGTCAGGTGAGGCCCCTCTATGATGGTACCGGCAGCGAAGATCCGGAGAGTTGTTATGCAAACACTTCTGCCAACCCAGGCCACAGTAATATAGGTGTAGTGTACATTAATATTACATCTGAGTGACCTAGATATACTAATATAGACAATCCTGCGGAAATACGTGCTAACTGGGTGGTGGAACAGAAATGAACGAAAAAACGACGACATCAAAGATCACAGAAGATGCAACAATAACGTGGCCAATTGAGTCTCTGAGAAATTATATTCCTACATAAACAAATACAATCTGTTGTTCCAGTGGAATTTTCCCGAACAGTGACTTCACAGCCTTGTGCAACCCTACCGCAGCGCGTGTGCAGTCCAATCTTCCTGAACCATCGCCGATGTTGCCGTAAAAAGCAGACATACTTCCTCCCGTAACCTCGTCGTCGACAGACCACATGGAACTTATGTCGCTGCGAAATACAGAGAATTGCATAGCCGCACTGAGATGGATTAACTCGTCAAGACTCGCCGTGGTGGTTTGGCTATGGCAAGCCGATAAGAACGCAAACTCCGGGTTCTGCCAGTTGGATTGGACGATGTCCCTGATCATGTAATGTGGTGACCGGTTAAATTAATTCCATCGAAAGTTTCAACTTCTGCCAGGGCCTGCCTCAGTGCTTTGCAATGCGGCCAAGCGTTGAACGTCGAGCGCTGAGGCATCCAGAAGGCTCCAGAAGGCTGCTAGTGACTTGGTGAGACTGCTCGTAATATCGGCGGCAAGAATTCGAAGACTTTATTCTACAAACGCTTCTGTATTAAAGGACAGTGCTGTGTATATAGCGGGCAATTATAAACGAATAAAAATCCATCTGAGTGATCTACGACGCCTCAACTAACCCAGGGGCAGCGGGTGTCACTTTAGCTGAGGAAAGCGCCTCAGCCTCGCTAGCAGACGCAACAGATGTAATGGTGGACGAGGTGGAAGTAGGTGATGCAGTACCGAGTTCAGTATCCGCGCTGTCACTTTTCAGAAAAGAAATCGTCCAATGGTCAGAGAGACTTACTCAGACTGCTGTAAAGGCAATTGTGCATGGATGTTCTTTGGTCCATCGAAATAGCCTTCTAAGCGGGTGCCATCTTCAGCAATGCCGCAGAAACTGATGACGTTAGAACTTGTGGTATAAGGCCCCTGATAGACTTACTCCACGATTTGCTTCCAGTATGTCTCGTGATCGAACTCGAAATCAAAATCCCCTCCAAAGTCGGAGTCTAGCTGTGACTTTGGGATGAGGTCAAGAAGATCAGGATTAAACCTCATCTAAAGGATCAAAGTCCATCAAGTCAATTTTGTTTTGCATGATGTACAAGATATACAAGATATCACACACCTTGTCCCGGGTGACAGGATCCAAGAACGGCGAAATGCCTTTGTAGAAGAAATTAAGCAACATCGGGAGATTGGTGATGATTGCGCGACCGAGGGTCTCTACGTAGTGCTGCTGAAGGATCGTGAGTACTTTACTGGCAACGGATATCGAAGGGTTGGTGCGAAGTGTCGTGGACTTGTAATCTACAAGGATGACCAGCGTCTCTTGTCCTGGGGGCATAAAGTCTTTTGCACGTTCTCTGAACTCCCGTGAGTCGAGGTTGAATGAGAGGACGAAGGACGTACAGCCACCAGACGAGGTGTCTCAACTGCCTAGGACTAGTTTCGGTATTTTCACGACCAGGACGCATGTAGATGATGGGCCTGCCATCTTTATCGAACCCATTTAAGAGGCTGTGATCGTTAATGAACTCTGGTTTAAGTTGATATGGGGAAGAGACCACATACATCTTGCCTGTCTCGGCTTCTATCTTCACCTGCGTATTGGCAACTATAGGCGCTAATATCATCTTCGAGCCGAATATGCACGTACGTCATCAGGTTTGATTAGCTCCGGTTGGAAGTCTCTCCTCCATTTGATGGTTCCCTCTATTCTACGCTTCGCGTCCGGGAGTTTCCATTTTGCCGCACGCATATACCGAGGCATGGTATCTGGTTTGTTCAACCATCGCAGCTCCCACTTATGATATGGATCTGATGTATCCAGAAGCAAGGTATCTGCATACTTTTACGATGGCTCAGTTAACGGTAAACATGAAGAAAACCACCACACCTCGCGTAATGCTTTAATATGGGCTTTTTGCTCGTCGGAGTACTGATATATGGGCTGCACGACAGTATCTGGCTCTGGGGCAGTAAGAACAGCTTTAACCATGGTTTGAGATGAAGAACTCGGTGAAAGAAACTGAACAAAGACTGCTGTGCGCCACTAGAAGCATGTGTACCCACATAGTGCATGATGGTGGATTTAGTAATAGACAGGGTGCTGACATTTTTGGCAGCGTGGGAACACTGGAGATCATTTTGTAGTTTTGTGCTCATCGTCCTTGACGGCGTTCACAAGTCATTTGCAGCCATGCATCTCATGTACACGCTAGATGAAAGTGGGAACAGGGTATACACTCTCAATGTGAGCATTCTCACTCTCATGGGGGGCTCTCTGCTGATTCGCTATTTCAGAAAACAACAAATACAGGCCGAATAACCAAGTCTGCTCACCCAGGTTCGTCTCACCCGTCAGATGCCAATCTTTTCTGGCTCCAGAGCGTGCATCGTTTGGTATACTGATACTTTGTTGCATATATAGCACGTTTCTCGCCCGATGATAAATTCTCGAGGCACCGCGTCACTCTTAAAAAGCGCTATGGCGTCCTGCTAACCCAGCTCCCTAGCAAGCCTATGTGATTGCTATGTGAAGGGTCAGGCGTCTGACGAGAAAATCGCTTCCGAACACCACCAGTACCTCTGTCGAATTTCGCCTTGCTTGCGCGGATTATAGAGTACACCGAGTAATAAAGTGTTCTCATAGTCCAATCGTTAAGCCGTTGCTTTTGGGTGTTTGATGACATGACATGATTCATTTTGCCTGTTCGTATGCTCTCCTGATATCGGTTTTTGACACGTCCACGAGCAGGGCCAATGACAGGTGTGTTTCTGTCTATTGTTCTTGTGCTCACTATAGCTGTGGTATTCATGTAAGAGCGGCAATTCGGCTACAAAAATATTCTTAGGATTGCCGACGGCGGCTATGCGTACCAACCGTACATGAGCGACGCGGAGATCGCACCATTCACAATGGAAACGGGGAAAAGCACCACTCAAGTAGCTCCCTGCAGTCTATTCACTCAGGAGATCAGGGTATGAACTCACTCACCATCCAATTAGTCACGTTCGAACTTTACTGTGTCTTCCGGTCACCCGTGCCTCAAAACACAATACTGCAGCCGTTTCTATGCAAATAGGCGCTCACGGCGTCTCCAATGCTGGGTGGGAGTGTGCGCATGGAAATAGTTGAGGCACACTGCGGTTTCTCTGACTTGATCATTGGTAATGCTTGACGGGTTGTCCTCGTGTTGCTCGGAGTATAGCATGTGCTACTAAGGTCAATAGGCCGTTCGTTCTGTAGAGTTCAACAATCAAGCTCAATACTCATCTTGACCGACTTGCATGCTCTTGTATGCCGTTCCTTGCGCTAGATTATTTTTCAGAGTACCAACTTTGTTTTCTAATCAATGTAGACATGGCAATGGAAACGCTTAATGATTTTTCTGCATTTTGCATAAGGAAATCAACGTGTGTCGGCCGAAAATAGTCAAGCTTGGTTAACTGGTTGTTGACCTGCTCGTGGCAAAAAACGACGCATTGAGGCCTTTTGCCTTGCGCCACCACACGGGGCAGAAAGCCATTTCCCATTCACTTCAATCCAATCCGCCGCTCTTTTCTCCCCACCATCACAATCGACCTCCAAACCGCCGTCGACGTCGACGTCAGCGACCACGACAGGGCGATCCCAGACCCTCCTTCGCCCAAAAACAATGGATTATCGTGATCAAAGACCCCCACGGTCTGCCTACCAACAGCAGTATCACCCATCACCTCCACAGTCTCCTCCCGTATACCCAGAACAGCAGTATTCTGGGTATAATCATCCATCTTCTCCATCCTCTGCCTACTCGCAGCAGCGGCCAGCCTTCAACCAGTATCATGAGGGCAGGTCACAGAATATTTCTTTCCAAAATACAGAGCGTGGTGATAGGCAGAGTGCCCTTGATCAGCAACGTCAGCGCACCCTGCCCTCCGCATACCAAAACCAACTTTCACCTACCTTTGTCGACTCAGAAGGAGCAGATTACATCGATCCTGGACGAGTGGGGCGGAAAAAGAGTTTGGTGAGACCAGACCGGGAGAAGATCGAACCTGGCCACAGGCAATGGCATTATCGCACTCATGCAACACAGATGCAGAACGAGGGCACCGGCAGAGTGGGCGTTCAGCCATCCAGTGCGTATTTCCGCTCAGAGTAATATTCGTCTAACTCGTCATGTTAGCTACTGGTAACTATCCGCAGAAAGCAAAGCTCCGCAGAGGAAGATCTCTTCTTGCGCGTGAGGAAGATGTGCAGGAGTCGGGACTTGCTCTCTTTAAACGGGGTGCAACTCTTCGGCGCAAGCGCCCAGCGTCGACTCAGTCTGCCGCGCCACTGACAGTCCCTGACCGCAGCTCGCGCAATTGTCTTGACAGTATCGGGCCAGGGCCCAAGGATGCCTGGTTTATCTACTGTTACATCATTACCTGCTGGATTCCTCATTTCATGTTCCGGGCATGCGGTAGGCATTCCGCTACTTGCGCTGGAAGATTGCTCATTTTATCTCAGGTATCCGCACGCCAGACGCGCAACGTGCATGGCGCGAGAAAATGGGTCTCATCAGTATCATCTTGATGGAGATGGCTGCTGTCGGTTTCATCACATTCGGCTTCACAGAAGCTGTTTGCGGGATGCCTCCCAACCGATTCCACCAGGGCCAGATCCAGAACAATTCGGTGATCATTCACGGTTATGACTATGACTTTTCCAACTTCAAGCATCCAGCTGTGGGGCCGTTCAACGGATCAACGAACCCACTTCTGACTGGCGGATGGAACCTGGCCGCTAATGACGCAAGTTTCTTGTTCCAGATCACCAATAATAATTGCTTGGGCGTCATTACGAAGGCGAACGGTTCCAGTATCACGGGCAGCGGACAAATGTTGGACTGGTACTTCCCTTGTAATGTGTTCAATCCACAGTCAAGCGCACAGAATTTGTCCGGATACGGAGACTCGACGAACTGCCATGTATCTGCCACAGCAAAGCAGGGACTAGCTGCGATGAAGCCTCAGGGGCAGGTCTACTATACATGGGATGATGTTGCAGCTTCTGATCGCAATCTGGCCGTCTTCGAGTCGTGAGTTTTCACGTAGTTTATATATTCTTATCTTTACCCTTTTCCTAGAAATGTCCTCGACCTAGATCTCCTACAGTGGCTCAGCACCACTGAGGTGCAGTACCCTGCTCTTTTTGATCAAATGAAGACAGCAGATGGGACATACAACGGAAAAGACCTTTCTATGATGTTCCTGCGGTCAAACCAGCGCCAGGTCGGCTTGTGCCTCGAGGACGTGATCACGGTCGGGTTCATTGATACTAATTCAATCGGTTGCGTTGCCTCCTCAGTCGTCCTCTATCTTTCCCTCGTGTTCATCATCGGCGTCGTCGCTATTCGCTTTGTCATGGCCGTTATGTTCGCATGGTTTTTCTCATGGAAGCTTGGCAATTTCCCGCGGGAGACATACGAGCAACGCATGCAGCGCTCGGCTCAGATTGAGGATTGGTCGAATGATATCTACAGGCCTGCACCGAGCGAGTATCGCCCCAATGTGAGCAAGAACGGGCTGCGGAATGGGAAGGTCGGGAAGAAAGGATTCTTCCCGTCTACCTCTCGTTTCACGCCACAGGAGAACATGCCCAAGGGCGCATCTCCTCGCCCTCCCACGAACTACGGAATGGTTGATCCGTACAAACGGAACACTGCATACTCCACCAAGGCTCCTTCTAAAGTTAGTCCCCCTGATACACCATACCGCCAATCAAGAAGCACCATGTCGTTTGGTGATGTATCATCGCGCAATATCTCTCCTCGCTCCGCGTTCCTTGATACACCCTGTCCGTTCCCTCTGCACAATGTTGTGCCACAGCCTCCCCCTGACTTTGAACCGTTCAACTTCCCTCTCGCGCACACTATTTGCCTGGTCACGGCATACTCAGAGTCCGTCGAGGGTCTTCGTACAACGCTTGACTCCCTCGCTACAACAGATTATCCTAACAGCCACAAGCTCATTCTTGTCATTGCGGATGGTATGGTCAAGGGTGCTGGTAACACGCTGACGACACCGGAGATCTGTCTGACAATGATGAAAGACTTCGTCATCTCACCACATGAGGTCGAGGCACACTCTTATGTCGCCATTGCAGATGGCCACAAGCGCCACAACATGGCTAAGGTCTACGCCGGTTTCTACGACTACGATGACGCCTCGGTCGAGCGGTCGAAACAGCAGCGTGTCCCCATGGTCGTTGTCGCCAAGGTTGGCAACCCACTGGAGACGAATGATGCGAAGCCCGGTAACAGAGGCAAGCGTGACTCGCAGATCGTTCTCATGGCCTTCCTGCAGAAGGTCATGTTTGACGAGCGGATGACGACGTTTGAGTATGAGTTCTTCAACTCTATTTGGCGCGCGACGGGTGTCAGCCCAGACCGGTATGAGCTCGTGCTTTGTGTCGATGCGGATACCAAGGTGTTCCCGGATTCGCTGACGCGCATGGTGTCGTGTATGGTTGTGGACGTCGAGATTATGGGTCTGTGCGGAGAGACGAAGATTGCGAACAAGGCGGACAATTTCGTGACGATGATGCAGGGTATGTTTTGTCTTTGCTTATTGTAACTTAACCCTAATATTTGCCTTGCAGTCTTCGAGTACTACATCTCACATCACATGACTAAGGCCTTCGAAGCGATGTTCGGTGGTGTTACTTGTTTGCCCGGCTGTTTCAGTATGTACCGGACCAAGGCTCCCAAGGGTGATACTGGGTACTGGGTTCCTGTCCTGGCAAACCCCGATATTGTGGAACGGTACTCGGAAAACGTTGTTGACACTCTGCACAAGAAGAACCTGTTACTCCTCGGAGAAGATCGGTACCTTACGACACTCCTGCTCAAGACATTCCCAAAGCGCAAGAACATGTTCTGTCCCCAAGCAGTCTGCAAGACCATCGTCCCTGACACCTTCCGCGTTCTGCTCTCCCAACGTCGTCGGTGGATTAATTCGACAATCCATAATCTGTTTGAGCTCGTTCTTGTTCGTGATCTTTGTGGAACCTTCTGTTTCTCAATGCAGTTCGTCGTGGGTATGGAGCTGATGGGAACGCTTGTCCTGCCTGCCGCTATCAGTTTCACCCTCTACCTCATCATCATCTCTATCATTCCCGGTGGTGCCAATACCACCATCCCCCTCGTGCTACTTGCTATCGTCCTTGGTTTACCCGGTCTTCTCATTGTCGTGACATCACGCAAGGTCGCTTATGTCGGATGGATGATTATTTATCTGATTTCGTTGCCCATATGGAACGGTCTCCTCCCTGCCTACGCGTTCTGGCACTTTGATGACTTCTCATGGGGTCAGACGCGGCAAATTGCAGGTGACAAGGGTGGCAACCATGGGGATAAGGAGGGAGAATTCGACTCTTCGCATATCGTCATGAAGCGCTGGGCTGAGTTCGAGCGTGATAGGCGGTGGAAGAGCGGGGTGCAATCTCGTGACTCGACTGTGTAGGTCTTCGATTGATAACGTGTATTTCTCATCGCTGACTTCTGTTACAGCAACAATCGGTACTCGATGGCGTCAAACTCTGATATCAACCACAATGGTGGTGTCGACTCGTCAACGACGGAGTCAACACCCAGCGTGCCATACGTGTCTGGTGCTCGGTCAAGACACGACAGCAATGGCCTTCTTACGCTCCCTACACCACTTTCTGCCAGCAGGAACCCCACCTCTGTAGGATCGGCCTCGTCAGCTGCCGTCTCGCGGTCCAGCGAGGACGTTGTTTATTCAGACGTCGGCTCGACCTCAAATCAACGACTCGTTTCTAGTGCCCAAGACCAGTACATCGACTCGTATACTGAACCTTCAACGCCGCGGCACCCTCAGTTTGACGCCCACGTCGCCCGGGCAGGGGGCGTTATTCGCAATCAGACCGTATCTAGCCAATACCCTGGAGAGACTCAGAATCCATTCCGCTCTGAACCTCATGTGGCTACTTACGACGACCAGTACGGTGGTTATAGTGCTGAACCGGAAGATATGTCGCCGCCACCTGTGCCCAGCAAATACCAGCAGGGGGGCCGTGGGGTCAGCTTGTCTGACAATGGACCTGTCCCTGGGCCTGAGGGTGTCCGTAGGGTAGCGAAACCATCAGTCCGTCGGCCCCCGTCACAGGCGCCTCAGAATCGATACTCTCGTTCATCGACGGCGTTTAATTTGCCACCTGGTGCGGCGCCTCCACAGCCAGGAGGATACGGAGGCGGATATTAAGGACAATTTCTATTTTTGATTTCATGTGACATTCTTCGAGGCCAGGTTAACAGGTTCTAAACTTTGGCTGCGCAGTGAATTTACGGATGCTCTTCGTTTACTCTCTACGGACCCCACTCACACGTGTTCTATGATGATACCTTACGATTTTTTTCATCTTCCCGTCTTTCCTTGACTTTCTTTATCTTAGCCTACCACAAACGCAATATCTCTGTAATATTTCAACTTTGATGCATAAGTTATCGCTCAGATTTACTACAATGCATCATCCACTCCTTATAGACACTAGAGGACTTCTTGTACCAAAAATGAGTCTTGAATACAGGGTTATTGTTCAAGTATTTGGTTTGTACAAACAAGGGAGGTCGTGGTAGCCTCGAGGCGCTGGGGGAAGTTGATGTTCAGAATCCCCGAGTATCGCTCACAACATTTTCCTCATCATCACTGTTGACAATCATGGCAGCAGCATCGATATCCTCCTCACCGATTACCCAGGTATCCCAACATGCACCCGTGAACACTAGCCTTCAGCCTCAGTTACTTACTAGGCTGCTCCTCGACCTCCGAGGCAAACGTTTCTCAGTTGATAGAGAAACCATCATGAATCTCCCTGAATCCGTTCTTCTGTGTCTATTCCCCAACGGGCTTGTTCTGAGCCGTCAGAGCCAAGCATTCTCAGATGGCGGGGAAAACGAAGAGGATGACGAGGTGTACGGTGTCGATGTGAGTGGGGGCTACTGAACGATTCACGTGGTTCAGGCTTGCTGACGCGTGGCAGTTCGATCCAGAGTGTTTTGCATACGTGCTTGATTTCTTCAGAAACGCCTCAGACACGTTCTATGGGACCAATGCCTCGCCTGGTTTGTTCGCGGCACAGCAGCATCTGCTTGACGGATCACCTTCAGACTTTGGCCCTTCTGCATCCCAGAATCCACTCCTTACCAAGCAGGCTATCATCGTGCTTCGCGAGGAACTTGAGTACTTTGCTATACCGCCAAAAGAAGGGAGAGCTCTGACCGATGAACACGGCACCGCCAATCAAGCGCTTCTTGACGTCAAGCACAAGTGCGGACAAAACGTTATGGACAAGCGTAATATCTTTACTGCGCTCCAACGAAATGTGCACAAGGAGAACAACGTTGCTGAACAGCACCTTATTGATATGCTGTGCATGAGGTATGGGCACTGACGGTTATCGGTGGTGTGGCTGACGGCGTCCTTAGTGGGTTCAATCGAGATGATGAATGGGGTTTCCGTGCCATGGAGCCTTCGCGGTGTTGCATCTCATCAATCGCTCTTGTATTGCTCAAGACGGGCATCGTACACCATCCTCCAGGACCAAACGGCGAACGACCAGTCACCATCGATTACAACCAAATGGCTACGGCACAGAAGTTACTACTGTTCTGGAGAAAACCAGCGGTAAGTTTGCTTTAGATATGCGTGGAATTGTCGTTCATGCGTTGATCTTCCTAGCGCAAGTGCTGGTGGGACGGCCTTGAGGTTGATCTGGCTGTGCCAGGAGAAACATCTCTTCCCGTGAAGCTATGGGCAAGGCGGGTATGGACCCTTGAGCTTAGCTTAGTATGTGCCGTCCTTTTCACGTGCTTGGTCTTTCTGATTATACTTCCAGGTCTAACTGTGAGGAAGATTGGATTTTTTGGATACGAACTCATCTCTCCTGCGACCCCTCCTTACGCATATCATCGTCCTCACCTGATATTCGCATCGATACCCTCCACGATTTTCCCTGCTGCAACCCATTAATTAATGCCACACACGCACCTTGACATTTGCTAACATAACGTATCGGAGGGAATGTGCGACTTTTGACTGGTTTACTGCAATCGAAGCCCAAGGCCAAGCCAATGAGTGATAGAGACGACGACCAATCCAAAATGGTCAAATGTGTACACTGCTAGCGGATAAGCTAACACTTATAGTAAGTGTCCATGCTACGAGCGAGAAGACACTAGTTATCACGTTGCACTGGTGCTGATGTGTTTGGAGTCCGGACGGATCGCTCGAATAACCAGGCGGTCATTACATATTGAGGGTTTTTTCCAAAACAGTCACGATGATCAAAAAATCAGTCTCCACTAATCAAAATTTACAGCTGACATGGGAAGCTGATATATATTATTGGACCAGCCTAGTAGTAGGCAGTGTCCACTTGGTGTCCACGGTCATATAAAGCGTCGCCGGGTGGCATTATAAGTATCAAGGGTTCGACTTCTCGAGCATCAGTTCTAGCCTGCACGGATATGACCTTTACGTCCGACTCACCAGGGTTTTGGCCAATAGTCGGATATAGTGACCTTCACTTTAGGTTTAGTGGTAAGTCTCCAGTGGTTGTCCGGGTCTTCGTTCAGGGTTAAGCTTAGGGGTGTTATTCCCGCACAGTTGCTTCTACAGCGATCATCTTCTACGACTATGGTATTTGACCATCTATATCGCAATTTAATGCAAACGTGCTCAAGTGTAGTCTGCCAGGTCTTTCTTTCACTCGTGAAGTATGTTCTGCAATCTTTCGAAAACTGTTACCTTCACCTTTTTATTGCTTTACTCTACATAGGTGGAACTGATATGGGTGAGGATTCTGAGGGACTCAAACCAATGTATTGTCTGACTGATAACATTCCGTAGTGCCAAGGTTGGAGGCCAACGACAGTCCCATATATCATTGTGTGTTGCCCTCTGAAAACATCACACTGTGGCCTGACGACATTGACAGGTTCGTTATTTGGGTCTTGCACTCGCAATGTAGGTTTTATATGGAGGACGCAAATCTGTTGACCAAGGACGGGTTTCAGAGTTCAAATATGTACGTATCTTTCTGCGGAATGCTGCTATCAAATCAACCACTCATGTTTCGGCGCGTGGTAGGGGGAGCGCCAGGCATCTCGTTGAGCGATACAGTGAAGCTTCTTGACTTCTTTGCAGAGATACGTTACTGAGTGTCGAACTCAGGAGCACGTTCCACCAGCTACTAACTTGCCGCAGTCCATTAGCTCATGTCAATTTTAGGTGTAAGTCTATGAGTTACATGCGTGTGGTAATCCCTTTAACTCCTAGTAGGTGGCATTGTTGGCCGAATCTGGTCATGGGGAATGGCCGCCCTCGCGTGCACGATGTATGGTCCGTCCCATGATGTGATCACATGAATTTGGGCTATTCTTAACGTCTCGAAAACAACTGTAGCGATCATGGCAATCCGTGTTTTCGCCATGTATCATCGATCATTGAAGATACGAATATTTATTGTCGTCTGTTTCCTGGCCGCTAGCGCTTCCCGAGGAATAATGGACGGTCTGGCATTTGATTTTGCAAGAGGCTCGATACGCAAGTCAGCTAATTTTTGTGACGGTCGCCCGCTCACGAATCGTTATATTCAGCTGTAGAATACGTACTTTCCGGAACAAGAGTCTGCACCATGTCCATGGCTCCCGTGGTGCCCTTTCTTGATGGTATTCCAAGTATACGCATCGAGCTTCTGTTTCTCCTTCTCGCCGCACGGGTCCTCGTGGAACATACCCGTGAGATGCAGGGCATACGTCCAGACCGTATATTTGGTGATGGTGTTGGCGATAGTCTTGCCATCATGAGGGACCATGTACTGCATTTTTCGTGGTGAGTGAATGCATTTTCTTTGTCTTTCACTTGGATCATGAAACGGGCTTACCAACGTACGACTTTCAGCTATCTCATTTTGAGCGTCATGCAGGTTGCTGCTATATCCACGAATGTGAGCATTTCTTGCTGATACTCTTGCTTGATGACCACAATATGATGAACCGCAGGGTGATACCGACGGGGGCCAGTGGTATAGAAGCATTGCAGTATTCTTCGTCACCATCCAACAATGTGTTTTGGTTCCCCGACTGGTCATCACTATGCGGGAATATTTCTCTCAGTTCGATTATGCGCTAGATAGTGCCGCAGACTTCAGCGTCATGGCATTCGCACATAACCCTGAGTAAATAGGTCGACTTAATTCGCAAACGTCTATGATACCATCATCCTATTGGATGTGCACGGACATAAATGACGAACGGAAACATAGTAGCTCCAGATAATGGTAGAAATGAAGCCGTCTGCAATTTATAGCATGGAGGAGCACCGTCTGGAGCCTCTTCCAGAGAAGGTAAACCACGCTGAGTGGATGGTCAACACCTAAATATTGATACGTTGTACTTCATTGACTCTGGAACCAATAGTACGGCACTACATAGCCAGAGTCTGCGTACCGAATATTGATCGCAAAACATTCGCAGTGAATTTTGTTCAATCTTTTATAGTATAAAGCTCCTCCGATTTTGGGCGAGGAAAGGGAGTTTTCGCATGACATTGAGGTGTTACGAACGAAGAGGCTCGGACTAGGAAAGAGGGAGAAACCCAGTCTTCGATTGAAAGACTGATGGGAAGTGATTCTGAAGGAAGTGAAACAAAGGGACGCTGTTGAAGCGGAGAAGGAAAAGAATACGTGTAGGATGAATAGTTGTACATATAGAATGAAGTGCATACGGGGAACAGGTCGTGATATAAGGCACCTGCACAGAACGAATGACGATAATTGGCATAAGCATGCAAGTCAACAAAAGGTTATGATCTGTAGAGACAATAAACGAGAATTATAACGAAGGTAACCTGCTATTGAACTGTGGAAAGCTGTAGACGGCTCCCGTCGCACAATAGTAGTATGGTCCATGCGCCTTGGGATCAGTAGATGCCAGGTATCAGCCGATACCTGACTGCCTTCGCCCACCTCTCCCACTCGCCTCTGAAAGTTAATTTCAGGACTTCATCCTCTTGACTGACCCTACATACGACGTTTATAATCAGAAGCGCGATCTGCGCCAGCCATGCCACCACGATTAATTGCAATCCAGGGATATCTAAAACCCCTGAGCATCTAAGCCATGAATTGGTCGATCCGTGCAGGATCAATATGCCGATGATCTCCACCATACCTGCTGCATAGGATGGATGGCGTATGACCGCGTATGGTCCGGTCGTGACAATGTGTTGCCCGTCGCAGACACTGAGTTGGAAGGTGAAAAAACGACCGAGGGTGCGATAACACCACAAGCGTATGAGACCCCCCGCGACAGCAAGTGCGGTGCCCAAAATGAAAGGGAGAGTGATGGGCGTGTTACGGATCACGGACAGATAGTTAGGGCCTGTTGTAATGATAGCGATTTCTGCGAAAGAAACAGCCCAATAAATAGCCTGGTGTATGGTTCTATAAAGTGTTTGTGGGCAGGCAACCAAAAAGACTCGCCTTTATGGTCGGAAACCCGTATGTAACAAGCCGAGTGAAGATCCGCTCATTGAAAGTTTGGTGAACGACCTCTTTGCTTGAAGGAACATTTTTGGTTGTGAACGATACGTGCAGCGCGATAGCAGACGAGAGAATGAGTAGAACTTTGAGAAAGGACTCCATGTTAACGAAGAGAGCTTTACCTGTCTAACGGTTGCTTTTATACATGCATACTGCGCTGAGGCCGTAGTCAAGGACCGAAATCTACTCCAACGGTGCCACAATGCAAGTCTCTGAGGGTAGGTAGGATAGGGTGTAGAGATTGCGTGATTGTGTCGTTGATTTTCCGTATTAATGAATTCGGCTCCATGGTCCGCTAATAGGCCATGTGGATCTCCCGACTCCACGCAGTGCACAATTCCCGTCGATTACCTTGCTTGCTGAAACTGTTTTGCTGTCAATGGATTTAAAAGTGCATAAGGGTGGGACAATGTCGTTAGTTCCCGAGTATTACGCTCGATGGTCCGCTAGCACGCAAGAAGTGTGTGAGGGTCCAGAACAACTCACTCAGTTCAATTTTGATCCTCGATTGGCCAAACTTCTTGATCAACATGCCACATAGAACAAGTGAGAACAAATGGATGACCGAAGAGTAACCTTACCTCAAAGTGTTTCGCCGTCACTACAAAAATGCCACTTCCCCGTAAGATCAAACTTATTATAGGTCTCCTAGCGAGACCTACAGAAGAGGACATTTGTACAACGGTACATGATCTAGGCAATTCAAAATCATGTTGATGTGTCCCTTTGTGTCTCCGCCAGGAGAGTGAGATGAAATTATGAAGAGCATCATCAATTCCCTGAGTCAGGACCAGCCTCAATGCGCGATAAATGATGTGATTTCAAGGTAAACAGTATTTCTCCACAAATTTCTGGGACGGGGTGGGCAAACATGAGTTTCCATTCGCATGTTAAGAGACCACAAACGCACCTGTAGCCTCTCGCGAGCAGCACCAAACGTAGATTCCTCCATCTTGTTACCGTTCTTGAATGCGATGAATGTAGGATACTGAGCAGCCAGATCCATGGTCAGTGTAAGATGATAGTTGTGTTCATAGATCCGATATTTACGCTCGTTATGCCACCAACTTCAAAGCTGACATCGTCGAGTTTTTCAGCGTTGATGACGTAAAATTCGATCTTGTCCGACGAGAACTTGCTTGCGAGCTCATCAAAGGTGGGGGCGATGGCTTTGCAATGAGGACACCTTTCAGATTCGAAGTCTACGATCGTAGTCTTCCCCTCTTCCATCATCTGTGGGGTTAAATGTGATCCCCTTGCCATGCCATTGACGATAAAGTGCCTACGATGGAGATGAACTGGCTATGAGACGTGATTGATTTGACGGACATGGTGAGCACTGGACAGGCTATTGCAAATAAAACGACACGCTGCTGATAGTAACGGACAATTGACAATAATAACTTACTAGTTGGTACATGACCAGTCCGTGGAACTTTTTGGGAGTTCATCCTCAATTCCCGATGCTGACCTTCCCGAGCTGGAAGGTCTAGACTGCATCTCGCAGATCACTTTCTACTGGGTTCCCACCTGTTCTCACAGCACTTCCCGCGTCAAATATATCCTGTGTTGAAATTTCTTTTGAAAAGATCTCCATGCCCACAAACAATGTTACAATGGTGGGACATACATCGCAAGGGGCCTATGTCTATGGCGAGGAATAGCCCAAGTCCTCACTCCACTGACTATGCAGAATTGCCACGAACTCCTCCGGACGCTCGCAGCAAACTATTCTACTCGCTCTCCTCACTTCAATAATTTGGCCCAGGCTCTCCTTCATCAAAGCAGGATACCCCTCCATCTCTTCGGCAACACAGTCACCAGCCCCGCAAATATAAAAAGAGCAGGCACGAGTATCATTCGGAGTATATGCTTCGCGTCATATTCACTTTCTCTATACCCAATGCTCTCGATTTTACCTTCTCCATCCTCTCCGCGCACCCATGCGTGATCATCTTCATCGCCCACAGCCACTCCGGCCCGTTAGTACGTGCATCAGCTGTGAACCACCGCACAACAGCGTTGTCTAAGCCGACACGTTAATCATGTTGTAGTTGAAGTGCGGCGAGACCATTCATACTCGACGTCCTCTCATGACTTTGAATGATACTCGAAGCAAACACCGATGAAAGATGAGGCAACAACATAAAAAAAAACCTTGCATTAGACGGAAGATTCGAACTCGTCCTCCAAAAAATGGGTAACACAGTCGAACGATGTACGAGTAATGGCAATCATGTGGGGGAGAGACATAAGAAATAAAGCACGACACAAAATCCACTACATGTCTCTAGTTACTGGTGTCAGCGTCATACAGTATGGTAACTACCATAGAATTTAACGGTGCAGAGTTCAATAGACCCGTCGCACAACACTAAGTAATGCGCCATGCGCGCTGTGTTCAGTAGATACCAGGTATCAGCCGGTACCTGACTACCTTCGCCCACTTCTCCCACTCGTCTTCGAAAGTCGTCTTCAGCATTTCATCCTCTTCGCTGACCCTGGACAAGCAGTTTATCATAAGAAGTATGATTCCCGCTAGCCATGTTACCGCAAATGTTTTGACTCCAGGGATATCTAAAACCCCGGAGTGTCTAAGCCATGAATCAGGCGATCCGTGCAGTATCAGAATGCCGATAGCCTGCATAAGACCTGATGTGTAGGATGGGTGGCGTACGATCGCGTAGGGTCCGGTCGTGACAATATGATGCCCTTCGCGGACACTGAGTTGGAATGTAAAAAAGCGACCGAGGGTGCGATAACACTGCCGGCGGATGAGACACCCTATGACAGCAAATGCGGTGCCCACAACGAAAGGGATAGTGATGGGCGTATTACGGATACTTAGACCGACCGCATATTGTGCGATGGCCTGTACCGCGGAAAGAGATTTGAAGTGTGATGTGCGATAGACAATGGTAGCGATTTCTGCAAAAGAACCAACCCAGTAAATTGCCTGGCGCATCGCTCTGTAAAAGGGGTTGTAGACAAGCGATACAAACACTCGCCTTCAAAGTCGGGAACCCGTATGCAATAAGTAGATTGAAGATCCACTCATTAGATGTTTGGTAAACAATCTCTTTTCTCAAGGGGACGTTTGGTGGTGTGAACGATATGTCCTGCGCGATAGCAGACGAGAGGATCAATGCAACTTTGAGAAAGGATTCCATGTTCATGAAGAGAAATTGACCATTTCAACGGTTGCTTTTTATACACGAACACCTCGCTGAAGCCGTATTCGAATTCTGAAACACAATTTGGTATCAAAATGCAGCACAGGTCGGTGTTCATATAATCGTTACTTGCCTATCATAGAATACTCAATGACACCTCAACACTTATGAGGTTCAAACCTATCTTAGCATGCCAGATGAAACAAACGGACTAAACCGATCGCGAGTAGCGAAGGAGTAGCATTGCTGAAAGTGTATTATGGTCGAGAATAAATGTCACCTTGCCTAAAAAGTGAGGGAGAAAGGGGGTAGACGGTGTCATTAGTTTCACGTATTTCGCTCAGGAATGACTTGAGCTCCATAATCCGGCCTACGGTCACTTCGTGAGTGCCCACTACTTCGTAACTTTCCGCTAAAACTGACAGATTTCGCCAAGAGACAGCCCCAGCCACAGACGAATGCGACATCAGAGTCAGCGTTTTATGCTGTTACATCGCCTGACAAAGGTCAAAAGTGATTCGAGAAGTCACGGGTCACTCACAAAGTAACTGGTGGGTTTTATGTTTGCGACATATTATCAGGGTAAGCTACAAAACCCTATATTCCGCAGCACAGCATTCGAGGTCGGTGTTTGTAGCAACCATGACCTGTTTCAAGTACATGTTGAAATGATGCGGCTATCTCGGATCCGTACTGGAAAATCTAGAAATGGTGCTTGCCCAAATTTTCCAGTATATGAGGACTTTTGAGTCCCAAAACTAGTCTAGTAGCAGTGACGAGCGCGATGTACATCTCGTCGAAGTTGGTAGATATTCTGCAGATACGGAAACAATTATTCAGAACAAGTGCGAGCTCTGTTGGAGCAGGGCCAGCGGCCTCAGCCAAGAGCAGGGGAACCAGCTGGTATGACAATGATCCTAAGCTATGGAAAGGGCCGGCGGGGCCCTGAATGAATAGTCCCTGCCCTTGGGACCCCTACTCCACCGTGTCGGTCGTAGGAGTCGAGTCATGGGCGCAGTAGATAATAATAGTGAACGGAACCATACCGAAGGTCGAGATCCTAGCAATAAAAAGCATAGTATATAGTTGTTTCCCTAGAGCCGCGACAAGCGTGTGGTGTCAATGTGAAAAGTATTAGATCTCCACGAATATCTGAGAAGTAGTGGGCGAAAATGAATGTTGATTGTATGCTGAGAGACCAGCAACGCACTTGTAGCCTCTGCCAGACAGCAGCTTGTAACACGGGTTCCTCACGATCTTTGTGCTGTCCTTGAATAAATTAATGAACCTTAACTTGAATGATTGGCGTACAATGAAAATTTACGTTTGTTGTCCCAACTTGTTTACCGGCAGTGCCGGGCGGCACGGCGACTCGGAGAAGCCGGGCCTCGAAATTCAGGTTGGTTTGATTTCACCTGTTCAGCGCCTTGACCTGTTCACGGGTCCCGTAGTACGCAAGGTAGGTAGGTACATCATGCAAAATTCTGTGTCGGTCCACGTTCAGAGTGTGTCGTCGGAATAACATTTGGCTCTTATTGGTGAGTGATGTTCCTTGAATGCGGACTTGAACATTTACATACCTCCACACCCTTATATCTGAGCTTGGAGATTGTCATGACTGAATAGTGCAGAGTCTATGCTCGTGGTTCGAATTCGTCCGCGGCAATTCGTCCGTGGTGACTTCGTGACGCCGTTCTGCGGCATTGTCACATATAACAACCACGATAATTTTGGAATTCCCCAACAGCCTTTGGTATTTATGATATTATTTAATGTCAACCTACGTTTTGCAATTGTGGGCGCTGGTTGATGCTGCAACAGAGTCTTCTTGGGACCGTGTATTCGGGTGATTGGCTGGCGTTCATCAGGGAGGTGTGCGCACTCCGTTCTTTCTCCCTTTCTCTCTCACTGATACCTAAGTAGGATCGCACAAACTCAGACTCAACATGCGTACCACCATCTCTATATACCACCAACTAGGTAAATAGATCGAGACGGTCGACTCAGCATATGCTATTACTCACACTGAACTACTACCTGCTAGGTATATGCGTGTGTTTCAAAGATACTGATGCGTGGTTTTCTGCAGCATTGCGGAAAGCAGATCGTGGTGGATGAAGCTTGGAGGCGAGGCTACGGTGAGTTTCTCTTTCCTTCTTTTCGCTTATAATTTTTTCCCTTCATGTGTCGATATCTTTCCTTCCAATCCCTCGACCTATCTACTCCTCATCCCTCAATCTCTCACTACTGTCTCGGTGCACCTAGTGGTCCAAGGCAACATACACATACGGCGAGGCGGTAGGCCAAGCTACGCTTGACGAGCACGCAGAAGCGAAGAAGCTGATGGAGCACGTCCAAGGGCTGAGGCAAAAAGTCGTGGGGAAGAGTATTCCTGTCGAGGTGTGTATTTCGTTTAAATTTACTTGCTTCTTGCATGCTTCCCCTGTCCCTTCCATCCATCCGTCTATCCATCTCCATCTCCACCCAGAACCCAACACTAACTAAACACATAGAAATTCGTCGCCCGCAAAGCCCATAAATACCTTCCAATCTGACAAACTTCTCCTCTCAGCCCTAGTGCTCGCCTACGTATTCCACGCGCTCACTTATGCGCCTAGGGAGGTTATTGCAAGAGAGGTGATTCCTGTTGTTGGTGTTGTTTTGGGGAATTGGGGTTGAGAAAGGAAAAGATCAGAAGCTGAAGTCACATAGTGGGTATTGGGATGACGGTCCCGTGTATTCAAGTCGGTCATCAATAATTAACACTTACCCCCTGAATAGCCCGGGTTTCCAATTATCGTCATAACTGCGGTGGCGATTGTGGAAACCAGCAAGACTGCAGTGAGAAAGAAACCTTCATTGATATTATCACACTCGCTGTCAGCCACGACGATTAGCCCTCATTCATCATTCGCCAATCTGCTTTTTGTGAGGATATGTGCTCCATAAGTATCGAAACATGGCTCGCTTGCATTTACCATGATCAGCTCACTCTTTCCCCAAAGCGCCGTGACTTCACAATTTCGTATGCCTGTGATGGGGTGGGAGGTGCGTTTGGTTGGCCTTGGTCTATCCATAAGTATTCAGTTGATACTGTGAGTGGCGGCGGATGGGTGCCAGTGGAATCTGGATGACGATCAGATTTTGTTCATCAATGTGCCCAACAAAGGCTAAGGTGAAATAGTATTATTGATGGAAGGCTTGAAAAATGCTCTCGTAATATTTGCGTAAACGCTTATGACTGCAATGAAAAATAGACTATGGTTCAAAAATGTCGACTTGCATTCTCCACTCCTGATACGTTCAATGAGATGGTTGACTTCGTGAGCCAGACAAACAGAAATGAACTCACAGACTTGATTGGCGGTTTGGTAATGATCGCTATCTTCTCCTCGTCCAGTACGATATTCAAAAGGGAGCCACGGGCCCGGCAAACATGGTCGCGGATCGCCTCCACATAAGGGAGGTATGTCGTCACCTGCACGTCCGACCAGTAACGTAGCGGTGACGTTGTAGGTTTGCTGGATACATTGTCAATGTTACATGCCACGACGGAGGGATTGAAGTCGGTCATGTGTAAATGGAACATTGAATCGATTCCGTATGCGACGGGATACGCCCATATAACACGGGATCCTCCAATGCCAAAAAAGCCCAGTCCTTCACTGCTGAACCCCTTTCCAGGGAAGAAACGAGAGTTTTGTGGACCCCAAGATGACCATGGGACTGAGTGGCTGTCTTCGGATGTCACATCGAACCACGTCGGAGGAATATCCATGAAAAATATCCGAGCGGATATGATAAAAACCGACCAAGGAGAGGCCCATGTCACCGATATGACTCGATCTGCAGGGTTTGTTATCCAAATCCAGTGGTCATCTGGTGCTGCGAGGCCCGCACAACTTGTGGCGCTATGAAATATCGATGGGTGATCAAAGGTGCCGTGCTTGCCATGGACGGGCATCATAAATTTTGCATGAAGCCGTGGTGCCTTTGATGGGTCCTCAATGTCGTAAAGATGTATCTGACCATCCCTCGAGAGAGCTATAAGCTTTTCCTTGGCAAGAAAACGGATGTCCAACAACGCATAGCCGTCGTCGATCGCACGTAAGTCCTGTTAAATGCTCAGATCAAACCCACAAAGTGAAAGACAGAAGCAGACGCCTACGTCAGCTTGACCACATTGTTCAAGTTTCCAATTTAAGACGTGCAGCGACCAGTACACATGTTTGTTGTTAGACCTAGAAACATAAACTGCGATGCGATTGTCGAGGACAGCAACGGAAACATTGATTGCCCAGCAATCGTCAGCGGCTCTACCATTCACTACCCGGGATCCATGGGACAAGGGATGTTCTTCCCCCGTGGATATCGTACAGAACGATATTCGGAACCTCAAGCTATCTGTATCCGCATCGATCAAAAGTCTAATGATGACTTCCAGGTCTTGGAGCTGGTCCATGTACCGGTATGTGAGAGGAAATCGATCGTCACCCATCCAGTATTGAGCAGAACACGTTGTGTAGGTCTTGAAATCCACAGCGTCGCCCGCAGCATCGAAAGTGATGGATGGGTTAAAAGATAAAATGTTTCCATGGACAATCGAGTTGGATTTGTACAAGGTTGTAAAACGAGACGAATCCGAGGCATTGAGCCTGAATGTGTTCCACGCGTTTGCCTTGTTTCTGATGATACGCAAGCATTCCGGAAAAGAGACAGTAGACGGTCGCGGATGTACCTCAATCAAACCTTGAGAACCGAGTTCGATTATGTACTGTAGCTCGGCAGAGCAATTGACCGTGTTGTACATTGTAAGGCAGGTCTGTATTGGGCAGATGAATACATTCATTGTATAACACGAAGGACAGGGATGAATGAATGACTCACCGAAGCACATCGTATGATTTCGTTATATGAAAGGAAACTGAGGATATGGCAGCACAATTCCTCTGGCATATCTTTGAAGGTAGCCCCTCCAGAGGGCATTTGTTCACGACAAACAGGACCTCCTATATCCACGATAGAGGACAAAGGGGTGTCAACGTCTGGCGGGTGATGTTCTGACACAGGTGGGGTAGGAGGAAGTGTATGAGGGACCAATGGCATGGGCCCCCTGCTTGGACAACTGTCGCTATTAACACGACACTCAATTCGAGTCTAAAGAGGATGAGAATTTGGCTGCGGCCACCAAAATTTGACGAATCACCTTTTTTCTATCACGCAGCTTTTCTGCGCAACTCAACAATGAGTTAACAATTATCTTGATGAAGTTACAGAGCACAGTCAAATAATAATACATTGATGAAATGTGGATCTTAGCTGAGCGCTGGGTTGAGTGATGGGGGTTGGTTGAAAGGAATTGACAACAGGGGCGAATCCCTGATTTGTCTGTGGCTGTGCCCCGAAGAGATGAGGACATACGGAAGATGAAGAGAACCAATATTGTGCAAGCAGATTGAGATTGACCATGCGTGAAATTGTCCCAACAGGAGCCATAATCGTGGTATATGCTAGTTCAATGTCAATGCTAATGATGACGATGACGATGATAAGAAAGAGAGTCGAAAAAATGAATAGAGAATGAGATTGAAAAAGAGTAAGAAAGAAAGTCGAAGTCGGATTCGAAAAAGACTAATGCAAAATCCGCGCACCGTATGCAAGCATATGCATCAGCGTCTTCAACCAAGAAAGAAAGAAAGGAAGGAAGGAAGGAAAAAAAAGGAAGAAAAAAACGTTCGAGCGCTATCATAGAATTAAAAAGGAAAGTCATAGTACCAAGGAGCGACTAGCTGGAACGTCTCAATAATTAAATATGCAAGTGAAAATCAAAAATGGATGGAACGTCATGAAATCATCGTACGACGTGTTATCGGGAGCTCTTCCAGCTCGATGGAGGAGCAGCTTTTCGTCCAGGACTCCTACCAGGCGTCTGCGGCTGCAAATTCGACGGCTGAGAAGCACCCGTCTTGGCGCGGGGCCTCGGGCCTCCTCCATAAGCACTCGCAGCACTGTTTTGGGCACCGTATGCAGCGGGCGCATAGCTCGAACGGGAGGACATGGATGGACCAAACGACTCCCCGTACACGCTTCTCGACCCTCCTCCAAACTCACTCTGCGTACTGCTGATCCGGCCAGGGAACATCACGGGGCCTGCGGACCACTGATTCGGCATCATACCAGGCATGTTCATCCCAGGGACGCTGAGCATACCCATCCCGCCCCCACCTCCCATCCCGCTATACACAGAACCTCCACCCCCTCCATATACAGACCCACCGCCGACGTTGGACCCTCGTTCCCATTCGTCTCCGGCCATTGCCATCGCATGTTGAGCCACTGCCATTTGGTACGCTTGCTTCGCGATCATCATTGCGTGCTGGTGGGCGGCGAAGAAGTTCTGGTCCGGGCCGAACTGAGGAGCAATCATAGGTCCCATACCCGTCTGCATGGGCTGCTGCCACTGCCCCCACGCAGGAGCGTTCATCCCTGGCATCGTCTGATCCATGCCCATCATAGGATTAATGCTCATCCGCTGTCCACGCTGAGGCACAAGATCATCGTCAGAACCATTATGCACGATGGGTCCACGACCATTGACGATTTTCCCGAGCTACAACCAGATATCAGGACATCGAACAGGGGTAGCAGAAACAAGAACACAAACCTCAATAGCAGCCTTCGCTTCAGTCCGTCTCCTCTCATTCCGCCTCCCCTCATCATCAGCATCATTCTTAACCCTCTCCCGCCCACGCGGCGGATCATCCTCAAAGCTCACAGTCGACCGCTTCGCATTCGCACCGCGCGCCTTGAGCGTCAAATCCGCCTCGCTTCCATCCCTCCGTCCAGTTTGCACCCCGATGTCACTACCATCACGGGGAGTAAACGGCGCACGACCGCTGCTCGAATCGCCTGTTGAGCTGCCAGCGGGACTCTCGCCTCGTAAAGAGCTATTACTTGCGAATGGCCGGGAGGGCATCAGTGATTGCGATTGCGGTCTGGACGACTGTGGTGCCGCGGGCATGCCAGGCCTTGAAGAAGGCACGAGGGAGACAAGCGTGCCTGACGGCGGCCGAGACATTCTGCTCTCCAACACACTCGGCGTCGAAGGAGGGCGGGTCTTGTATAAATCCTTCGAAGACCCCCAACTGGCTTTCACGGAAGGTGAATCGGGCACAGCGTTGATGAGAGGGACAGGTGGGACACGAGAAGAGCGGGAAGATCGAGAGGTTGAGACGACGGATGAAGCATCTGACTTGTCATTTGATGGTACATTGGGCTGTTGAGATACAGTAGCTGCTCGATAACGAGGAGCGAATGCAGACTTGAGGGACTTGATAGGAGAAGGAGATCGTTGTGGAGAAGCAGACTTTTTGGAGACGGCGGAGAACGTTGTCGTAGGTGAGGCTGGTGATGCTGCCTGAGAGAGATCAGTGCTATATCGACGCGGGGGGCGTGAGGTGACGCTGAAAGATGCTGGAGGTTTATACTCTCGAACAGGTGTTGGCACGATACGGTCGTCACGAGGAGATTCTGGCTTGTCGGCAGCATTTGCTACACGTTCGACAGCAGGTGGAGCAATGTTCAGGGGCGGCACTTGTTGGGAAGGTCGCGTAGGCGACTGTGAGGTATCTCGTGATTGATCAAAGGAAGTAACGAGTCTGATGGCGTCCATCAAATCATCATCAACCGAGATCGGTGAGGTGGACGCCCGAGGGACGTGCCCAATATCACTGATTGACCTCTTATGACGAATAGGAGGGGGAATCTTGGGAGCTGGGCTTGTGGGCTCGTGGGGAGTTACAGGAGCAGGATTCTCCGCCAGGCGGCTCGGCGTTAAGCTGATAACGGGGGGAGGAGCAAAGGGCTCGTCCCTATCCACCTCACGTTCCTTACCCTTTCTAGACGGCACCTTCACTGAATGCTCGTGCCTCAGGACAGGCGTGAGCACAGGAGGACTTCCGACGAGTGATTTGATATCAATCAGGGGCTTGGCGGGCATACGAGGCCGTGAGGCAGCGGATCTGGTGGTGGATATGGATGCAGAGCTTCCCGGTCTGCGTGGTGCAACGAGTGCAGACAAAGGCATGTCTTCAGAATCAGTATCAGAATCCGACGAAGTATCAGAGTCGTCATTTTTCGCCGCTCTCTGTGACACAGGCGATGGCAAAGGTTTCTCCGAGGCTAAAAAGTATGTCAGGAACAGAAGGACAATTATAACTCGGATACCTGCCTGATGATGCGGAGGAAGCGTTTGCAGCAGCTAAAGTCGACGCACGACGGGCAGCAGCATTTGGCGTGAGAGCACTAGTGGAGGCAGATGCCCTTGCTCGCACAGAAGCTGGGCTATCAGGTTGTCGTAGCTGTACATTGTCCGATTTCGACCATCTCGGTGGATCTGGCCGTTGAATCTGAGAACTCGATACAGCAGCATGTCCCGCATCAGACCGCGAGCGCGGACCAGGGCGACGAGTCACGGTGCGCTTGCGACTAGGCTTGATAGGCACACCATCACTATCCACTTCTTCATTGTCTTCGTCGGACTCATCCGACTCCGAAGTACTAGTGTCTACGGCGGATGAATTTCGGTTAATCAGAATTGACAGCGGAGGCGCAGTAGAATTGCGATTAGATGGTAGGTGGTATTCACTTCCCGTAGGCGTTGAAACCGTAGAAGCCCGTTGTCTGGATACATTTTCAACGCGGAGGGTATCGAGGAAAGAAGGGGGTCGCAATGAAGGTGCAGGTGAACCTGCACGGCTCCTGCGAGCTTGTGCTTCACGAAACGCTGCGACTGATATCCTCTGGGAGGAATCTGAAGCAACACTGTCCCCGCGCGGGCGTGGCCGGGCAGGAGGAAGGGGAAGTTCGGTATCAGGAATATCAGCCGCTGGAGGAGTGGGGGACTCGGAACGAACGTGGCGGAAAGCTTTCAAGTTAAAACTGTCCTTCGGGTGGGGACTGGGAGTGGGAGGAGCTGCAAGAGTTGCTGGTGGTGGGGCAGGTTTCGATTTAGTACGCTCTCTAGCCCAGGAGAACAAGCCGCCTTGTTTTTTCAAGTTAGGTGGCGTCGTCGACGAAGACGGGGGTGCGCTGTGTATCTCGTTCCGAGCGATAGCGGAAGGGGTATGTAGGCGAGATTGACGGCGCGTGTTTTCACCGGGAAGCGAAAGTGTGGAATTAACGCTGGGGTCGTGGTATACTCCAAAGAAGGACGGTTTTGGTGGTGAAGGGGGGAGGTCATGTCCTGAATCAGAGACGACGCCGGATATGTGGGCCCGCGGGGGACTATCGTTGAGAGAAAATACGCCTTGGGAGGTGCCTGTGACATGTGGCTGATGTACATGTCTCCGACGGAAGGGCAATTTGAGCTTGCTCGATGATGCTGCTTGTGGACCGGTATAAATTGTTGGCGGTAGAGACTTTAAAGACTTGTCTGGAAAGACATAATCTGGTTCTGAGGATACGACTGTGCTAGAGATGGAGGCTGTAGAAGTCGGTGTGGTTGGTACGGTTAAATTGGAAGGTGGGCTGCGAGCACCAGATTGCCTATCTCGTTTAGCAAATATTCCGGCAAGCAATGGCATGAAGAAGGTGAAAGACGTTAGCAGAAGAAAGCCAGTCCGATGAATGAAAGAGAGGGCAAGAAATGAAAGGGTCGATGGCTCGCGATGTCGGGTATGGACAAGTAACAGGGTTTGTTTGTCTTTGTTTAATTCTTTCCCCATTTAGGATCAAAGTAAAATTGGAAGCGACACCGGTGACGACGAGCACAGGGACACCGATTTACCCGAAACCGCCTAGACTTATCGCCTTGCATACGCCTGATCAATGTTTCGTTGAATTGACCAACGTTTCAAAACCTACGAATCAAAAAAAAAATGGATTCAGCTACTGCTGGCCATGACGAAGCCCAGCAGATCCTCCCCGGTCACTCCTCCCCGCATTCATTTCCAATGGATCCCAATAGCGCTCTTGATTCACCTGGTATACACTTAGGAACCTCGATGCGTAGCCGCGGTAGAAGAGAACACGCGAAGTGGTCGTTTTTTTGATATGACTCGCGATTACAGCTTTCCATCGAGACACGTTGCTTCCCATGCCGGCGGACTTCCTTTCACACTAGTGGGATTCCTCTTCGTGGCGTCCGCCTCGCGCGAAGTGCATGCCAGGTAAAGTGTATCATAAATGCTGTAACTTATACAATTCATATTATAACAAGTCGATCCCATCGTTTCATACAATTGATTGTCTCCACCTAAGCAACGACTTCGCATCCTGTCCATCCCGTCACGTACGACCCCATCAATTTCTATCACGGAACAGTCAGTGAGATACTCCACATCAAACACGAGTTACTCACGTGTAGACTCAACCCATCCACGCCCGTGGAATGCCCAACCTTCTTCCCGTCCTTGAACACCATATATGTAGGCACCTTTATTATTCCTCGGTTTCAATTGGCTCCACAAAAGCATCGTGTTAAAAATACATACAACGCGCACATCAGCCTCCAACACCACATCCTCCAGTTCATCCACGTTCACGCGATAGAAATCCACGCCGATGCGAACAAACGTGTCAGAGAGCTCGGAGAACCGCTGAGAGGTCGACCGACACCATCCACTCCAGTCTGCGTGGAAATCTATCACCACAGTTTTACCGCTGTTGATCTGGGAGCGGCGGCGTGACTATGAGCAAGACATTTTCATCAAATGGGGGCACTCACGATTCTGGTAAAATCCTGAGCATCGTCGATGGGGTTGAAAGGCATTGCGACCTTAGTCCAAGTGTAACGAAATTTAGTATATATAATACGAAGATGAGTGAAACAAGGGTCTGACAAAATTTTGACGTGAAAACAAAGAACAATGGGTTGAAGAAAGTACAAAGTGGATGTCAGAGGATGTCTATGTCAAGCGATTGGAATCCATGTTGTGTTGTGATGAACTTCATTTCAGCTACATGCAGCAGCATGACGTGCCCGTGACGTCGATGCCCCAGGTGGGCCATGAATATTGTGGCTGACGGTCTCCCCCCTGCAGGGCTTGCAATGCGACAAGTGAATTGATTGACCCAACTCCACTAGTACCTAGTCTAAATATTGTGATAAGATAACTTCGCGCGGCACCGCACGTATCACTTAAAGTTACGCAGAAGCCTGGATCTCAGAAACAAAAGCCTAGAAAACCCTCTCAGTAATCACAATGGCAAAAAAGCCTGATAACAACACGCACAGCAAGATCAACTTGAGACCCCTTCTGAGACCCGATCTTCTTGCCATCACTCAGGGCCACAAAGTGCGGTATCTGATAAGTACAAGATCACAATGAGCGCCCATTGTTTATATTCTGTCAGATATTACTCACAGACACGATTTTCAGCTCGTTCGCAACTGGGACCGTCCAATGGTTTGGGTCTTCCATCATGAGCTCTACCTTTGCGAAGACGATGTTCTCATCTGTGTTGGATTCGGCGAGTTTTTGGAAGCGGGGAGCTATGGCTTTGCATGGGCCACACCAGTCGGCCCAGAAATCGATGATGGCTTTCTTTCCTGGGCTGTTGATCTGTGAGATGATGTTAATAGGATGTGCATGGATGTATATGCGGAGAACTTACGAGTTCTTGGTACTGCTCAGCAGTTTCGATAACGGTGACCGACATGTTAGATGAGTAGAGAGGTTAGGTGGGAGTGTTGGATCAACTTTATATACCGTGACTGCCTAATAATACTATGAGAGACTACGAAAGACTCTGAGAGACTATATGGGATATGGATATGGGATATGTTATGAACTCGATTGATCTCTTTGATCAGGAACTCGACCCAAATCAGCGGATATGTGGATAATGAACCTGTCGCGACTGATATTACCGATGATGCATCGATGATGAGTTGATCGATACTCGATCAATACTGATGGTATCCCTTGGGTATCGAGGTCAAATCGTAGGAGGGGATCATTGCAAGAAAGGTCACTACCAGGCGATTTGAACCCCAAGTGACTGCTGGAATAAGTGTACTACGGTACCGGTGATCACGGTGAAGGTGGTCGTCAAGAAGAAGCTTGGCTAATTGAATTGCCTTTTTAGGTCGAATGGTGCAATGTCTATCATTGCTGTGTTGGACGTCGTCGAGAATGTCAAGTCCGCAGTAGGTAGCGCCTACGTCGTCGAGCTCAACAACCATCAATTACAACCTGTTCCGACGAGTCGGAGACAGACCCTAACCTTTTAGACCATGGCCCCAAATTTTTTCTCAAAGCTTGTCAGGCCTACGCCTTCATCTCCGAGCGGAAGAGAGAATACGACTGCTTCACCTCGTCCATCCATTCCAGCGCGCCCACACTCCCAATCATTATCATACACTCCTTCATCTCTTCTAGACCTAGCTAGTGACAACTCAAGCACAAAGGGCAGTGTCAAAATTGGTATAATTCCGCCATCCCCTCGCTCAGCCCTTTCTGTTTTTCCTGATTCGACCTCACAAGACCACCCTCATTCTGACACATCTCAACACCGACGTGCCCGCTCCCAGGAGAGGATGGTCGCAGATAGACATGCTGTGTCCTTCGCTGCTCGTCCAATGGCGAGCGACACCTCTTTGTCCTCCGATGACGTACTTCCAACTCCAACCCCCTCTCGTTCTCGTCCCGAAGAATGGAAGAAGACCAGCGCAGACAGCTCACCCAGACCCTTCCACCAACTCTCACCTGCATCATCCACTGGAAACTTGAAAGCCTTCGTAGACAAGCGTAGCACTACTGTTCCTCCAAACGCCCACAAGGTAGTCGAAAGAGCTCCCTCAAAACAGTCACTGCGCAGTAGAACCCAGCCCCCTGCTCCACTTGAATTTGATCACCCCCAGCATGACAGCTCTCGCCCCGATACGTCCCGGCGAGCTGGCCGCCACGAGCACAATGCCGTCATAATTGAAAAAGGCCTCGTGGACTCGCCCACCGCAATAAGCCATTCCCGAAAAAGCTCCCATCCACAGGAGCTTTTACCTACCCTCACCGACCCCGACGCTAGATCAATCCGCTCCGTTACCAGCTCAGACTCAAAGAAGAAAAAAGGTTGGCGTCGTCCTTCACTCACTACTCCCACTCGTAAACAATCCGGCATTGCTTCTGCTATAGTCGCCTCTGGCCTCGCCATGACCAATGCTGGTCCTCAAATGTCCCCTGTTCCTCCAATTCCAATTTCGGCGTCAAAGGTTACCAGTGGAACGGTCAGATCAAATGGGTCTGCTCGTTCTGCGGTGCGGCATGCCGCTTCCTCATCCATGACATCTGTGCCCGGTTCTGTCGATGCCAGCTCCACCACAAGATACGTTTCATCCAGTCGCGATGACTTTTCAGACGGTCAGACAGACACGTTTGCTTCTAGCGAAGACAGCGAGGCGTCGGACGATGAACTTGATATAAATGAGGATATTCCTGTCACGGGTTTTGCCGTTGCAAGCAGCAAGCGTAATGCAGATTTCCACGAGCTGTTTCCTAGTATCCCCGAAGGCGATTATCTCATCGAAGGTTCGTCATTTCGTCATAACTCATCAAAAGCATCTGCCTTATGTCTTCTAGATTATGGATGCGCATTGCAGCGTGAAATTCTCATTCAAGGGCGGATATACATCTCAGAGAACCATATTTGTTTCCACGCCAACATCTTTGGATGGATCACCGACGTACGTTCCGCGTGCCTATCTAGACTCACAGACTAAGCCATACCCCCACAGTTGTCAATCCCAATATACGAAATCACCGCTTTGGAGAAGAAGATGACGGCATTCGTCATTCCCAACGCCATCCAAATAACTACCCGACAGGCAAAATACACCTTCGCCTCGTTCCTCTCCCGTGACACGACGTATGACGTCATCGCAAATATCTGGCGTCTCGCTCGCCCTGAAGAAGCTTTCACCGATAGTCACACGGGCTCGTCTGGCAATATCGTATCGCCTGCTAGTACTTCTGATGTTTCAGGTCCTGTGGTCATAAGTGGAGGCAAAGAAGTCGCTCCGGTAACCCGCACCAACAAAGTCACGGCCTGCGCATGCTCGAAAAGTGGAGGGCACCTTAATGAGATTGCGCTGGAAACTGTGTTGCCTGGGACCCCCGACAAGATTTATAACTTGATGTTTGCGAGTGGGTTCATCAAGGATTTCATGCGTGTGGATCAGAAACTCATGGGTGGGTGACGTCTCGCTCTACTGAATCAGTGCTGATGCTCCCCCTTTAGATGTTCAGATATCGGATTGGTCACCCACAGGCGATAACTTGAAGCTTTTGGCGAGGAACATGTCGTATATCAAGCCCCTGAACAATAGTGTAGGCCCGAAGCAAACAAAATGCGAGATCCACGACGAAACATTGACCTGCGACTTTGATGACTACGTCGTGATGCTGACGACGACGAAGACGCCTGACGTGCCCAGCGGAGGCGTGTTCCTTGTGAAGACGAGGACGTGCATAATGTGGGCAAGCTCTATTTCCACGCGGGTCATCGTCAGCACGCAGGTAGATTGGACTGGGAGAAGTTTCATCAAAGGTGTGCTTGAGTTGGTCTCTACTCCATAAAGTCTTATGCTCACGATGTGATACTCAGGTCTCATCGAAAAATCTGCGATAGATGGTCAAAAAGTATACCACTCCGACCTTGACAAGGCCATGCGGATGTACATCCAAGAACACCAATCTGAATTCATCCCTGCAGGGGTAGACCCAACAGCCGTAGCACCCGTCGAGCCTCTCAGCCCCGTCATGGAGCTTAACAGCGTCAACCTCCTCAGTCGCTCCTTGGGCATCTCAGACGAAGAAGCCCGTAGAGCGCGCGAACACGAACGGAACAGACGCGGGCTCCAATGGGCGTACGATACGTTCGACGGAGCCTACGGCGTTGCGAAGCGCTCTACGTTTGGAGCGCTTGAGCTCGTCAAGGAAGCTTGGGAGCAGAGTTCGTCGATGACGATTTTATATTTCGTTATTGTTATTCTTGTGTTTAGTAATCTTTGGACGTTGATGCTTGTGGGGCAGAGGGAGGAGGCGGGGAGGAGGAAGGAGGCGAGGAAGACTGAGGAGAGGGAGAAGTGGGTGCAGGATGTTGTTACGGGGCTTTGGGAGGAGATGTCTGTTGGGAGGGCGAGGGGGCCTTCTGGTGGCGTTTTTGGGGCTGGGGTTGGTGGTGGTGGTGGTGGTGGTGGGTCGGGTCCTGTGGGTGGTGATTGGAGGTCGGAGGTGGATGCTATCACTACGACGCTGAATGCTGTTGAGGAGCGGGTCAGACTCATACGAGAGAGTCTGGACACGCTGAATTGACTTATTGGAGCTCCTCCTATGTACATACTATTATCTTATTTTAGGGCACGGGTTAAATGCTATCAGATCGTGATATGCGCTTCAGGAGTACTGTCCAGCTAGCGCTTAATTTGGTTACCGTCTGACTTAGTTTGTTTGGCAAAAGCTTTCGATCCAAACAACCCAAACTTCAAAACATCACACAATTCACCCGGCCTAACTATCTTGATCATTCGATTTTCAACATCAAGGTTCTTTGAGCGCCTGCCAGTCGTTTGTCCCCCACTTCAGTACCGCAGACATACATTATGGGAACTGTAGTATATATAAGCCATACTCTAGTAAGCACGACAAGCGCATCTTAATTTCTCTCCCAAATGATACGCCGACCATCGAGGAAGCTATGTCTTCTGAATACGCTGTCCACTGAAGATGCTCCACGGGGTCCTACCGCAATCCAAAAGACCAACTCAGAAATCGCTGCGCCCACTACAACCAGCATGTGGGAAGTACTTGAATCCTTTGTCATGATGGACTGCTGTGTAACAACTTGAAGAACATCTCTGAAACAAGGTGGCGAAATCACGAACAGTTCAAATTTACCCTTTTTCATCTTTTGCGGTGTTCAAGTGTTCCGCCCGTACTAGTACGCGCGCAAACGAATTTGATTTATGTACGCTGCCCCACATCTTTATGTGAATCAATTTGCCTGATTATCGATTAAGCACAGCCGTGTTCCAATCCATGTCCCTACGCTCGAGATATGTACTTGGAGGGAGGTATTGCTAGCCTGGGTAGGTGGATCTCACCTACTATTTCTAACGGCTGACTTTTCTAGTCTGGCATCCAGCATGTGAGAATGGCATCAAAACAAACTTAGGTGACAAAATCACGAACAGTTCTAAATTTTCTTTCATCTTTTGCGGTGCTCAAGTTCCGCCCGTGCAAATTTGTTATGACCAACTTGTTCTACGTACGTTGAGCCCCACATCTTTAAATCATTATTTATTCGCTGATTAAGTACAGGCTGGAAACACTGGCTATTAGGATGAAGATCAACAATATAAGAGATCTACTAGTACCTGTAGTGAACGACCTCGATAGAAGGGAAGACACTGCCGCACTGTTCTGCCGTTGGCGCGGGGTGCGGTGATCGCTGGCATCGAACCTTAAGCTTCAGTACCTGATCACTTTCGCATCACCGGCATTTTATTCAAGGCCCGCTACATCACTTCGAACATGATATCATATCCATTGGCAGGAACATATTTCATCTCTCGATCTCATTTCGGTCATCCAAGCGCTGGATGGTAGTATATCTAGCACGAATATCATCATTGTATGTCCACCAGGTTCCCCGCTCCCTCACATCCATTCTCTAACAGTATGACACTAGTCTCAGACGACCCTAGGTATTGGCCACTCATCAACGCTCGGCGTATTGCCAGCTATTTTACAGGTTCGTGAAGAGCAGTCAGATTTCGGCGCTCATGTCTCAATCTGACCTTGATTGTGGTTTTCCAGTTGCCGCCTTTGTTGCAGTGACATATGATTGGGGTGAGCATGATAACATTAGAGAATTGCTGATTTCCTACATGTATTTCCAGCGCTTTCGTTAGGACAAGAGGTACGTTGATGCTATGACCGGAGCAGCCATCTCGCTAATATTTGTTTGTAGGTCGAACTGGTGTGGGTGAGCACAGTTCCACGTCAGAAGAACAATATTAATTTGCGACAGAGACAACGTTGGTCCCTCATGACCGTTCTCTATCTGAGTGTACGTAGCTTGCCTGTTGTGAATGTCTGCTGACTTGACAATATCCTAGGTGCGCTATCTTGGAATTTTTTATACTGTGTATGCTCAGAAGCCTTGACAATTGGTGTCGTGCTAATCTGCTATCTCTCGCACTCAGCCTGAACATACTGCGTATGTCTTCTCGCATTCACAGTGTTTGTTTTTTCTCACCAGTGGCATACAGTCAATCTTCCTGTGATTTTTGTGACAGATTCAGTGAGTCCTCTGCACCGATGCCTGCTATTCTCATTCAATTAACCGCGACACCCTGTAGGGGTGAGTGTCATATTGACCAGCTTCTTTGTTTACTATCATGACTGCTACAGATGTGAGTCTGTTTGTAGTGTGTGATCCACCCAAGACCCATCACTAACCGGATTTCTCAGGCCGGATTCTGTACCTCGTGGGGAATTGGACGAGTGTTGTAGCATTTCCAATGCTGTGTGGTGAGTTGTGCAGTTGCAAGACCCATGATATTGACTTGACCGAAACATGTTGCAGTCATCATGATCACTCGGTTACATGCCATGTATCAACGATCCGCAAGGATCCTGATATTTCTCGTCGTCGTGGGCTTTGCTTTCAACATTTTCGACATAGTGGGCATTGCAATGTCAACGAGCTATACTTCAGGGGGTACACTTAATTGTGAATGAAAAACGTGCATAGGGCTCATTGATGAATACCAGAGGAACTCATTCTCTCTGGTACCTTTGCGTGCACGATTGGCTATGGGGACAATTCTGCGGACAATTCCCTTCTGGCTTCCATGACTTGGATACTCGGCACTGTCTGGGAGGTCCTCGCGCTGTGTCTCGCAGTCTGGATTGCTGTAAAACACTTCCGTGAGCTGCGACAACATTCGGCAGGAGGGATTATCGGGGACTGTTTCACGGTGTTGATCAAATCCCACGTGGTCTACTTTGCGAGGTGAGCTCATATTGTGAATATGGCTCCCTTTTCCGCTGAATGATTGAACGTGCTAGTTTTGTCGCCATGTCTTGCTTCATCTTCATTTTTGATTTTTCTCCAACGATCTTACTGGTATGGCAATCTTTCACTGACCTCTGCATGCGACCGCCGTTCATCATTACTATAGGACATATCTTTCCTGGACGGTCAGATTCTTCGTGGTTTGAGTGATATTTTGGGAGCCATACAGTCCTGTGTGCTGGGACCACGCCTCATCCTAAGTGTTCGAGAATATAATGCTCGACTCATAGCAGACTCTGATGCAGCAACCGGCATGACGTCAATCGTTTTCCAGGAGCGCGTGCAAATATCGACAGGCAATGGCGTGTAGCATGGGAGATGCTCAACGGAGTTAATGGTAGTCTGGTGCTCTGCAGGGAGCAGGACAATTGGCTTTTTCTTGATTTTCAAGTTTCGTCGTGGTACTTATTTATTTGGTGTTGGGGCCAAATCATGTAAAACTAGTTTGCTGCTGTCTTCTAGATGAGATTCCTCTTCCAAGCAGCCTTGATGGGGTGTCGTAGCCTGTTTGAAAGCAGCACTGACGCACGAGTCCAAGGGCAGGGGTATTGAAAATGACGCATTCCAAAAATGACAATAACAAGACCGATTATTGGGATGCAATACGATTGAAATCCTAAGCAAAACAGTGATGCAAGTAATGACAGAAAGACGCAATCAATTAGAAAACGTAAGGCGAGCACCCGACCCAGTCCATATGTAATGGAGCAAAACAACCGGTTGCGATTCTAGTTCGTGAACCATCCTTGTCTTTTCTGAATCACACCAAACAGAAACAGCCATGAGCGCAGCCAGTCGTTTGACCCCCGTTCCGCATCTTGTGCTTCTACCCATGCAGTCGCTGAACACCCGTTCAAAACCATGCCGCTCCGTACCTAGAATTCCCTAGGCCAGCCCCAACGCACTGACGTACACAGAATGAACTTGATTCAATGCCACACAAAACAGACTCAGTGAAGAGGACTCGCTTTGCAGGGATATTTCCGGGAAGCACAAACTCGCTGGCAAACCTGGCTCCGGGGACCATCAACTGACCGTGACCATGGACGCGTCGTTCTCTAGCGCGTCGGGGCGTTTCAGCGGCATTCAACGCCCTGATATGCAAGCTCTAGCCCCCCCTCGCATCGCTCTCCATTCCGTGGCAGAGGCTTGCCTTTCATTCTACCATCCAATCCAGGCATATCCTTTTCTCGGCCCACGTTTCCTATGCCCAAATCTGCATCCTACAGAAAAGATTTGAATATTTCCGGTCTCAAAGACGCGCATATATTCACTGCAGGCGTCATATCTGATTTGATCCCCACTTTTCGTATCATTGCTGCATCTGTCCCCAAGATACGGGTCTATTCAAGACGGCGAACGCGATAACGGACACACATTCAGCTCTAACAAATCTTTTGTGGCCAAATCGCAGCCTCTACAACTCCTCGAGAGAATCCACGACGACCTCGAGCCAGAGGCAGCAAACGAGGTTGAAGCACTATTCGATACCCGCAGGACAAATGTAACCGCTCATGATGCTCATCCCATGTTGTACAGGGTGAAGCGCACCATCTAAGGCTCTCAAGTGGATGAGGTCGAATACATGCATAGAGTCAAACGGATTACTAACGCACGCAAAGTTGATAGCGCACAGGATGCTGGAGTTTCCTTCCACGGAACTCTAAAAATAATGTGATTTACTTACTTTCTATTAACGAATATTAACGAGTAACTGCGCAGTCGCGTCACACCATCTCAAGACGCAATTATTTAGGACGTTCAAAGTTGTGTTTTGGAGGCTTTGATTACCCTGTCGGAAAACGATGAAAACTGTTTTCACTCACCTTTCTTAACTTCTAGGTTCCCCATGGATAAATCAGCATTGGCATGTGCACACACGCACCAGACAGTGTCTGGTGTGTTCAGGACACTCGTCGACTGAAATCTAGACCGGTGGAACTTCGTACACCACCATTTGGTCTGCAGTGCTGCAGTACAAGACACCAAGGTGCTGAGTAAGCCTCTATACCAGCAATGTGAAGTCCTAATTTAAATGCACCATGCAGAGTCCAGGGTCCTGAGCATGTCCAGCGATAAGCAAGCTCCGCGCACAGCTCAGAACATCACGGCCCATTTTCTAGTGCCCGTACAACAAAAACGGTTCAACTTAAAAGCTGATTAATATATTAGCGCGTACCTTATCAAGATTTGGGACTTTTGGCGATGGGCCTACAAATTGGGCCACGGCTGATACCCCGTTTACCCTCCTACCCCGCGAACTCCTTCCCTCCTCATCCTACACGCACACAGTTCTGCCCGTTCGTTACGGTGATCCCCCCTAAGCGATGTTCTACAACCTCACGGATTACATCTCCAAGGACCAAACGTATGCCGCTTTTTGTGGTGGGTTCGGGGATGTCTGGAAATGTACCTTGCACATTCCAAATACGAAGAAAATCAAAGTTCGTTTGCAGTATTCTCTTTCTCTGTTTGTCTAAAATGCGCAGGTTGCAGTAAAAGCATTGCGGGGGTGCATGTCCGATGCACCCGATGTGGTGAAGAAAAAGAACACGGTGACTGACCAGACGACGGACTGCGTACGACTATTGCTTATGCCATACTTCATAGAGGATAGCGCATGAACTCAAAATATGCGCCAACCTCAGTCATCTAAACATTCTGCCCGTTTATGGTGTTACAGATGGCTTCAGCCCACATATAGCGATAGTGAGTCGTTGGGCGGAGAATGGTAACCTGACGGCCTATTTGGGTGTGAGTGGGGACCTGACTCTCGTTAGACGATTTCAGATGGTAAGTGCGCCCATGCATTTATGCAGACCACCAACTGATGGCAAACTTAGCTTAGAGATATCATAGCTGGTCTGCGATATCGTACGTTCTAGTTACATTGGTGCTAGATCTGGTGTCGTAACCTATCCCTCATAGTGCATGCAAACAAAATCATCCATGGGGACCTCACTGGGGTGAGTTCGACCCTTCTTGATAGTTTTAATTTCATTGAGACGTGAGCTCCAGCCTAATGTACTCATTTATGCTGATGGCACCGCGTGTCTTGCCGACTTCGGTCTTTCCTTGATGTATTCCGATGTTATAAGCCCCTCTCAGGCTTCCTGGACGTCCACGTTCAAAGGGAACATGCGGTGGATGGCTCCTGAGCGGCTTTTAGGTAATGTGGATGGATCTGTGGTGAAGCCAACCGAGCAGAGCGACGTCTTTTCATTCGGCGGTATCATGTTGCAGGTACGTCTAGGTTAATTCCAACTTCTTGATGATATCATGAGCTCCATTTTAGGTCCTCACCAACGACGTTCCCTATTATTACATCAATGGTCCCGCTATCCAGTCACTGATAATCCAGTCGAAAACGCCTTCCCGATCTCAATATTCTCTCAATGAAAAGTACTGGTCGCTTATCGAGCCGTGTTGGTCTACTAGACCTTGGGACCGTCCCTCGCCAGCGGCAATTGACGGCGCAATCAGGAATGAATTATTGGCTCTCCATGCTACTACCAGAACGTAGGCTCACCCCTGTATTTCTCTTGTATATAGTGTATAATCACTGTACCAGTATAGCGCGCACTGGGCCGGGCCCGGAAGGCAACTACATAGCACTATATACGTCAATGTAGCGTAAAGCTAGGCTCGTGACCAGCCTGGCGTATACTACCACGGATACTCGAGTGGTGTAGCCCCTTCATGGGGCGTCGTAGCCTGTTTGAAAGCATCACTGATACATACGTCCAAGAGCAGGGGTATTGAAAATGACGCATTCCAAAAATGACAATAACAAACTTGTAGCAAGCCGACCGATTATTGGGATGCAATACGATTGAAATCCTAAGCAAAACAGTGATGCAAGTAATGACAGAAAGACGCAATCAATTAGAAAACGTAAGGCGAGCACCCGACCCAGTCCATATGTAATGGAGCAAAACAACCGGTTGCGATTCTAGTTCGCGAACCATCCTTGATGAACTGGTATAAAAAAGGAGTATGGAAAAAAAGGAAAGTGCTAGTAAGTAATTGTGAGGCAATGCATAGTGATAATGAGTCTTGAGATGAAGGATACAAGATTATTGTTTGGCTTTGACTTTGCGAGAATGTGGAAGTAGTAGAAGGGAGGAGAGACCGGTCCCGCGGTCGTCTGGATCATGATCATTGACGAGGAGAAGCAAAGAGCGACAGCATTTTCTCTGCGCCTTCTTTGTACTTCTTGAGCTTTTTGTTCTTAAGCTTCTCGGGCTCCTCGGCTTGAGCAGCCGAGGCTCCTCTCGTCGATTCGGGTGAAAAAAGGGTTTCTGGTATGGTATCACCGTTTGACTGATCCGACGATAGACTTTCGCCGACAGAAGTTGCCGACTCTTTCGATTTGAGCGACGGGGACATTGGTGTTGAACTCGTGCCCGAAACGGAGGGTGATAGGAGGCCACCACTTGATGCAGACGAAAGCGTAGCGGATGTGGAAGGAGTGAGAGTTTTGACAGTAGAACCTGACTTGGTGGAAAATGATGATGGCGGAGACTTTGCACGGAGGAATTGTCTGGGCGTTTTTCGGAACTTCAACCCAGGTGCACGTCCACGACGGTGCTTCTCTGATGGACTGGGTGACTCTGCCGGGTCGGGACCGCGAACGTCAGACTCTTTTGAGATGCCAGAAAATGAGCGTCCACCCATCCGTTGTGAAGGGGTTGATGCTTTGCGGAATACGGCCAACCGGTATCGGTCGACAACACCACGAGCGAACAAGCTTGTACCCTTGGTGCCATTGCGGTCCTCGCCATCTCCAGCTTCAATGAAGTCCCAGTCCTCGTCCTCTTCTTCCTTCTCCGTACACTCTTCCTCATCAGGGCCATCGGAAAGGAAGCGGTCAAGCGCAGGGACGCCAGACTTCTCTCGGCGATTACGCGTTGCACGATGGGCACTCGGCCGAGTGGTGACTGGTTTCGTGACCTTCGGCTTGACATCCTTCGCTGGTGGAATAGGCACAATCTCTTGAGGCGGCGACGTGGGAGTAGTCGGCAATGGTGATGATTCTTTGCCAGGAGTGGATGTCTGCTCTGACGGTGTGATAGGCTCAACTGGTAATGGAGATGCAGTCTCCTCAACCGGTGTTGGAATGTCCTCTTGCGGCTGGACGATGATCTCAGCAGGTGGCTCCACTGGCAAGACTTGCGGCCTCGCTTCAGGAGTCTTCGGTTCTGGAGTCGCTTCAAGATCAACAACAGGAGATGTCTCCTCGACCGCCGGTTGCACGGGTGTATCCAAGATATTTGCAAGAATGGCCGGTATCTCTTCCTCATCCGTCTCTTCCCTTTCAGATTCTCCAGAAGCGTCATCGTCATCGTCGTCGTCCAGGATAACAGAATGCCGGCCCTTGAACGAGTACCCGTCAAAGACATCGACGCTTTCGTCAATTGGATGCACTGATGGGCTGCGGGAGTGAGAGGGTGTCGTGTTTGAATCCTCGCCTTCTCCATCTGTGGGTTCAGCGTCCGTCTGATCGCGGTCTGTATCAGTTTGTTCCTGATCGTTCGGGTCGTCAATCACTGGCTCCATATCCAGGAATGTATCATCGAAGTTCTGGGTATCACTGGCGTTGGAAGGATCAATGGGTGGGATATAGGGGGCTAGAGGGATAACACCAAGTAAGCACACTATCTACCACAGCAGCGAATATGCCTCACGTATGTAGCGCTTGTAGTACACGTGCGACCAGTCACTGAAGGTGAATGAATCAGTATTAGGAAAGTTGACCTCGTGATAAACTCACATCATGGAGAAGTACGGGTGCCGCTTGATCCGCGGCTCGCACATTCTAAGTGCAGGATTTCGTTGGAGGAGCTACGTGGGCAACTATAAATGACTTGCGGTCATAGTCAAGAAATATCACCCACCCCTCTAATCAAGCTCTTAGTGTCTTGGTCAATCGCTCTATCCTCAGGGAACTGCAGCTCGTCTTGTAGGACCCTGACATACATGTCGGAGTGGTTATTCGCCCAGAATGGCGTCTGTTGCGCATATCAGCAACCGCCAAGCTTATAGACAGAACGCTTACAATTCCCGTCAACATCTCATAGAGCATTGTGCCGAAACTCCACCAGTCGACCTCGTAACTGTATGGCAGTCCTTGGATCACCTCTGGAGCCAAATACTCTGCTGTACCACAAAAAGTCGTCGTCGCGTCCATAGGGCCAACAGTCTGCCCATTCCATCCCACTGCAAGGTCCGCGGTCTTCTCGCCCTTCATCCAGGGCGGCGTCGCGGGCTCATTGCCTGGAGCTGAGTAGAACTCACCCCGCGTGGGAGTAGGAGGCGCGGTCACCGCGACCACACGACGTGGAAACTCCTTTGAGAGGCCAAAGTCTGTCAGTACAATGTGCCCGTCTGCACCAATAAGGATGTTTTCGGGTTTCAGATCGCGGTAGATGACGCCGGCTGCATGAAGGCCCTCAACCCCCTCAACTATCTCCGCGGCGTAAAACCGGGCACGGTCCCGACCTAGCCTACCCCAACGTGCAAGCTGCGTGGCAAGGTCGCCACCTGGATGGAAGTCCTAGGATAAACGCCATTAACGTGCGTTTTTGCACTTAAATGAAGAAGCATACCATGACCAAAAATAGATTCTCCTTATCATGGAAACTCCACCAGAGCTTGACAACAAATGGGTCTTTCGACTCTGCTGCCATCCGCTTGAGGACAGCTTGTTCGGTCAACGTATGTTGCAGCTCCTGGTGCGCCAAGACATGGCGCTTCGTGATCGCCTTCAGGGCATATAGATCGGAGCTCGTCTTGTGTCTCACAAGCAAGACCTTGCCTGCGCAGCCCTTTCCAAGGACACGCATCATCTCGAAGTCATCAATAACGACTTTGCGCTTTGAGCGCTTCTTGAGTTCCTTGTTCGGGTCGGTCGACTTGGAGCGCTTCTTGCGTTCCCCGGTGTTGGTGCTGATTGAAGAATCATCGCCCGTTTGGGAACTCGTGCCATCCTGTAATGTCGAAGAGGTGTATACCCGCGAGAGACGACTGGCTTTATCGGGATCGGCAGAATGGGAGCGAGGTATCCGAGAAGAAACCTGGACCTCTGCAACAGGCGTGGAGACAGCTGTCTCTTCCTCATCGGCTGGGTTAGCAGCTGCCAAGTCTGTCTCAACGGGTGCAGGAACTGCTTCATCCGCAATGACGATCTCCTCGGCCACTCCAGCACTAAAAGACTCATCCGCAACAGAAGCTTGACCCTCCACCTGAACCGTAGACTCTGTATCCTCTTCTTCCTCTTTAATCCCCTCCTCTCTCAAGTCAGCGACACTGAAATTGTTCAGGTTGACTTCGCTCGTAGCACCATTGATACCATCTGCCTCGATTTCGCTGACATCGCCCGAACTGATGTTGGGAGTAACTTTCGAGCCCACATGCGCGGCCAGATCAGAGCGCACACGTTTGATTGCGCGCTCTACACGCACGCTTTCGAGGTCGTCGGTGCGTACACGTACAAAACGTTTCCACGCGCGGGTCTGTCGGAATGTTGGCTCATTTGAGATAGTGGTGAGATACGCAGCAAGGTTCGTGACTGTGTTGCCCGCTGAAGCTGTGGCGCTTGCCTCTGTAAAAGGGTCACCAATCTCGTGCGTGGGTGAAACAATGGGAGTGATGGAACTGGCACTAGCGATGCGTGTAGATACCGTGCGTGCTACTTTGTTGCTCGGGGATGCAAGGCGGGAAAGCGTGTTGAGGAAGATATTCCGCTTGATGGGCTGGACCGCCAAGTCTATAGGCAGCTTGGGAAGTTTGGTGCCTGGGACGGAGTCCGCAAGCTTGACGTGCAACTCGACGACCTCTGTGGCAGTGCGAGTCAGGGTGAGGTTGTGCGTGGAGGCTGCGGAAGAAGGAATGTCATTAGCAGGTTCGCTTGTCAAAGACATGTTGCGGGAATTAACAAGGACCTCGGGACATAAAACGCTGGGCGGTAGTCACATGGCACTGTCGAGCGCACACATAATGGCAACCCGAGTTCCGCGGAAGCCAAACAAGAATCCAAATGCGTAGGTAATGGACAAACTCGTCCGATGGAGAAAGAGTGGAAGAAAATGCGAGACTCACTCTTTATGTAAATGCTAAACGAGTGTGCATCATTTGGAGTCTCGGCGACGCTGACGCTCCAGGGACCTTCCTGAGCATCAATCCTGACGGGTGGTCTTCTAATAGGACGGTTATGAGCGGCGTCTATGGACTTCATACTGCGGACGGAGTTATTGGGGTCGTGTTTATGGTTCTGACTATGCTCCTGATGTGCGTGGGGGGAACTTGAGAGTGAATCAGAGGAGACGTCGGTAGCACTTGCACGTTCTTGACGGGATTTGCGCTTGTATTGAAAGCTTCTGGTGGTATCGATGCTGACTCTACTTGTAGGTTGACGGGGAAGGTAAGAGTCGACTGAAGAACGGCTTCGGTTGAAAGACCCGAAACCAAGGACGGACTTGAAGTTTTTCTTTGAAGCACCGCGCTGATGAATAGAGGCGGCGGCTACACCAGGCATCCGCGGGAATAAAAATTGACGAGGTTTTACGAGAAATGGGATAAGCAAGCCGTCTCTAAAGTCCTTGGGGAATTGAAGACGGAGTTTGTGGGTTGGGTATGTGACTTCCGGTGAACAGAGGGCTATGTGGGAGTGAAGGTGCAAGAGAGAGGAGGAGACGACAAAGGGATTTGGATTCTGTGACAGTTGAGAGATCGATTAATTAGGGCGGGAGATATTATGGGTAATCGTCGCGCGGCGTTGGCGTGAAAGGCCACGAGGAGGCCACGGGGAAATGAAAGATGGTTTAAACGGTGAACGATGCCGGCCTGAGGCCAAGGTACTAACAATCAATGATTTGGTACTAGCAGTGCAACTAGCAAAAACTGACAGTTAAAAACTGGACCCTGATGATCAAGGTTACGGTTGAAAAGCTGCCAGATGTGAGCAAACTGAGTTCAGATTTCTGCCTCGAGGCTGCTGCTGTGCAAGCGACACGGTAAGTTCAAGTTTGACCGCAAGCCAAATTACTGGAACCGCACTTGGTTGGTGGGAGTGGTTGGTATAAGAAAAGCAGGATAATAAAGTATTAAAGAAAGACTAAGTCAATGAATATGATTGACTTTGAGTGTTGGCTTGCTTGGAGTTAGTTCGCTTCTGAGGATCTGAAGACAACCCCCCGTTGTCTGGCCTTGCTTGGCCACAGTGCTTGCCGTAACTTAAAACATCTCTCCGTTTTGTCTCCCTTCTCCGTTTCTTCCTATTCTATTTTATATCATTTTGACAGCTTCGTATGTCCTCACTATGCAAGCCTCAGTGGTCCAAGCAAATTCAACGCCCAAAACGGGACCATCATTGGAAGTGAACCACTTCTGAATCGTCTCCAGGCCCATCCGAACTGGCATTCATTCGCTGAGAACCTCGAAAAATAGATACCGGATGCCATGATCACCTTAGAGATAACGGAATCACGGATGTTCGCGAGCGCTCAGCAACAGCCAGCAACCAAGTTCCCCTTCCAGCTCACTCACTGAAGTGGCCGAGACCAAGCTGTGACATTACAAATTAGTATTTTATTCACATCGGGCATATTCTCTCGTGGTGCTTGGGTTCCAATTGTTCCTGTGCAAAACACAGGTCTTGCTATACAGATCATAAGACCCATCTAAAGCCATTCACATGTACGTGATCAGGACTTGCATGAAATAGGGCTAGTTGATAACTTAACAATTAAGTACCCCGCACGAGGATCAGTGTGGCGCAGGGCGCTGATCACCATATCCTCGAAGAATTGAGCTCCTCGGCAACATCGCGAGGGCACCTGACCTAGGATCGAGTTCATGTCTGAAGTTCTCGGAATTACAATGATCAACTGCCGCACATCCCGTCGGCGATAGACTGCTAAAAGCGTCACTGCAATTTCCGTTCCTCGGAGCTGGGATAATACGCAGTAGAATGCAGTCTGAGCTGTATGTTACTGTGCAGCATCGGTGCCGAACCACGCAACAAATAGCTCAACCGTAGCTGATAACGCAGCGGTACGAAAGCAGTCACACTACAATAACTTCTATCGTGACATGCTGTGTGTGTAAGGGGATCCACTCGCCCAATCAGCGCTCATTTCTCAGCTTAGAAAACACTTGACACGCACCTAAAGAAGCTTAAGTGGTTCAAAAACACACACAGGCGGTATAAAAACAGACGGCGAACAGAATGCGCACACACTTCCATGATAACCATGGATGTCCTATCGATAAGTAAGACAAGACAAGAACGCCTGCAGCTGGATAGCACAACGTGTTTAATAAGAATACTCATCACGGAGGTACCCGTCAGAAACGTGGAACGGAGAAAATTCGACCAATGATAAAGTCAGGTCACCGTGATCCGTCACAGAAAGTTGAGGTCCGAATTTCCCGTATACCCTTCACTGATACCTAGAGACAACAGATTAGCCTATCATCCGCAAGGGGGTGGTCAGCCTGAGCTCGCAATACGCAGGATGCATGCTTACTACCCGTAGGAATGATAACGCATGCAGCGTGAGGCATACAGCAGCATCCTGCCACATATTAGCAGAATGGGTAAAGACTGCTTTCTGAGCAGGTTGTGCCCTGTTGGGGCAGAATTCCTTCAGAATCGTACGACTTGGCCAGATTAGCATGCACGTTCCAAGTAACTGCTATTCTAGCCTAGCCGTTAACAGGTGTTGACGTTGATTGGCTGACGTGGCAAAGCACGAGGCTGTCTTTCAGATCAGCGACCCTCAGTCCTGCATGCTAGAAGCATAAAAACGTTAGCATTGCATCACCGTAGCATTCATCACCGAAAAGCTTCAATCACCTGGATCCAAGTATCCCAGTGCACTGGGGATTTGTTTGACAAGACGAGACAACTTGGAGTAGTCAAAGCTCAATGAGAAGAAATAACCAACGAAATTGAAGTTAGTGCTCCACAGGTGACACCGTGCCACTTGCCGCGTATCTTGACACTTGTTTGGCACTGCCCCTATTGGAACCAGTACCACCAAAAGCCGTTAGGCAACGTTATAGTTTGCGGGAAGAAGTGTTGTGAGGAATCTAGGCCTTCAAAATCTTATCGCGCTCACGGCAGTTCGAGAAATCCAGCGTTGCGTTAGATGATTTTACCCGTTTGGCATCATCCGCTTGCCGTGCTCTCTGGGTTACAGCACGAAAACTCAGACTCTGTTGATCCGAGGCGAGCAAGACACGGGGAAAGCTAACAAGTAAGTCCTCTGCAGTCTCTGGAAAAGAGCTGTATTTGAACATGTACCTAAGTAATCTACATCTCATTAGCATGCTGTATAGTGCGTGAATACAATGGGAACTTACATGTCGGTTTCTAGAAGAGCTAAGATGCAAGTGCGAATCTGCTTGGGACTTTATAGTAGGTTAACATATGAACACGAAATAAGCGTAGCATAGGAATGAATATATGTATCGATGACGAACCTCGGCCGACGTCTCGCAGTCGCTTTTTCGTACTGACTAGTTACACTCGCATGTTTCAGTTTGACAGCTCTTTCTCGGTTGTCGTCCCGAAATTCACTCGACTGATCAAAGGAACCAAGCCCATTACCATCTGTTTGATACATTGCCAAAAATCAATGCTAACGATACAATTTAAACTATCCAGCTAAAAATACAAAAATTAGGCAATATTAATAGGGACTACGTTGCGGGCATTTCCTACTGATTAGGCTGAGGGAACTGAATCGTATCATCTGCTGACTTCTGTTGGCCGTGAGAAGCATCAGTTGATTGACCTGAGGTAGTAGACTGCTGCTGACGTTGGGTCTGAGGAGGTGGTTTCTGGCCGGTTCCAGTTTCAATACCTCCTCGGCTGGCACCTGTCCCACGATCACTTTCGTGCGTGAACTCATACACCATGAGCCCAATGGTATATCCAAGCACTAAAATACCCCTAAGACACAAAAAAAATTGAGAGGGGAAGGACGTACGGATGATAAAGATGATGTAGGCGAAAGCCTCGACGGTCTTGAACTCATTGCAGGTTTTGCTGCCGTAGAATGTGACTGAGATACGAAGGCAAAGATGGTATAATCAGAAAGGCACGACTGTTCGAGAATCATAGTACTTACAGACACCGCAAGCGCCACTAAAGAAAGTTCTGCGGGCAGCACGGGTGGAGTTAGCTCCAGTTGAGAGCCACAAGATCCACATTATAGCTGGAGAAACAAAAAAAAAGCAGTGAGCATACATCCAACAGAATCTCTGAGATTCAGGAGACACATACTGCTCCACATAGCCTCAGCAACGATCACCCCATGTTTTCCCTGCCTAGTAACAGAAAAAGCAAGTATGATACTAAAATCGCGACCATGAATTAGTACTGGTTTGGTCGATTAAAAATAAAACGCACAACAGAGGGAAGGTGAGAATTGTCAAGGAGGACACTGCGACTGCCAGCGCAGCAAACCGCCAATAGTCTGTAGGTCGGATGGCGATGAGGTGGGCACTTATGCCAAGTACCACGATCGCAAGTATGAGAGTGAACGCTGTGACGAAGATGAGCTAGTCCGCAACGTAAGGTTGCCCACGAGGGAAAAACGACGCACACAAAATAAAAATTCGGACATTTCTGAGCGTATGCCCCATCTTGACTCTTTGTGTGTTGAGAGGGGAAGGATATGTTGTCTCGCGGAAGACATTCTCTTAAATCTGAGCCATTACAAGCCCCTGTATCAGTGTATACTAATCTGCTCCTAACAGCTCTCGGATTGCTGACGAAGCGTCTGAGCTAGTCTGACGTCAGAGGCGGACAGATCATTTGATCATGTACACTTGCCTCATTCGTGGGGCATGATCTGCCCGCCTTGACTTCATCAGACAGTTGGCGCGAGAGAAGATGAAAGTAGCCCCGGAGCGCACCTATACGGTAACGTTTGCAGGACGGAAACTTGGGAGCTGTTTCATATCAGCCTCCATGTTTTTGCCGTCCGGCCATAGAAATTCAATTTCGTATCGTCTGCCAGAAAAGATAAGTTGCAGTTTGAAAATTGAAGCTCGATCATACCCCGAATTAGGCGGGCGCTGACAAGTTCAACATTAGTCTCGGCTCCCCGCCTTCCACGTGCACGTGTCCTGTGACATTGAACTGAACGCACCGCACCGGTGGACTCACCAAGTGCTCCATGCAGCCCCTCAAGGGATTCGTTTAGCAGATTCCGCAATAAACAAAGAGAAATCATCACTCAGCCTGAGGATCCTAGATTCTGGTATCAAGTACCTAGCATGAAATCGACTGCTCGACATTATACGCATATTCGATGAACCTACCAAGATAAACGACAATGCAATTGCAACGTATATTCACTTACTCTGTGGCAGGGCTGCCTACTATAGTAGACCAAGGTTTCACGTGAAGACAGAAATACTTGAAAGGGATTAATAAGTTTAACATGGTGCGAACGACCCCCCTCGCAGCGACCTCCCGCCTCATCCAAAGACAGCAATCCCCCTGGGACGGCGACCTTTTCTAAGCGTGCGACGTGTTGAGCACAGGACCAAACGTTCGTCAGCTACCTACCCTGAGGTGAGAACCATCATTATTTCGAAATGTCACCATGGCGCTAATCCCTTTCTCGCTTCCCCCTTCACAGTTGGTTGAAATTCAACCAACATCGAACACAATTTCTTAAAGCTCCTGTTATACACATTTACAGCCCTGAAAATGTCTCCTGACCCCACACTGGAGCCTACGGTCCCAGGAGAAGAGCCAGAGGAGCTTGACGAAGGCGAAGAGAGCGATGAGTACGAGGTCGAGGTTTGCAATCCATTTTCTGATATTTCACGACTCGTGCTTATCTTGTGCATCTAAACTCGCTCTTGGAATAACAATTGGATCTACCACTTTTCAACCGCTCTGTGGACGTTTCATGATAACAGGGCGAAGAAGAAGAGCAGGCTGGCTCGCCCTACCCCGTTGGAGTTGAAGAAGAAGACGAGGATGAGGATGATGTAGAGGAAGTAGGTACCACATCAAGGGTATGCTTATTCCTTGTCCAGCGCCTCTTGCCAAAAAATTGATTTGGTGGTATAGAGTAAACCAAGTTTGACGGCGTTACTGGTTGGCGAGGTACGTATACATTTGTTCTTTCTCCATATCGGAAAACCCATGCAATTCTTCCAGAATGGCACGTCAGCTTCAGCTGCTGCTGAAGATGATGAAGACGCCGAGGACGACGACGAGTATTTCGAGGAAGATGAAGACGAGACTCCTACTTCTGCTGGCGGCTTGAAACGTTATGCGGATGAAATCAGTGAAGGAGAGGAGGAGGAAGAGGCGGATGGCGGAGTTGCAAAGAGGGCACGAGTTGGCTGAAGAACATAAAAAAACGTTGGAATCACAACAACCTAAGTTTTATTATCTCCTATTTCCTGTTTCTCAGAATATTATGCTGTTTAAGATATCTATGGTTATGTACATACATAGATGTAGACGTACTTGGCAGACCCCCGGTCTCTTGTACTGTAACCAAGTCAAGTGCACTCCGAATATTATTTTACGATGGCTGCTCGGCATCGCACGCTGGCATAATGCTCTCAAAGATACTCCGAAGAGGGAAGAAGGAGCAATGCAATAACTTCAGAGTTATCATAAAACTAGTCCCACTCATGCCAATCACTGTACTATCACGGCGAACACCACGTGCACAGCCACTCATACGTGCTCTTGAAGCTAAGCTCGCGTACAGCCGGAGGCCCTGGGTCAAATTATAAATTTGCAAACGATAGACGATTTTTTTATCTGACGTCGACGTTAAACCTGCATGAGGTGGCGCATAATACCACTCATGTACTGCATGTTCAATGTGTATGTTGTCCATGTCATATTAACCCTTCTAGTTCTTGTGCATTCGCACCCGGGCCTCCGGTTCTGATAGTGATCCCAGAACAACCAGTACTCTGATATAAAGATATAATGAAACTACATATTGAAATGTGGAATAAACGTGGTCCAAGCTACTGTGTCATATACGCCAAGAGGCAGCGATCGTAAGCTCATCATCATGAGTACAATGAGTATAATGCGTGCAACAATATATACAAAAGAGCTGATGAGCACAACTATTATCCCGGTCTTGTCGGCGAAATCCGACGTATCGCCTCTCCATACCATATGCCAGTAAGTAAGAAAAAAAAATACCGGCGCACATGCTATCCAAAGGGAAGCTGCACGCCATAACATGTGTTCTGTGTATTTCTGAAATAAGTAATTCCAGCCCAGACAATGTATCCCTCCAAATACTATCCCACTGAAACAGCCAAAGAGAAGTACAATCTTAGCGTTATACTCACCATAGCCACCTAGAGATGAAACACGACGAGAACGGGCAGCACTGGGGGAGATATCGACCTGAATGCCCATGAGACTGACAAAGGGATAGAAGGTGTATTGAAAAGAGTGTTTCAAGCGTGCCTCGCTATAATGCAGGGGAATCAGAGCCATCTCAGGCAATAGAAATGATGGCGTGCCTGTAGGTTAAGCGTCTCGGTGTTCCTGTTGCTTTCCAGTGAACAATATAAGGGCATCCAACATCCTTGGGCTTCTTCCACCACAAGCCATATGCAACGCAGGTCAAAGCTGCTACTGCTAGAGTGTCTATTTCAAGCAGGGTATTTGGAAGGTTCTGACCGTAGCGAGCGACGAGCTGGACGACAAACCATGCCAGCTGAAGAAGGGCGATTGCTTTCGATAATCCATCGCCCTTACTTCGATCTTCTATCTCTGCCTCCGAGATAAGTGGCATGTCCACGTATCCGTCACGAACAAATTGCAGGAGTTCATCGGGGGTAAGGGTGGCTCGCGGCTTGCCATCGACGTAGAGCATAAATCCACCCATCCATGCGAAGAACCCATGGGTCATTGTCCATTCTATGAAGGCGTTGAAATGCATGTTAGTCCTGCATGACCGAAGAGTTCGAGCACGTAACTGACCTTTAAACTCTGCCGCAGGTCTGGGAGTGCTTGAACCTCTACTAATGTCACTGAGCAATGTAGCTGTGCCCTCTGATATATCTCGATCACGGTCGTAGGTCTGGGTCCGTTGTGCACCGAATTCATTATTAAATTCCTTTGCGGCAGCACGAGCGCTGAAAAACTGCCGCGTGGCCCAGGTGATCATGAGTTCTGGGACGATCAACGCCGCGACCATGAGGAACAGACGACGAGAGGTAATGGCGACTCTGCCCTCGTCCATACCCGGAATGTTTGTATGGATCGCAGTCCAGGTGCATGCAAAAAGGGTTAAGCCACAGCTCAAGAGAATGTTCCACAAGGTTCTGGTGCTATTGCTGCACGGGGAGTCGCTGGTATCGAATGTATGGATGATACTGGTATCGTTGAGACTCGGGAGTGAGGCGCAAACAAGCTGAATGTGTGCATGGGCAGCGCAGGCTTGCAGGAGAGTCATTGCAATTGTAGAATTGAGGGCATGCTGCTGCCACTCTGTTTATCTCGGTCGTTAAGGGCAGGCCAAGGATCAAGCGCTAGCCACAGCCTCACAGGCGCCTTTGGTAAGGATGGACCACGTAGTACGAATAGTGAGTGATCGATCAAGTCTGGTACGTTGGTTGGTGGTTGGTGTTGATATGATTTCATATCCAGTGGAAGGTCTGTATCGAAGCGATATCCCAGGTCTTGACTATTAAGCAAGACTGACATGCAAAACGACATGAACGGCTGCATGCATGCGTTGTGAAGTGAGTGAGTGATAGAAGGTCAAAAAGTGAATGTTCCGCTTACAACGGCATTTAATTGATGGCCGATCAATGGCCGACCCCGCATATGGGGCACGGTTTGCACCGAGTCCTCTTCGACTTATCACCATAACCGCCAACCATCATCGAAGAAACACAACCTTCTCCTCCGGCATTGAAGCAACCCATGCAACGATATGAACAACACCCAACCCAACACGTTCCATCAAGCCCTCATTCTCTCTAACCGCCATCACATGTAGCAAGCACCCATGGTAACGCTTGAGACTCCCTGCATCCCACAAGCCATCCACAGAATCACAACGGGAAAGGACGATGAACTCGATAGAAGTCGGCAGAGCAGGATCCAATGGCAGAATAACACTGCCGACCCAAATGGGAGGGGAAGACGTGGAGAGGATGTTGAACAGACCATAATGTTGGACGGGACCGGGTTCTTCATTTTCTTCACTACCTCGTCTTACAATACCAAAATGGCTGGAAGTCGTGCGGAAAATGAGGGTGCCAGGTTGTAGCGGTCGGTGATTGTCTAGTGTCAACTCCGTTGGGTCTAAGATCCCTCGCGGAGAAGAATATATGGGGGGCTGCTCTTCCTCTATCCAATAAACCCGGGAAACCCGGCGAACATCAAGCTGCACTGTATCGCCACTGTGATCCACGATGTACCAAGTATCGATAAGCGTTTCATCCACCGACGCTTCGTTGCTGGTACTGGCGATAGGAGTCCGACGATACACGCCCCGCCCCATGTAGATGACAGCGCCACGCCACGTCGCCCATGCCCAAGAAGGCCAAGATGAACTGCCTCCCTCAGCCAAGGAACGACGAGCACGAGGTGTGTGTGGTTCGTGTTGCCAGAGCAGCGCATGATGCAGATCTGTCAACATCATTCCATATTGAAAGGCTCGAGCGGGGTCGCCGAGCCCAAACGCTACCGTCAAAGCATTTGTCACTCCAGTGAGAGCATCAACAATGTCTGATTCGACGGTGAGATTGCGTGGTGTATATTTCTCGACGGCCAGCTGGTAACTCCAAAATAAGTCAGAAGAGAATGGGAAATGTTCTCCGCGTAGATGCCAAAGAAAGCTGCTGGAGGATTTGGCCTTGGTTTCGCCGACGATGTCTTCGCAGAAAACCTGACATTGGCACTCAAAGCAGACCTGCTGCTCGGTGAAGTATATTCTTCGGCAGGACAGCGCGCTCTCTTGGTAGGTCCAACAGCGCGTAACCCAAGTGGACATCGCGAGAGCCTCCGTATGTCTTGGAGGAGCCATGAAGAGATGAAGTCCTTGAACAACCTCGGTATGTATTTGTGGCGTTCTAGTTCGTGGACGGCATCCTGGGAGAGGGTCTCGGGCCGACTTGCCGCCAGCAGCAATTAACGTGAAATAAGATAGGCCATAGACCAAATCCATAGCGTTTAACTGATAGGACTTGTCCTGCAAATCATCTTGAATGATGCACAGAGCATCGATCCATATGTAACGTTCACCAATTTGTCGAACGAATAGAATCGAATCTGTGATGGTGTCAGGGAGGTTTGCCGCGTTTAATCCGCCAGGCGTGGAGCGCCCCGCTATATTATCCTTCGTCGTCCAATACTCTGCGCCGGCGCTTCCCCATACATAACTGAGGGCAACACAACGACAGCCAGAAGGTGCAGGGATCACGGCCATCGATACTACGTCCACCACTCTCACAAATCCCGGCAGGTTCCTGTCCGTTCTCCAAATATTCCGACATTCATCTCCATGATTCTCTTGACACAGCTTGATCCACTTCTTCACCAAACCGATATCCACAGTGTTCTTCACCCTGCGACCATGAAGATCAACTGGTCTCCGAAACTTGAAAGCATCTTCTTGCATAAGGTGAATTATTAGCGAGCCCGCTGCCCTGAAATCGGGATGTGTGTCGAAAAGGCCCTTCCCAGTGACGTGGAGGCGGCGGCCATAACGGAGCGGAGGATGAGGCCCTCGCCGAAGAGCACCACAAAGCATCGTGTACACCTCACATTGAATCTCTGAGAGATCGATGTGAGGAGAGTTCTCCAAAACCCGCGTTCGACGGACATACAAGGATATGAGGCGGCAGAAACTGCATTGATAAGATTTTTCCAAGATGGATGAGAGTGGACCGAGCGGAATTGGCTCTAGCTCGTGGATTCCGTAAGATAGGATCCTGAAAAAATCGAGCTTTGCACAGGTGGAACAGAGTAATATGTCGTTCTCTAGCTTGGCAGTATGAGTCTGTTTACTCTCTTCGATCAGTCCATTGCTCTGAGTAAGCGTGGATGCCATTGAGTTGCTCACCTGAAGATCAATTGGTGCTTGGTATTGAACTAGGAGAGGGGAGGATTCAGAGGTTCCAGTGGATGCGACGTTAGCTTTGAGTTTGCGTAGGCGTATGCGGGCGACTAATAGCCAAACAACGCAAACTCCAAGAGCGACCCCTCCAATAATTCCAGCAAGGGCTAAACCATGTGTAGCGACCGGACGACGAGTCGCAAGAGCATCGCTGGTTGTAACACCACTAGGTAGTATTATAAGCATCCCTTGAGGAATGACTTGAATACGTGACGGAGAAGCCAACATCAAGACAAGATACCCACCTGATTGAGTTACGCTATTGAAGGGAGGAATCATAAGTACAAGTCTACGCGTGGCGACAATACCACGAGTCGATAGCAGTTAACTGGCATGTCAGATAGGCTGTGTCGTTGGCGTTCTTCTTCTTATGTAAATGCCACGGCAACTTGAAGGCTAAGAAAAGTTGAAGCAAGATACGCTTGACACGCCTCTAACCAGCCATGTAGTGGCTTGAAATGTTATGCGGATGAAATCATGATCAGTGAAGGAGCAAAGGAAACAGCGGAGTTGCACGAAACCGTTGAATGCAAGGCATTCTAAATATAGAAAGTTCTGTAACTTCCGAACTGCTTCCAACTGCGTACGGTCACTCAACCAAGTACACTCGGAATATTTATTTTATGATGGCTGCTCGTAGCGCTCGCTGGCATAACGCTCTCAAGCTCGCTCTGCAGAAGGAAGAAGGTATGAAAAATGGCGAGTTCCAAACTACACTTCATGAAACGCGAAACAATAAATATTGATGGTTCGGACTTTGGTCAGTCTTCCAGCTCGCAACCGCCAGCGTCAATGATACCACTCCATACGTCCGTAGCCATATCCTCAGAGACCATATCACCCATCCATCATTTCCATCTCTGCCCCTACTCCTCACAAGCACAGATATCCGTACTCCGAAGGTCACTCAGATCAAGTCCAACCCTAGCCACCGCGTGGAAGCACACTTCTGGATCAAAGCCACGAACGAGCAATTTCGCGTCTCGGGCCGCGTGGCTATCTACCCTTCACCTGGACTTACTGATAAGAAAGGGATCGAGGGCGTGGGGGAGGTGTATGATGCATTCAGGAGTCAGGGGTGGAATTGGGAGGACGAGCGACGGAAGCAATTTGACAGTGTCGGTGCCCACATGCGCGCATCGTGGTGCCGGCCCGTTCCGGGTTCCCCCATGGACTCTTACAGTGATGCTGAGAAGTGGCCTGTCAAAGTCGCGAAACCTGGAGAGGAAGGATATGATGCTGAGGATTACGAGGAAGCGCTAGGAAACTTTGCGTTACTTCTGATTGACCCCATCGAAGTTGATTATGTCGAACTCGGGGTTACGCCTAACCGGAGGACGAAGTTCGTTAGACAGGAATCGGATGGCGAGAGGTGGAAGGAGGTGATATTGGTCCCATAATTTGGACCTGCACTGGATCATTCCGGACGTTGACGCATCAGACTCGGGAAGAAGAAAGCACTGTCACAAGAGAGGTATCAAGATCATAGACACAAGACGTACGATACGATTAGAAGCAACACATTGCATGACTCATTAGTGGTTTGACTTGTGCCAATCAATGCATCACGAGCAACGCGGAAAGGTCGCACTGGGACTCAAGTCACCGAATGTAGGCAGAGCTTCTCGGCCAGGTACTTCAATGGCGGCCTTGTGCGCAGTGAATAACTCGCACGTTCACAACGAAGTTCAAAATAGTGCAGACCGTTTCTCTCGTGGACTAGCTTTATTTTCGCAGGCACTGATTACGATCTTCGAAGTTTGAATAGTTGGGTGGGTTTACATAAAGCTTGTGATGCGCATACTTTGCTGCACATAAATTAACAAGGCATGTGAGTAGTTTGGATCGAGTACATACTAATATATTGGCCGCTCGAAACGTAGCATGGGCGGATCCGATGTCAAGCCATCCTGATAGAATCATGTTTCAAGAGAAGCAGGACCTGCAAGGAACAATAGTAGGGACTTGATACAGACAACGTTTCACTGGACTTTCTACACACAGTAGCGAGTGGGTTCTTGGGGAGAGTACCGCGGGAATGTAGATGAGGCTGACATCACGTCGTGCAACTCCTCCGCTCGCCGATGAGGACGTGCCTGCAAGTGAAAAATGACAGAATCAGGACGCAGGTCCCAAAAGAATGCAAGCGGCGATCGCGCGACGCGGCGAAAAGTCCGTGGTTGCGCACAGATATTTACACAGCATCCAAATTGAAGGAGACCCAAAGAAAGATGTGCCCAGTAGCTACTTCACTGAAAAAGCTTCAAGCGGTAGCGCTCAAAAACAGGCAGCCAGGCTGTGGCAGATTGGCGATGATGATATATGCATCAACAACCTTGATAGCGTCACCATGACTATAACGACACCCACGGCGTTTTGATCCTAGGCTAGTAGCCCGTACACCTGACGGTGAAGACATTTTTGACATCGCGTCGACAAGGCACGACCATGACGGCGGCATATTACCCGGTATCCTTGTATTTTGAAAATGAATATTTGATACTTGGGATGCTCCCGCCGAGGTCCAGTAGGATCCAGTATGGTCCAATGTGGTCGGTGGTCATCATCCTGAAGAAGGGTCTTAGTCCGGATCAAGGTGGTCTAGCTGATGTAATTTCATGTAAGTAAGCTTTCTCGAACTCCGACGGAAGGCAGCTGTACCGCTTTGTCATTGTTCCGTTGGTAGTGCTCTCCAGCTGTCTTCTCATGCTGCCGGGCAGTATTCCAGTATTTCTGCTACTGGACTCGGTTACAAAGTCAAGAAAAGTACGATATGGTTCGCACGCCTTCAAATAGCCGTACAGACTACGGTAGACTACGGTCCTAGAATTCAAATCTTCATTACCAGTACTTGGAACGAGGGCAGAACAGCGAGAAGGGAGGAAGGTTAAGACTGGTTAAGATGAGAACCCGATGTACGTCAATTCAATGAATTTCTATCATTGATGGCCAAAATTCTAAATTCTCCAATTCTTTGCGTCCCACGACATCAATGCGGCGATATCTCCTGTGTGTTGCATTTTGCAGATCTAGATCGATAGCCGGCTGCTGTGCATTTCCTTCCTCGAGGTATATAACCCTCTCAGAACCAAACTGCCCATCCCTCTTGGTGCCGCAGTCATGGCGTCCACAGGGAGTCTGTTTCTCCGCCAATTTACAATACTGTGCTGGAAGAACTGGATAGTTCTCTCTAAACATTCCTTCGTGAGTAATATCCATTGCGGAATGTTCACCACTTTGACCATGATATAGTTGAACATCCTGCGTTGCTTGTTGTTACCGATCGGTTACGGAAGTACGTCCAGCTCCCTCTCAATACAGTACATGCTTACCACGGCTATCAAGTTTTTCTTGCCGTTGCACAGACATTCCTCATAAAGCCAAACAATGTGAGCAACATTTTTCAAATTACCCCAGTCCACCGCCTCACATCTTTGTAGTACGGTTTTGGCTCTCCGATCTCGGTCTACAACCTCAATAATCAGTTTGACGGCTCTCTATCTTTAATATGGGCTGATGGAACCAATGGTACCGGAACACCCTCTGCGGAACAAGTCATGGCTCGCATCACCACTAACTTCACCCCGAGTCAACTCCAAGCGGTCAGGCAGGTTGCGACTCCCGCAGACATTCCATCCCAATGTCCACAAAACTTCAACCTCTTCTCTGAGTGCTTTGCTGCTATTTCCTTTAATATCCTTCCAATGAATGCAACGGACACGACTCCAATCAACTACACTATAAGTGCAGATGGTGGACTTGGCTACATCGATGTGTTTAGTCATACAAGCTCATTCGAGACACGTATCCTACCCTTACAATGGGCAATAGACCAGGTCTGGCTATTTTCTGTTCTCTTTTCCTTTTCAGCTATTGATCGTGCACCTCAGGCAATCATCGAGCTTAGATCTGGACAGGCAGTACCCACTCCTATGGAATGGCCTTTTAATCAGGAAACCAACCAACAACAGGCCACGAATACTAGACTTAGTACATCGTTTACCTCCATGGTATGTTCGCATACTGACATATTGCTATCTCAGGTTTTATTAGAGGCATCCGGACTCTTCTTGTTATTGCACTGTAAGTCCCACACATCAACTAACAATCCTACAACTCAAATTCGGGACCCAGGTTTATTTGTTATATCGGGATTGCGTACCATCTCCCAGGGGCTTTCACCGGCGAGAGAGCCAATCTTCTGACCAGCCACATGAAGGCTATGGGTTTACTTGATACTGCCAGAATAGCGTACGTCATCGCTCAAATGGATCCGTGAAACGTCGTTCACTGATTACTCATGACATTCAAGATCGTGGCATATTAGTATCTCTCTAGCATATCTTCCCGCATGGGTCATCGTTTCTATTATATGGCACTTCCGAATTTTCACCGGCACTAACGTCGGCCTGGTGCTTATTGTCCATCTTCTATTGGGATTCTCGTTTGCTAGTTGGTCCTTCTTCGTCGCAGCTCCTTTTGGCAAGAGTCCTCAGCTTGCGGCCGTGGCAACTACGTTCCTCGGTATCATGTTTGCTATCCTCGCGCTGGTCTTCAGCAGAGCCAGCACCGTGGCGGCGACTATTTTTACTTTAATCTTCCCGCCTGGATACTACATATTCGCAATTCGTGCCATCTGTGGCTGGGAAAACCACCAGATTCCGACTAATATTATAAAACCCGATCCGGACAGCCACCTAACGTTGTTGCCCTTGATCATTGCCGCGATTGTACGTGGAGCATATTTCCTATGCACAATGTGTTAACCTATGCCTAGATTGACGTGTTCCTATGGCCATACTTGGGTAACCTGCTTGAGAGGAGGCTCTATGATGCCAGAGAGCCGTCCTCAGGCTTTTGGTCATGCTGTCGCAGGCAGAAAAAGGCTCCCTTACCTCCGCATCCTGAGGGAGTTGCGATTTCTGTCAAGAATTTAAGCAAGACATTTTCCCCTTCCATGTTCCACCGTGAGAAGCGACCGGTCACTGCCATCGCAGATTTGTCTCTCGATGTCCCAAAGTCCGGTATCTTCGTTCTTCTGGGATCAAACGGGTGGGTTTTACTTTACCCCTGGCAGATCAGAAAGACTGCTAACGGGGATGATACAGCGCCGGAAAGTCAACGGCATTATCAATCATTGGAGATCTCCTGGGGCGCAGCACAGGAACTGTCACCTTTGAGGGCGGTGTCTCTCGTCCTCCCCGCGGAACGCTTGGCATTGTGCCTCAGAAAAATGTGATATTCCCCGAACTGTCTTGTTACCAAACTCTCCGCGTATGGCGCGCAGTGAAGCATTCTGCTCAATCGATAGACGTTGACGAAGATTTCGAGCAGCTACTGCGTGACTGCGATCTTGGCAAAAAGATCCACGCCAATGCCAGCACTCTCTCGGGTGGTCAGAAGCGCAAGCTGCAGCTCGCTATTGGACTTGTTGGAGGCTCTAAGATTGTCTTGGTGGATGAATGTACATCCGGCGTCGATCCATTATCCCGTCGGGCGTTATGGAGGACTTTGACATCTGTTCGCCATGACCGGACTATCGTGTTCACAACTCATTTCTTGGACGAAGCGGATCTGTTGGCTGATAACATAGCTATCCTGGCTGCGCCAGGCAAGCTGGTAGCTGAGGGCACCCCTGTCGCTCTCAAGTCAAATCTCGGACAGGGATACAGCGTCCAAGTCATGTTCGACTTCCCTGATTTGACTGAGAAGAACCTTCCAACAGCACCCTCGGAAGCTTTGGATCGTATTCGTCAAGTGTGTCCCCAGTGTTCCATGTCGCTTTCCTCGCCGAGCCAGGCTTCATACCACCTCAAGTCGAAAGATTCCGCGGTTGTGGAGAAGGTCCTTCAGCTGTTGGATAAGGAGCGCAATTCTCTCCGCGTCGCGTCCTACGATGTATTGGGGACGTCTATTGAAGATATTTTCCTAGATCTCATGGCCCAACAAACTCGTAGCCCCTCTCCCGACGGCACCGAGAAGTCCATCTCAAGTTCAGGTGGTGTTTCTGAGCCCATCGTGGCTGAGTTGACCGACGGCCCACCGGCTCCAACCAAAGTCCTCCAGCTTACAGATGGGCGACCTCGTTCTCCTCTTAGCCAGGCTTTGACGATTTTCTATAAGCGTGCATTGATCGCTCGGAGGAGTTGGTTGACACCGTTGTTGGTCGTGCTCATCGCGGTTTGCGGTTCGTGCATCCCGCTAGTCTTCCTGTCTGGCCAGGCGACAACTTGTACCCTCCAGTTCAAGAACGAGATCGTCATTCCTTTGTACTTCCCAGAATCGCCTATCTACCTTCTATCAACTGGACCTGGCAGGCAGATATTGGAGTCACCCCCGAACATCATCGCGACTCTTGGAAAAAATGCCAGTTTCTTGAAAACGGAGAACATCCCCGATAATACTACCTTCGTCTCGACGATTACACAGAACTACCTAAACTTGGCGTTTGGTGGGATATCGATAGATATGCAGACGGGTGATTCGTTAGTCGCATGGGAGGCAAGCCCGCCTGGTTTCACTGGTCCGACCATGATGAATCTCGCGACAAATATACTGTACAATCGGGCATTGAACGCGTCTGGGAAAGCTGCAAGCACACCGAGCCTTATTTTCGGCAACTATGCTGCTTTCCCTCATCTTGCTGCAGGGACCTTGGTTGATCTCAAGTGGGTGGCGTTTTTCGGAGCGGCTATGGTATGTGCTGTGCAAGAATAAGATATTGAGGCGTGCGCTGATATCTTGGGCAGGCTGTCTTCCCTGCGTTTTTCTCCCTCTATGTCTCTAGAGAGCGAAGATCGGCGGTGCAAGCCATGCAGCTGTCGAACGGTCTTTCAGATCCTATTGGACTTTGGATTGGTCACCTCCTGTGGGACTCGATATTCTCTGTGACACTGGCTACGATCATCATCATCATCTTCGCGATCGTTTCGAATCAGTTCAACGGCCTTGGTTTCTTCGTATGTTCCGCTTTATTTTCTTGAATGTTGTAATTTACTGATGTATTCTGGCAGTGGGTCATCCTCGTTTTGTATGGCATCGTTGGCGCGTTATTCGCGTACTGCGTATCGTTGTTCATGTCGTCACCGCTGTCCTCTTTCGCAGCAGTGGCAGGGTACCAAATCGTCATGTATATCGTGAGTTCTTGCAGTTTCTTGGGCGCACAACCACTAATGCAAACTAGTTGTACCTGGGTGGATATCTCCTGACGCTGACTTACGCGACGACGTCTCAATCTGGTGGCATCATCACGATTATCCGTAAGGCTTTTTATATGTAAACTGTGACCCGCCGTTTAAAACGATCTTTCTAGACTTCACGCTTTCAGTCTTGTCGCCGGTGGCTAGCGTCGTAAGTTGCATAATTTCTTTACTGCAAACTGGACTCACTGTATGGACAGATGCGTGCAGCCTTCGTGTCAGTGAATCTCTTCTCATTGCTTTGCGACGGCACGACTCCCGTGACAACGTCGTCGCTTGGTGACATTATGAGATATGGAGGTCCCATCCTCTATCTCTTTGTATATGGCTTCATCCTGTTCGGTATTCTCGTATGGGTCGATTCTGGGTCAATCATCCCTCGTCGATTCCTCAACACCAGGAGACGGCAAGTACGAATGGACGCATTGCAGGCAAACTTTGAGGCCAACAGACAAGACGTTGCCGCTGAAGCGCATGCGGTGGCACACTCCAGTGATGCGCTGCGTCTTCTCCATCTTACCAAGACATTCGAAGGCAATAAAGTTGTCGATGACGTGTCGTACGGGGTGTCTCGGGATACTATTTTTGCCATGCTTGGGCCTAATGGTGCTGGCAAAACTACGACATTCAATATGATTCGTATGTATATCTGATACGACGATTAAGCTCTGAGACTTATTTTTGCGATTTTAGGTGGCGATATCGTTCCGGACATGGGAGATGTATTGATCAAGGGGATATCAGTGTTAACCTCTCCGAGGACCGCACGTCTATCTTTGGGAGTCTGCCCACAGTTTACTGCGATTGATTCTCAGTTGACTGTTCGGGAACATCTCATGATCTACGGACGGCTGAAGGGCCTGAACAGGGGGTATGAATTGAAGACAGATGTCGAGGCACTCATGGTTGCTACATCATTGCATGTATATGCTGACCGTCTGGCGAGCCAATTGTCGGGCGGGAATCAGCGCAAGCTTTCTCTTGCTATCGCTCTCATCGGTGAGTTGTTGAACTTGAGGTGGGAGAGATTGCTGACGTGGATATATGCAGGTAACCCCTCCGTTGTTCTCATTGACGAGTTCTCTACGGGGATAGATGCGAAAATGAAGAGAGACATGTGGGGCACTCTCAGAAACGTCGCTGTCGGAAAGGCAATTGTTATTACGACACGTGCGTTTTCTGTGAAAGTCATCCCCGCTTTGCTTCTAATCTTGGATGGCGATCTAGATTCCATGGAAGAAGCTTCAGCCTTAGCAAATAAGGTTGGCATCATCTCTAAACAATTGCTGGGTGAGTACATCGTTTGGTATGATATCTGCAATATCTCATGCCCATCCCCTTGTAGCTGTGGGTACAATCGACAACCTGGTCTCACGATATGCCACGTACCAAGTGCATTTCTCTTGTCCGACACGAGAGGACGCGACTAGAGCTCAGGTTCTCATGAGTCGGATACCAGGCTCTCGTTTAGCCGACGATGTTGCCACGCGCTTCGAAGTTCCTATACAAGAAGGCACCGGGCTCACGCTTGCGCAGCTCTTCCATGTTCTCTCGTCCCAGGGTGATTTCCAGGAGTATAGTGTAGAAAAGGCAACACTGGAGAGCGTGTTCTTGAAAGTTATTAGAGGGAATAATGTTGTGGAGGAAGATAATTCCCCTGGGAGACGCCGGAGGTTTTGGTTGTGGTAGGGCTGTGAGGTGCCCTGTTTGACGTTTAATGATTTGTTGTAGATTGGACTGACTCTTGCACGTATTTCGACATGGACAATTTATGCATACGGTGACGATTAATAGCACTTGTTGTATCTTTATGACCTTTGCCAACACTGTGGTTGCCTAAGGTGTTTCTGGGTGTTCAAGACAAGGATTTCGGGGTGCTGACTAAGCCTGGACCACCTGAACATGACAGTCGTGACGGTATCACTGAGGCTGGAGTCTGGACTCGGACTGTCATGAACTATCCTGGAATCCAAACAATTCGTCGTTGGAACGTCCAGCCCAACACGTCACCAATGGTCACAAGACACATCACTACCGATTAAAAGCTCACAGGACGTGTCTCGGCGCCAGCTGTTACCAAGACTTGGCAACACAGGTTTCTCCAATTCATATTCAAACGACGAGGACATCTTGGGGTTTCCCCGTGGCGCCAGGCGCCTAAGTACTAAAAGGAATGCGAGTATAAATTGGACGCGCTTTGACGCGCCGTGAGTTCTCACATCTTCCCCAAGGGGGGTGGCTGTAGCCACTTACCGCCCTCACGGCGATGCGGCGTTCGATCGCAAGTCACAGAAACTGACCGGTGACAGCGCATTGCTTATATCATATGCTCAGGACAACTGGAATGCTATAAGAACTCGGAGCGCAAGCCTTGTCAAAAGTCCATTCACCTGTCACATGTCTTCTGGTATAATCATCCTTTTTGTGGCTGCAGTCGCAGTTTACTTCTACAGCAGTCGACGCAGTAGATTACCACTACCTCCTGGGCCTCCTCCAAAATTCTTTTCCGGGAATGTACATCAACTACCAAAGAAAGAACCTTGGCGGATGTATGCTACGTGGGCTGAGACCTATGGTGCGTATTGTCCAATTTTCGATTTGCTGCGACACTCGCTCACCTATTTCTCACAGGATCCATACTTTCCTTCCGCGTGCCTAACCGGCAGTTTATAGTACTCAGCTCCCTAAAAGCAGCCACTGAGTTGCTCGATTCACGCGCCACTACGTATTCTGACCGTCCAAGAATATGGATGTACACAGAACTTGCGAAGCGCAATTTGAACCCGTTCAACATATCTTTCAATCACCCGAATTTCAAAACGTATCGCACGATGCTCAAATCTAGCCTGAGTCCTCGCACGATACAAAGCTACCAGTCGCTTCAAACTGAACAATCTCGTATCCTGCTTGATGGTCTGCACAAGAACCCTGAACAGTTCGTCGTTCACATCAGAAGGTAGTTTTGTTTGGTGATTACTTTTTTCAGTCGTTTCTCATTCGAGGTGCAGGAACGCAGGGGCCGTTGTACTTTATCTCGCATACGGCTGGAAGGTCACCAAGAGTGACGATTATTTCATTGGTATCCTGCGAGAAGGCCTTGAAATTAGTGCTGTCCTGTTCCAGCCTGGACGTTGGTTGGTCGAAGTGATACCATTATGTAGGCCATCCTTTCATTTTTCGAGTGGTCACGAAGCTAAGCTAGTCAACATGAGTACGTTTTATACCTTCATGGTTTCCAGGGGCAGGTTTCAAACGCGTGGCCTCAGACCTGGGGAAAAAGTTGGGTAGGCTCGACACAATACCGTTTAGCTGGACCAAACAGCAGATAGTAAGTTTTGTTGAGCAATCTTGCAACGTGCCATTATCGGAGTCCTGACCAGTTGTCATCGTCGCTCAGAAAAGCGGCAGCTACACGCATTCATTCGTTTCAGAACAGCTCCTTCCGGAGGATGGGTCCACGGTCGGTGCTCAACAAGAAGAAATCGTCAAGTGGTGCAGTCAGGGGCTCTACGGAGGGGGAGCAGACACCGTAAGATATCTTGCACCTCACTTGTGTAATTTGTTCTTAAAACATTGGCACGAGCAGACAGTATCATCTCTCACGTCTTTTGTTCTGGCTATGATGCTCTTCCCCGATGTGCAGAAGCATGCGCAGGCAGAGATCGATGCTGTCGTAGGCCAGGACCAATTTCCCACTTTCGAGGACAGAGGCAAGCTCCCATATATCGCAGCGCTCATCCTCGAGCTCCTCCGCTGGGCACCCGTGGCACCGCAAGGTCAGCTCACATGACTTTTCGTCTTCGTTCCCACTCACCCTCAGCGATGCAGGGCTCCCTCACCACGCAATGAAAGAAGACATCTACGAAGGGTACCGCATACCCAAGGGTACGACCGTCATTGCAAACATTTTTTCCATGTCCCAGGATAAAGAAATATACCCGGACCCATTGGAGTTCAGACCTGAGCGTTTCCTGGGTCCCTCACCTCAAGTGGACCCACGCAAGTTTGTCTTTGGGTTCGGGCGCCGCGCATGCCCTGGTGCGTGTCATTTACATGACACTATCCCAACTGAAACTGAACGACGGCCCCTTATTCAACATTTCAGGGTTGCATTTTGCCGAAGCGTCATTGTACCTCAATATCTCTTGTATCCTTGCTGCATTCACGATCGCCAAACCGCTCGACGAAAGAGGAGAAGAGATCACGCTTCCTGCAGAGTATGAGAATGTTGGCGTACTCTGGTAAGACATATCTCTACGAACCTAAAACACATTCTTACACACCGAAAGGCACCCCAAACCATTCAAGTGCAGGTTCATCCCAAGGAACAATGATTTGTTGGCAACTCTTTCGCAATAACCAGCACATCACTTGCACCCCACGGATTAGTGATTTCTACCGCGTCACTACGGTTACGCAGCCATATAGACTGGATGATTTTTCTCGTTAGCAGCCCTAGATCTCATTGAGTACAGTACCCCAAAAACAACAAAACGCTCGTCTAATTCATACTTATCCAGTGTCCTCTACGTTTAGCTATGTTCACCTTTCCTGCTGTCTTGCCCATAACACAGTCTGAATTTCTTATTGGATTGCAGCTGGGCCTTTCCCTTAAGCTCGTACGCCTTAATCAGCTTCATTTCTCGACTCGCTGTGTGTCTGAGTATGACGGAAATTATACGCCAGATAACCTTAAGAGCTATGAAAAGTCAGCTCGACACTTCGGGAATTTCTCACTTCCAGTAAGTTCCTGTTTTGCGGTAGCATCTTCGTACTACTACACGCGAAGGAAGGGAGTATGTACCTTTTATGGATCAACAGACAAACTTTGACGACACCCACGTGAACGACTGACGCTTTCCGGTTTGTGAAGCAGATGTTACAAGGTGAGAAGGCTCGATTCGGGAATGGTATTGGGCGGAGGTGGAAGACTTGAGGGATATAAGGTGGTGCACGACTCGGAAAATGTTGGAATCAGGCACAAATCAGGCATGTAGAATGGGAAAATGTGGGTGTAGATTTCTGACATCCATTGAATAGGCTCACTACTGCTGGGGGAACGAGCGCATAGTTCGTATGGAGCAATTTCGACCTGACAATGGTGTTTCAAGTTAGTCTTTCCGCTCGTATCACGCTGTTTGAGGTGTCGCACGTCGCACCTGTCTGAGTCTGAGTTTCGAAGCCGCCGCTGTCTCAGTTGGTTTGAAGGTAAGTGTGTACGTATCGACATCTCCACAACAATCGGCTCAACTGTGTATGCTATGCAGTTAAGCCGGGGTTTGTGGGGTGGCTTTTCCTGATGCATCATGGGCCGCTTTATTCACACATCTTGCGCTGACTAACTTGCGACCTACCGCCCCTGTTGCGAGCTTAGTCGTAGAAGCTGACCGGTGACAGCGCATCGCTTATATCATGATCATATGCTCGGGATATTGATATAAAAACTCGGAGCGCAAGCCGCAGAAGTCGATCTACCTGTTATCTGTAACATGTCTTCTGGTATGATCATCCTCTTTGTGGCTGCAGTCACAATTTACTTCTACTGCCGTCGACGCAGTAGATTACCACTACCTCCTGGACCACCTTCAAAATTCTTTACCGGAAATGCTCATCAATTACCAAAGAAAGAGCCTTGGCGGATGTATGCCACGTGGGCTGAAAGCTATGGTGCGCATCGTCCAAATCGTCACTTACTGCGAGACTCGCTGACCTATTTCTCGCAGGACCCATATTCTCCTTCCGCGTGCCTAACCGGCAGTTCATAGTGCTCAACTCCCTAAAATCAGCCACTGAATTGCTCGACTCGCGCGCCACTACGTATTCTGATCGTCCGAAAATATGGATGTTCACAGAACTTGCGAAGCGCAGCCTACCCCCGTTCAACATATCTTTCAATCACCCGTATTTCAAGATGTATCGCACGATCTTTAAATCCAGTCTGAGTCCTCGGACGATACAAAGCTACCAGTCGCTACAAACTGAACAATCTCGCGTGCTGCTCGATGATCTGCACAAAAACCCTGAACAATTCGCCGATCACATCAGAAGGTAAAAATCCTTGTAATTACTTGTTTCAGTCGTTTCTCATTTGAGGTGCAGGAGCGCAGGGGCCGTTGTGCTTCATCTCGCATATGGCTGGAAGAGCATCGAGAGTAACGATTATTTCCTTGGTGTCTTGCGAGAATGGGAGGAAATGAGCAATATCCTATTGCAGCCTGGACGTTGGTTGGTCGAAGTGATGCCATCATGTAGGTCATCCTTTCACTTTCGGATTGATTACGAAGCTAAGCTAGTCAACATGAGTACGTTTCATACCTTCATGGTTTCCAGGGGCAGGTTTCAAGCGCGTGGCCTTTGACCTCGGCAAAAAGTTAAGTAGGCTCGACGCAATACCAATCAACTGGACCAAACAGCAGATAGTAAGTTTTGTTGAGCAATCTTGGAACATCCTATTATCGGAGTCCTAACCAATTGGCCGCTTAGAAAAGCGGCAGCTATATGCATTCCTTCGTTTCAGAACAGCTCCTTCCAGAAGATGGGTCCACGGTCAGTGCTCAACACGAAGAAATCGTCAAGTGGTGCAGTCATGGGATCTATAGAGGGGGAGTAGATACCGTAAGATATCTTTTACACCCTTATGTGGATTTTGAAACAATCATCCGCATGAGCAGACAGCATTTTCCATCACGTCTTTCATTCTGGCGATGATGCTCTATCCAGAAGTGCAGAAGCATGCGCAGGCAGAGATCGATGCCGTCGTGGGCCAGGATCAATTTCCCACTTTCAAGGACAGAGGCAAGCTCCCGTATATCGGAGCACTCATCCTCGAGCTTCTCCGATGGGCACCTGTGGCTCCGCAAGGTCAGCTACGCGACTTTCGTCTTCGTTCCTACTCAACCTTGGCAATGCAGGGCTCTCTCACCACGCAATGAAAGAAGATGTCTACGAAGGGTACCACATACCCAAGGGTGCGACCGTCATCCCAAATATTTATTCCATGTCCCGGGATAAAGAAATGTACCCCGACCCATTGGAGTTCAGACCTGAGCGTTTCTTGGGTCCCTCGCCCCAATTGGACCCACACAAGTTCGTCTTTGGGTTCGGGCGCCGCTCATGCCCTGGTGCGTGTCATTAACATGACAGTATCCCGATTGAAACTGCACGACAGCCTCTTATTCCACATTTCAGGGTTGCATTTTGCCGAAGCCTCGTTGTACCTCAATATTTCTTGTATCCTTGCTGCGTTCACGATCGCTAAACCACTAGACGAAAGAGGAGAAGAGATCACGCTTCCTGCAGAGTTTGAGGGTGTTGGTCTACTCTGGTAATACATTTCTCTACAAGCCTAAAACACATTCTTACGCACCGAAAGGCGCCCCAAACCATTCAAGTGCAGATTCATCCCAAGGAACAAGGATTTACTGGCAACTCTCTCGCAATAACCAGCGCATCACTTGCACCTCACGGATTAGTGATTTCTACTGCGTCACTACGGTCACGCAGCCATACATACTTGACTAGGTGGTTTTCTTTTTAGCAGCCCCTAGATCACATTTAATACAGTATTGTCAATGTAACCTACTGACTCGGTGGGCCGGATGAACAACATCGAGCTTGCAATGATGACCCACCATAAAACCTCTTCTCATATTGAATATACTGCAGGGTTCACGCAGCATAGGTGAGTTTTCTTCTATTGTCTTAGCTAGTTTCTGATAAAGAGTCGATCTATTTCGGAATGGTACCAGGTCACAGGGCCATCACTCCTATCCAATTCCTTCGTGAGAATGATTCGACTTCGAGGCTGGTACGGTGAGTATACAATCGGGCATTAACCTATCAGTAGCTGAGAATTACCTGCTTCCGCTGTCCAACACGTTCCCTACAGGTATAGGGTGATATCGCTTATAAGTGAGATGCCAGTTGAACACCACATCGGTTAACCTTCCCACCCTGAGTCAAGGACAGTTATGCCACCACCACTCTGGCTCAAACATATAATAGGAAAAAATACAATCTTGATACGTTATGGGCCAATAGCGACATTGGCGACCATCTTTGCCTTGCTTGGAGGGCTCTCTATCTATCTCACACATATGTATCTGGATGCGAACTTTTGGATCCAAGTGAGCATGGATGATAATACGTTGAGTTCTTTCAATGTCAGCCGATCCCCCGGTGTAAGTCTTGTATCCTGATATTTAGTGTATTCGCGCTAATCGCTGACACACAGCTTGTATTGTGAATATTTTGTTCTTGTTATCTACAGGCAAAATCTGACATTTTTTAGGCTCGCTGATATGTTCTCAATCGACCTGAATGCACAGACATTTTCCGTGAGCATCATCTTTACACCCGTGCATCTATATCTAAGGACTTTCAGGTTCACTGGTCTCTTGTTGGCGCCTGTGGACATCAGTATACAGGCTCATCGAATGATAATTGTATTCAAAATCAATTCGTCAACAATGTCGCCTTGTATCTGAACGTTCTGAACGAGTGAGCGGACTTTCGCTGTTCGAATCTGACATTCACGTTGCTCATTCGAAATGCCAGTGCAACCTGGAATGTAACAGCTCCAATCGGCACGTTTGATTCATCAACGGTACAAAATCCTCCGCCAGTGAAATACATACCCGGAAGAGAGTGAGCTTGAATCCATATATGCGCGGGCTGATAATTCGAGCATCTTCGAGGAAATTACCAGCAGAAGAATATGATGCAGTTTTGGCCATCGATCCCTTTCTTCCGTATACACTACAAAAGCAATTTTCGATTCTTTATTACCCATTTGATCAGTAAGGACATCACTTCATTCCTCTTTATCGACATTATTGACTCCCTGCAGGCATTCTGCATATGTATCGCTATTGGCCATTGACACTGACAGCAATCAATCACTGCCAATATCCGGCGTAATTGGATATGGAAGTATGGTGGGTTGGATCGGTTTCAGTGAGTTTTACCCGACTACAGTAGGGGGCGAGACCTTGTATGCGCTGTCCCTAACTGTTTACCGACAAAAAATGGTCAAGGTGTTTGCCCTTCTCCTCGTTGTCACAAACTGTAAGATTTACTGCCCAGCGCGCATGGTCCGGTTCGTTCTCATCCGACTATAGGGGTTCTCTCTATTACTATTTTATGGATGACAGTCCTGGTGATATTCCGTGCGAACATTAATGATGGCCTTATCTTGACCTCGACAGCAGGTGTGCGAGCCGCAGAGGATCGATGGATACTCCACAGTGCTGATAAATTTACAGTCCTTTTTGCCCTTCCACAGATCAGGGCCAGTATGCCAGATTCTCCGCCATTTGGTAAGTACTATTGGCCCTGCACATAGTTTTGGTCACCCTAACCAAACATCAATAAGGCGCTTTCATCGGTACCTCGAGAACAACATTGTTCGGGAAAGCATAGCTGACACATGATCCTAGATATCGCAGGTTACTTCATGAATGTCGGTCTCGTCAGCCTCTGCGTAAGTCTATGTTCACAGTGCTTTGCAGCGATTTTCTCACCCATTCTATAGACATCAATTCTCCTTTTCTCGCAATTACAGTACCATTACCAGCCAGTGGCCAGGGAATGAAAGGAAGATTGGTGGGTCATGACTCTAGAGTTTGACGCGGTCGAGAAAATTTGTGCTTGTGGATAGCATATTGTACCGACTATCAACCTGCTCTTGAAATCATTGATTCAGCGCTCATTGTCGGATTTATTTGCCTGTGAAGGACTTCATCTTGATTTAGTCTCTCCGCTTCGGTTTCCATTGTTTCAGTTATGGGACTTCGTCAATTTGACGCATACAGACAAGCCAGCGTCGAGGGCACGATCGAAGCCGCAAAAACTTGCTGTCTGGTGAAAATGCAAATGGATTGGTACATCTCATGCCAGAGGTAGTGAATTCGTAACCCTTCATATTAATATTGTGCGTAGATGAGCTCATTGGGCGATCCGGAGAGGGCGAATGTTCTTGAATGACGACACACATATAAGTTGAACGACATGTGCGGTATACTGCACAATCACAAAAATGGAGCTCAAGAGTCAATTAAGTAGAGCTGAAGCGAGGTTTCTACAGGGTGAGACGGTTCCGAAGTAACGTATCTTGGTCCCATTATAATTTTTTGTACTGAACGTGATTTGGTAGTGGAACTTGTGGAGGGCATCCAGGAATTGGACACTCTGGGGCCAAAGTCTGGGGCGGACTCTGGGGCCAGAGTCTGGGGCGCATGGTTGTTTCAGTCGGAGCTTTAATATGTTGCGGCTGACATACCACGTAAGCAAATGGACGGTGGTATTATGATGTCAGCCAGCGTGCCTCTCATCGATAATAGATAGTGCGACACCTCTATCAATGCCAGCGCCATCGATGTCGGCTGCAACCCCACCCGACATCAGTCAACTGTTTGCCTCGATACGAGAACATCCACCACTAGCCCACCTCTCATTCAACAACTTTGCCACCTTCCTTCGCCGTGCTAGCATACTCAAGGAGGACATCCTCCAACCACAGCCATATGACGTCTCTATCTTCTGCGCACCCAACGTTCTCCCACCAAGTGTGACGTGCTTCCTTGCGGCCTCTCTGGACATGCCGCCAGATGTAGTTGATGTCCTGTGGTCTTTCACAAAGGATATTGTGTGGGAGCTGCCAAGTAGCGCCGAGGCAAGCACAGACGATGAGGCTGCATTCAAGATCTATGGCCATGAGCTAGGACTCAGTAAGTTTTTGTTGCTTTTCTTAATCGTTCTGACACGACCAACAGCCAAACATGTCTTATACCCTCCCGTCAAGATTTGTATGAACCACGAGTGCATTGCATGGCAGCGTGGAACGCTGCTGAAGAAGGAAGAGCCACGTCGCATCGTTTTATTCACTCATGGCGAAGGGGCGAAGCCTGGCTGGACAGTACACCTGAGGTGCCGATGTAAGTCCATCGTACTCGCTGAAGCTCACCCTGATTGCTAACATTGATAAAGCTTGCAACACGAATTATCAGGCCAACTATAGCGTTAAAGGCACGCTTCGAACATACTACCAAGGGATACCGCAGTTCATTCAAGTCTCCGACCATCAGTTTGTCGAGCTGCAGCTTGCTATGCAGTGGATGGATTTGATGCAGATCGCGTACGTCCCTCTGTTTGTTTCTCGTTCTGCTATTACTTGATAGTGGCTCCCTTTAGCGTTTCAGCCACCAATTGCGCCAGCCTGTATGCAGTTGCCCAGGCCCGTCGCGACCTTCGCAACGACGGCGCCGATCAGTGGCAATTTGGCAGCGCTCTGACGACAGAGCAAGTCTGGGACTGCTTCACGCTGCTCGCCCTGCTCGACGATCATCATCAATGGGACGAATCACTTGTTGTGGCTCACGACGGTGATCAAAAAAACCGGTTCACAAAGGCTATGTACGCACGCAACAATCGCATCATTCTGCGAGGTCAAGACGAGCTCCCCCACGCTTGCTTTGGATGCATGCGCATCTTCGAGTCACCAGATGGTGCGCTTCGCCGAACCGAAGTTATTGTCACTGATGGTGTGACGGTTGGACGCCCCTGCTGTGCTATCCCGCGGTGCAAAAACCCTCTCGACAACAATCGACATCGATATTGTGCAGAGCATTGTCGACTCGAGACCGTTTGTGCTGTCGATGGCTGTGATCAGCCTGTTGCAGTCAATACCGAGACAGGCAAGAATCGCAAGGCCTGCGACGATCCAGTCCATCTTCGCATGGAAGCCGCCAACAACGAATCAACGCACAGCGGGAAGACCAAAACCCAACGTCAAAAAATTGCGAAGTTGAACGATGCTATCGCCACCCACATTTCTAACCTGCCCACTATTCCAACGGACGAGGACATCCCTCTTCAAGATGTCGAAGAATGGTACGAGCACGACAATGCCTCTGGTGCTATACGTTTTCGCCAGGCACCTATAACGACTTCGACTGGAGTCTCGGATCATCATGTCCCCTCAACGGATGTTGACGGGTGTAGCGCCAAGGACCTGCAACCCAAACTGAAGGCTATCTTCCGTCGTCAGCGCACAAACAACGAGCAGCTTGTTGTTCGGCCTTGTGGGATCATCTCCGGTCGTGGTACAATGTACCATCATGAGGCCGTCTCGAATGTGCTGGTAGGTTCGTCTCACTGTTGGAGGACTCATGCTCACTCGTCATCCTAAGATTATGGTCGAGAAAATGTTCTCCCTTCCGCGTGCACGTAAGCCACAACACATGATCTACGACTCCAACTGCAACGCGTTGCGTGAAGTTGAGAGTCGTAAAATCACATTCTTCGAGGGGATGGGAATGTGCGTTGACGCCTTCCATCACAAGACCAAGCATAAGGCTAGTGACGTGTTCTGTCGTGAGCGCTGTGACATGAGGGCCTACCCTGAGCTTGTTGACGAGGATGGGAAGTACTATTTTAACTCGTCGATCGCGGAGCAAACGAACGTTTGGTTTGGCGGTTTTCATAACATCTGTCGAGAGATGACACCAGTGAAGTATGATTTTTTTCTTGATGAGATGATCCTTCGTCGAAACCGTATGACTGTAGCAGCCCTTCACGTACAAGGAAAGCTTCCCCACCATCCACCTGTTATTCTATCTTGATGTAACTAGTACTCCAGCTCTTGTCTCATCACACATGGAAAAAACGCGCAGCATAGCATGACAGAACAAACAAATCAATTGGCAAGACAAATACACAAGTGAGTAGAAGATAGAGTATGTAGAACAAATCAAGGACCGGACAAATAAACGAGTGAGTAAAAGACAGAGGGAGTGAGGACAGGTGACTGAGTAACTACTTCCGCCCACTATGTTTCTTGCTCACCTCACCTAAGGCAAGGCGCCGCGCAGCAAGATAGTTTGACCACAGGCCATCCGGTGTCCGTCCCGCTCGCTTGTGCATCTCGAGGATGGTCATCTCTGTCTCGCGCCAAGCCTTCCGGTTCTGGTGATATGTTGCACGAACGAATGGGGCACCACCAAAGACAAGACTGAAAAGTTGTTCCTGACTATAGTGAACACGGAGGTTCACATTGTCCATCTGTTGAAAGCCTACAGTCATATCAAGTGTGTACATGGCGTGCGGCCAGCCTTGCCGCTTGGCAGGATTGTATACCGGAACATGCACAGGAATGATGGATGGTGGAGCGGGCTGCTGGATCTTCGAAGGGTGAGCTGGTTGCGATGTGGGCTTGGTGGTGACGAGCGGGGGTGTTGGCGACAACGAAGCAGCACGACGAGAGTCAAAATCATCTGCCTGGTGAGCCGGTTGCGATGTGGGCTTGGTGGTGACGAGCAGGGGTGTGGTGGTGATGAGCGGGGGTGTTGGTGATAATGAAGTAGCACGACGAGAGTCAAAATCATCTCCCTCGAGGTCTGCATAGGACTGTGATTGAGTTGGAAGATAAGGGGGTGTCAGCGACAGCGAAGTAGCACGACGATAGTTGAAATCATCTTCCTGCAGGTCGAAACGTGCTCGTGTTGGGGTGGGTGTCTCCTGCCCGGGGCTGGGATTCCAGCGGCGCTTGCCCAACGAGCGCTTTGGCGTGAGCTGCACGTCGTCCACAATCTCGACATCAGACGATGCTGTCTGCGGCTGCTTCTTCTTCCAGCGTACACCATCTCGCTCACCTTTGATGTTGAACCGTGCATGGGAGGGGCGATTCAAAAGCTTCGAGGACTTGAAGAGCCCATCGAAATCAGCGCACTCGGTGACACCGTGACGTCGGATGAATACGTGGCATCCTGAGTCGAGCGTGAACGTGTGCGTAAGCACTGATGGGATCCACCCTCAGAGACCATCTTGCTTGAGATTTCCTCCTGCGCGCGCGCGTTAAGATCACCAGCCCATAAAGGGTCAAGTTGATCTGTCACCCGAGGGGCCTTGGAAAGCTTATGTACCGGGAACGCTCGCGTAGTCAACACAGTGTCATCCCTCTGTTGAGGTGGGAAAAATGATGGTGGTGGTGTACATATGCGTGATGGTGTTTGCGTGGGAGATGGTGCAGGTAGCTGAGATGGGTTCGGAGCTGTGAGGAGGTCATGAAACGATGCAAAGGGAGCTGGATGTCCACCAGTGGCAGTCATTGATGCTTCGAGTGCCTGTTGAAGATCACGATATCCATAACCCGTTTCCGTGTCGTCGGTGTCAAAGAAAGGTTCGCGAGTCTCAGCATCCTCGAGGTAAAACACACTATTGTCGTCCACTGGTTGTACGTCCACGCGCTGATTATGTGCCTCCGTGCCATGAATCGGACATCCTCCACTGTCCGTGCAATGGCTGAGGCACATCCCTTGCGGACACCGCAGTGCACTGGCTCTGCGGCAAAAAGGGCCTATACATCGGCCCCCCCGCTTCCTCGGCTTCTTGTTATTCTGCTGAGGATGAGAGGAAGTCGAAGGTTGAGTGGAAGGGAATGTGGTTGAAAAGGCGTCACTCGAGGAGGTAGATGCTGTTGGCTGTGAACATGCAAGAGTCGGTGATCCATAAGGGATTAGCGCCATGATGTCAGGACGTGCCAGAAGCTGAGGGAAAAACTTGTAGAATGTGCAGGACCGGGAGCGATGCTGGCAAAATGGTCAACATGATACCCCCCGACGAACCCTCATGCCAGAGAGCACATACCATAGCCATGGGCTTGCCTTCATTGCCGTTCTTGTCACTGCGGCAGATAGTGATGGGGACAGAGCCACCACAGCTTTCACAGTCAGTGACGAGCCCGATAGCAGAATGGCGCAGTGCGAATCTGGACAGAAAGGCAAGATCCTTTTGCTGCAATGAAGACATGACGAGGCGGGCACGGGCGTGCAGTAAGAGGAGCGGGCGAGCAGGCAACACAGGAAGGGGGCAGATAAGAACGATGAGCAGGAAGGACAGCGGCGGGCATGGCATAACCATCAGGCATACTGGAGGCGGAGCATGAATACAGCATTCTAATGGCAGCTGCATGTGGGCGGGCAGCGGCAGGCGGGAGGCGGGAGGTGAGTGCATTGCAAGGCTCGTCATCGAGCGATGTTTGATGTTTAAACTCCGCTGGTCTCTGCCGGACTTGCCGATGGGCCCCAGACACTGGCCCCAGAGTCCGCCCCAGACTTTGGCCCCAGAGTGTCCAACTCCCTGACTTTCTGAACTTGTGGGGGGTGTGTGTCATCTTCCGGATTCCGAGTCCCAATGCACAATTGCAAGCCGTTAACGCGTTAACGACTGTTAACGATCATCAGCCCTACTGCAAACGATATTTTCCAAACTATATGTCGTGCCCATTGACCCCAAGAATATTGCAGGAAATTCTGCTCCAGGTGTCGATCCAGCAACCTTGTGGTCTTTACTTCCTCAGGCTCAGAAATCTACGAAGTACCACCCTTCTATGGGACTCCCGCGCCCGACGTAACTGTATTTGTGTCACTTGGTGAATGATTATACTCCAAAACTGGTGGTGTGGGACGAGAATTCATCCGCAAAGCCGTTGGCGGTGGTGTGAAGAGTGCTAAGGGACTTGGAGATGGTGTTTCTGAGGCTGTTGTCGATGGATCAACAGACCTTCATGCTACTGGTAAGATATAGTTTGGTCTACATATTGCCTTATCCCAACTACCTCTCCAAATTGTCGCTCACTTCGCGCTGTACAACTTCTCGCTCAAAATGTTACCTCCATCGGTATTCCACCCACGAGGCACATCTGGCATGCCGAAGAACATCTCCACGAATGTCACCCTCGCAAGAACGGTAATTTCGTGGAATGGGACAGAATTTACGCTATGAATGGCAAATCTGTTGAGGTCGACAACACGGATGCTGAAGGTCATCTCGTTCTAGCTGGTCCGTACTCCTGCTATCCACTGACGTCATCAGGAATTCTAACTTTCTCAAAGACGCGTTGTACTGCGCATCAACCGAGTTCAAGCCGCACACGGTCATCGATGTTGCCACTCTTACCTGGTATGTATCATATTGATTGCTCACACTTTTCAGCTTTAATTTATAAGTTATTCATAGGGCTATGGATACCGCACTGGGTGTCTCAGATCAACACCGGTGTTTTTATGGTACGTCATTGCATTGTTGCCTACCGAGGCGTCTTTAACCAAACTCTTGTATCAGACCTCCCGTGCCCTTTGGAACCGACTGGGTGTTGCCAGAGAGAGCAAGTACGATCGCTTCTTTCGCATGCCCCTTGACGAACATTATAGCCCATAAAATCTACTCTTGTAATGCTGATTGGTACAATGTCAGTCACCTATCTTGATGCGAGCGTTGCTTGAATTTGACGTTGTCTTTTTTCAAATGGGCGGGAAACCAGCGGGTGCATGCACCGGTGCGCTATTCCTTAAGGCGTTTGTAGATGGCACCGAGGCCAAGGATGGGCAGTAACTTTCTGTCTGGTAGGCTCGCCTTGGTATTTGGTGAAAAGAATGTACTCTTTATTCGATTTCAAGTGCAATCTAAACCACGACGTTGTTCGCAATGCGCCCTTTATCACGACCCCTCTATCATTAGTTTCTGATTGCTGATCACTGCATTCTAGTTCACGCGCCCATCACCATACCAAGAAAAAGGAATGACTGGGCGTCTTGTTTGGTAAGTCGTCTTAAACAAATTGTAGGAGATGGATTTATCTTATATCATCGTTCAGTGCATTGGTAGAATATATCAGATATTTCTCGAGTCAAAGATGGGATGCATGAGCAAAGATGTGTATTGCTCACTACGCTAGGCCGCTATTTTGTGCATTTTCCAAAACGTCGATGACCTTCACAGTGAAATCTGTATGCGCAGTACGACAGAATAAGATTGAATGATTACTTGATTTGTGTGGACTAACTGTCTAACGTTTGGGGACTGTGCCTTGTTCACCAGTGTAATCGAAAGGGCATCGATACATGATCGTGTAAAGAGCACCTGCTAGGATATGTCACTGGCCGGTTCACTCAATGTATTTCAACAATGCAACGCCAACAGTACTGTGGCACTCCTTCCTGGGGACCAATTGGTCGAAGAAACCTGGATGAATGTTGATTCCCCACTTTGTCTTCAGGAATAGTCGTGACAGGCAATCGCTGCCCCGATATGAGTCGATCATTCCTGCATACATGCATGCGCACTGGATCTCGTTGGGTAACATATCACACCAAAGGACAACGGCTGTAAGGTTATCTCAATGCTAATGGATTCGATTATACAGGAATATAAAGACAACGAAGCTGGAGCAGAGCGTGACTATTAAATTTGGCCATGATACATCGTCTAGGACAGTAGCAACACTGAGCAGCGAATACGATCAACTGGGAGCAAAAGTTCAAACATGATTCATGTATTTCTATCTGACCTCTCCATACATCAACTGCCGCAATAATATCATTGTGGAGTACGGCTAGATGTGTCGAATTTAGAAAATGCGAGGGATGGACAGGAAAGACTAAGAACTCACGCATCTCGGCAATTCGACCATTGTGTCCCGTGTGCCATGCAGCTCAAATCAAGCTCGACACGTCCTCTTGGGATCACTAGTGCAGTGCCAAGAGAATAAAATGTGGATCGGGAAGCGTGGGGTACCCAGAAAAGAAGCCGACGATTGGGTCCCACCACCCATCCATCAGCTCCCAACAAGAAAGGAGTTGAATCGGAATCATGACAAGGGGTGCCCTCAAGCAGGTCAGCGGGGTTGCGCAGCGCATGTCCCAAGGTGGATGAGAAGCGAATGAAATAATTGTTCCAAGTGTCGGATATAACAGGAGACGGACTCTCCTGTGTGCGAGGTGTTATGTTTAGAGAGAATGCGGAGGAAGGTGGCTCGGTGGAGTCGTGGAATGGCTGCACTACGTCCCACAGCCGGACAGTGTTATCGAAAGAACCAGACGCGATGCGAGCACCATCCGGTGAGAACGAGACTGACCGAACCCAAGAAGTGTGCCCCTCCAAAGGCTGACCTAATGGCTGTCCCGTTGCTGCATCCCACAGCCGGACAGTGCTATCATCCGAACCAGACACGATGCGAGCACCATCCGGTGAGAACGAGACTGACCGAACCCAAGAAGTGTGCCCCTCCAAGGGCTGACCCAATGGCTGACCCGTTGCTGCATCCCACAGCCGGACAGTCTCATCCTCCGAACCAGACGCGATGCGAGCACCATCCGGTGAGAACGAGACTGACCGAACCCAAGAAGTGTGCCCCTCCAAAGGCTGACCCAATGGCTGTCCCGTTGCTGCATCCCACAGCCGGACAGTGTAATCATCCGAACCAGACGCGATGCGAGCACCATCCGGTGAGAATGAGACTGAGTGAACCGGATAAGTGTGCCCCTCCAAAGGCTGACCCAATGGCTGTCCCATTGCTACATCCCACAGCCGGACAGTGTTATCCCAAGAACCAGACACGATGCGAGCACCATCCGGTGAGAACGAGACTGACAAAACCGACTCAGTGTGCCCCTCCAAAGGCTGACCTAATGGCTGTCCCGTTGCTGCATCCCACAGCCGGACAGTCTTATCCTCCGAACCAGACGCGATGCGAGCACCATCCAGTGAGAACGAGACTGAGTAAACCGAATCAGTGTGCCCCTCCAAGGGCTGACCCAATGGCTGTCCCATTGCTGCATCCCACAGCCGAACAGTGTAATCATCCGAACCAGACGCGATGTGAGCACCATCCGGTGAGAACGAGACTGAGTGAACCGACTCAGTGTGCCCCTCCAAAGGCTGACCCAATGGCTGACCCGTTGCTGCATCCCACAGCCGGACAGTGTTATCCCAAGAACCAGACGCGATGCGAGCACCATCCGGTGAGAACGAGACTGACTGAACCCCTGAAGTGTGCCCCTCCAAGGGCTGACCCAATGGCTGTCCCGTTGCCGCATCCCACAGCCGGACAGTGTAATCATCCGAACCAGACGCGATGCGAGCACCATCCGGTGAGAACGAGACTGACTGAACCCCTGAAGTGTGCCCCTCCAAGGGCTGACCCAATGGCTGTCCCGTTGCTGCATCCCACAGCCGAACAGTGTAATCATTCGAACCAGACGCGATGTGAGCACCATCCGGTGAGAACGAGACTGACTGAACCCCTGAAGTGTGCCCCTCCAAGGGCTGACCCAATGGCTGTCCCGTTGCTGCATCCCACAGCCGGACAGTCTTATCCCAAGAACCAGACGCGATGCGAGCACCATCCGGTGAGAACGAGACTGAGTAAACCGACTCAGTGTGCCCCTCCAAAGGCTGACCCAATGGCTGTCCCGTTGCTGCATCCCACAGCCGGACAGTGTTATCCGAAGAACCAGTCACAATGCGAGTACCATCTGGTGAGAACGAGACAGAGTCAACCGAAGAAGCGTGCCCCTCGATCACGGTCTGAACAGCCGCCCAGTTCAAATCACGTCCGGATGCCAGACGAAGGCTATTCGGAAACCTTGGAGTGAAATTGGCAGCGATGTTGGAGTTGATGGGGGAGAATGGTAGCGCTGATAAATACAGATGTGGCGTGCTGTGCAAAATCATGCCGCCAAAGATTTGAACGAATCTCTGCACATCCATTGCAGTGGACAGCACATCTTCGTATACAGAACGGCCCTGCGGGTTGTTTATGAACTTTTCGTCCACCATTGCCTAACGAGCAAGTGCTCACCTTCAGCCACTGGGAAATCAGCGGACGTGCGGCAAGTGCGAGGGCAAGTGCGTTCAAAAGGCCAAGTGCTTCAATCCAGAAAAGCAGCCGCTCGTGGACGAAGAATGATCGTATTTCATTTGCGAGCTCCGTGTCAAAGTCTGTTGCTTGTACGTGCGTAGCCCAGAATCGGCAGGAATAGGACAAATGTGGGGAAATGGACGTTTCGATTCGTTGAGGAAGCCCCGTGTCTTCACGGTTAGGGATATATGAAGACTTCAAATCACATATATTGAAACCAAGGCCATGTTCCATCACTCGAAGTGATGCAAATGCAAGGTCGCGCTGTACGTCGGTCACCTCGATGAAAAAGTCTCCGCTGGACGATTTGTCTGTCAGGAAGTCACGGAAGGATGCATGAAGCGGTCGGATGGCTGAACATGAGTTCGTGGTGCCGCTGAGAAGGGATCCCATGTGTTTTATGATGTCCATGTTGTCATGCTTGCTTCGGTCTGGAAAGTGGCTCCGCATGGCATTGAGGGAGTCGAAAGGGAGTGGTTCAGCTGTGCCAAGTATCTGTCCCATCATGGAACGAAACCCTGCGAGTGCTTCTTCATATTCGTCACCGTAATATTGATCCTTCTTCATAATTTCTTTCAAAATGACCTTATAGATATCGTCCAACAAGTTTGTCTGCTTTCCTGCCCTGCGCTTCACGAGATCATCGAAACGCGACATTTTGCGTACGCCGGCAGGGGTATCTTCGATGTGTCCACACGCAAGACGCGCCCACTCAAAGAGTCCATCGGCTTTTGCAGCGAGGGGTGCAAGATCTATGTCCTGAAACTCTGGTAGCACTTTCAGCTCATTAGACACGAAGGCGTGAATGTCGCGCTCCACGACTCCTGGTTGAATATCGTCCATGGATAACCGTAGAATATGACCAGCACCTTCAAATTCCGTTTCGATATCGTGAAGCGGGCGCGAGGTAACCAGAATCCGAAAGTTGGATGGGAGTTCAGTGATGTTAGGAAGTCCTTTGTCCTGAAGTTTGCCGGCAAGTATGCGGAGAAGGTCCCGCCGCGTTTTCTCCCCACCGCTCTCGTCCAGCGCTTCAATCACAATCAAGACAGGCCCTACACTTGACGCGGAGAACTTCTTTAGTGGGTCCACGACAAGCTTCTCCCACTGCTGAAAGATATCCGTCGAATTCTTGAGTGAAGTGTTATTTTTGACCGCATCTGCTAATCCTCGTCTTATCTCCGGATCACAATCAGCCAGGTCACGAGCGATGGTGGTGAAAACATTTTCATGGCGCGTCACTTGGGCCCTGTCGAAGCAAAAACACGACCCGAGCCTTCCCCTGTCTTTGAACCTCTTGGCAATCGTGTGAGCGATGGCTGATTTGCCCTTGCCTGCAGGGCCAGATAACCACAACACACGCTGAGCAGCATCGTCGCTGCTGTTGATCCATTCTGTAATCTGGGAGAGAATGTCGGTGCGCGTTCCTGGTAGACACTGTTTCCTAGTATCTAGTCCTGCGTCCTTTGCATAGGCGATATCGCTGAGATCCATTGTGTCGCCTGCAGAAGTGTGAGGAGGCGTAACAATTGGAAGCACGTCCGAATACTCACCCGCACATTGAACAAAGATGGCTACGTCCAGAAGAGCTCGGTCCCGAAATTTCTGCATAAGCCTATCCAAAGCGTCGCTGTACTGTTGAATCATAGCCTTAGTTGCCGAGACCAAGTGTTTCCCCAGTCTTTTCCCTATAATCAAGGTAGAAGATTAAGAATGAGCGAACACGATAGCTCGCGACTCACAATAGCTCCTTATCTCTGCATAATCCCTGATGAAATGGGCGCACTCTCGAGTCTGATGTGCGATCTGTCCAACAATGTCACCCATCGATTCAATCTGGCCAAGAGTGTCGTCCAGGGTCATGAAGGTATCTACTTCACTTAGTTTCTTCAAAAGGTCGAGTACCAAATTGTCGCGCTCCGCTTGAGCGAGAATGATCTACATGAAGTTATAACTTCTGAGAAGGACACAGAACTCCGACACAACGGAACGTACTTTGGATGCAGCAGAAAGTACGCCCAGCGCCATATTTACGTATGGATGTACCTACACCTTGGTTAGTTCTGTACCAACTAAGGAGAGCGGCCCATACATTCGCGATCTTCTTAATGATAGTGTCGAAAATTATGAGGGGTTGGAGGTATGTGGTCTGGAAGTTGTCTGCGGTAGCAAGACCTGCTGGGGCATTGTTGGCGGCGTCCGCCGCAGATAGCGCAGGTTCCCCGAGTATTTTCATGTGTCCTGCAGCGTCTTCGGCGCCAACCGATTTGGGACCAGATGTTTCATCCACACCAGGAGGGGTGGCAAGAACCTGCACGACCACTGGAATTTAGAGACGAAGACTAAATAATTTGACGCAAGTACCTTCGAAGTAAGTTCTCTGGATGAGCCTTGGTCGATGCGACCACCGGGACCCCCAGTTGTGGTGGGACGCGTGTCGTCGGCGGGAGGATTCAAATGCAACGTGTCCTGGGCGCCTCTGAGAAAAACTGAAGGATAAAGAGTTCGAACACCTACCTCGATATTCTGATTCGGTGCACTTTGAAGGTCGATGTCCTGAACCGCAGGAATGGCCTTCCGGGAACGCTTCAAGCATTTCCACACAATGTTAGCCATATTCAGAATCCGGACAATTCAGTGATCTACTCACAGAAATTTTCTTAGGGATACCTTTGATAAATTTCCGCATGGCTTGCCGGACTCGTCTATGGGGTCGGTTCTGGACGAAGAACGTGTCAGAGGCAGGGATGTTGAATGTATTAGCGCTCATTCATAGTGAATGAGCTCATGGGAACACCTTGACATACCGAGTTTTCACCAGCGGTTACTGCGCAGACTTCTGGAGGAGGATCTAGCCTTTGTCCTTCGCTTTTAATGGCGATCGATTAGTGTGAGCGAAGTGCGGGTGCAGCAAGTAGTGGGTGGGGGAAGGGAATAAACCTCTGGTCATGGGCCGATCTGATAGCCTTGACAGCAAGCTTCGAAGCATATTCTAGCGCTAATCACGATTACGGACCATGGTATTGCCGAAGGAACAGCGAGGGAAAGAATCTAGACGAACTCGGGATATAAATGATCCGGGTGTTGATTGAAATCAATGCACAATTGATTCACTATGCCAGATGCTAGTAGCATGCCACGCAAGGTAGGTACATGCAAAATTATGTGTCGGTCTACGTTCAGACTCTGCGTGTGGCTGGAACAACATTTCCGCCTGCGACGCAGCGCAGAACAGTTGGCGCTTACTGGTGAGTTGTGTTCCTTGAATGCGGACTTGAGCATGTGTACATACCTCCGCACCCTTATATCTGAACTCGCAGATCGTCATGATTGAATAGTGCAGAGTCCAGAAAGATCAATTAATGCATGCTCGCGGTTGGAATTCGTCTGCAGTCTCCCCTAGCCAGACCATATAGAAGGAAGACAGTCGTTCCTTCTTGTAATTCGTCCGGGGCTTCAATATTGCTTCAACTTGATATTCAATGCCATTTTAGGCTTTGGGCAGGTGAAAATTGACGCGGGTCCAGCGTGACGCCACTTTTGTGATGCGGCACTGTCACATCTAATTAACGATGCCAGGACAAGCGGAAAGAGGAAATGTTAACGTTCTAAGCCGCCTTCACATCCTTTTTGAGAAATTGACATCGACTTCACATTTAGTCTTTGCTCGAGCTCGCTGTGTTGCACGACTAGTTCTATCTGCCGGGGCGATGGTGATGCAGTTGGTCAAATGACGTTGAAGGTAAGTGCATACGTTAATATCAGTAATCGGCTCAACTGTGTATGTATACAGTTGAACCGAAATTTGCGGGGGTAGCTTTGCCTGATGGGGCCGCCTTATCTCACATATTGCCCAAGGAGGCTGGCTAACTTATGCCGGACCCAGTGCCATGCCTCGTGTTGCGGTTTGCATACGAGCCTAGTTGCAGAAAGTGACCGATGACGGCACGTCGCTTATTATATGCTCCGAGAGGACGATGATATTAAGAACTTGGGGAACAACTTGAAACCTCAGAAGTCGACCCACCTGTTATTTGTTACATGTCTACTGGCATGATCATCCTCTTTGTGACTGTAGTCACAATTTACTTCTACAGCCGTCGGCGCAGTAGATTACCACTACCTCCTGGGCCACCTCCAAAATTTTTCACCGGAAATGTTCATCAACTGCCGAAGAAGGAGCCTTGGCGGATGTATGCTACGTGGGCTGAGACCTATGGTGCGCATTGTCCAATTTTCGATTTGCTGCGAGACTCGCTGATCTATTTCTCACAGGACCCATATTCTCCTTCCGTGTGCCTAACCGGCAGTTCATAGTGCTCAGCTCCCTAAAATCAGCCACTGAATTGCTCGACTCACGTGCCACTACGTATTCTGATCGTCCAATAATATGGATGTACACAGAACTCGCGAAGCGCAGCCTGCCCCCGTTCAATATATCTTTCAATCACCCGTATTTCAAGAAGTATCGCACGGTCTTTAAATTCAGTCTGAGTCCTCGCACGATACAAAGCTACCAGTCGCTTCAAACTGAACAATCTCGTGTGCTGCTTAATGATTTGCACCAGAACCCTGAACAATTCGCCGATCACATTAGAAGGTAATTTTTAGTGACTACTTGTTTCAGTCGTTTCTCATTCGAGGTGCAGGAACGCAGGCGCCATCGTACTTAATCTCGCATACGGCTGGAAGGGCACCGAGAGTGACGATTATTTCCTTGCTATCTTGCGAGAATGCGATGACATCAGCACTGTCCTATTACAGCCTGGACGTTGGTTGGTCGAAGTGATACCATCATGTAGGTCATCCTTTCATTTTCGGAGTGATTATGAAGCTAAGCTAGTGAACATGAGTACGTTTCATACCTTCATGGTTTCCAGGGGCAAGTTTCAAGCGCGTGGCCTTTGATCTCGGGCAAAAGTTAAGTAGGCTTGACACAATGTTATTTGACTGGACCAAACAGCAAATAGTAAGTTTGCGAGGTGTTCTGTTATTGGAGTTCTAACCAATTGTCATCCGTCGCTCAGCAAAGCGGCAGCTATACGCACTCCTTCGTTTCAGAACAGCTCCTTCCAGATGATGGGTCCACGGTCGGTGCTCAACACGAAGAAATCGTCAAGTGGTGCAGTCAAGGGATCTATAGAGGGGGAGTAGATACCGTAAGATATTTTTTACACCCTCCCTTATGTGGATTTTGAAACGATCACTGGCATGAGCAGATAGCATCATCTGTCACATCTTTTATTCTGGCGATGATGCTCTATCCCGAGGTGCAGAAGCATGCGCAGGCAGAGATCGATTCCGTCGTGGGCCAGGACCAATTTCCCACCTTCGAGGACAGAAACAAGCTCCCGTATATTGGAGCGCTCATCCTCGAGCTCCTCCGATGGGCACCTGTGGCTCCGCAAGGTCAGCCACATGACTTTTGTCTTCGTTTCCGCTCACCCTCAGTGACACAGGACTCCCGCACCACGCAATGAAAGAAGATGTCTACGAAGGGTACCGCATACCCAAGGGTGCGACCATCGTCCCAAATATTTATTCCATGTCCCGGGATAAAGAGATGTACCCCGACCCATTGGAGTTCAGACCCGAGCGTTTCCTGGGTCCCTCGCCCCAATTGGACCCACGCAAGTTCGTCTTTGGGTTCGGGCGCCGTGCATGCCCTGGTGCGTGTCATTTGCGTGACAGTATCCTGGCCGGAATTGAACAGTGGCCTCTTCAAAATTTCAGGATTTCATTTTGCTGAAGCATCATTGTATATCAATATTTGTTGTATTCTTGCTGCGTTCACGATCGCCAAACCGCTTGATGAGAGAGGAGAAGAGATCACACCTCCTGCAGAGTTCGAGAGTTTTGGTGCGCTCTGGTAATACATCCCTCCATGAGCCTAAAACATATTCTTACACACCGAAAGGTACCCTAAGCCCTTCAAGTGCAAGTCCATCCCAAGGAACAAGGATTTGTTGGCAACTCTTTCGCAATGACCAGGACATTAACCCACTTGAAGTAAACTCCACAGATTAGTGAATTTCTACCCCGTCGCTACGGTCACGCAGCCATATGGTTTTTCTCGTCAGTAGCAAACCTCATCGAATTGAATACCGTCGATGTAGCCTATGGACTCGGACAAACGCTCGTCTTTACCCTATGTCCGCTCTCGTCGTCATTTCGCTATGTTCACGTTTCCTGCTGTCACGCCCATAACAAGTCAGAATTTCTTATCAGATCACAGCTGGGTGTTTCTCTTGAACTAATACGCCTCAATTTGCTTGGTTCCTCAAATCGCTGACGGAAGTTTCGTGTTCCGTTAGATGATCATTATACAATGGGAATAAGTCACCGCATGCTGAACGGGCTGATGCCACGAGTCCTGACTGTCAATCTGGCCCTGGTGGCAGATATGGCTGCAGTGCTGGGCAAATCCTGCTGCCTGTTCGCAGTATTTTTAGAGTGTTACTCAGCACAATAACCATCTAGTACGCTCCGAACAATAATCGTCCTAGTGATTCATTCAATTGAAGCAGTGGCACCAACGCTAATGATCATCCTGATACTAATAGGCAGCGCACGATAAAATTCCGTTAAAGTTAAACGTTTAGGACTCCGTGGGTAATGACGTTAATCATTGGTTTACTGGAGCCGCCTTGCTGCACATGCAACGCTGAACTCCGACTACGTATTCAAGTACTCTTATGGTCACACGGAAAACGTCTGAAATGCCCTTTCCTGGTATGAAAGGGTCCGCAAAAGATATACCCCTTGGAGCCCTGGGCGTAAAGCCCTTCTCTGACAAGCCGGGAAAGGTTACCTTGTTCTCGGAGGTCAGGTGGTAATTGCGCAACGTCATGTAAAATATATAAAGGTCGAGGCCTTCCCACAACCTTTCTATACACTTACTCTCCATACCCTGCTGTCCCACTCGAAGTTGTTTCATCCACTTTTGTTCAGACCACCGTGCTAACATCCTCGTTTAGATCATTATGCCTGGAAGCACTTTTCCTCCTTTCCCGGACGATGTTCAAACACACCCGCTCTTAATTATTGATTACGAGCTCATTAAGGCTGGAGACGTGGAGGAGGTAAATCGACTGTGGGAGGCAGCGACAACCATTGGATTCTGGTAGTACGTTATATCTATATTGTTGAATGTGTCGAATCTAACTCTCCATAAGTTTAAAGAATCACGGCGCAGACCAAGACGTCAGCGACATGTTTGACATGGGAGCTGAGACAATGGCTCTGCCCCTCGAAGAACGTATGAAGTTCGAGCAAGGAGACAAAGGACAATCTTTTGGGTCCGTGTCGATTTCTCATAACTGTTTCTCGTATCATCTGAGTTCCTCATTAGATACAAGAAAGTAGGGGCTAATGCGATCGATGCAACTGGTAGGACTTGCAGGAAAATTTACTAACAGCAGATTGACACAAATATAGGCGCCTTGGACGCTGTTGAATTCATCAACGTCTCTAAAGATGATGCACTAGCATATCCACAGGTCGTTCACCGCACCTACCCATCGACCGTAAATGCTCGCATGGAGAACACGATCGCACCATTTGTCCGCAAGGGTCTCGAGGTGACATATGTTATGTTTAATATATTCAATGACAAGCTTGGACTGCCGGAAGGGACTTTGGAGAGACTACATGACATGGAGGAGCACAGTTGTAGCGAGACCAGATGCATTCACAGCCCCCCTACTGCGCAGGTCAAGAAAGCGATGGAAAGGGCTGTATTAGGTGCACATACTGATTTCGGCAGTCTGGTTGGTTGCTCGATATATGTGGCCATGTTTTTTTAATCAAACATTACCAGAGCTTCTTGCACAATCGCCTCGGTGGCCTCCAAGTGCTCCCACCTGGTCATGACGAGTGGTCCTACATTCGAGTGAGCACAAGTTTTCATGCTCGCGTGCAGCAGACACTCATCTACGGATAGCCTATTCCTGGACATGCGATTTGCAATGTTGGAGATGCGTTGGCTCTTTTCAGTGGAGGCATCCTTCAATCCAACATCCACCGCGTTGTGTGCGTGCATGAGTACTTAAATTTGCAGCCTTGCTAATCTGTCGAATGACTATGGACAGTCCACCTCCCGGCGCACAGGCTGAATACGAGCGGTGGTCCTTGGTTTTCTTTTCCCGTCCGGGCAACTCCAAAGTCCTCCGGGCTCTTGTCGAATCCAGTCATATTATTGCAGAGGCAGTGAAGAAGCAACTTGACAGAAACTTTGAGACTGGTTCCAGCGCTGTGGAGTGGTTCGCGAGAAGAATCAGGAATCAGAGGATTAATAACAGAACGGTAGGAATTTCTTCAGTGCGTTGTGGTGGATGTGATCATGGATGCTGGAATTTCACAGGGACCAGAGACGTGGGCTGCAAGCCGAGGCACGGAGCACACTCCGACGGCGGCCTAGGTCGTGAATTGTCTGTCGCGTTCGATGATAGAATTAACCAATCTGATTCGATGCGGCTTGCGCAAGTACGCTTCGCCAAAGTAAGCGTACAGCGAACACATATTAATTATCGTTGTTTCTGAACAAGGCTGGTAATCGCATTCACAAGATCATGAATCAAACCTGAGTGGGTGCGAGACCAGCAAATCGACTCTGCGAATCATCACCAGTCAATCCAGTGAAAAGGCGGTAAAACTTCAGGCAAGTAGTTGGGTATCGTGGGGGAAAGGTGCTTGTGTGTAGTAGCATCTGTAGCGTATGTAGCAACATGAAATAAAAATGTCAAGAGTATGCCAAAACATTACTTTAGTAAAATCTGACGCATCAACAAGGAGGGGATCTCGAACAACGAGCGACAGCTAGACTCAACAACTAGAAAACAAGACCAAACGAGCGAGCAATTTCAAATGCTCGAAAATCTATGAAACAAATAATCCATCCGTGGACCGTCTAGGGTCGGGTAATACATCAGCGTGAGATCATCCATTTGGCCAGTGGCATTCACGCCAGCTTGCCGTTGATAGTCTACGAGACGATGATTAACACTTCAAGGTACACTAAAAAACAAGCAACGACGCACCATCATCGACTTCCTCGCCGCCCACCGCTTCTCAGTGTAATGCGCAACACGCTTCAAGTCTGACCACATAAATAAGGGTATGACGAACGCCATAACAGGGATTGCGATCTTCCAAAATCTGTGCGCACGCATGGGTCAGCCTTGAGTTTCGTGACATTTGGGCAGATAAAATACGTACAAGGCGTCGGAATGGGTATTGACACTCCACATATATTCGAAGTTCATTCCCTGTGCGATGCGTTAGACTCATGGGCGCGAGTGAGGTAGGAAAAAACATACAAAGTAACCCGTGAGCAATGTCAGGGGGAGGAATATGATAGTTGCGAGGGTGAGGCGGCGCCTGATAGTCCACATCAGTTCGAGGAGGCATGTTGATGAAATCAAAGGTGCACCCACATGACTACGTTCATCTCGTATGATTTGATCTATCGCTCATGTTAATCAGGACGAGAAAATCGAGACAGTAATGGCGCACATTGAAAGTGTAGTTGATGAGATTTTCTGTGATCCCTGCGAACATATCCATGCTCGTGAGGATATATTCCATATGATCGTGCACGTCCGCCTGTCACATTGTCTCAGCTCAGCCGAAGTTTGTACAACGGAGAAAAAAAAGTCACGACGCACCAGGTATATTTTACTTTTATGGGTCATGAACCCCTTCACTTTCTCTCCCCGTAGCTCCTGAATCTCCTTCTCATCTGACGAAAGTAATGCAGCACACCGGTCCTCGTCGTACCGCCGTAGCCCATAGATGACCGTCTTGAGCGGCCCAAGGGTCCGCTTGTGCAGCATCAAGTCACCGGAAAGAATATGCACTATGTTTCAGGGATGTCAACACAAACAGAAACGGATAGAGAGGAAAACGCTCACGCCTCGAAACCACTTTCATATCTGGCTTCATTAACACATCGTACTCCAGCTGCAATATCTTCTCGTGGAATGAATCCACTACCTCGAGTGCGGAATCCACAACGAGGTCGAGCAGACTTTGAACGAGCAGACTGGGATCTGCGGATGCGCGCAGGACCGTGTCAGGTTGTCGGAGGCGTGCCATGATGGGACCTGCAAAGTCGGCAAAATTGGACGGCATGATGGAGATAACCGTGCCTGTGTCAGGCAGTCAGTAATTATCACTTGACGTTGGGATCAGAATGGGTAACTCAAACTCGAACCAAATACGCCGAACCAAAAGCATAAATGCGTACAAGTTGCAGTATATGCGCAGAAATAGAACATATAGTAGTGAGTGTTGGCTCACAACCAGAATATATGCGCCATAAATCATCGTACGCATGGCCAACCGGACATGTGCACATTCCGATCGGCATGAATTGGTACAGGACAGGTCGCGTAGGCGAAGAAAGGACAGAATACGGCGGGGAACAAAGTAAAAAAAATACGATGATGAAGCAACTAGGCACATCATTGCAGCACTCACCATCTCTCAACAAGAAGATTGATATCGGCTGGACGGAGACGTTGACGCGACCTGCCTTCTTCAGATCTGTCAGAGTGAGCTGAGCTTTCTCCCGGCGTTTTCGGGACTGCGCAACGAGGATGTTACGATGAGCATTGGTTCGGAACTGGATTGATTAAGAGGAGAGCAAAAAAGTACGTCGACAAAAGTGCGAACAGAAATGTGATGTTGAAGCAGGTTGGAGATAAAAGCGAAGAAAAAATGGAAATGAAATGAGGAAAAACATAAAATGCGAGAGACACGACGCACCGCGCTCTCTTTCCGTGTAGCAGACGTCAGTGCAGCTAAGTCGTCTTCTTTGACCCTTGCCGCACTCTCCATGTCAGCTTTCGGTGACCTTCTGCTCCTGATAGTGCTTCCAAGCCGCCAGGTTGCAGGCGAACTGCCGCCATACATCGTGCGATCTTCATCCCCAACCTCTGCATGAACGTCACTGCCCTTGAAATGCTCGTTCTTGTAGTAGTCCCCTGGTGTCATTGGACCTGGCGAGGAGCTCCGTGGTGGGTCTTGGTCTTCTGGTACGTAGGAGTTTGGAGATGAAGAAGAGGAAACGAGTGTGTGAGATAAGACATGAATATAGAGGTGTTGACTGTAGTAGTCCGTTTTGGAGCGCGTGTGTCCGCGTTTGTGCAGGACGTCTTCGAGGGCGAGAGGGTGAAGGTCTACAGTCAATGATTTTCAACGCCTCACATGATGTATTATATAGCTGCATGACATACCATATTTCAGGGCAAGCGCACTCATTACATCCCAACTGGTGCCGCACACATTAATCCACCTCACCTTCACCCACGGCTCCCTCTCTGAACTTCTCTCATCGTTGAACATTTGTACGAAGCGCTCATTGTCCATCTTTCCAAAACTGCTCCTCACGGAGCTATAGTCGGTGATCTGGATCTCGCAGCGCTCACGGATATGCGCGTAGTGGAGATATGCGGACTGCCTGCGCGGATCAATACCCGGTTCTGCACCGGCGAGGCCAAAGCCCGAAATGACGGTTGTTGTGCGGTGCATGGAAATTACTTTGCGAACACATGCACGGAAGCGATCTTTTGGAGTTTGAAAATGGAGGGCAGCAGCACGCTTGGGCCGCAGTGAAGACGGGATTATTGACGAGGATGCACGTCGCCTAGACTGAGGTACAGGCTCTTGGGAGGATATATTGGAGGGCAGAGACGGTTCAATATGAGTAGGAGACGAAGAACGCGGCGCTGCAAGCGATGGCGCAAACTCGTCCTCAAGGTCAGGCGTCAAGGAACGCCCGACAGAGTCCGTGTAACTGTTTTCGCGAGGCATGGCAGGCTGTAATCGTCAGTAGGACAGCTAGATTCCTTGTCGGTATGAGACTTGAGTTTGGGGGTATCGTTTTTAGTAGAGTCTAGTGGCCAGGGCCTGTGACAGTAAAGCACACCGGAGAATAATGTTTGACCAGGTCGGGGTTGAACCTGATGGTAACTCAGACCCAGTGATATCGATAAGGGGCCGCACGGCTGCAGGGTGAATGTGTTCTAGAATACAAGGATGAAAGAATCCGAGCCGATAAGTATATGAAACTGGGACTCCGGCGGAGTCATAGTTGACGAGTCATAGTTGACCTGTTACTGTTCCGGAATTGATCGGTTCCCAAACTCAAGAAGAACAAGGTACGTGCAAGGTGACATTACTTAGTCATGCCTGACCCCCAGGACGAGTAATGAGTGACCTGTTACTGTTCCGGAATTGATCGGTTCCCAAACTCAAGAAGAACAAGGTACGTGCAAGGTGACGTTACTTAGTCATGCCTGACCCCCAGGACCTCCTTGCTCAGAAATACTCATCCGAACAGCTGGGTTTCTAACCCGAACATACCCCTGGCTTTGAAACCATCACTGCTGCATTACTTCTCTTCCTTCCTCCCGTCGTCCACTTACGCCCTTCAAACAGATGGGTGATGAACCTGGCGCACAACTGCGGAGCCTCTGTCGTTGGCGCTTCCTTCCTCCCGTCGTCCATTTACGCCCTTCAAACAGATGGGTGATGAACCTGGCGCACAACTGCGGAGCCTCTGTCGTTGGCGCTTCCTTCCTCCCGTCGTCCACTTACTCCCTTCAAACAGATGGGTGATGAACCTCGCGCACAACCACGTACGTCCTTATCCGCTTGTAACTATAATGATTATATTGCAGCTAAAGTATGGTGCTAGGCTTGTGGACATCAGTCGACAGACGTGCAAATGTCTCCCCCTGCTGAACCTCCCCAGCCCAATCAGGCTAACTCACCAGCACGTTCTAAGGCCGAGTCCCAGCACGTTCCGGTATCCGTCCCTCTCAGTAGTTACCACATCTCCATGAACGGTTATACCACCCTGAGTGTGGGGGCAGGTATGTTGTATGATGATGTTCCAGCTGCATGCTAATAATCGAGTGCCCCAGTCAGAGTACTATATGACGAGACTATGAAGCCGCATTCTGAGTTGTCTGCGACTGTGAGTGGCGGCAGGGACTGCATTTTCGGGGGTAGGTAGTCTACGATGCAAGCACCAGATACTAATGCAAATGACAGGGCACTAAACGTGCTGATTTGCGCTGGAGATGGTGGCTTGTGGAGCGAGAACGACGGCAGTTCAACCACTGGTTCTTTGACACGTGCATGTCGCACTGTTGGCATCGCCGTATCAGAATGCAGAGGTGCTGCGTGCTGCACCATTGGCATTGTAACGGCGCGCGCCGTAGCAGGTTGTGAGGGTGCGCCCTGTGTTGCACTCACTGTGGAGTGACGTTTTTGCTGCACTCGAGCTGACGAAAATGAGCTAGTGTTTGAAGTGTAATATAAGTTCTTACTTTGTCGCATAATGCACTGTTTCGCGCGTTGAATATAAGTTGCACCTTGGTCTCGAGTTGATACACCAAATGTGGTGTGGACATCCATACTGTGTGTTGCTCCCTGATCGTATCTCATGCCTTTCATGAGGCCGGCTAATAGAGTCAAGTGAATGCCTTCGCGATACGCATTACGATGAGATTGCTCGTTGCCATTGGTCGTTGCGGGTGATGCTTTCCAAAAAGCAAGAGGTATCAGGCTCGCTGGCTGATATATTGCTGGAAACGCGAATTTCGTGCCTTCAAGCTTATCTTTCAGCCATGCTGGTGATGTGTCAATTTTTACGAAGTGTTTTTTTGATGATAATTCACCTGCGGCTTTTGGACCACCATTGCGAATGATATCCAACGTCTTCTGAATGTCTGGATGGGGCTCGGATGTTGCCAAGCTCAACATTGCTGCATATACTTTGTCCGAAACGTGGGTGTGAAGGCCATGGACATTTCTTTTATAGTGTGCCACGCAAAGCCGATAGAATCGCCGGAGATGGTCGTACGGCCCCAGATCGCAGAGACGACGTTGCGACTCGTACGGGCATGGTGTCGTGATGGAGCGAGACAGTTGTGCGCAATACATTCCCAAACCTACAATGCTATTAGTTAGTTTTTACAAGAGGTGTCTGCATGGCTGCTACACGCACCTAACCCTTGACCTTTGTGGCTATCCGCAATCACCGTCTCGAACCCACAGCCATGGATATGGTTGAACGACACAGGCAACCCAGTGTCAGCGGACGCGATCTCAAAAATTCGTTCAAAGAGAATGAGGTGAGCTTGAGCGCTTTGCGATGTTGTAAATGCTCTACTGCTGACGACGGCTAGAAACCAATATGTTAATACACAAAAGTATAAACAGCACGCGAGACTCACATCGTTGGTGCTCGATGTTCCACGACTCAATTTCAAACTCTTGCCATCCTTGTGCACGCTTAAATGACGTGTCGATGGACAGGCGTGTAGCTTGCATGAGGTGCAGTGACATACGTGGTGTCATGCAGATGACGAGTTTGAGTGTTGCTCCCCGCTCGATGATGTGTGTCTCCGCACAGCGCACATAGCGTTGTTCCAGAGGTAGCTTTGCATGCTCCTCGGCAAGGAGACATGCACCTGGTAATTCCACATCAGTACTGCAAGCAGCAGACATCTAGTAAAAATACCTGCCTTCAAATCCCGTTCCACTGGGATACTTCACAGACCTCAGAACATTGATGAGACGCCGTACGTGATCGAGATTGGCCAGCGACGGATGAAGATCTTGCAGTGTTGCGTCGCGGCCATCTGGAAAGTCCCAGCCAAGTACTTCATGAAGGCCCTGGATGAATGCTGTGTCCAAATAAATCCGACGTGGTGTCGCATCTGCTAGTTTCCATTTCATGAGCGAGAGAAGCTCATGAAATATGTCAACAAGTGGTGTCGGTGTTTTGACGGGTGCGGGAGGCGGGTGTGAGTGCGGGTTGCTGCAGAGGACAACTATGCGCGGGCAAGCTACGAGATCGTGGGGGACATAGATGTTGAATTTTGCAGTGCAATTATGTGTCCACTTCCGCAAGACACCTTGTTTGAGCTTGCCGTCTGCTTGGCGGTGCAGGTGTGCTAGTGAATGGAGATGAATTTGACGATATAAACACTAATGGAAGTAAAAACTCACGACAAACTTGCCTTTGGGAGGATGGGCTTGTAACATAGCTGCACGGCAGGAGCGGACCATAGCCTTGTGACTTGGCTGATTGCTCACACTCCGAAATAATGTCGTTGTCGTTGTCGAGGAGAGCTCGTAAGTAGCGGGTGTCACATTCCTGGAGATTTCGTATGAATAGGTGGGTACGGCGAGTGTGGGAGCGCAATTTGCATCTGTTGCATATCAGTCAGACTATTGCAAAAGAAATCCACGAATAAACTTACCGGACGAATGGTTGATTGTAGGCATCAAGCTGCATGATCAATTTTCCGCTACACCTGGGCTTCTTGACTCGACGACTTGACGGCAAGCAATCTATACCCGAATCGTCGTCAAAGGTCGCGCTGTTGAAATATTCATCAGCCGTGATACCATCTGAATTACCTATCACACTCTCAGCAAAGGAAGGTAAGTTTGGAGGCTTTTTGAGAGACGGGTTTGGAGATCGGGCTGGAAAAACGGGGAATGACTGGGGAAGGACATTATCGTCGACACCGTCAATCGCAGGGCAGCCACGTTCGTACAAGGCCATGTACAATGCCAGTGTTCGTTCGAAGATTTCCCTGTCAGCAGCGCTGGCGGGACTGTTCGAGTCTGTCCGAGTCTGACAATGAGATGCAACCTCAAAAATATTAGTAAAGTGATGTGTCGATATGTCGCGTGTACGCGCTGAGCATATCTTAAGGCCTCTACCTGAATAGACGTGTGAGAGGTATTCAACCGACAAAGAAAAAAAGACTCATACAAGATGTTTTGAGGTTGGTGCACGAAACGGGATGTCCTTCGGCGTTGCGAAGCATAAGACATTGACCAATTGTCTGTCCCCCATGCCCATCACCCAATGAGTATTGGAAACTTGACTGAGGACGACGTGAAGACTCAGAAGTAGTTGGATCGATGTGGAAGATGTGGGCGATGGATTCGTCCGCATGTTGTCCGGTTTGCGGATATTCAACGATCGCACCGACCGGATGTTCGACGACAGCGTGTGCGGAGGTCCTGCGTGTGACGCGATGAAGTTCCTGTACACGATCTTCATCTGTAAAAGGTCGTGCAGGAGGCGGGATGTAGTATGTGCTGATTGCAGCATTTGGGTGGGCATGTTGGGTAGCTGGTGCAGTTGCAGTGCAGAGATGAGGCGGCGTGGAAGCAATACGAACAGGACTCAGAGGCAAAGGTGATGGCGGTGATGGTGACGGTGAGACTAAATCCAAGTCGCGAGGCGAGAGTCCAGCACGTTCAAGGAGAGCTTGTGCATTCTGAACAGCAGAGCGCTGAAGCTCAGTAAGGTGCGACATACCATTAGATCCACCCGTTCTACGCACCTCTTGATATATGGTCAACGGCGTTTGGACTTCAATCGTGCTGGCCAATGTTCAGACACTCGAGAGCACTGCAACTCCTGAATAATTTCCCTGTTTAGAAATCAATATAATTCAGCGCTTACATCATGAGCGCTACGCAACTGTCACTACTTTGACTGTTGTGTTCTTGGACTTTGACCGTTGTGTTCTCGAACCTGAAGTTTCCAGCATCGGCCACCAACTCATCAATTTATTAATGCCCGGTGAGTGGATGAGGGTCTATTGTGTTATCAAACATGGAATTGCCAGTCTCACTTTCAACAGTCACTACACTCTTCACTTGCTTGCCGACACTTACCCTGCTTTAAAGCCCATATCGACCCTCACTGCTGCATCGCTTATGCATCTGTTGCACTCGATGAGCATCGCTGTGACACCACTCAAGCCTCCGTCAAGGCAACAGATTTAGCTACCAGGGAATCTGGGCAGGTTCGTGGAATTGTGTGCCGTTTGACTCTAGTATAAGCCACTAACGGTGTCTTTCCAGGGTCTTCAATTGAGATCAGCAGCTGTACAGCCTGTACTGTGGCCGCCAGTTGGGGACTTGCGGTTTTTTTCATTTTGAAAGGTCAGCCAGGTAAGTACTATATAAGAGCAATGAACACGACATACCACTCATCCCACTGTCTTCCCCTATATTCCACTTCATCATGCCCAGCTATCCAGAAATTTTCCGCATATCCCGAGCCCTCCAGAGCGCCAACGCAGAACTCAGTATCTTTTCCCGCGAGCTCGGTGAAACTGTTTCAATAGCATAGTGCGTCACGATTTTACTGTTTTTCTCCTCATTAGCTGACTCGTAGTCAGCCCAATCAACAGAGTCACCGGGGATCGTATTCTTGCTCGCCAGCTCAAGGACTGGATTATCCGTCGAAGGGTTACCTGGGAGTGCTTTTGTGCTCTCGTGACAGAGCAACGCACTCCGGTGCGCTTTGAAACTAATCATCGGGGCCATTCAATGGCGTATTGCCATCAATCTCCTAGCCACTGTGGCTTTTCCTGTATGTGTTCCCTCTGTCTCCTCGTATTTACTGTATTTTAACACATTTCTCAAGTAAATCTTAGTGAGGCTCGAGAAACTGCTGTTCTTGAGTCTAGATATACACATATTCTTACGCGTGGTATGTCATTTCCCGCAGCATGCTTTGATGTCTTTCTGCTCACCCTTATTACTTGTGACTAGTGTATCATAACCACCATCAGCTGATGGATCTGCACAGTCTGGTAGTGCGAGTGCACCACGACCGAGTTGCAGCAATGCCCGATGGACACGCGGAGCTTTTTCCATACTTCAAGGATTATTGCGGCACCCCAACAAGCTCAGCTCTGGTGCATTCTCGGCGAGGTGGTGCCGTTCGTACTCCTCGTCAGTTCTCAGGTAAGTAAAGTTATGTTCGAGCAATAAAATACTTTGGCATTGATTCTACTACCACAGCTGTACGTAATATATCACTACAACATCGTCGCCCATCCACCACTCTCAGGCTCCGCAGTGTTGCTGATGATGCGCACATCGAGCTTGCAAGTCCGACGTCTTCGATGGAGCAGGACGTATTGCATTCACTTGCAGAGGGCAGAGGGATCACATCCTACGAGCACATTGGGCTGTTAGAGTTGTGTGGAAACTGTCAACAAATGTTTGCAGCGAGTGCATTGCGGGTGCACATCTTAACTTGCCAAAAAGATTGAATGTTATATAGTGCCTCGGTCAAGCTTCGGTCTGGCTTATTAAAATTTTCATGTTACATATAGGCAGGGAGGTCCTGGGGGTCAGGCATGACTAAGTAATGTCACCTTGCACGTACCTTGTTCTTCTTGAGTTTGGGAACCGATCAATTCCGGAACAGTAACAGGTCAACTATGACTCCTGGCCCGCGTCGCTTTGTGGAGGGTGGGTTGCAATCATTGCAAGTGCAGTCGCCAACATCATGGGTTGGAAGTTACGAGCTATGGGGACCATCGTTAGCTTCATGGTTTTTGCTGGAAACGCTTGGCTGTCAGATAAGTTCGTGGGCTGTTCCCAAGATAGACCCGTGAGTAGAACCGCGCTTTGCTCTTGCCAGTCATGCTACAATGTTGCATTCAGCAGGAGTAAAGAAAGATTCAGGATAGCACAAAAACACGGTCGTTATTACAAGCACGTTGGCGGCAGCAACTTCGTCAACATGTGGTGTAAGTTCAAGTTGTGCAGCTTACCGGAGTATGAATTTCGGTACCGCTGCCAAGTCTGCGTCAGCGGAGTGCTGGAAACTTGACGCGGTAACTACTACTATCCGTTACACTCTATTCGTGACGGTCCGCAATTTCGTGAGTCACACTCATGTCACGAATAGTAACGGACAGTCACACTAGCCGTGCTCACGTGCTCACGGATTGCAGCTGCAATGAAACACTGTTAAATTTAATGTCCGACGTCGGCAGCCACGGCAGGTGACATCGAATCGTGATTTTTGCTGCTGTCACGCTAAAAACACGATCTCCACTATTTCTCAACGGATTTGTTTTATTTCACTTGGGATATGGTAGTATAGTACGTAGAATACATACTCAGTGAAGTAGCTAAGTAATTACTTTAAAATTGAGTGCTGCAGACAAAAATCACGAAATTGCGGACCGTCACGAATAGAGTGTAACGGATAGTATCAGTGGTCAGATGATCGGGTCCAGGACTCGAGAGCGACAGTAACAATCGAGGTTGACCTGTGAAATAACAGAACAATCAGGGGAGATCGTCGATGCTCTGGCTGAGTGGAGAAGTCCCACATCCGATCACCGCTGCCACTGACGAGGACGGCTTCAACATGCAAGCTTCAGGATCAGGACTTAGCATTTGAGCATGACTTGTCCAGGTCATGAATAGACATTGCGCTTCACTTACGACGTGCTGCTATCCTCACTTATGAAGTAGGACTCCGAAGCTTCAACATCTGCCACCGTACTGATGAATTCCCGACCTGCCAGTCTCGGACTTTGACAGGACCAATTCTACTGGACTACTATGCCTCACATCGCCTATCTCCACTGTGCCCGCATCGCACTTTCTGTCCAACGTCCACCACATTCGTAATGAATGTTTCCGCTCCACAAATGGTCAGTACACTTCCATTGACACCACTCCCTTGATCGGTACCTAGTTCAAGTTGACCAAGTGTTCTCGCAGGGCCTCATCAACCTGCTACCCAGGCTGAAGGTGATCGTACAGATCGGAAAGATATGGTGACAATATAGTACTATGGACTACAGTCCGATAGAAATTATGTGGTAAGCTCTCTAGTACATGTGGAGTGACTACTCATGACTGTGTTTTCCGCCACAGCTGATCATCAAGTGCACAGAGGTTATGACGACGCAGACTGAAGTTATTGTAAAGCACGATGAAGATCAATAAGGCCTCTGTTCAGTGCACCGTAACAGAGGCAGAGGAACTGGCTCACACATGCGTGCTGGAGCTCAACGCGCCATTTGGCTTAGGCCCTATCTCTGTTTATACCTTGGGTGCAAAACTTCTTCCAATCGAAGCCACCGGTGTGTTAACGATATCCTATCGATGTCCATGGGCCAAGTACATCGCAATCATGATGATATTCTTGCGTCCAAACAAGTAAACAGGCCATCTAATAAATTCCCGGTCCTTAGCGCCGACGTGGCACGGACTACAGTTCACCCCGTGTATATATCCAAACCAGCCGCAATCATTTCTCATTGTTGCAGGTGTATTCTTTGGTATCTCTCGTACGAGCCTCGTCATCGAATACGCGTGTTAGTTCGAGGTCCATGCGCTGAGTACAACAATGTATCGAGAAGGACTGGTACTACTTGTTCAGTATGTGCTTCTTTACGGATATGCCATCTCTCTAATCAGAATGATAACTGATCTGATGGCAAGACGGTGACATTGAATTTGCAAAGCTCGATCTGCAGATCTCCACCTTACCCAAGATGATACATGGCCTTGGCAGTGATCATCAACCAGGTAGGTCGTGGTGTTGCTTGCTGCGCGACAGATTATTACGGAGCTCATGAGTTGGGGCTATATAACGTGAGGGTTTCACCGAGTAACACAAACACAAGTGTCATGGCACCATCTATTCCTCGAGTCTGGTTGAGTGAGTTGGTACATGTAACTCCTCAGCGTGCGAGTCACTAACTGCTCATAGTTACCGGGTCTTCTAGCGGATTCGGCAGGGCGATGGTGGAAGAGGTCCTGCGTAACGGCGAGATTGCAGTCGCAACGCTGCGCAAGCCCTCAGTCCTTGATGGCCTCGCAGCCCAATATCCGCGCACCCAGCTCCTAATACTCCCACTGGACGTGACGAACGAGGCGCAGGTCAAATCTGTCTTCGTACAGGCCAAGGATGCCTTTGGGCACGTCGACGTCGTGTATAACAACGCAGGGCAGGTGTTATATCAGGAGGTGGAGGGGATGCCATTGGACCGTGCCAAGGCGCTGATGGATGTCAACTTCTGGGGCGCGGTAACGGTAAGCTTTGAGGCCATTAGATTCTTTAGAGAAGCGAATCCGAAGGGTGCTGGGGGGGTGCTCGTCCAAGTATCGAGCATGACAGCAACTACCGCGATCCCGCTGGTCGGGTTCTATAACTGCACGTAAGTCAGATAGTGCTGTCTGATTAAGCATCGCTGAGGCGTTTGGTGTTCATAGGAAAGCAGGTAGATTAGTTGCTTGTGGCACCCTGCGTGATCCTGACTCACCACTTTTCAGCCTTGGATTCGTTCACCGAGGTCCTGGCACAGGAAGTCCTTCCCGCTTGGAACATTCGTGTGAGTAATTGAAGAGATGGTAGCCACCGCTCACTAAGTAGCCCACACAGTTCGTAAATGTCCACCCAGGTTGGACGCGCACACCCATTTCATCAAGTGAGATGCTTGAGCCTCCAGCAGTGTACGCATCGGAACCAGCAGCCGTAACAACGAAGATGCGTGCTGGGTTTGATGCGTTCATCGGGAGCGATGCGCTTGCTGCCGTTGAGGTTGTGACAAAACGCATTTGGTCGGTGACACGGATGGACGACGAGGACCTGCGCAAGGGTATGCAGGAGGGCATTCCAGGCCTCGTGAACGTGCATACGGGGATGGACTCGCTGGGATTTGTGCAAGCAAAGATTGGGCGGCTGCAGGGCGAACTGATGTGGAATACGAAGGTTCATTATGAGTACTAGTTTCGCTGTCTTCACGTTAACTTGTCATTTGTATGTACGTATATTATCTATGTATGAGTATTGTGCTGGACTACCGCGGCAGACAACAGCATGGGCAACGTACAATTTTCGACACACGCCAGTGTGTTATCCCCGCATGTTTCTCCAGTTTCATCATGCACTTAGTAGTCCGCATCTTGCTGAATGAGTCTAAGGGCTGCTGCGGAGCGAGGCTTAATAGAACATTTGAAAGGTTTGGGGTGACTGGGAGTGTGTCTATCCAGAGCGCCAGATGGGATAAGATATGCGACATACCTGATGCTACCTGCTGAGGGGTTAAACTCGGGGATGATCTCAACACCATTCTCGACAACCTTGGAAATATCAAACACGGCTAGTGACATTGCGGTAGATATCCAGATGGAGGCATCAGCGAGGTGGAGGCCTGTCCGATGAAAAGCAAGCGGTTCAGAGCACTATTGATTAATTGACGCCTTCCGTGAGTTGGGCACACCTGACAAATACTGCAGAGCAGGGAGTTAGCATTCGGCTCAAAATCAATTTCACGCTTACCGTCTACCAAAGCCGAAACAGATTGTGCGAGGCTCTGTCTCAGGTTCCTTTCCATCCTTGGCCAAGAAGCGTTCTGGGTTGAATTGCGAGGGATTGACATATGTCCGTGGATCGTTGAGCATGAACCTGTCGCAGCTCAAAGTATGAACTTCTGTTCATACATCGAGTACGAAAACGGGGGAGCACTGACCAAATGTTAGGCATTACCATGGAGCCTTTTGGAATGTAGTACCCGTCATGGATGTTGTCCTCAGTCACACGGTGGGGGAAACCTGTCATTGAGATGCCACTCGTCAACTTAGTAATGGCATGAACGAGGCTCACATACCGGTAGGTGAGACAACATTCCAGCGGTGGACTTCTTTGACAAGCGCCTCAGTATAGGGAAGGGAGTCGCGGTCGGCGAAGGAGGGAAGACGATCATGGCCGACCACAGCGTCTATTTCAGCCTGAGCTTTCTTCTGCATATCAGGAAAAAGTACCATAGCTAGAAAAAGCGAGTAAATTGCAGACACAGTCTGATAAAAGACATGTAGCATTCTCAGAAGATGATAATGAAAACTTTATAGGGATGGACCAACCGTGTCGGCACCACCGCCATATAGAGAAAAAGCAGACCATTTCACGATGTGATCCTCTTCAGCAGACACAGCACGGCCCTCCAAGAGATTTGAAGTGAAAGACATGGGGGCGATGCCAGCAGCCTGTACAATTCAAACCTCAATGCATGGTCGCAAAATTGCAAACTGGTCACCATCTGATCCTTGACGAACTTGTGGGGTGCACAAACCATCTCTTCAAGGGTCTCACGCCATTCACGCGCTATGCGCTTGAAGCTAGCGCCAGGTAACCATGCGGGGACCTTTGCCACTAAAATAGTAAGGTCATCGGAAATGTAAACATTGCAATGATATAGCTTACAAATTGGTAAAATATCAACCATGAAGGCACCGGGAGCTGTGGCCTGTGGGATTTGGTCCATAGCACGGTCTGCAAGGTCAACGAAGGGATCATTGTTCTCTTTCACTTCATAACCATGAGAGATGCGCAGAATAATAGCGCCAGCAGTGCTATAGTAGGAATCCAAGATCATGTCAACGTAAAGATAAATAATACATACTGTCGAACATGTTCCTGTAGTTGGTCGGGTTTTGCAAGCACACGCTTCAGGAATCGGTGAGTCTCAATCTTTCCGATCTCGCTGTATACCTCCACTGCAGCACGGCTGCCAATGATACGGTGGAGGTTCTTGCGGTACTGGCGGAAAAGGTCACCATAAGGGAGGAAGGGCAAGGCATCCTTGAAGCCAACAAGTTCGCCACCCATAGGAAAAATAGGACGGTCAGAGTAGACAGCACTTTAAGTGTCTAGCATTTCCATTGTAGTCTTGACAGAGTTCAACACGATGATGTGCTGACCCAGAACCTCGACATGCGAGATATCACCTGCAAAAAAGACATGTGAAAATGCATGATTGTGGAAAACCAAGAGGTACTCACCATACTTCTTGCCCCACTCAGCAAATGTGAGACGAGGCTTGATGCGAGGCATGTCTAAAACATTGCCAATCAGAGGCCACCTCGGGGGACCAGGTGGATATGGTGCGGGATTCTTCTTGGCGAACACCTGCATTACCAGATAGACTCCGACACTAGCAAGGCATAGGTTTAGCCAAGTAACATTGGAGAGGGTCAACATAGCAAAGAATAAGCGACTCAAGAGCGGGAGTGTGAAAAACAAGAGAAGTTCCCTCTTGGACATCTATATTTAAATCTGCCACAGGCACGCAAATTTTCATCACGGTGAGTCGGAGGTGGCTACATCTACAGCTAATGGTTTCTGGATGATGTTCGGTTGCGAAGACGCACTGCACAATATATCATCTGACGACGAAAGGGATCAGTCGTTCGGAAATCATCTAAGAAGATCAGCAAAGGCTCACTAGGTTGAAATGTCAATTATGCTGAATCATAAACTAGTCTGCGCAAAATGAGTAGACGGTTCAATCCACTTTGAACCTACATGATAGCAATGGAAGCATTTCGTTCGAGACAATAGCTGGCCACTCGCGCTGAAGGACAAAATTAAGGTTGTGTTCATCAAGTACTGTCTGCATTTCCGAACTCGTCGCATCATGTTCATGCGCTTCTGCAAGCAAACGATCTACCAGACGAATGGTATTCCATGGATAGATGCAGTGTCCATCAGGCTGGTTAAAAGGCAGAGTGAAAAGCAATTCCCAAAGCATCACACACCGTACTGTGCTCAGACCAATACATCGCAAATTATTGCACAATCTTGGATATGATGACAGGCAAGACTATTACTCATTATTGGGTACGAGCAGCTGTTAACACGCCACGGAAGGATGCCCTAATAGGTGGACCATGAATATATTGAGGAAATACCTCTATAGTCTGTGTATAGCCTGTGAACTAAGAAGCACAGGACTCGAGAGCGAGCGAGTGCATTGGGAGGGACTTATTTGTAAGGGGTCCAGGAAAAGGGGATTTGTCAGAGAAAGGAGAATTAGGGAATAGTTAAGAGCGAAGGGGGGTGGGAGCTTTGATTTGAACCTAGAACGATTAGCTTGTTGTGGATGCACGCGAGATCAACACTTACAGAGGTTCAATTTACATTCTCACAAAACTTCCGTGTCCAGTCTTATGACAAGATCCGGATGTGAACTCTACAAAGGGTGTTATTGTGCGCATAGAGGCAAGATAAAAACACTTACTCATGTTGCCCCATACGGTTGAGCTAGTCAGATCTCCATGTGTCTTCTCTGCACCACCATCAGCAAGGACCTGGGGACCTCATTGTGGCATTCGCTGTTGTTCGAAGAGCAAGGAGGGGCTCGATAAAGGTGTGAAGCTGGTCTTGTCGATCTACGACATCATGGGTTGCTCAAATGTGGAGAAGATATTGAATAGATAGAGAAAAGTGCGCTGGATGAAGAGGTCTTGGAATGCAGTTGATCGGACGCGCTGCACGTGACCATGTTCATCAATGGTTACGTTGAATACTCATAATTGATTACGATGCCCATTGCCCTCCGCTATCACCACATCATTCGCAATTGGAGGTACATGAAATTACAAAGCAACAAGAACCACCGACTACTTGTAACCAGAGCAGCAGACCACTTGAGTTGGCGGAGACAGCTGGAAGATGGGCGTTGAACACAGACTGGACCTGAGGCCTGAGGCCTGAACTTCTGCCAGTGACTCGGAAGTGGGTATTTGGATTCAAACCAATCTAGTACGTATAGTTCGTGCACAGAGCTCGCCATGACCCTACGAGCCGATCTTTCGTGATAGTCCAAGGCTGTACTTGAAATAGATCTGAATTCAGCGTAAGGTACCGTGACATGTGAACCACCTTTGGCTGCACACAAGTTCAGCGGCCCCACGGTGAGCGGCTCACCTCTCCAGGTTTCTGTGGTCGAATTTCTATGTACGTGCGCAATTCAAACATATCTACCTGGATTTTGTGCTCATGAAAGGCAGCGTCGCTCTTCGGCTTCATCTTCCCTGCCTTATTGACAATCATCGTGTAACTCGATTACGATAGCATGGCGGACAGGGTGGAAACGTGTCGAGCGGCCTTGGAGAGCTGTCCGCTCGGTCATTGTGATCGACCAACGATTCTCAACAATCTTGGCCTCAGCCTTCATGACAGATTCACGCAGCGGGGTGTCCCGTCTGACCTTGACGAGGCCATTGAGCTCTTTCGGGCTGCACTACTCATCTGCCCCCCTGGTCATTCTGGTCGACCAACGATTCTCAGCAATCTTAGCATCAGCCTTTGTGACAGATTCACGCAGCAGAGCCTCCCGTCTGACCTCGACGAGGTCATCGAGCTCCAACGGGCCACACTACTCATCTACCCCCCCGGTCATTCTGATAGACCAACGTCTCTCAATGAACTTGGCACAATCCTTTATAAGAGATTCAAGCAGCGGGGCACCCTGTCTGACCTTGACGAGGCCATTGAGCTCTTTCGGGCTGCACTACTCATCTGCCCTCCCGGTCATTCTGATAGACCAACGTCTCTCAACAATCTTAGCATCAGCCTTTATGACAGATTCACGCACCGGGGCCTCCCATCTGACCTCGACGAGACCATCGAGCTCCAGCGAGCTGCACTACTCATCTGTCCCCCCGGTCATTCTGATAGACCAACGTCTCTCAACAATCTTGGCACGAGCCTTTATAACAGATTCAAGCAGCGGGGCCTCCTGTCCGACCTCGACGAGGCCGTCGAGCTCTTTCGGGCCACACTACTCATCTGCCCTCCCGATAATTCTCTTCGACCAACGATTCTCAACAATCTTGGCCTCAGCCTTCATGACAAATTCACGCAGCGGGGTGTCCCGTCTGACCTTGATGAGGCCATCGAGCTCCTACGAGCCACACTACTCATTTGTCCTCCCGGTCATTCTCTTCGACCAACGTCTCTTAACAATCTTGGCCTCAGCCTTCATCACAGATTCACGCAGCGGGGTGTCCCATCTGACCTTGACGAGGCCATCGAGCTCCAACGGACCACACTACTCATCTGTCCTCCCGGCCATTTTGGTCGACCAAAGTCTCTCAACAATCTTGGCCTCAGCCTTTATGACAGATTCAAGCAGCGGGGTGTCCCGTCTGACCTTGACGAGGCCATCGAGCTCCAACGGGCTGCGCTACTCATCTGCCCCCCCGGTCATTCTGATCGACCAACGATTCTCAACAATCTTAGCATCAGCCTTTATCACAGATTCACGCAGCAGGGCCTCCCGTCTGACCTCGACGAGACCATCGAGCTCCAGCGAGCTGCACTACTCATCTGCCCCCCCGGTCATTCTGATAGACCAACATCTCTCAACAAGCTTGGCATACGCCTTTATGACAGATTTAAGCAGCGGGGCGCCCCGTCTGACCTTGACGAGGCCATCGAGCTCCAACGGGATGCACTACTCATCTGCCCTCCCGGTCATTCTCTTCGACCAACGTCCCTCAACAATCTTGGCACGAGTCTTCATGACAGATTTAAACAGCGGGGTGCCCCGTCTGACCTTGACGAGGCCATCGAGCTTTACCAGGCTGCACTACTCATCTGCCCTCCCGGTCATTCTCTTCGACCAACATCTCTCAACAATCTTGGCACGAGCCTTTATGACAGGTTCAAGCAGCGGGGCCTCCTGTCCGACCTCGACGAGGCCATCGAGCTCCAACACGCCACACTACTCATCTGCCCTCCCGGTCATTCTCTTCGACCAACGTCTCTTAACAATCTTGCCATGGGCCTTTATGACAGATTCAAGCAGCAGGGCATCCCATCTGACCTTGACGAGGCCATCGAGCTCCAGCGAGCTGCACTACTCATCTGCCCCCCCGGTCATTCTGATAGATCAACATCTCTCAACAATCTTGGCACAAGCCTTCATGACAGATTCACGCAGCGGGGTGTCCCATCTGACCTCGACGAGGCCATCGAGCTCCAACGGGCCACACTACTCATCTCCCCCCCCGGTCATTCTGATCGACCAGCGTCTCTTAACAATCTTGGCATGAGCCTGTATGACAGATTCAAGCAGCGGGGCGTCCCGTCTGACCTTGACGAGGCCATCGAGCTCCAACGGGCTGCACTAATCATCTGCCCTACCGGTCATTCTCTTCGACCAACGTCTCTCAACAATCTTGGCCTCAGCCTTCATGACAGATTCACGCAGCGGGGTGTCCCGTCTGACCTCGACGAGGCCATCGAGCTCCAACGGGCCACACTACTCATCTGCCCTCCCGGTCATTCTCTTCGACCAACGTCTCTTAACAATCTTGCCATTGGCCTGTATGACAGATTCAAGCAGCTGGGTGTCCCGTCTGATCTCGACGAGGCCATCGAGCTCCAACGGGCTGCACTACTCATCTGCCCTCCCGGTCATTCTCTTCGACCAACGTCTCTCAACAATCTTGGCATGCGCCTTTATGACAGATTCAAGCAGTGGGGCGTCCCGTCTGACCTTGACGAGGCCATCGAGCTCCAACGGGCCACACTACTCATCTGTCCTCCCGGCCATTTTGGTCGACCAAAGTCTCTCAACAATCTTGGCACGAGCCTTCATGACAGATTCAAGCAGCGGGGTGTCCCGTCTGACCTTGACGAGGCCATCGAGCTCCAACTGGCTTTACTATCCATCTGCCCCCCCGGTCATTCTGATCGACCAATGTCTCTTAACAATCTTAGCATCAGCCTTTATGACAGATTCAAGCAGCGGAGCCTCCCGTCTGACCTCGACGAGGTCATCGAGCTCCAGCGAGCTGCGCTGCTCATCTGCTTCCCCAGTCATTCTCTTCGACCAACATTTCTCATCAATCTTGGCACGAGCCTTTATAACAGATTCATGCAGCGAGGTGTCCCTTCTGACCTTGACGAGGCCATCGAGCTCCATCGGGCTGCACTACTCCCTTATCCCCCTGGTCATTCTGATCGATCATTGTCACTCAAAAATCTTGCCCTCTGCCTTAAAACTAGATTCGAGCAGCGGGGTGCCCCGTCTGACCTCGATGAGGCATTTAGGCTGTATGCGCAACTCTCTCATATATCTCATGCAGTCTCTCGTATGGATCTTACTGCTGCCAAGTCATGGGCCACCTCAGCCGAGGAGATGAACCATGACTCTGTCTTGGTTGCCTATCAAACTGCATTGAAATTCCTAGACCAGCATGTTACTATATTGTCATCTTCTCCAATCCATTTTGATATTGTCAGGATGGCCACTGCTTCCCTTGGAATGGACGCTTTCTCGTGCAGTGTTCGTCATGGCGCGCTCACAACTGCTGTGGAAATGGTAGAGCAAGGCCGTGCAGTATTCTGGACTCATTTGGCACACTTCCGCACACCCCTCGATGAACTCTCTATGTCTGGTGACACCGGCGCAGCCTTGGCAGAAGAGCTCAAGCAGCTCAGTTTTCGTCTTCGTAACGCGTTTGACCAGTCTACTGAAGACCCGTCTCCGCAAATCCAGCAATTGACCATGCAATGGGAAGACGTCATCTCACGCATCCGCATGCTGCCTGACTTTCCTCGATTTCTCCTGCCCCCGCTGTTTTCTGACCTCCAGAAATCCGCTGAAGAAGGCCCGGTTGTCATCGTCAATGCTAGTCAGTACAGCTGCGATGCTTTGATTATCCTAAGTGGCCAAGATCCTGTCCATGTTCCACTTCGTATTGCGCAGACCGAAGTCTCCGAATTGTCTTCCGAGTTTCAGGCCCTTTCAGAACAATTTGGTTCTTCTACTCATCTATACAAGCTCGTCGACATCCTCCGGGAGCTTTGGCATGAAGTGGTTGACTCTGTGGTCCAAGCTCTTAAAGAGTCAGGGGTTCGCCCTGGCTCACGTATTTGGTGGTGTCCCACTGCTGATTTTACGCTGCTTCCTCTACATGCAGCAGGACCCTACGAGAAGAAGAAAGACAATTTATCAGACATTTACATCTCCTCTTACACCCCCACTTTGGCGACACTTGTTCGTGCAAGACAGCAGGTTTCTGGAGATGTGTCCCCGCAACATTTTGTTGCCGTTGGTCAAGGAAACCCGAAAGGGGCGAAGGCACTCAAATATGTCGCTCCCGAGTTAGCCGTAGTTGCTCAGCGTCTCGCGTCCGTTGTCTCGGTCACGTCACTCGCGGACGGCGATGCGACAGTTGAAGGTGCACTCGATGCACTAAATCATAATCAGTGGCTCCATCTAGCCTGCCACGGAATGCCGAATCGACAACAACCATTTGAGTCTTCCTTTGCCATGCACGACGGGCCTTTAATGATCAAGGATGTCATTCGATCTAACTGGCAGAACCCTCAGTTTGCATTCCTATCGGCCTGCCATACTACTGTGGGCAGTGAGAAGAGTCCCGACGAGTCGATCCATCTCGCTGCAGCCATGCAATTCTCCGGATTTCGCAGTGTAATAGGTTCCATGTGGTCTGTCGACGACGAGGTTGCACGACAGGTTGTGTCCGCATTTTATCGCAACCTGGTCAGTGGGTCAGGGAGATTGGACTGCACACGGGCTGCGGTGGCGTTGCACAAGGCTGTGAAATCGTTACGCAAGAAGATTCCGCTAGAACAGCAGATCGTGTTTGTTCACATAGGTGTCTAGTTTGCATTTTATGTTATCCTGATTGTCTCCGATCCCCTGTTGTCCCTAGTTCTCAGTTAGTCAACCATGACTGCACGATACTTTTGTTTTTTCATTGTGTACTAGTACTGCAAGCACCGTTCCATTGAATGATTATAATCGCGTTGTCGAACAATACAAATGAGTTGGGTCATTATGAGTACTATTTTCGCCGCCCCCATGTCCAAGAAGCCCAAATATTGATACCCGATGGTACTGTACAATTGAATGAATGATATGAATTCTCCAAACGACTGAGTCAAGCTGCACTGAATACTGTCCCAGTTGCACCAGGACCTGTCCGAGTCAGAACCCCAGTCACCTTCTGCCCCACCGTCGTCCCCATTGTCGTCAAAGCTCCCATTAATGTTGTCATCGCTCTCATTACTATCATCACCCTCGACCCCCTCGCTGCTTTCACCATTATCATCATCATCCTCGCTGCCTTCATTATGCCCTTCATCGCCTTCCATTCTTTCTTCATTGCTGTCTTCATTCAAGTCCTCTCCTTCAACCCCCTGATCGTCTTCTTGGCGCTCAAGAAAGCCCGTCAGTGTTCCATTATCAACCGATGGGAACACCATTGCGAGGTACGGCCCAAATTTGCTTGCTACTCCCCAGAGTTGAAGAATACTGTTGTGTTTGAGACGGCCCCAAACTGTCAGCTCGCGACTATTCTATTACCATGCAAAGATAGTGCACCGTTTCAGGTATGCTGACATCCAAATCCCGCATGTATGCTGAATCTCACAGATGCTAGTCCAGTTCTGGGGTGTCAACAGGACATATGAGCGATATAGGCATATGGCACACTAATTTTATAACCATAGGACAGACACCGCAGTATCGAAGTTACCTAAAAAGCTCGAACCGCAGAAGATGTTTGTCTGCCTCATTTCACTAGCTCGGAATCGTCGATAAATAGCCTATTAACACGTTGAATCCTTATCGCAAAGCTCAAAGGATTGGACTGTTTCACGTACTTTGAACATCCAACACAACCTGCAAGCATAGTAGTCATGGCACATTCCACTCCCCGAGTTTGGTTGAGTAAGTTGCGATTTGATTCCTCAGTGTGCGGGTCACTGACTGCTCGAAGTTACCGGTTCCTCATCTGGATTCGGCAGGGCGATGGTGGAAGAGGTCCTGCGTAATGGCGAGATTGCGGTCGCAACTCTGCGCAAGCCTTCCGTCCTCGATGACCTCGTCGCCAAATACCCGCACACCCAGCTGCTAGTACTTCCGCTGGACGTGACGAACGAGGCGCAGGTCAAATCTGTCTTCGTACAAGCTAAGGACGCTTTTGGACACGTTGATGTCGTGTATAACAACGCGGGGCAGGTGTTCTATCATGAGCTGGAGGGGACACCAATGGACCGTGCCAGGGCCCTGATGGATGTCAATTTCTGGGGCGCGGTAACGGTAAGCTTCGAGGCAGTGAGATTCTTTAGAGAGGAGAACCCAGATGGTGCTGGGGGGATGCTCGTGCAAGTATCGAGCTCGGCAGGGACCACCGCGGTCCCGCTGCTCGGGTTCTATAACTCTACGTGAGTGGGGTTGGTGTTGTCTGCTTAAGCGTCGCTGAGGTGCTTTTTGTTGGTAGGAAAGCAGGTAATTAGTACTGTTGCTGGGTGAATCTGACTCACCACTATTTAGCCTTGAATTCGTTCACCGAGGTCCTGGCACAGGAAGTCCTCCCCGCTTGGAATATTCGTGTAAGGAATTGAAGAGATAACAGTCACCGGCCGCTGAATGGCTATACAGATCGTGAATGTCCACCCAGGTTGGACGCGCACGCCCATTGCGTTGAGCGATATGCTCGAGCCTCTAGCAGTATACGCATCGGAACCAACAGCTGTAACGACAAAGATGCGTGCCGGGTGGGATGCATTCATCGGGAGCGATGTATATATTGGCGTCGAAGCTGTGACGAAGCGCATTTGGTCGGTGATGCGGATGGACGATGAGGACCTGCGCAAGGGTACGCAGGAGGGCATTCCAGGCCTCGTGAACGTGTATACGGGCATGGACTCGCTGGAGCGTGTGTACGCAAAGATTGGGCGGCTGCATGGCGAGTTGATGTGGAGTACCAAGATTCATTATGAGTACTAGTCTCGTGTATGTCTTCAAAATGAACAGTTGTTTTCAAGTTGGTTCCTCAGAAACAGTTATTCCTATGAATGTGCGAACTCCAAGATGATATAACGATGGAGACCAATGGTATTGCATAGCTTCTGAGTGCAACATAAGCAAAGAAGAACCAGTGGTGCTTGACCCTGCTGTCACACTGGGCAGGGCAGCGTGCACTTCAATGCCGGCACTTGCCGCAGCAGCGGCAGCACCCATTTTACGATGCCCATTAAGCCCTCCATCACCACATCATTTGCATACTGGGAGGTTCATGTCAAAACTACAAAGCAACAATGTCAAGAACCACCAATAACTCGTAATGAGAGCTGCAGATCACTTGAGTTGGCAGAGACCGCTCAGAAAATGGGTGGGGAGAGAACTGGAAAGAGAGGCTGGGCTCGGGTTGTATACTAACAGAAAATTTGACCAGGTCACTGGATAGACATTTCCTGCTTCGTTTGCCAGCACTGGAATCTTGCTCTACGCTCATGATGGAACGGCTGTCTTCATTCTTTATGGTCTGGCTAGGACTAACTGCTCGGCATTGGCATTTGGGCAGAACCCAACATAGTTCAATTTGACGTTGCCCATGTGCCCTCAAAGGGTTTCTGGATCCTCATCCCGCGACCCAGAGTCCCACTGGGAATGGAGCATTCCATACTTGCAACCACTTACCAGTGGTCATATGAAGCGCTAGCAACCTGATCACGAAGGTACACGATACTGTGGAGAGAGTTCCCATGTCCCGGTTTGGCCTTTTAATCCATAAACTTGCAGCAACGGTTTCTCATTGTTACGGGCGTAGACTCTTTGGTATCTTGGATGAGCCTCATCATCGAATGCGCGCGTCAGATCGAGATCCATCTTTTTGGTGCGCTGGTTCCGCGTCAATGCCTCGTCACGACTGCATCAATTTCACCTGGCCCAGAGCTTGGTCAGTATGTGCTTCTGTACAGACACATCAGCTCTCTACTTGGAACGGTTATTATCCCACAATGACAGTTTGACACGACGCTCGCATGAATTTGCAAAGCTCGAATAGCAGGCCACTGACACGATAGTGTGGCGGCTTTAGCGGCCCTCTTCTTTATTTTACCCAATGTGAGCCATGGCCTTGGCGAGCTATCGGGTGAGCTCGGGGGTTTGGGCCATTTATTATATGAGGGCTTCCAACGAGCAACAAACGCAGAATTGTCATGGCACAATCCACCCCTCGAGTTTGGTTGAGTGAGTTGGCATGCAACTGCTCAGCGTGCAGATCACTAACTGCTCCCAGTTACTGGTTCTTCCTCTGGGTTCGGCAGGGCGATGGTGGAAGAGGTCTTACATAACGGTGAGATTGCGGTCGCAACTCTGCGCAAGCCTTCCGTCCTCGATGACCTCGTCGCCAAATACCCGCACACCCAGCTCCTAGTACTTCCGATGGACGTGACGAACGAAGCGCAGGTCAAATCTGCCTTCGCGAAGGCCAAGGACGCCTTTGGGCACATCGATGTCGTGTATAACAATGCGGGGCAGGCGTTCTACCAAGAGCTGGAGGGGACACCGATGGACCGTGCCAAGGTGTTAATGGATGTCAATTTCTGGGGCGCGGTAACGGTAAGCTTCGAGGCGATGAGATTCTTTAGAGAAGTGAACCCGAAAGGCGCTGGGGGTATGCTCGTGCAAGTATTGAGCTCGGCAGCAACCACAGGGGCCCCAATGATCGGATTCTATAGCTCTACGTGAGTATGTTAGTGCTGTTTGATTAAGCGTTAGCTGAAGTATTTGGTGTTCGTAGGAAAGCAGGTAACGTTGCATCTATGGCACAGTGCCAGTGTGTGACTTTGACTCACCACTATTTAGCCTTGGATTCGTTCACCGAAGTCCTGGCACAGGAAGTCCTTCCCGCTTGGAATATTCGGGTAAGCAACTGGACAGTGATAGCAGCCGCAGAGCGTTGAGTACTGAGTGGTTATACAGTTTCTGAATGTCCACCCAGGTTGGACGCGCACGCCCATTATATCAAGTGAAATGCTCGAGCCTCCAGCACTGTATGCATCGGAACCGACAGCCGTGACGACGAAGTTTCGTGCTGGGTTTGATGCATTGATAAATACCGATCTGCTGAATTCTGTCGAGGTTGTGACAAAACGCATTTGGTCGGTGACGAGGATGGACGATGAGGACCTGCGCAAGGGTATGCAGGAGGGCATTCCAAGCCTCGTGAACGTGTGGACGGGCATGGACTCGCTGGAGCGTGTGCATGCAAAGATTGGGAGACTGCAGGGTGAGCTGATGTGGAATACGAAGGTGCATTATGAGTACTAGTCTCGTCGTCTCCAGATTAAGTAGTTATACCCAAAGGTATCCTAAGTCAATAACTTAACCACCGCATTGCAATGCAATCCTCGATCGCAAGTATCTCTTGATTTTATAAGTTTATTGAAACAAGGAGCACCTGATTTAATGACCTATCAGACTCAAGCTCTTCTCTTCTCGATCACTGTGATGACCTCTTTCACCACAAAAGACAATTCCGAGTGTGTGTGCAAAAAATTGAATTACGCCTATGTAATACCCAGTGGGAAGCGAGCGAGACAAACCTGACGAAGGCATCTGTACATGAGGACCGCTACATGTTCAAACCTAATTCGGTGAGTCAATCCTGTGTACTTAGTTGGCGTGAGACCACGAACCAGCGCTCAGCCTCATGTAGCCTCGTGTTCTGCAACCCGACGAGCATCACCTTGCCTTATCTGCTTTCCACACCATCCAACGAGCTTGCCATAACCCTAAAACCGTGATTAGAACTTGATTGAAACATCCATCCTTTCGACTTATCCCAAAGCCTTCTGTCGACCATCGGCAAAGGATCCAATCTGCAGTTTAGACTTTGTTCGCGTTTGATGATCATCGATCAACCTTGACAAATGAGTTACTCAGATCTACGTCAGTATCTCCATAAAATATTATCCTGATTCTCGTGCTCACCTCCTGCATCATCAGCCGAAAAAGCTTGGGAGAAGCTGTCCCAGGTCGCTGTGCATGGTGCTGTATACGACTCCCGTGAACGTCTGCCCCATCCGAAATGTCTGAAAGATACCCGAACGACCCTTCTCAAGCACATTTACGAGTTTTTAGACAACCCAGAGAATAACCAACTCGTTTGGCTGCATGGCACGGCGGGCGTAGGAAAGTCTGCTGTCGCATTCACCGTAGCTGAAAGGATGAGAGGTCTGAAAGCATCAGAGGTGACGACTGTAGAAAAACGGCTGGCAGGAACGTTCTTTTTCTCGCGCACGAACACGAATCGCCGCACGACTGGATATTTCTTCGCGACCCTCGCCTATCAGCTTGCCAGGAATTTCCCCTCCGTTCGGAGTGACGTATCCAAAGCTATCATTGAAAATTCCGCCGTTCTAGAGCCCAACAGTTCTGTTCGCGACCAGATGGAGGCGTTATTTCTCCGACCTCTCCGGAAGCTTCACCAAAGACAACAGAATTGTCCGCCGTTGTCGTTCGTCATTGATGCCCTCGATGAATGCACCTCCGAAGCGGAGCTCGTTGAACTGATCACACTGCTTGGCCAAGCTCTTCGTGAGCCTGATCTGCCAAAGCTTCACATTCTGCTCACCAGTTGCTCGGAAGCGCATGTCCGTCGAGCCATGGAGGATGAAGAGGTGCATCAGCTGGTGTGCGAGATACCAGTGAAAACTTCTGGGGACGGTGTCCCTGACATCATCTCCTTAGACGGCGCAGACGTGGATAATGATATCTATGTTTTCTTCAACCATTCCTTCACACACTTGCGAGATCATCATCGCGATTTCCCACAGCCAACGCGGGATCAACTAGTGAAATTAGCGACCCGAGCAGGCAGACGTTTCATCGTGGCGTCTACGATGATGAAGTTTATCGACGATGGACACAATGATCCCCGAGATCGGCTTCAGATCATGCTTGACCTGACGAGCCAGCTGCTACCCGGCACAGAGGTATACAGATTGTACGACCGCATCCTCTCAACATGCGCTGACCCTAATCGGGCTTACATGCACTTGACCGTTGTCGCCACCCTTGCAGACCCTCTTCCGGCGTCACAAATATCGAAACTTCTTGGCCCTGGTGAGGGAAACGATGTCGAGACAACGCTTGTGCAGCTACGGTCCATCATGGATATTCCTACCGACAGCAGTCTTCCCGTGAATATCTATCACTCGTCCGTTCGTGATTATGTTTCCAACCCCTCGAATTGCAGCCTTCCTAACCTACAATATATCGCGCCCCACTCCATCCTCGCTTATTCCTCGTTACGCTTGATGATAGACGAGATACCAGCAAGCACGGCCCTCTTGGATGGGCTCGTAGAATTGAAGAGATATAGCAACATTATACCATCTGAGGACCCCCGGAAGTTAAAAGAGTCATTGAAGTTCGTTGTTCAGCCGCTGGAGCCCCTGCATGTTCTTTCAGGAATACTATGGGTTCGAGGAGATCACGCTCCTGTGTTACGATGTTGGCTAGAGACCCTGGACGGGCGGGCCTGGCTGGAGACCCAGGACGGGCGCGTCTGGCTGGAGAACGAGGCCGGGGCAGATAACCTGGACGAGAACGAGGAAAACTGGATGTGGACAGAGGGTGGGCATGGTTGGCTGGAGACCGAGAATGGGAAGCGCTGGCTCCGGGAGGGGACAAGTTATCTCCGGGCCTATGGCGGGACAAACTGGTTGCAGACCCAGGCTGGGCAAAGCTGGCTGCAGACCGAGGATGCGAGAGAGTGGATTGAAAACGACATTTTTGAGAGCGACATTGACGATAACGACGAGATACCTTGGGTGCATACCGAGGCCGGGCGCAAGTGGATGCAGACCCAGGCCGGGCAAAGCTGGCTGCAGACTACAGACAATTTATTCTGGCTGACCTATGGCGGGTGGCTAGCGACACAGGCAGGGCGAGACTGGCTGCAGACCCTGGCCGGGAAAATATGGCTGCAGACTGTAAAAGCGAAAGAGTACTGGCTGCTGAGCACACGCGAGGGAGGAGACTGGCTGCAGACACAGTGCGGTGAAGACTGGCTGCAGACACAGTGCGGAGGAGACTGGATGCTAATCAGGCATAGCAAAGACGATTGGATGCCGATCCATGTTTGGGACTCAGAGGAAGGAACATGGCTCAAGACTTCGGGCGGACGAGCTTGGCTGCAGACCCAGAACATCCAAGACTGGCTGCAAACAAGTCGCGGGCAATGCTGGCTGCGGGCACAGTCCGGGTTAGACTGGCTGCTGCCCGAGGGCGGGAAAGGCTGGTTGGAGACCGAGGGTAGGTCAGAATGGCTGGAGAGCAGGGTCGGGAAAAACTGGCTGTCTACCAAGGGCGGTAATGACTGGCTTGAGACCCAGGGCGGGAAACACTGGCTGCAAAGGAGAGGCTGGAAAGAATGGCTGGAGACCGAGGGCGGGTCAGAATGGCTGAAGAGCAGGGTCGGGAAAGACTGGCTGTGGACCAGGGGCGGGCGAGACTGGCTGGAGACCGAGGGCGGGCATGACTGGCTACAGGGGAGGGGCGGGAAAGAGTGGGTGCAGACAGTGGGCAGGGAAGAGTGGGTGCGGACGCATGGCTGGATGCCAGACTGGCTAAAGTCGAGTGCTACCCGAGACTGGCTGCAGATGCAAGGCTGGATGCCAGACTGGCTAAAGTCAAGTGCTACCCGAGACTGGCTGCAGACGCAAGGTTGGATGCCAGACTGGCTAAAGTCAAGTGCTACCCGAGACTGGCTGCAGACCCAGGCCGCACGAGACTGGCTGCAAACTCAGGACGCACGAGAATGGCTGCAGACCCAGGCCGCACGAGACTGGCTGCAGACTCAGGACGCACGAGAATGGCTGCGGACCCAGGCCGCACGAGACTGGCTGCAGACCCGGGACGCACGAGAATGGCTGCGGACCCAGGCCGCACGAGACTGGCTGCAGACCCGGGATGCACGAGAATGGCTGCGGACCCGGGCCGCACGAGACTGGCTGCGGACCCAGGACGCACGAGATTGGCTCCAGTCTCAGGACGCACGAGACTGGCTGCAGACCCGGGATGCACGAGAATGGCTGCGGACCCGGGCCGCACGAGACTGGCTGCGGACCCAGGACGCACGAGATTGGCTACAGTCTCAGGACGCACAAGACTGGCTGAGGTCATGGATTGCCTACCGCCGGCTGAAAATCCAGGATGGGAGGGACTGGCTGCATACCCAGGCCGGGCGAGAGTGGCTGAATTCACAAGCCGCCCATCACTGGCCGAATGACTACAATGTGCAAGAATGGCTGAAGACCCAGGCCGGGCAAGACTGGCTGCAGACCCTGGTCGGGCGAAACTGGCTGCTGACACAAGACGGAAGAGATTGGCTGCGGACCTGGGATGGCACAAGGTGGTTGCTGACAGAGCACGGAATAGACTGGCTGCAGACACAAAGCGGAAGAGATTGGCTGCAGACCCAGGACGCACGAGCCTGGCTGCGGACCCAGGGTGGCGAAGACTGGTTGCAGACCATCAGTAAACCGATGAGACCTTGATATTGTACCCGTGCGAATTATAGAAGGGCAGAATTCTGCTCCTGCTAAATATCGCCATTTATACTATAAGAAATTTGATTTGTAGATACATCGCCTGCAAAGCTACAGTAACATGAGCGGTTCACGACAAGGTTATGATGTTCCTCATTTGCAGCCGACGAGGGATAGTAGCTTACATATGCCAAATATTTTGCGCATTGTCATTTTACCTTAATTACACTTTGCACCACAAGCTCATCCAAGGCAATCTCGTGGGAGGTACCTTTGGCACTCGTCAACGAATGTATAATGACGTGAGATTTCATAACAAAGTCTTGATTTGCGGCCATGAAGACCAACGATGCACGACAGCGCACTCCTCTTCAACCCCTTTGAATATTCTTGTTTTGCTTAGTCTATGTCTTGAATTAAAACATTATCCAGGACCTTATAGTGGGAAGCGCCTTTGGCAATCAACAACGCGAGTACAGTAGCATTCAACTTTGCATCAAAATTGTGACGTTCAGCCATCACCGCACAGAAGAACAGTATGCAAAACGGTTGGAATGATTTCAAACCCTGGCCTTGGAGAAGGTATTTTTCGCATCTTCTCAGGCTTGATTAGTAGAACGACGATGAGGACTAGGAGTCCGCTGAAAATAAATTTTCACATGTTCATGGGTGCGTAGTAAGATATGAGTAGAAAGAGACGTAGTAGTTGTTGCATATTATTCAAAGCTTCATTAT